ATGTCCGGGCTCCAGGGCTCACTATATGGGCTACCTATATCAGACCATGACACCAGTCGGCCTGACATGCCGGTGCAATACCCTTACACCTTCTAACGCCTTTCTAAAGCCGTTGATTATTATTTTAATAACGTATTATGTAAATTAAGATAAATAAATATTTAAAATTACTTTGTATTCAGTTGAATCTTTTATAATTAATTAAATAATTAATTAAATTAATAAATATTCTTTATAATAAGTAATATTAAGTGCGGTAAAAAGGGATTATTTGATATTATAATCGTTAAATATTATAAATGTTAAATATTTGAATTAAAGAGGTTAAGTTTTTAGTTAAGTATATTGAAATTTTAATTTTAAATAGGTTTAATCTTGAAACGAGAACGGTCAGTTTTTAATCGATTATTAATTATTTATTTAGTTTTTTAATTCAATACTTAATTTATAATATAATTATACAATGACTGTATTTAAATACATTATCTTTGAAGCTTAATATTTTTGTGTCTTTTTATTAAGAAGGTCTAAGATGCCCGCAAGCGTGGGTTTGGCACCAATAGGGATTGGCAAGGTAGTGCCTTCCTTTGCCTTTTCGTTAGCCTCTTCGTTGCCTTGGATGTCCATGTGCCCTGGCACCCACCGGACCTGTACGTCAGCATATGTGTCCGAAATTTTGTGAAATTCTAGGAAAGCTTCTTGGGAGCTCTGAGCTGGTTCCTTCCACAGTCCGGAGATCATTTCTGTATTATCTAGGCACATGTGGATAGTGGCGCCGCTGCTGAGCCTCAGGGCCTGTCTGAGTGCGTGGCGGGCCCCTTCAGCCTCACTGTTAAAGACCTCAGCTGGGTGGCCCAGTCTGCCACAGCCCGAAGCTACGTTTGTCCGGCCTCTATAGATCACGTATCTATAGCCCACCGCCCCTTCCAGGGATTTTGAGCCATAAGAGTAGGCGACTATGTATAGAGACAAAAGCAATTTTAATCAGTCTATGAAGACTTTGGCTTTTTCAGCTTTGCTTCTTGTTATAATAGCTTTGCCAGCGTTTATTGCATATCTTGGTTCCGTTAGGATTGGTCTTAGAAAATCCAGTGTAAGTTCATACGTCCTTTGGAGCCGTGTCCTTGCGGTTATCCTAACTAGACCCCTCACGCCTCTGCTCACGGTAGGGTTCCGGGCTGTAACACATTGGACTAGCGGATGCATGTTATCCATAGCTCTGATTCTCAGGCTGAATCGCATCCGGATCTTGCTGAGTATGGTTTGTACTGTTGGTAGGCATGATTCTTTAAAGAGTACCTTCTTTGGTGTAGTTCTCCAGACTGGGAGAATGCCTCTGATGGCCTCTGTAAAGACTCTTTCGAAGTTGTCTGAGTGGCCGTTCTGGCGGGTGCTCATGTCCCGGGCCTGACCGTATCCTGCTCTCTTGTAATCCTCGGCCTCCCAGACCTTTGCCCCATAGGTCATGATAGGAATCACGCATGCAATTACCGCCTTACGGAGGGCTGCTGCTAGGGGCTATCTAGTGGTGTTTACAAGACTTTGAATATGTCTGGCCACGATGAGGCCCTTGGCTGCCCGTCTTTTGATATGTTCCCGGAACTTCAGGGACCTGTTGAAGAAAATGCCCAGCTAGCGGACCACCGCCCTTTTCACTGGCTGCGCTGGTTTGATATTGAAGCCTCCGGGGGTGGTTATTTCTGGTGTGAGAGGTCTCTTCCTAATATCAAAGTAGATGGCTTCAGCCTTGGAGTTTTCAAAGGTGACCTTGTTGTCTAGGTCCTAGCGTAGAATGTCGTCTACCATGCTAGCTGCCTTGGCTGCTAGCTCAGTAGTGGTTTTACCCGTTATTCAATGCCTATGTCGTCTGCATACCCGAATCTGTTATGCTTATCCTCTAAGAAGATATCTGCAATATACAGCAGGAAGAGGATTAGGGAAGCTGGTGATCCTTGTGGGAGCCCACAGCTCAGTCCGAATACCTTAGTAGTAACGCCTTCCAGTCTAATCCAAGCAGTTCTGTCCGATAGGAAGAAATCTACCCTTTTATAAGGGCTGATGCCCAGCCCTGCTGGCAAAGCCTGAGGATCAATCTCCAGCGAAGTACTGCATCAAACGCCACTTGTACATCTAGGGTGACAAGAAGGGATTTTTGCCCGGATTCCAGGGCTAGCTCGATGTTGTGTGTGACTGCTGCAGTAAGGTCGACCGCAGAGCGCTTAGGGAGGGCCCTAATTTGGTTTGGGCTGATCACCCCTCTTAATAGGGCTGTTATTGCTATTTGTTTTGCAACTAGCCTTTTAAGGCCCTTTTTAAGGCATAATAACAGAGCAATTGGCCTGTATGATTTCGCAGTGGTATAGTCCTTTTTCCCTGGCTTCTGAAGCATGACTACCTCTACTGACTTGAAAGGGGTGGGATGGTGCCTTGTTCTAAGGCAAGCTTGAAATAGAAGCCGAATCGGCTATGCTAGATGGACCCATGCCGCTTTGAGGAGCCGTGTTAAGAGAGAGTCTATTCCGAGGATTATGTTTTCTGTAAGAACCATTTTAACAAGTTCAATTGACGATATTGTACAGTCCCATTCCAATGTAGCGCGGGGGGCGATGGGAATCTCTAACGGGTCGTGTGCGGGGTCGTCTTTGGCCGAGTGCCTGTCTAGTAAGGCCGTCTTGAGGGCATATGCCTTTTCAGTAATGTCCTCTATTGTCAAGTTGCCGACTTTTAGTGGTGGTGATCTTATGTCCGGGCCTAGTTTATGCCAGTTAATTATTTTGAAGAGGTCTGAGTCTTTCTGTATACCTTTGATGCGGGCTTTTTAGTATTTTTTATTATTTGTTGTACTACTGCCTGATACGCGCGTTTCTCTTTTGTAGGGATATTTATTTTGAATTGCTTTGTTGCCAGATTGTACGTCTTTCTTGCTTTCCTGCATTCATCGTTCCATCAAGGAGCGTTTTGTCTCTTACTGCTTGGCTTATTGCTAACGGTTTCGAGGGCCAGCGTGAGGAGGTTTATAATAGTGGAGGTGGCTTTGTCGAGTTTTTCTGTTGTGGGGTTGGAGCTGAGGCTTGGTAGCGGGGTTCCCATCCATATTATCTCACAGAACTCTGGTAGTTTGTTCTCTGGTACTGTGTATCTCTGTTGAACCATACTTTATCTGCCTTTGGATGGGATCGTGATTTGCAGTGGCCAGTGGTCTGCGGCTGCGTGCAAAGCGTAGTTAACTACTGCGGTTGTAAAGGGGATGTTCGAGAAGGTCAGGTCGAGGACGTGCCCATCGTCGTGTGTAGGGACTCCCGGTTCCCCAATGTACATGAGCTGGTTTTCTGCTGCCCACTGTGTAATTTCCCCGCCTCGGGCTCTTCTTGGTATTCCTGGTTCCCAAGTTGAGCGAGATGACAGATGATGGTGAGTTGCTTTAGGCCTCGGGAATACATACTCTAGGATGGGAATCAATGTGACTGATAGCACGTCGTAGCAGCTCCACTCGAGGACACTGCGAAGATCACGACGATGACGTCGGACGCACCTGTGTTATTCCGCCCAGAGGAAGCATACGGCAATCCGCCTTCTGATGCCTCCAACGCCGCCTAGGAGACTCTGATCCCCCGTGAGCCCCTCAATGCTTTGGATTTGCTCCTTTGCAGCCCCGCTGAGATTTGATGGCAGAAGGTCGAGGCTTCGTCTAGCTAGTCGATGAGGAATCCGGGGGGAATCTGCATACTGCGTATCGGCTTTCTATTAGCTGCACTGCTTGGTAAGGATCGATCTAACTAACTGCCTTAGCGCTTGCACGGGTCATGGATTGACATATTCTTGTCCAGGATATGCTGCGTCGTGGTTACTATGCTGCCGTGGGACTGGAAGACGTAAACGCCGGAACGCATGCGCACACAGCCCCCGCGGGGCATATGCATCATTGTTTAGACTACATTCGCCAGGCTCTTATGTGCGCTGCAGATTCGACGTTGGAGAAGGACGACACCGTCGGTGGGGTCAGAGGATGGGGAACCACACACCAGTGCCGTGATTTCGAGGCGCTCAAAGAATGGGCGAAGGAGCATAGATTGAGTGGTAAGGGCGGTAGGGTCAATTGAAAGATGGAATTGCCTCTATTGAGTGGACGACGTAATGTTTCCTCCACGAGGAATCGTCACTTTGACCAAGGTTGCGGCGCACCTGAATTAATAAACAGATCGACGCCGTCTCCCAATCAACTGGATTGGGAATCATGAAGTATCTCCATGGGGCAGTGAAGTTTAAGAGCCCATCCAAATCTCGAGATGGCTAGAAACAGATCGACCACAGTCACATGTAAACCAGGCAGTCCGCTGCCCGGCCCTGAAAGTTGGAGAGGATAACAATGTACTGGCTCGAATAGTTAAAAAAAAAGTGAACAGGCGATAGGAATATCTCGCAACAATACAGTGTCTACGCCTACCAGCTTGGGACAGCCTTAACTGCGGTAGGCTAGCACGAAGACAGGTGCAAAGGCAGACACTAAGAGAGGAGGTTCGTCGTTAAACGTAAGCAACCAGGCGTGAGAAAAAAAGTAAAAAAGAATTAGTGTAAAATTTATATTGAGACTACAAAAAGCTCAGGATGCCATCCGACCCCATGAACGTGGTTTGTCCCGATTTAGCCAACCCATCAACTAACCGCCAGCACGCCCCGGGATCGAACAGGAGCCTTATCAGGGGGTTTGTCTCATTCCCCACTATACCAATGACCCGGATGGGCTCGGGCTGGTATGGGGGAGGATAGAAAGGCTTATATTGCAGTACATATGGCTGGTTACCAGGCTGTTGTGGTTGCTGGGGAACAATACCAACATTTCTCACCAGGCATCCCCGAGAATTCCTCAGCTCGGTTGTCTCCATAATCACGCATCGAACTCACCGGCACAGAGGGAAGATACATCAGCCTCTCAGATCTCTCCCATCTTGCAGAGTACCGCCCGAAGCTGGGATGCGACGCCGGATTGCCCATGAAGCCCTTCACCCTCTGCGCCTCGGGACTATCCTCTCTCTTTCACGCATGATTCTGGCCTTGTAGGCCCTTTCGGCGAACACCGCAGCCCGCGCCCGATCGCCATGGGCAGCGCAGATCTGAAAGGCGTCATTATACAGTCGAGCCACCAGTAGTCCCGCGCCAACCTCGGTATACACCTCCACCAGAAGCCGCAGCAGGGACCGGCAGCCTGTCAATCTGGCGCCGGGCTGCTGCATCATGCGCAGCGGGTCACCAATCGCCTCTTCGAGACGCTCGATCGGACCGCGACGCTCATCGCTCTGTTGGAGTTTGTCGGTCGGAAGGGAGCACACGACGCACTGACGTTCGAATCCGAAGGGCTCCCGCAGCGCTGCATGGTGCTCCGCCGCAGTTCCGCCGCGGCTATAGTCCATGAAGATCTCGGCTCCGCGGGGGTATCCCCGGCGGCGTGGAAGGTCTCGAAACCACCATTCCTGTCTTCCTTACCTTCGTGCCAGGTGTGATGCGCATTGGGCCGGCAGCTCTGGTTCGCGAGGCAGAACGTGGCATAGACGCTGCGGCAGCTTGAGCCAGGTCCGCACTAGAGGGCATTGGTTCTTGCAGATGCTGGTGAAGGGGTGTTTCGTGCCCGGGTAGTTGTTGTGCAGCGAGAGGAAAGCTCGTTATTGGTCTTTGGGCACGGTACGGCGTTTGCTGCGAGGATGGGCTCCAACATGGCGGTCGTTATGCTCTGGATTGTGAGGAGCGGTTTTGCGCTCAGGATCCGGGTGCCTGCAGTCATGCCGCAGAGTGCGACCAGGTCTCGGCCTTTGCTTGGGACGTCGTCGATCTTGAAGAGTGGTAAAGTCACATTCACACAGTTTACGGAGGTGGGCCAGAACACTGTCGGAGCAGGCGTTGAGTACGAATGGGACAGGGGATAAGATGTAGAGATGGAAAAGCTGAGCTGAGGAAGGTATGGGCCGTGAGATATGTCACCATTTGTAGCACGTTTGTTTGCCAGTTGCTTGTGCCACCCCTATCGGACCAAGTACTTGCATCTCGGAAACCGATGACATGCGTGGATTGTGCATTAACCAAGCAGCCTAACTAATTGGACCTTGCTCTCAGTATGCGTACGAATTCACTTTCCCATCGCCTCCAATACTCTGCTGCATTCGGCGATTCTCGCGCATGAGCACGAACCTCATGACCCAACTAGTCAGAAGCGAGAGCAGAGAAAACGCCGCCGAGGCACTGAACCCGATCACATAGCGTGGTCCGTCACTACCAGGCCATAGGTACGCCCCGTAGATCTGGGCTACCTGGCCGCTCACGTTCGTCACCGCAAGCGCAACCTAGCATTGCCAAGATCAGTCATCTTCGACATAGGGGCAGGTCAGGTAGTTAATGGGAGGGGCGACGAACCGCTTTCTTCTCTGGGCTCTGCGATAGGGTGGTCGCTGTCCAACCTACGATAACAGAGTTGACCGAATAGGCGCCGGCTGGGAAGATGAAGCACGCCACATACCGACCGGCCACGTTCAGCGTTGAGGCGGCGGCCACGAACCCGATAATGGCGATGGATAGAGCGGCGGTGATATGCCAGGTGCGCTCGTGGAACCGGCCTGAGCTCCACGCTAGCAGGAGAGACGCGATGCAAGCAAATATGTACGGAGGGCACGTGAGTAGCAGGGCGATGGTGTCTGTGAAGCCGAGGCCTTTTATTACCCTATCATTTAGAGGAACTGGTCAGTCGGGCCTGATACTATCGGCGAGGTAGGGTTGCTTACGTTGGGAGGAAGTTGATGAATGAGAGGCCCGCGTAATGAAAGTTCTTCAGCCCAAGCATTAGTTTGCAACGTTCTTGTGGTACTCGAAGCTGCTGTTCGGTGTTTATGCCTGTTTGGAAAGGGGTTTAAGGGCTCAGGCGACGTGGACACTTACCTGAATCGCACAAAACAACCACAGCCTTCGGTCGCGCAACGCACTCTTCAGGGCATACCATATAGGCTCATGCTCTTGGGCACCAACTAGCTGATCTCGTTGCATGCGGCTCTTTCCAATTGCCCGCTCTTTGTCGCTGAGCCAGCGGGTTGTTTCATTCGTATCTGGGAGGAGCCAGCTGGCACCCAGTGCTACTACTGCCGACGCGGTCCCTTCCAATATGAATAACCTAGTTCGTGGCAAGAGTCAATAGCAGTACACATGGCCACCGGAACAATGCAGACTCACCATCCCCATCCGCTCAGGCCTCTTCTCCCGTCAAGGCCAGCAAAGACCCCGGCGGCAATGAGGTTGGCGAAGCTGAGCCCTGCCATCTGCGCTGTGTACAAGATGGCCATCCGAGACGCAACCTCTTGGGGTCTGTCAGCACCGGTGTCCGACATGCTCGCATCACATGGTATATGGAATCACCTTTCCGAGTATAGAATATTGCTAGAAGATAAAGGGCGCCTGGGTAGAACTTGAAGACACAGTCAGTAACCAGGCGAGTTCTCTCAGATTATGTTCTCTACTTACCGGCGCCTCGAAGAATCCCAGGAGAAATCGGCAGGCGATGAGCGAGCCATAAGAGCTTGCAAGCCCAGTGCAAGCTGGTGGTAAATTTGTCAGCCCTGAGACGGCGAATTTGATACCTTGGCGTACCTGAGATGACCGACCAGATAAACATAACGACGGCCAAATAAATGCTCGGTCGAACCCTGGTGAGCAGCATGTTGCTCGGCACCTGCATCAGCACATATCCGACAGTCAAGACAGAGACAGCAACGTTGAAGTCGTTGCCTGCCATGCCAAGATCCTGCTCTAGGTCGTTAAGGCGTGCCTGTGCCAGAGCACCTCTGTCAACATAGTTGAAGAAATACATCAACCACAGAACGGGCTACGGAAATGCAGGGTCAGTGACAGGTTGCTGGAGGCGAGTAAAAGGAGTCTGTAGAGAGCCACTGACCATGATCCGCATATCTAGCTTTCTCACCAGCTTGATCTCAAGTGGATCTGTTTTCGCTTGCGCCCCGGCATAGTCTCGACGGCTATAGGGTACACCCTTAGCATCCATGGGCCCATCTGATATTCCATCAGAAGGAACATGCTCCAGCGCATTCTTCGAAGTAGCCATAGGTTGTCGAGCTAGAATAGAGAAAGTCGGTACGTTGGGATGCCGTGTGCGCCTGTAGTGCGATGACGAACTCAGAAGGTCTGTGTTGAGTTATCAGCTTCACGTTAGAAGGGATGCGAGAGCCAGAGGCAATGCGATACTCGCCTTTTTAACGTGATCTGAACACATACACCTAAAAAAATTGACCCGTACGCAAGCGTCAGCAACCCCTCAACCGCTTTGCTGCAAAATATTGTGGTCTCCCCGAGGTTTGCGCGCAGTGTTTTATTCGGATACAGAGCTCTTCTTGATGTTCCCTTCTGCGTGCGGGCAGGAGGGTCGTGCAGGGGATACTTCATTCCTGATCATGCTGACATGATCCGAGCAGACTGGCTGATTGGAGCAAGTGCTGGATATATTTGCCGATATTCTCGATAGCGCCATCCATGAAAGCCACATACTACATGAATTTGGAGAAAATGGTCTGTCACTAGCGACCATGCAGCCGAGCCTCGAATCGGCGGCCAGAACAGAAGCCCAAAGCTTGATTCCCCGCTGAGATGGTCTGCATAATGCAACCACACTGTCGACCACTCGTCCACGAGCTACCAATGGGTAGCCGAGAGTCCCCGGTTCAAGCCGTAGGAATCCCTCCACCTTATTCTAGTGACACGAACAACCACACGTGAACGAGACCCCAACATGGAGCCCTCTCTCGTGACAGTGAGCCAACTCCGAGAGAAGTGCGATACGTGAACCAACATGACGCCATCCTTTGCCAGTTTTCTGGGCGCGGGATGCCCAAGATGGAAGGCTTCCTTTGGCCAGTATGAGGTCGCGATGAAGGCCCGACAGTGTTGACGACGACCGGTTTACCACCGATGTGATCCGCAGCTGTCGTGCCGTTGGTGCCCCATGCTACGTCCTGCTTCCTGGCGGTACGCCAACTCCAAGAGTCATTGAATTACTCAGTGGTGGCTGCATCCTTTGTAAGTGGAGGATTGAGAACGGTGGTCATCCGGGCCTAAGAGCATGGCTGCGGCCGGCAATATCGAAATCGGAGGTGGTGAAGGCGGAGGCGAAGCGAGACCTGAGCTGTCACATATCAAGGGCTCGAGCACAGTCCTTCGGTGGCAGCAACTCAAATCGGTCGGTACCGTTGTTGGTACGCGGAAACTGCGTCTCTGCAGCTCTTGCCTTTCTCTCTTTCGGTTATCTACCCGAGCCCGGAAGATCACAACAAGATGGCTGAGCTCTGTCCAGGTTTACTCGAAGGGTAGCGGTTGAAGCACAGAGTTGGGAAGATGCATAGCTCTTGTGACCCAACGCCGGCGATCAAAGGATGCTTGCGAGCATGCCTAGTGGCCCCTTGATCGTGAAATTGCTTCGTTGCACCATCCGACTAGCCGCGAATAGCGCGGGTGGTGATCGACGCTGGAGGTGAGCGCAAGCGGGATTAATGATGATCCTGGTCGCGCCACGACCTGATCAACAAGAAGACCGAGCGATTCTCCTCTGGGGGAAACCTGTATCACCCTCTTATAACCTGTCAACCTTAACTCTCGCCGTTCGCGCCAGTGCACGAAAGACATCATTGCGAACATGGACGAGAATGCCTGGCCTCCGTCCGGGGCTCTGGCACCGGACACCGAAGCGGGGTCCGGCGTCAACACAGACGACTATGGCGAGACGCTGTCGTTCCTGCGTTATTTTGATACCATGTTCCTCGTAGACGACTCGGCGCAGATGGCGCCCTACTGGAACGATGTGAGAGCCCTGCTCGAGCGCATTACGCCCATCGCAGCCAAGTACGATCCCGACGGGATCGACATCCTCTTCCTCAACCACCGGCCAAAAAGCCTGCTGTCGAGCATGAGCTTCCGCCGGTCCGGCTACCGCAACATCGGTGCCTTCGGGGAGCACGACTCTGCCGACACCAAGGACACCAGCACCGTGAACGGCATCTTCAACCGGGTGAAGCCCGGAGGGAAGTGCAACCTCGGAGCCCGCCTGTCGAAGGCGCTGAACTGGTACTGCGGCAAGCTCAAGGCCGAGGAGGAGGGCGCGGCGCTGAACCTGATCGTGATCACGGCGGGCCACTTCGACGACGACATCAAGGAGCCCCTCGTCAACGTGGCGAAGCTGCTGGACCGGATGGAAGTGCCGGAGCACCAGGTCGGCGTCCAGCTCTTTCAGATCGGGCAGCCGAGCCCCGAGGTGGTGCAGACGTTCAAGTACCTGGACGACGAGCTGCACAAGGAGGCGCAGACGCGGGATATCGTCGACACGACGACGTGGACGGGGGAGCCGGGCTCGCTGTCGACGGATGATCTGCTGAAGGTGGTCCTGGGGGCGGTGGTCAAGAAGCTGGACGAGAGGAGTACGTCGTTGAACTTGAATACTTCGGCGCCGGCGAGGCGATTCGACGGGGGCAGGGACTTGTAGGGTTATCGACAATGCTAGCAATGGAAGCCTTTCTTCCAGGATCGCGGGAGTGGCGGGTGCAGCGGACACGCGCGATTGATCGGGAGCTCGTATTCCATTACTTCTCACGGGACGGAGCTGCGGATGATTCGGACGAAGCGAGTGCGGACAAGGTGCAACTTCTGAAGGGCTACCAGGACATGGCGAGGGTCACAGGTAGAGAGCCGGGACCAACAGCAGAAGACTGTTGGATCCGGTTGGTCTCCGAACCCGGTCGATATCATCGGCCTGATCGACTTCCGACGGACAGGCCAGCAGGCACGTGCCAGCGTTGGTAAGTGTTTCATAATATACCACAAGAAGGCCAGAGTCGGGAGTGGTGTCACGGCATCTCTCCATCCGCATTGCACCGGCGTACGAACATACAACTTCCGATTCAAGAAGGGAAGCCAGCTAATCCGCCATGGTGGAACGCGGAGTGCCAAGCAGCTCGGCTGGCTCGGAACCGCGCTCGGAGGACCGGGAACCTTGCCAGGAGGAAGAACGAGAACTCAAAGCTGCGTCAGAAATACCATGCACAGTTGCGTATTACATAACATTCCCCGCAGTACCCTGTGTACACTCTAGACGGTATTTCCTGCCGTCGCCCAGTGTTCTGCCTGCCTACCTTATGCCGTTATAATCGCAGGGACCGATTTGAGCCTAAAAGCTGCCTTGATTGCTATCAAGCCCGGCCAAGGTCCAGACAAACTTAATCTACGTTAATAAAACCCTTTCGTAAAGTTAAGTTAACACTATTTACGACTTCGTCGTCGCTTAATTAATGAATATATATGTGTATTAATAACAGGTCTTGTTTTTCAAGAATATTATTATTGTAAGTTAATATAAAATAAAAAGACTTTTCATTTATTAACTTTATTGAAAACCCCAGATTAAATTTAAAAATTATAAGGAAAATATAAACATTCAAGCGTTTTAAAAAGCTATAACGTGGATGACAAGCGAGCAGCAATTACAAGCGAACGGCAACTTTTCACCAACCTTCTAACCAACATGTCAAATAACTCGACCACAACGTATTTAATTCAATCTAATCAATTGTATTCTTTTTCTTCAGACGTTTCTATCTCTATTGTATAAGTTCGCGCATTATGGCCAGTATTGCCGCAAACACCACAACGTCGCTCACGCGCTGCAGCCCTCCTCGGACGACAACTACCTTCACCCATTTTCTGTCTTGCCAGCTTATTACCATTCTTTACAGCCTGGAGACCTACTGCATCTTTAATAAAAAGTACTCCTCTTTTTGTTAGACATTTGTTTTTTATCCTCTGGTAGTTACTTAGTAAGTAATTGGCCTCCTCTAGCTCGCGGACCCGGGAATCAACCAAAGTGACCTTGTGCATAAGACCGTATATAGCCTTTAAAAATGAGCTCAACGCATCAACTATTGATATAGGTGAGCTTCTTTTGTGGTTTCTGACTCGGTTTCGGATATAAACCGACTGGTTTACCGCTTCATTGATGGTGATAGGCGTCTTTAAAGTCTAAATAATGGGTAGCAGATTGGGGTCTGGCGATGGTGTTTGTACGACAGCGACAGCATCCAGCTTTGGAATGACACTTTCTGTGTTGAAAAGAACGAGCCCAGTGGCACTGAGACTTGCTAAAATGTTTCCTGGTGTCATAGCAGCATTGTGTGTTTCACAAAACGCTGTAAGGAAGTCCTCTTTCGGAACGTGGGTTATATGATGCCGGATGAGATCTTTAATCATGCGACCGTACGCTCGTTTGAGCGGGCTAAAACAACTGACATCTAAAGGCTGGAGCCTGTGTGACGAATAGGCAGGCATACAAAAGGTAATAATACCATTGTTCTGGCAATAATCCTCAAAGACCTAGAAATGGTCGTTTTTGTGACCATCTAGGATGAGGAGGAGTTTACTGGCAGTCATACGCGGTCTGGTATACTTGTCGAAATGTCGAATCCATTCCAACCCAATCTTGTTTGTAGTCCAACCGTTATCGGACACAGCCACCTTCCAATCGTGTGGTAATGTCGTGTCGCAATACCATAACGCGAGGTGGGTTTTGCCCTGTAGAATGATGAGCAGCAGGACCACCCAACCATCAGCATTGACAGCAGAAATTGCTGTAGACTATTCCTTGTTGCCTTACTGAGCTTGTCTAGGCCTATCATGTCTTTTAGCACTTGTAACGACTATGCCGGACCCAATAATACCCATCATAAACCCAGTCTTGTCGAAGTTATAAATGTCCGTGTCTTAGATACCATGTTTCGCAATTGCTGTTGCAGCTTGGCAAAACCATGTGCGATACACGTCTGGATCTTCGTTCACGACCCTCTTGTAGTCCATCCTCCAATGAAAACGCGTCCGGAGGCCTGGTGTGCGTTTAATGAAGTTTCATGCCTAGTTCTTTCCAACGCGTCCATCCCTACGCGCTGCCAATGATTGATTTGCTATATCTTCAATATAAGTGTGCTGGGGTGGAAATGCTCGCGCATCCAGGTCAAGAATGAAGGAAAGAATGGCATTCTCTTTGGAAACCGTAAGTTTCAAAGTATTGGGTATGCTATCGTGTCGTGATGGTCGGCCGGCGATTATAGCCTTCAAGGTATTATATGGGACATAGAAAGTCTTAGAAAGCTTGCTAATGGTAATATGAGGGTCGTGTTGCTTAGCTTGAACAGCAAGCTGTAAGTCTGATTCGCTATAACGCAATGCCATTATTGTTGGTTGATCAATTAGGAGCCTTGTTTGAAAGGTTAGGTGGCTGGTGAAAAGTTGCCGTTCGCTTGTAATTGCTGCTCGCTTGTCATCCACGTTAACTAGCTTTATATGATGTTATTTATAAGTATTTATTAAAAATATTTCATATAATTAAATACAACTTTTACCTTTTTATAACGCGTTATTTCAAAAAGCTTTAACAACTTAAAAATATTATAAAATACTAACAATGAAGATTACATTCAAATCGTTTAAAAGAGGTATAATTAACTTCATAAAATAGTATTTATTAGAAGAAGATTAAAATTAATATAATTAAGATTTAAACTTAAATCTTAATTTTTTTAAAATTTATACACTAAATTTTAAATTAAATGCAAGCTCGATGCTTAACTTACGGAAAATTAACTTTAAAACTACCATACAACCTTATTATTTATATTCAATAATGTTTTGAATAATAATAGAATTATAAATAAGCTAAGCAAAAACCTCAATATATATAAAAAAGTACATTTTATATGTAATTGTTGGAACAGGCTTGAACGATCAATCATAATACTCGAGTATGGGGTCAAGGTCATGATGTTGCTGATGGTTGGATTGAGAGGAATCTAGCTGGACTCGAAGGTCTGGCCAAGTGCCCTCTCAATCCACTATCTTATCTTATCTAATCATATATGTGGGTCCTGGTATAGATAGTTTGCAGTCTGGAATCGCATGGATCCAACAGTAATAAATATAAGAATAAAAAATCAATAAAGCTAATAACTGAATTTAAAAATTTAATCTTTTTTAAATTTGTAACCTTTTTTTATTTTTTTAAACCTTATAAAATACTTTTTTATAAAGCATTTAATTTGGACTGGAGTAAAAGAAATCACATTTTAAGTATCAAATAACCTTATTATTAATACAACATCCATTGTTTTATTCGTATATATACTTTAAAAGGTAATTATATAGTTATTAATAAAGAAAAATAGAAAAGAATACGTAATTAAATATATACTTAAATATATATATAACAATAAAATACCGTATTAGAAATAAAATATAGTAGTGTTATTCAAATATTCTCTTGGTTTTATTATGAACTTAAATAAATTAACTGTTTTAGACTTGTTAATAAAAAGAATTTGTTTTCTAAGGAAAATTTAAATAATATATACCTTTATAACTACATATAAAAGAAAACTCAACTTTTAATATAAACATTTATAAAAGTCTTTATTTTAATCAATTACAAATAAAGAAATTACGCTTTAAGTAAAGAACGGGTTGATGATAACTAAACATTGTTAAATAAAAATAAATAAAACCGAAAAAGAAAAAAAGGTTACGTATTTTTATCACTTTATAAAGAATCTTAAAATAACAACGCTTAACTTTTAATATAAATAACGAACAATGAAATTATTATTATTTGAATTAAAACATGAATTTAATAAGGGTTTTTCTTAATAGAAATACACATTTATAAAAAATTTAATTAGAAAGTATAAATACTGTAAAAAGCACGCTATACATATATATATGAATCCGTTTTAAATTTTATGATTAATTTAAACGAATTAGTCTTCATTAAATTCGATAATAATAAATGAAAATAAAGGCAGTATATATTTATTATTATATATAACGCTGTAAAATCGATGATTTAAAAAAAAATGAAAAAAATATCCTTATAATTCGTGTTAACTACTATTATAATATTACATACATTTCTTTATTATAAATACACTTAGTGGTATTATAATGCTTTTCTTACTTTTATTTCTTTAAAATATATTATTAGAACTTAACTTATTTATTCAAAGCTTTTTTAATAAGTATTAAACCTTTCTAAATTTTAAATTTAATTTCAAAAACTGTTGGATCCATGTGATTCCACAGTCAAACCATCCATATAGAACACACATGTATGATTAGATAAGAGATTAGATACCAGATTGTGAGGTCACTTAGCCAGACCTGCAGGTCCAGCCAGACTTCCCAATCCAACCATCAGCAACATCGTGACCTTGACCCCATACGCAAGTATTATGATTGATCGTTCAAGCCTGTTCCTACAAAAAGTCAGAATTTAATTTTCAATTTTTAATTATGCTTACATATAATTATGACCTTAACGCTTCATTTATATCAACAATTAAAAGCTTGAAATTATACATTAAGCTTCTTATTACTTTACCTGTTGTTAAAAAAGCCTTATATATTTAATAAATATAAAAACATTTTTTTAGAGAATTAAAAGCTATTTGTAATTATTATAAATATTTGGACTGCTTTTAATATAAGTATTCAATAACATTTTTCATTAAATAACCGATTTTCAAATACACATTGATTTTATATTTGTATTTATCAATTTTTGAAAATCTTACTGGTTTTGTAATTTCGTTAATTCAGTTTTATTATTTTTATAAAAAGTTTTGAAACTGAACTATTTTCAACGCTGTATAGAAAGCTTATGATTATTTATTTTTATAGTTTTATTGTATTTAAATATTTATCAATTTAACGGTAACGAATTATTCAAAATAATACCTTTTAAATTTTTAAATTAATTGGGGAAGAATGTTAAGTCTTTCCAACACAATAATAAAAATCTCATTGAGCTAACCGTAATATTTATTTAAAACTATTTTTTTTACAACTTATACAAGCTTGAAATTTTCATTACTATGACACGTTCCCTTTGTATTTTTATAAGGTCTTAACCTTTTTGGAATAAACTTGAAATAAAATAAAATAGTTTAAATATTAATATATAAATGATTTAATTTATAATTTTACTTATAAACCATATGCTCGCTTTTAAAAGCCTTTATAATATCTTCATATATTAAAAAAATTTAGAAAATAACATTGAAATCTTTCAACTTTATACCGCTAGTAAAAAAAAAATTTGATATAAAAGCTTTATGTTTAAAATAATTTCTTGATGCCTTTCATACATAATTTTCTCTATTTTCTAAAATGCTTCAATATATGAATAAAACTTAAAAAGGGGATTAGTTATAACATATTATAATAATTAATGAGTTTTATCATATGAAACTACGTTTTTAAAAATTGAAGCTTTAATTTTTAAATTTAAAAACTTATTGAATGTTTCTAGTTATAATTAATAAATTTTAATAATAAAATTATATCTCATCTTAGTTTACTAAATAATAAATATTTAATATTTAATATTTTCTCTTGTAATTATAATTTATATTGGAATATAATTACCGATTGCTTTTTATTAAACTGTTTGTCACGTTCGAAAGATGGGATTGGGCATAAGATCCCTATTGTCACGGAACAGCTGGCAGCTCAGGACGAAGATGCCCATCTATTACTCCAGATGAATAAGAATCTACTGGTGAGGAGGGAAGAAGGATCAGAACCACCAGCCAATTCTGGTGGGGGATTAGATCTTCAATCCCGCTCCACAATTATCTATAGTGAGTGCAGCGGGGCAACGCGTCCACCCCACCAGATCACCTGATGAGCGCACGTACCACCGTGAATGGATGGATGGATGTCAGATCCATCACACCTATACACACTATCTACGTATGAAAATCTCTTGGTGAGGAGGGAAGAAGTGATCGAGCCCACCAGCCGATCCTAGTGGGGGATATGATCTGTGTGCCTGCCCCACTATCCGTTACCCCCAGTGGCTGGCGGATTAACAGTCGCTCCACTCACGTGACTAATACACATGAGTGGCTTGGGGATCTGGTGGTATGGGTGACCATACGGGTGACCATACTATCACACTATTTTCTGAAAATTTTAAATATGTATATTACAAATATTTATATTAAAGTATTTATATGTAACATCAAGTTGTAAAAACTTGGTTATTATTAAAAAAAGCTCAGTTATTCAAAACACCTTGGAAATATCTCTTGTTAAATTTATTAATGAAATAAAAAGTAATTTCTTAATTTTTTTCATCTTATTCATATTGAAGTTATACTTTTTATAACAATTTAAAATTAAAATCTTTAAGTTAAATTACTGATTTTACTTTTTAAACAGCATTAATATTTACGTTTAACATATAAATATTAGTAAATATTTTAAATAATAATAATTACCTAAATTTCTAACTTTTTCTATGACTTTTCATTCATGCGTAATGAACTTATTTATAAACCAACTTTTTTAAAAATATTGTATTTAAAACTTTAATATTAAATAGTTACATTCTTAACTTTTTCAAAAAGTTTTTAATCAAATTAAGCCTTTTCAAACTTTCAATCGCTTTAACCTATTTAAATAAAGTTTAGAATTAACATTAAAATTAGAACTAAAAACTAAAAATAAAAACTATTAACGTTAAAAGAATAAATTTAGATCAAACTAAAATCTAATAGAATATAAGAACACTTATTTCAAAAAACTAAGTGAAAAAAATTAACAATATACTATTTAACTTATACGCGCAATTATGTTTTGACGTTAAATAATAATAATAAAAATTTAAATGAAGATATTATTAATTAACTATTATCACTCGCTTATAAGATCTTTATAATACGTTAAGTTTATTTGGATTAAAAAAGCCGCTTGATTGTTCAAAAGTTACTATTCAATGAAAACAAGTTTAATTTAAATAATTAACTAATAATGTTGACAAAATGAATAATAATAAATATATGCTTTCCAAAAAGGTTATATTATTAATTTTAAAAATACATTAAGCTTAACATTAATAAATTCATTTATAATAAAACTTTATAAATCTTATGAATTCAAAATCATAAAGATCTTTATTTTATAAACAACATTGAATTAATATAAGTAAAATATTTTATAAAACGTTTTCACATTTAAATATACCATAATTTGATTTGAAAGTTATTATAAATTAAGAACTTATATATACTATCGTAATTTTACGCGTAAATAAATTCGGCAATATCTTCACACGTTAACGAGATTATTTTTTATTTTGAAGTAATCTTATTTGTTGATTATATCAATTTTTAACTACTTAATATTATAATTATCAATTTATTATATATTTTCTAACATTGAGATAATAATATATTATAAATTTACATTACTTATGTCATGGTCTGGTATAGGTAGCCCATGTGGAGAGTCCTAGAGCCCGGACATGGGTACATATACCACCACTGAATGTCAAGCTGCCACGCTTGATATTCGACATCCTTTTGGGAGGAACAGCCGTGGCATGGTGGTTATGGTGATCGTTCCGTCACAATTTACGTTATTATTAACTTACGACAACTTCATCGTTAAGTTAATTATTAAAACTATAAAGGTATTAGTAAATTGAGTTGGTGTGGATATCCGTTAAGTTGTTCGGGACCTTAAGCCCAACCGGCAAGGCAAAAAGAATAAGGGGCACAGCAACATCGACTACGTTCCAGCCGGTCATCGTGACCTGACATCGACCACATAAGGTAAGCTCGACTCCAGTGTACCCAGCCGCTTATTGGTGATTAGTAAGCGCGTGCTGATTATCAAGCACTGACTATCGCGCGAATAGCGAATAGCCGCGGGTGGGGATCATCGAGCCTATTTAGATCAATCACCACGCCATCAGGACAACGTCAGCTCATACGCCCAACTCAGACTACCTACCTACTAACTTAAGTTTCTCTCACAACCCTCCAGCTGTTTTACCACACTCCATAAACTCGTATTCTGGAAGCTATGGCGTACACTGGACAGTACACGTACCCATCGCCATTGGCAGGCTACGAAGATGCCCCGCCGCTGCCGGATGAGAAGGCCGAGGACGGGAAGAGCTTCGTGAACCCGAAGAGCGAGAGTCTCAGCAAGGCATACGAGGAGTTCGTGGATCCGCTGGAGAAGGGTCGACGCGGGGGCTTGTGAGTGCGACCGTTCGATTCGACTCGCGAGGCGCGAGGCCTGGACTGACCAAGCACAAAGCGATGTCCACATCTACTACTTCCAGAACAATCAAAAGCAGACCGAGTATGCAAAGGATCTGTGGGAGAGGATCCGACGGGAATGTTAGAGACCTCCAGTCGATCTCGTAAAGCTCGCTGACATCATCTAAGTCCCGGAACTGAGGATATACCGTTTCTGGGACCGGCCGCTCGGTCCGCACCCGGTCGCGATGTTTGAGGTCAATGTCTTCACACCGGCCCAGTTCGGAGCCTTTGTCTCATGGCTGGCTATCTACCGCGGACCGTTGTCGGTGCTCATCCACCCGAACACGGTCGAGGAGGGTGTCTCATCGTCTGATATTGAACGACGTAATCATTCAGAAAGAGTGATTGTAAGTCTCTCCTTCGGTCATGTACCAGGTGACTTTGACAGACATGATCTTTGCTGACATGCACCCTGCAGTGGATGGGTGACAGGGTTCCGTTGGATCTGAGTTTCATTTGAAGGTCGCTGATCGATTAGTGACATCTGAGTGGCACTTGCGGTCCTGTGGCTCGATATTTCAATCAAAGGCAACAAGTAGAATGGGTGAATGCCAACCCTCTCCCTGTGGCCAACCCTCGCCCTTCGCACTGTTGAGTGCTTTGCAGCCAACACCAATGGCCTTATGATACAGCTACCAAAGCTCTGCGGTTTCATAGGGCAGCCTGCGAAGTAAAGACGCTTGTCTGACGAGGACAAATACCCTATGAACCAAAGACAACAAGAAGTATTGCCGACACAGGGTCATTGTGCACGTTATAAAGGAGTTTAAACTAACGTTACAGAGCCATTCTAAGGACAATCTCTTTCGACATGAGATTGGGAGACTGTGAGGGAGGAGTGCTTATTTAATCGACCACTCGGCAGTGATGAACTCTCGACTCCAAACCGAAAAACAGATCAAGAGATCCATACTTTAGCACCAACACACCAACACACCAACACCAAGACTCCAGCACCTACCAACATAACCAGCGCACCCGTCACGCCCATGCTATCCAAAATTACTGGGTCACAGAAGCTTTGCTCTGATATTCTCTTCGAGATCTCCAAGGTCATGACTCCCAACGCCAGGTTGAACCTTGCCTTGGCAGATAAAGATCTCTTTGAGAGCATTTCCCGCCGCATGCTCAGAGACGTCCTTTTCGATGCAAATGAAGAAACAGCATTCCGTCCCGTGAAATTCGCTATTTGCACCCAAAACATCGACCTCCTGGCCAAAATTCATCACTTGACCGCGCAGACAAAACGCGATCTCAGGTTTGATTGGAGCAAGCACTTCACGGTCTACGATCTGTTCGATGTGGCCTGGAATTGGAGTGGAGAAACCGGCGAAACCCTTAAATTCCTCTTGGACGAGTTCCCCTCTCACACGTACACCAGCTCTATCTTCGATCTGTGGGATCCCACTATGATAGAGATAACGGAGGTAGTTAGTACAGGTGAGAGAATCCACCTGCAAGGAGCCACGACTCCGTGGCACGCAGGTGATGCAATAAAGTCGGCTCTGAAGATACAGAGCACAAGTGACACCCGCCCAAGCGATGGGTGGGAAAGGATCGGCATTGTTTGGGATGCTCTCTAGCGCATCGGCCCCAACCGCCATCATGGGTATGACGAAAGATTCCTTGAATTTAGGAGCTTGGGCTTTTGTTACCCGCATTCGCGGGCATTTACTGCGGAGTTCATGGTGTTGCGGGGGGTGAGGCAAGGTTACCGACCAAGCCGAGCCACGATTCATCACCTGTGCGACGACCAAATCGGCTCACCCCGAAGTCTACGACGTCTTAGTCCGAGCTGGAGTCTACATCGAAGCCACACGAGACGACGCCTGTAACATCATACCTCTGCTCCGGGCCTGTCAGGCTGCCAACCCTTCCGGCCCTGCTTCGTTTGGGCGCCAACCCAAACGGTCTTGTCGACGAATCGAAGCACGGCCGAAAAGATCCGAGACGGCCACTTGACGAACTTCTCAACTCATACCGATGGACACATTTCTACGATGACTGGTACACGCTGGGGAAACGAATGTACATGTATTTCAAGGCTCTCCTTGATCAAGGTGCAACAACGTCACGAGCGCGCTATTCCTGTGATACAGTTCGGGTGCTGGTAGAGCGCATCTGGCGAATTCTCTGTCCAGTAGCTAGGAGAGTCGCTGATCCCGAAGGAGCCCTCTGTCCATTAGCCAGGAGAGTCATCGGTCCCTACCGTCCCGTCCACTGCTCCACCGTCGTCGACGAGGAAGGCAATGCCGAAGAAGCTTCGGATTTTCACGAAGAGGATGACAACGAATTTGGCGCGAGGATTGGCTCACCGTCTTGCTGCACCCACTCCTGCACCAGCGCCGCTCGGATTGCCGGCGGATTTTGGGATGTCGAACAAACTGGGAACGCCGCAGACCTTCCAATGCTGTTTAATGCGCTTCTCGTCACCAACATCAGCCCATTCGATGATCTGTGCGATTTGGTAGTTGACGCGGCTCCAGCATACCAGTGTGTAAGCCCTGGGAAAAGGGGTACTGAGCTCTTGATTGAAATTCTGAGACAATATCCTCACTTGCCTAGTTGGTACAGGTTCACCCGTTGTGAGAGACAAAAGATTTTGCGGCCGAAGGTTCTTCGAGATGCCGATCTGGATTTGCCCGAGAAAGAATACGACCGTCAGGATGGATAGTCGACATTCTTCCGAGCATGACGCGAGCATCAACTTGGACTGGTCTTGATTCGGTGAAGATAAACGTGTTGCAGGCAGTGGCTCCGGCTCCGATCACTGATAAGTCAGCGAACTGGACCTTGCAATCGCGTGTGACGAAAGCCAGAATGATTTTCCCGCTGTGAACAGACTAGAGGGCAAACGAAGAAAACACAAATTGCCAAAGTAGATCTTAGATTTCCTACCTAATGATTGATTGATTGATTTGATTGATTGTATTTATCGTGGGTGCAGTCCCTCCATAGGGCAAACCACGCCTCCCAGAGCCATTGCATCGCAAGGTTGTAGAGGTGTCAGTCTAGATACATTCAGATCCGCGCACGAGCCTATCCTTGCTGTAGCGGTACCAACCTGGAGTGACCAGATGGTTTTAGTCAATACCCAAGCACGATTCTGTCAGAAAAACCTCCTGTCCAGTGACAAAGCGACCCAGTGAACCTCAGTCCTCTGGTGTACACATTGTTCCAGTAGCCGTTTGATATATGTCGCATTGGTGGGTGAAATAGGCATTTGTTATCTGCTGGTGAGGGAAACCATAAGGGGAAAAACCTCGCAAGAATAGGTGTTATGGAGACAAGCTGCTTGGCTATCAGGCTTTGCGATAAGGGGCCTCTCCACTGTCGTGTGCTGGTTGTCGACTCGCACAAGCCGGGTCAGAAGGGGGCCATAGCAGGATTCGAACCCACTTGTTCTCGTCGCCCACCGCACAAACGAGAACACAACCAGGCACATTTGACCATTGCGCCATACGGCCGATTTCCTACCTAATATTCTAGTTTGCCGTGAATCAAAGCCACAGCCTACGGGCATGACCAAGACGGACTGATTGCTTCAAGTGATAAACAACTAACATCGTACGATATAAAGCGGCATGGTCGCCAGGTAGACAGCCATACATGGATCACGTGCATATAGTGACAAACTCTTCGGCTTCAAGAAAAACGTGCCATGCATAAGTACGAACGAGCGCGTCTGTTCTGACGCTATAGTAAGACACTAATTTTCTTTCTGTTGCCCTCTATAACTTTTCGAGAAGGGCGACTTAGTGTCACGGCACTAAATGATAACTGTTAGATATTATAACAATAGCAGGATGATAATTTTATAAGGCAGGCTGTTTGGTAGTTTTAATAGCTGTATGCGTTGAAACACTAGCTTCACAGCATTTATAAGATATTCATAGCGTTAAAAACCTTAGCTCTTAATTAGTTTAAATAAGGCTTATTTAATATAATTATTTGATCATTTTAAGAAATTATTAGGTTACATAACGGGGTCTTTTAAAAAAAAACATTTAATACAAAACATTTTTAAACTTAATATTATAATATTTCGCTTTCGGTTACGACCTTTATAAACTTTTTATTACTGTTAATTACTTTTCATTCACTCTTGTTATTTTATAAAGTTTAATCATTTGTGTTGTTATATTTTTTATTACTTTGTAAGCATTAAACTCTTTTATAATTATACTTTTTAATGGTTTTTTAATCGCCATATTATATTTAATCCAAAAGCTTTTTATGCGCCAAAGTGATTTATCGTATCGTATTTAATAGTACTATTATATTTTCAATGAACGTCAGTAAATGTTTTTTTTAGTTATCATTAAGCCTTTTAATTATTAAAAGTATATTAATAATTTTAATTAAAAGGCAAGAACTTAATATATAAAATAATTATTGAATATAATTCATTTTTAACATATTATTATAAAGACCATTAAAAATACTTTATTTGCTTATTTATCTTTTATTTCGGCTATTAATGCCCATAATAATTGAAGTAAAGCTTTTTATAAGTATTAATACTTTTTAAAAAATAAAGGGATTTTTTATAAACTATTTTATTAATATTTTAACTAAGGTAATTAATAACTAAAATAACGATAATAAGTCGTTTTAAACTTATAAAAATGATTATTTATTTTGTAATTATATATAATATTAAATATGAGATAAAGTATTATAATGCTAGCCTTCGTAATGTTTAATAATTTAATAATTTTATTGTATTTTTTAAACTTAGTTTTTATGAAAATATTGTTGATTTTAAATAATATATTCATTTTTAAAAATAGATTATTAATAAATCGTATACAATGTTAAAGATTCTTTATTTTTATATAGCTTAGAATTTTCTTTTTTTTGAAATTGATAGATTTAAAATAAGATCGGATTAATTAATATCTTTTATATTTTCATATTTCTTATTAATTTATTGAAGAGAATTAGAAAATTTGAAATTAAACGCCGGAATTTTTTAAAAAAGAAAACCGGCAAAATGCTATAATAAAATCTTAATTTAATTTAGTAATTTAATTAAGGTGAACTTAATTTAAGAATAAACATTTAAATTGTAATAGACCTATTTTATAGTAAATATTGGATATGTTTTTAAAAACATAGAAGCTTTAAATACTCTTTCTATAAAAAAACGCATGAAAACTTTCTAAAATTAAAGACCCATATTGTCACGGCGAGCGTACTGAGGAGCTGAGACATTGCCGGCAGCAAGCAGCTATTACTCTATTGACGAGAATATCAAGACTAGAGAAGAAAGGAAGAGAGAGAAAGATAGGTACAGCGAGAGGTTGTCCCTTTAAGGGGATCCTTGTGTCAGATTCTTTCCTTATTGGGAGGTATCGGCTTGTCATGTAAGAAGGTCCGTGCAGGCCGTTACACTTATTATATGTTATAACAATATTAGGTTTTACTTATGTTTAAAGCTTTCAATCGATAGCTATTCGATTTTAAATTTATTTCTTTCTAATAATTAAAATAAGTTCAATTATTACTTTATTTATCTTAAGTTAAAATCCAATTTAATTTCTTAATACTGAAGACGTAAAGTTATAACTTACGCGCTTAAAAATTGTTGAAAGCATTTAAATTATCTTAAATTCATAGTTTTCAAGAATTAACTATATTATTAAAAATAAATTTTGATAATTTCAATTTTTTCGATGGTTCAAAGTCTCAAGTTATGTTTATTATATTAAAACATAGGTTAAAGCAATTATGTTGGATCCATGCGATTCCAGACTGCAAACCATCTATACCAAGACCCACATGTATGATTAGATAAGATAAGATAGTGGATTGAGAGGGCACTTGGCCAGACCTTCGAGTCCAGCTAGATTCCTCTCAATCCAACCATCAGCAACATCATGACCTTGACACCATACTCGAGTATTATGATTGATCGTTCAAGCCTGTTCCAACAAATTATTTAATTACTTTAAAAAGATATTTATAATATTATACGCGTTTTTATACCTTTCATTAACCTTTTTTAAAGAAAAATAATAGGAGTTTAAACATTGAAATATTGATACATGTCACCAGGGGGAGAAACTAGTGTGGCTGGTACAGCCACAGTCACTGACACAGCTACTGGTGTGTGAGGTCAGATATTGTGTGAGTGGACCTAGATAGCTAGGACTAGACTAGTTAGATAAGGGCTGGACTAAGATAAGGATTGCAGCCATAATAAGTAGCTGCAATCATTCCCATCTTATTCCTTGTAACCCACGCCCGCACACATACATCAATTAACACCCATTGCACAACGCATTAAACACATAGAAAATAAAAAGATATAAAGCTTTTTTATTATTAATTTAAGAGATATAACATTAAAATTATAGATGAAAAATTACGGTTTTATTAATAAATAAATTTGACTCATTAAAATAATTTTTTACTTTCATTATTCAAATCAAATTTATAACGAAATATTTTTTCAAATAAGATATAACAATTTCAATCAAGGTTTAGATATAAAGCAATTAAATAACATATATTATAAATTTTAAAGAGTTGACAGCTTTAAATAAGTTTCGTTTTCTATTAATAATAAGTTTAAAAAACGTAAATTTCATTTTGATGTTCAAGAAAATGAAACTTTTAATAATTATATTAGAAATTATAAATAAGCAAAGATATAATTAAGTATTTTTTTAGGTATTTTATGCTTAATAGCTGATAAAAACATGTCGAGGTTGTTAAATATAATCGACTTAAAAAGTATAATTCGAATTTAACGCGATGTATATTTTTCAATAACTTAAAATCGTTGAACGTTTTATCGAATTTATTTATTTATTCATCTAGAATATAATTAAAAAAGAATCAAATCTTTTTTATTAATCATAAACATTATTATATATAACCATTTTGACGTTAATTGTAATGTTTTAAAAGATAATAAGACTTATAATAAGGTTTATGCTAATAATTCAATTTTTTCAAAAAGATAATAAGGCCGATTTAAGCGATTTTCAGTTAATCGAGCAAATTTGTATAAAATAATAAAAATGCTTTTACGCGAATGAAAGTCGATTTTTACTATTTTTCGGTTTATATTAATATCAACTTTAATTAGTCAATTTTAAAATAATACAAATTTCAACTTATTAAAAAAATCAAAATAATATGTTATATCAGGTTACCGATGCATAATCTTTAAAATATTTAAATAATATTTGATTGTTATCAATAATTTCTTGATTATAAAATGAATTTTGGAACGTCGTTTTGTAACAGGAGATAACGGTTTTTAACATATAACTATCGACCATAAAAGCTTAACTAAAAAATATTTAAAATAAACCGCACTTTTTGATTCAAAAGTCATTTTGAGCACCTAAATTTACTCAATTTATTCTTTATAGTAACGTTAATAACCTTTATTTATCATTTAATTATTTGAAAGTTAATAAGAATCTAATTAATTAGCCGATTAAATATATGAAATAGTGTTATTAAAACTAACCTGAACAGCCTTTTTCTAATTTTATAAATAATAATTGAAATAAATCTATATAATATATTACGTTTTTATGATTATTATTTTTAAAAGCTTTTTATATATTTCTCTTTGAATTTTACATATAAATTAATCTATTTCTAAGCTTTTTAATGTTAAATAACGCGGATTATTATCATGAAAAGCGTAAAACTTTTATAATTAATTACTTAAATGACTCTTTTATTTTAAAAACTACGTATTATAAACAAATTATTTTAAATAAAAGCTTTAAAAGCTACGTAGTGTTTTTCGCGTTAAGATCGTAAACACTGGATTTTTTTGATCTTTTAAAAGCATATATTTCAAAGGTACGGTTAAGGCTTTTAATTAAGCTTAGATTATGTATTTAAACTTCAATTTTTTTCAATAGAAGAATGAATTGATAAAATAATGAAATAATAATATACTCGAAATACTTAACTTATATGAATTATTCATCGGTTTTAAAAACTTCTTTATTTATCATACATTTTAATATTTCCTTTATAATATAAATATTTTTGAGAAAATAAATTCGTTTTAAAATAACGTATATTATACCGGCTCAAACCCCTTTTTATCATTTTTAAAATAGAGAAATTCAAGCTTTTATTTCAAAGGCTTTAACTAAATTTAATTAACCTTTCAAAAGCTTAACAACCTTATCTTATCGCTTTTATCAAAGTATCATATTATTAACTATCTTAAAATATTCAACAAAAAGTAAAATCAACTTTTGATTATTTTGTTTCTTTTACTGGAAACGTTAACTCATAAACTTCGAAATTATAAAATGTTACAACTTAATTTATTATAAAATTAAAATATTATATCACTTAAAAAGCCGTAAAAATGCTTTTTAATTATAAAAGTTAGTATAAAAGCTTAGAAGCAATTTTAATATCTTTTTTATATTTTAATCATATGAAACCTAGTTGTTTCGTTTACAATACAAAAGCTTATTTCAAACCGAAATGTATCCACGTATAATCTTATATTGACTAATATATTCAAATTAAAGGATTTTTTTGGAGTTTTCTAATATTATCGATATATTGATTGATTGACTGGATAAGATTCAAAAAAAAACACGAAATTTAATTCCTTTTTATAACTATTAAAGCTTATATAAACTAAATAAAAGGTTTAAGAGTGTTATGTCATTTGAGTTAATACATGATTATAGATGAAAGCTTTTTATTAAAGCGGTTGAAATATTACAATATTATAAACCGGTGTATAATTAATTTTTATTTATATGTTTTCTGTAATTATTTTGCTTTTTAATACTTATGGCTTTTTTGATACTTATAAATATAATAATACGTTCAAAAAAAGATAGTATGATATTTTAAAGTTATAAAATTCATAAATTAATAATAATAAATTATTGCATTTAAAAATTCATATTCAATATTATGATAATAATAGAATAATAATAATAATACAAAATAAGCTATTAAGTACCTTTAGTAGCTACATTCATTAAAGCATTAGCTTAAGGTATTTATAATATATTTATAGGGCTATAAACTTTAGCTTTTGAATATTTTAAATAAAAACTATTTATTAGGCTTATTTAGTCATTTTAAGGGATTATTAGGTTATATAATGAGGGCTTTTTCCCTAGGTGATTAATCTATTTCTTCTCCTCTTATTATAAAACACTTTTAAATCCGAGAATAACCCCACAGTCCCACGGGTCAACCTCTATATATATCTGTTCCTGTCTTTTAGCTAGCTTTATAGTTTCCTTTCCTCTTTACGTATATTAATAAAGTCATACCTGGAGTCTCTAATAGTCGGACTGTGACACGTAGCCATCGCAACAGCACCACTGCACCAAAAAGCCTGTTTGAGATTAGCCGAGCAGCGAACATTGCCTGTTTGCCCAGTAACACCCATAACGCACATCACCCGTTCGAGTGATGAATCAATAACTTAGGGCGTAGTGTGTGAAACCATCTGGGATGTTGCACTCAGATATCAAGTTCCCCTACGTTGATGCTTCCTATCAAAGACGAGGGCACAGACTACCCAATTCGAGAGCATGCCTTGGACTATCAACGGAATCCGCATACTTCTATACAAAACCGTGTTCTGAGTCTTTAGAGAGGAGGTTGAGTTCAACGAGATTCTGACCATTGGAAATTTCCACATATGAGCATGGGTCGGCACCAGGATAGTAAGGAGAGCGTTGTGGGCGCCGTGGTTGCTTCCCTGCCACTTGGAGGCGACGCGATGATGGAATTCAACATTGCTAATGAGTTTCTGACTGGGCTGGTTGGGGCAGGAAGGGCTACACTACTGAGCTCATTCCGGGCTGCCTCAAAGAGGCAGAAAAAAAAAGCTCTTGGATTCAAGGGCTTCGGAGGAACTGGCAGAGGAAGACTTCACAGCCCAATGGCGCAATTTAGTCAACAGCTGCAGGGCTCCTAAAGATCACAAAAGCATAGTCAAATTCCCCATCCCGGGCACTGAAAGAATCATGATACAACAAGGGAAGAAATTGAATCAGTATTATATCCATGTGGTGGAGAGCAAAGGGTTTGCAAGATTCATCAGCACGGGCAGGAATTTGAGAAGCAAAATCAGCGAGACGCCTCTGTTACTGCAAAAGCGTAAGACTGCTGCCAATCAGGGCACATGATGTTCACGTTCAACCCTGGTAACGAACAGTGAGCTCGTCAATGTCGTCTCAAACCAGGCTGTGCTCGAGACGGCTGCTTCTATAACCATCAGTCATCCGTTATCCAAAAACAACTATTTTTCTTGGCGCCCCGCTGTTAGGACGTAACCTTGTTATTTGCACTAAAGCAGGCACTTCTCTCAGTAACTAACTATCTCTGCCAAGACACAAGAGAATTTTTCTCACAAGCCGGATGGCACCCTTCCACAACAGGCCCACAAACACGCCCGTGGCCGTCCCAAAGACGACCACCGGCGGCGTGCTCAAATCCCTGGCCCTTAAAAAGACATACAGCCCGGCAACTCCAAGCAGGCTCTGCCAGGCGCTGCTTGACGACATCAGCAGCAGCCCGTCACAGGTCTCTGAGGCTGACTTCACCGTTATTTCCCCTCTGGAAAAAAAATCCCGAAATATCAATGACAGTAGCACCACTGGAATGAAACAACCTCAATTGAACAAAATCTCGACAGATCAAGTCATTACACGCGATATAAGGAATAAAACCTCTTCCTCAGAATGTCAGAACCAAGTTGCCAGAATACTGGCTAAAGACAAGCACCTTTATAAAACTAGGATAACAATGTTTCAAGAATGTGTTGCAGCGGTTGATAAGACACTTGAGAAAGCTGGAACCGAACTATACTCTCATGCCAAGGAGTTCAGCGCTTTCTTCTCTAAATGTCTGAACGAATGGCTGGAAACCTGAGATCTGCCCAAAAGGAAGACCATCCCTGGGGGGATAGGGATGGTAAAGCCCACTATGACCTTTGCCCAAGCTGTCTTCTCTAGCCAACGACAGCATCCACGCACAGTCAACACTACCATAAAGAAAACACAGCCTGGCGCCCGCATTACTGGCAACCAACTAAAAAAGAAGCAGGATGATCTCCGGGTCTTTGTCCGCATAGATAATAGCCACCTAGAGCCTTACGGAATAAAGTCTATACTGAACAAAAGACTTAAGCTCCACCCTAAAGAGCTTAGAGAAGTGACCCGGTGCCCCTCCGGCTTTACCTTACACCCAAGGGACAAGCCAACTAAGGCTAAGCTCCTGGCCTTCCAAGAAGAAATCACTGATATTCTCAAGGCAGAAAAGATCGAGACCCACACAGTCTGGCATCACTATAAGGTCAATGGATGCCCAAGAAAGGTTATCAATACGGAAGGATTGACAATCGACATTACCGACATTGCTGTTACTGATGAAATTAAAGCCCAAACAAGTGACAGACCTTTAAGATACATATTCTCAAAGAACACAGTTAATTCTGAGCTGGAGACCACATGGGTGATCTCTCTGCCCCGTGCAGCAAAGAAACCATTCACGCTTTTTACTCACTCAATGACCTCAAGGTACATTCAATACTCCCCCAAGGTTCACCAATGTGCGAGCTGTTTCAGATACCATGGTAGGAACTACCAATGTGAAAAGCAAGTATGTGCACATTACGCCAGTACAGTACACCAGGGGGAGTGCGAAAAACCAATTCCAAAGTGTGTCAACTACAAAGGACCTCATGCTGCCAACTTCAACAAATGCCCTGCATGCCCCAAGGCTGTGAAAGGCATCATCCATAAGCACACATGGGAGGAAATCCAGGAAATAAGGCTGGCTGGAGAAAGAGCCAGATCCAAGGCCTTCAATGAAACAGGCAAAAACCAAGTTGGGTCAACACCCAGCAATAATAACAAAGACATCACAATGCAAATCGACATAACAGATACAACTCATCCCAGAGATGCCAATACCATTGTTGTCAGTCAATGTTAGGTACATCAAACGAAACACATCGACACGGGCATCTAGTAATCTATTCTGTGAATACAGCAGGAGGACAAAAGAGTGCAGGCCCTACAGAGTTAGCCATTGACCTGGCTGACTATAAAGGAGAACAAGCAGATATTATTCTGATGCAAGAGCCCTGGGTTGGCATACCACCAGGTAGGAGAATGGGAGTAAAGACACACCCCAATTACGATATATACTCCCCAGTGGATTCTTAGAACAGCGACAGTACACGACCCAGATCTCTCATCTATGTGAGAAAATACCTTTAAATAGATCAACTTTGGCCTTATGCTACACGAGACATCACCTGGGTCAAGGTACAAGGTATTATATTTGTCAGTGTCTACCGGCCATGTGACAACCCACAGGAAGTAGATGATATTCTAGAAGTATGGACTCCACCTTTTGGCTGCGTTATAGCTGGAGATTTTAATGCTGGCGACACATCCTGGGACTCGAGCAATCCAGGATATCATGGTGGTGTCATACTTGCACAGACTATGGCAGACCACGTACTGGATCTGATTTCTGAACCAGGATTCATGAACTCCCCCGGCTGGGTGTATCCCCTGGCCAGGTGGATGCCTTTACACAAAGCTTGATCAACATGATCCAAGGCTGTATTAGGACAGTGGGCAAGACGCTCCGTCAATCTAGGCCTATTGCTTGGTGGAATGATGACTGCAAAACAGCTGTTCAGACATACAGGGCCTTTTTTAAACAGACTATAAGCCAAGAAGGGCGGAATTCAGCCTGACGGGAATTTTGCCGCGTGGTTCAGAAAGCTAGGAGAGAGTACTGACAGACTCTAATTAATTCAGCAACTGAGCCAAAAGACCTATACAGAATCGTCTCTTGGTACAAGCTATCAGCAGGATTGCGTTCCCCTCTAATCATCATAAGAGACCAAATATTCGAGTCAAAAGAGAGCAAAGCAAATGCATTACGCTCAGCCACGCTTGAACGAAGTACCTCAGACAACGATATCATCGACCCCTGGTCCGCTCAGATCACACAACCCAAGCCATACATCCCCCTTGAATACCATGTCGGACTGGAAGAGGCTGAAGGATGCACTTTAGGGACCAAGAGCAACTCCCCGGGAGTAGATACCCTCACAGTACGGATTCTGAAAGCTTGCTGGCCATTCATTGGGGAACATATCAGAGCCCTTAATGAAAGTGAACGGAGGTGAGAGCCCTTACGGGTGCATCATCGACCGATCCTGATGTCTTTGGATGGATTTGAGTAAGAGCATAACTGTTCGGACTTGAAAGATGGTGAACTATGCGTGGATAGGGTGAAGCCAGAGGAAACTCTGGTGGAGGCTCGCAGCGGTTCTGACGTGCAAATCGATCGTCAAATCTGCGCATGGGGGCGAAAGACTAATCAAACCATTGAGAAACCAGCGGTAAAATATTATTTACTAGGTGGTTAAGAGGCTCTTTGAAAGAAAGAGCCTAGGTTGTGTACCCTGTAGAGTTACCCTGTGGTAACCGGTACGCGACTGACACCGCTAAATTGCGGGGACATCCTATTTAAGGCCACGGGCTACCGCCGGCCGCTGAAAAGCGGCCTGGCAACCGAGAGTAGCGCTCTCGGGTACGGTAATAACGCCTGCGGTAGCGGACGACCTGCAGCCAACCCCGTGTTCAGGGGAGAGTTCACTGACTAGACAGCGGTGGGTTGGCCTTATGGCCGGCCTAAGACATAGTCGAGCCGGGCCCTGAAAAGGAACCCCTAATAAGAAAATTAGCGGAGCTAGTAGCTGGTTACCACCGCAGTTTCCCTCAGGATAGCAGTGTTGTTCTTCAGTTTTATGAGGTAAAGTGAATGATTAGGGACTCGGGGGCTATATATTGCCTTCATCCATTCTCAAACTTTAAATATGTAAGAAGCCCTTGTTACTTAATTGAACGCGGGCATTCGAATGTACCAACACTAGTGGGCCATTTTTGGTAAGCAGAACTGGCGATGCGGGATGAACCGAACGCGAGGTTAAGGTGCCAGAGTAGATGCTCATCAGACACCACAAAAGGTGTTAGTACATCTAGACAGTCGGACGGTGGCCATGGAAGTCGGAATCCGCTAAGGACTGTGTAACAACTCACCAACCGAATGTACTAGCCCTGAAAATGGATGGCGCTCAAGCGTCTCACCCATACCTCGCCCTCAGGGTAGAAACGATGCCCTGAAGAGTAGGCGGCCGTGGGGGTCAGTGACGAAGCCTAGGGCGTGAGCCCGGGTCGAACGGCCTCTAGTGCAGATCTTGGTGGTAACATCTCCCACCCCCCTGCGGACCACCCCCCCGCGGACCAGCGCGTTCTGACCCACAAACGCGTAATTCACCAACCACTAGGATTATGGTGATCCACCATCTACACCATCACTTTTGCATCTTTTTTTTCACAAAGCACACTATTTGAATCCTTATCCACTACTGAATCTCATGATGTCATTTTACGACTGTCAAACAAAAGCTGAAGCCGCCATTTTGGCCATCCAACGCGGAGCTCCAGTCCGCTCGTCAGCCCTCGAATGGCAAATCAGTCGCTCGTACGTCAACCGATGAATCTCTGGCACCGCAACGCAGAATGAGACCAGCACTCTCTAACAGGCTCTCTCACCGTATCTCGAACATAAGCTGGCAAGCTGGGCCCTGGGGTAAGCACGGCTAGGGTATTCTTCGGCGGTCTCTAAGTTCCGTCTCATGACCCAGCGGATGCTCCATGCCACCGGGGATGCTCGAGAATTAGGGAAAAATTGGGCATCCAAGTTCCTGTCTCGAAACCCGGAAGTCAAGATAATGAAGTCTCGTGTTATCGATTATAACCGAGTGAATAGTGCTACAGCGACAAATATCAACATTTTTTTCGATCGGTGTGACGCCCCTGACGTGGTTAACCTCATGCCAGCACGCTGGTACAACGTCGACAAAATGGGAATCACCAAGGGGGTTGGGGACTCCCATTGGGTGGTCTCCGAGGCCTCCGGCAACGTGGCTATGAAGAAAGGGGTCAAGAAGGGTGAATGGATAACTGCCCTAGAGTGTGTGAACGGATCTGGTGAGACCTTGCTGCCGCTGGTGATTCTTAAAGGGGTTAACGTACAAGCCCAGTTGTTTAGCAACCAAAATGAGGGCAAATTCACTGACTGGAGGTTTATTACGTCGCCCAATGGATGGACCTCGAATCCCATTGTGTTAGAATGGCTTCAACGTATCTTTATTCCTCACATTCGGGAGGTCCACAGCAACACATCGGTGGTTTTGGTGTGTGATGGCCACGACTCCCACACGAATGACGAGTTCCTAGCCACCTGCTTGAGAAACAAAGTATGGTTGATCTTTTATGAACCTCACTGCTCCCATGTAGTCCAGGTGTTAGATGTGGGAGTCTTCAATTTGGTGAAGAAGAGGTTGAAGACCTTACTCCAGGAGACGCCCAGCGGCCGTCTGGGACTCAGGCCATCTAAGGAGGAGGTTTTGGAGTGCTACAAACAGGCCCAGAAGGACACAATGACGCTTCTCAACATCAGAATTGCCTGGAAAAAGACTGGAATTGTTCCTCGTAACAGAGCGGAGGCATTGAAATCGAAATATGTGATTCTGGAGGACAAGGGGGTGGCCAGGGCACGCCAGAGGGACCCTAAGACTTCCGAGCGAGCCACAACACCAGATTTTCTCGAGATAGTAGCTAAAACCATTGTCATAACACCCTCTGGAAGCCGGGCTTTGCAGGAGAGTGCTCGAAAGCTCGAAAGAAAGGACCCTTCCTTTGGGGGCCCTTTGAGCGCTTATTGGTGCGGAAGGCTGGCAAGGCCATGGATGTTCAGGCTGCTACCATTACAAATCTACGGGCCAAATGTGAGCTGTTTGAGGCTCAAGTGACTAAAAAGACTAATACCACTTGAAAAGCAGTCAAACCAACACCAGGGGAACCATTCATCACAATGGCTAACATAAGGGAGGCCAAAATGGAGCTGAGGAACAGGAGGGTCTATAGGGACTCCGCTGCAGGCGAAGAGGTCCCACAAGAGGTCCCTGGTGAAGATTTAGGGTCGGAATCGGATTCTGGGAGCTGTATTATGGTTAGAACACCACGACCTTAGTGTATTTAGCAACTGTGGTGGTTGTAGATGGCTTCATCTGAATGAGAGTGGTGTGGTGTGGAGTGGTCCGTGGGGGGGTGGTCCGCAGGGGGGGGTGAGATGTTAGTAGCAAATACTTCAATGAGAACTTGAAGGACCGAAGTGGGGAAAGGTTCCATGTGAACAGCGGTTGGACGTGGGTTAGCCGATCCTAAGCCATAGGGAAGTTCCGTTTCAAAGTGGGCACTTGTGCCCCGTGTGGCGAAAGGGAAGCCGGTCAATATTCCGGCGCCTGGATTTGGGTTTTGCGCGGCAACGCCCGACCATATACGGCCTTAAATCCAAGCTGAATAAGGTGAGTTGGAAGCAGACTGGGTCGTGTGTTGTGCCAATCACGACAACCATCTCACCGCAGTTTCTTCGCAGTCTGAACTCATCCGCGCGGCTCGGCCAGTCGGCGATGGGCCGGAGAGCCTCTTCTCTGTTCGGGACAGCAAGGCCCACGGCCAAGTGCGTTGCACAGTCGCAAATGCCTATGCTGTGTCTACCATCGTGCAGTACGAGCCTCGTATTGACAACACGCTGGCAGCGCTGTTCAGAGTACTCGATAACGCGGGCACGGGAACGACCAATCTTGGTCAATGGGTTCAGTACTGTGAGTTGCGCCCATCGTTGTCCTACCAGAGTCTCAGGCTGACTCGAGCTTAGACGTGTATGATGTGGCCGGCAACATGACAGCGCAACCGCTTGGCTATCCGGAGTAAGCACGCGACGTGATGGGCTTAGTCAAACAGAGTGGGTGCTGTCAAGACTCTCCCACTGACGAGTTCTGCGTGCTGAACCTCTCCGCAGCAAAGGGTCTTCACGCATACATAAACCTGACAATGCCCATGCCAATCCTACACGACACCTTGAGCTTCGTTCTCCGGCGGATCAAGATCGACAACTTCATCGCCTCGAAGGAGCGGTATCCGGACCTGATGACCGAAGAGCAGATCATCACGCAATGCATTGTGAACGTGGTGGCCGGCGTAGGCACGTCCACCGTCTCGACCATCAACGTCCTCAAGTACCTCGTGACCCACAGGCCGGCGCTGGAACGTCTGTACCAGGAATTGAGACGAGCCAACGTCAGCAGTCCCGCAACATGGCGGAGACACAGTTGCTCTCCTACCTGGACGGTCTTGTCCGCGAGGGCATTCCTCTGCGAGGCGCCGACGGGTTCAACCCCAACGGCCGCGTCGTGGGGCCCGAGGGCCTGGTGCTCCCGGGAAAGGTTAAGCTCCCACCCGGGACCGTGGTGGGGATCAAGCCCAGCGTTGCCTCGATTCGGGAGCGCACGTTCGGGCCTCGGCCTTACGAACTCGTGCCGGATCGGTGGTGCAGAGGGGACGACGAGACCGAGGAGGATTATGTGGAGCGCAGGGCTCTTATGGAGAGGGGAGACATGCTATGACTTGACGTTCAGCGCCGGGACGCTTGGCTTCATCAGCAGGGGCATCGCGATGATGCAGATCTACAAGCTGCTCGCGACGCTGATCTTTTCGTACGAGGAGGGTTGTTGTCTGCCTGTCAATGTACCAAACGCCGCACGCTAACTCGTGTCACAGTTGCTGCCCGTTAACGTTCCCGACGGTACTCCTGATGGCCCTGGTGGTGTGGTCTGGGCGCATATGACTTCTTTTGCACCCTGAAGCGAAGAGACACCTCTTAAACGTTCCCCGTTTTGTTCAATCAATGGCTTTCGGTCACGGGATAGGGCAATGTGAAAGGATGGCGCTTGTGTTGCGATGTGTTGTTGCCTCGGGTGTCTCGAAACCCGACTTGCTACTAATAATTAACAAACAGACCCCCGCAAAATCTGACGTCCGTAATGAATACCACCCAGATGGATCGGCGAGGATGGACCAATTCTGGGCAATTGGAGCTCCTGCCCTCATTCGTCTGCCTGTGAGAATATTATTGTCCAGGGTTAATACGTTAATTGAGGTATAATAGAAACCTCGTGGCTTGCATGACAGCCGCTGACACCCTACCACGGAAGCTATGGATGACAGCATTGGTCCCGCCTTGAATGTAGCTAATGTAGCTAATGTGTGTTGTAGTCTAGTCCCCGCTGCGGAGACTGGCGGTACCCTGTAAGTGGAGGGAAGTCGGAGATGTAACCATGAAGCGGTATAGATCGCAGATTGTTGCCCCAGGACAGTCTGAGGCAGGGCGGGGGAAGGTGCCAATGATCATTATAGGTGCTGCGTAGAGGACACCTCGGCATTCGATCATTACCTACTCAACTACATCCCCGTCGTCTTTCTCGACATCCCGCACATCAAAAAATTCCCAACATGGAGAACAGCAAAGAAGAGTTGCTCACTGCGCTCGGCAGCATAAGCTCAGGAGACTTCGAGGGCAACGGAGTCCAGCGCCTGAAGTTTGTGGAAGCAGCGAAGAAGCTTGTTAGCCGACTAGAGACGAACGTGGAGAAGATATTCGACATCACCTTCGCACAGCCAGCTGTCTTTGCTGCGCTGCAGACTTGCCTTGACCTCGGACTTTGGGAGGCCTGGACAGCCGCTGGTGGCGGAGCAAAGTCGGTCGAAGAATTATCCAAGTTGTGCAAGCAGGATGTTGATCCAAACCTCGCCCGTACGTGTTTCCCTTGACTAGGTTACGCGAAACCCATCACAAGCTAAAGGTATCGTGGTGAAAGGTCGCTTGCTCCGTCTGTTAGGATCAGTGAACATCGTCGAACAGACTGGCGCAGACACCTACAAGACGACCCTTTTCTCTTTGACCTTTGGAGATCGAAACAGTCTCATGCCACAGTCAATCCAATGCCGGTAAGTGCTCACTCAGAGATGGTCACAGCGCGACGCATAAACTAAAGGTAGTCAGGACTCATCACTGGCAAGATGGATGCGTCAACTTGCCAAAGTACTTGGCCAAGATCGGGTACAAGGAGCCACAGGACGCGAAGAACACCAACTACGCCGATTGGTGCCCGGAGAAGCTGGACTTCTTCAGCAAGTGTGTAGCAGAGCCAGCGTACCAAGATTCCTTCAGTGGTTTCATGACCGCATGGGCAACGTACAAGCTGCCTTGGCCAGAGTTCTTCGACACCAAGTCCTTGGTGGCGGGTGCCGATTTGAGCAACGGCGGCGTCCTCTGCGTCGACATTGGCGGTCACCACGGTCTCGACCTGACCCGGCTGCTCAACAAGCACCCAGATGTGCCCGCCGGCTCACTGGTCCTCGAAGATCTGCCCGAGGTCGTCTCAGGGGCGAAGAACGTCAATGGGAAGATTAAGGTTCTGCCACACGACATGTTCCAATCCCAGCCAGTAAAAGGTAGCCTCCTCAAAAGTTCGATAGGTACCACAGATGCGGCATCGACTGACAAGCATTGGAAATAGGAAGCCGCGCTTACTACTTTCACGCCGTGTTCCACGACTGGCCAGACAATGTAGCAGTCAACGCGCTGAGGAACACCGCGGACGCGATGAGGAAGGGGTACTCGAAGCTGCTCATCAACGACATGGTGCTGCCTCCAACTGGCGCCAGTGCGACTCAGGCGACCATGGACGTGGAGATGATGGCCATTGTGTCCGCGTATGAGAGAACCGAGGCGATGTGGACCAGCCTCCTTAACGATGCGGGATTCGAAATCATCAAGATCTGGGCGGATGGCCGGGGAAATGAGAGTGTGATCGAAGCAGAGCTGGCTTGACCTGGGACCGTTCAGGTACAGGTCTGCTGAGTCAGTCCGTCGACGCCTGGCTATGCCTGGGTTCTGAAAGGCTATACGACTGCAATAGCGCGGAAGAACAAGACACACTCATGTATGGGGGCATTCTCCCGCACATCAGTAGTAGCCGAGCCGGAAAATGGTGCTATTGGCATTGCTCAGAAGCGCGCCTTTGATTGTGACGAGCATAGATGAATAAGAGCGATGCAGGCAAAAATTTTCATAACTAACCTGTGCATGAGCGTGTGCTTCAAAACATGTATTGAATCAGATCAAATGAGAACAAAGGAAGCACCAGCCGGAGCACCAGCCACAGGTGGGGCTTGCTGCTTTATCTCCGTAAGCTCCGCTCACCTCAGTCCCAGGCACATGTGGTTCGGAGCTTTATGTTTGCCAGGACACATCGAGCTCGACCTTCAATGTAATCAGAATCTAGAGGCTCTACACCAGTACCATCTTCCCGAGGATCTCACTCACATTTCAGCAACTCACTCACTCACTTGACTTGTCATCACCTTCCGTGGTCAAGATGGAGTACCCAGAAGTCCCGTCTCCCTCGCCCCCGCCATCTCCCATCCCAGACCGACCAGCGTCACCTGAGCTCCCGCTCACCATGATGGCCTCGGTGGTGCTGACGGCGCTTCCGCAGGACGCCAGCGTCGCCCTGGCCAGCGCCGGCGAGTTCGACCGCGAGAAGGTCGTCGTGCGCTTCGTCGCCGTCGGGTCGGCGCCCCAGCTCAAGGTCCAGGTGCGCAGGATCACCGCCACGCAGAAGTTCGAGGCCGTCGTCGCCTATCTGCGCAAGGTGCTGCGGCTCGGCCTCGCCGATGGTTTGTTTCTCTACGTCAACAGCGCCTTTGCGCCCGCGCTGGATGAGGTTGTTGGAAACCTGCACAGAGTACGTCGTCTGTTTTCTCATCTTTCGCTGCAGACGACAAGAATGCTCTGTCGCGCGGTGGATCACTGAGTGGCAGGAGGATTACTGACGAGATGCATGTGATAGTGCTTCAAAGATTCGAGCGACCAGCTGGTTGTGGCCTATTCTATTACTCCTGCGTTTGGATGATGAATTATCTGCGTCTATCTGGCGGCAACATGAACCCGTCCTCGCCCCGTGGTATCTCTGACGAACGCCTGCCTGTGCTAAAACTTCAAAACGACGAGCTTGCGCTACCCAGTCCCATGCGGTATGATCTATGATCTAAATGCCGCCGAGTTGTCAATACCATCATGCAAGTCCCGCGTCAAATCTTTTCAACTTCCTTGGCAAAGGCGTCGAGCTCATCCTTTGGGATGGGATAGGTGTGTTCGGGGGCCGGATATTGTCGTCCCTTCACCTCGTCCCTGTATGACTCAATCGCTCGGAAGCTCTCGGCCCACACGTTGCCGTATTGTTTGACAAACTTGGGAATGAAGCGACCTGGAGGGAAATTTCCGGACATGTCTACCTGCACCAAAACCTGGCCGGAACAGCCATTGCCTGCGCCGATCCCGATGGTGGGAATGGAGAGCTTCCGGGTGATGATGGTTGCGACTTCAGCGGGAACGGCCTCGAGGACAACCCCAAAACTTCCTGCCTCTTGCACGGCTATCGCGTCTTCCAGAACACTCATCGCACCCTTCGACGTCTTCCCCTGGACTCTGAACCCCCCGAGTGCGTTCTGGCGTTGCGGCGTGAGACCGACGTGGGCAAGGACGGGAATGCCTGCCTGCGTGATCTTCTTGATTGTTGACGCCATCTCCTTGCCGCCTTCAAGTTTGATTCCTTGGATGCGACCCTCTTTGATGAACCTTATCGCAGTTGTCAGGCCCTGCTCGGGGGAGATCTCATACGATCCCATCGGGAGATCCCCAACCTTGGGCCGGTTAGTCGTTGGCCATAGCAAGTCAGCCTGTGCGTGGTCTTACCGTGAACGCCCCCTTGGTGGCACGTGCGACGGATCGACAGTGCAGCAGCATCTCATCGACTAAGACTTCGCTGGTGTCCTCCATACCCAGAGCGACCATGGCGAGGCTGTCGCCAACGAGTATCATGTCCATGCCCGCAGCGTCAGCGACATGCGCACTGGGGAAATCGTGTGCAGTCATCACCGTGATGGGCTCGCCTTTTCTATACATCGACCGAATGCTTCCCATAGAAATCTTTTTCCTCGCAGGATCCGGCGCCCGGCCAAGGGGCGAATGTGAACTCCATCGCTGCTGACTTGTCTGCTGCAGGAGCGACGACAGGGGCCTGGCTGTGGATGAGGAGGTGTTGGACCCTGTGCCCCGATACAGGAATAAGGCACACGACCTGGTCCAAGACGGAGGCATCTGGGTGGTGGTGGTGTGGTTTAAAGGGGGACAAAGGGATGTAACACGCTGCGGTGGGCTGCAGGGAGATGTGGAACAAGTCAGAGTCAGTCTGCGACCATTATTGGGGCCGCTCGCTGGTTTTATGCCTCGGTCATGATGGTTTTTGCTGCGTACAATTGAGTCTCACAAGGTTTTTTGAATGGTGTTGAATTTTAGCGTGACGGGATTGCTGACCTGGTACGTACCTTTTGATCAAAGCACCGAGGCTCCGGCCCCGTGTCTGTGGCTTTTGTGGCTTGTTTAGCCAGTACGGTGTGGCTCGAGCGCTGTGTTTTTTGTCCTATCTGCCGGCTTCAACCCCTTTTCTTTATGATACCACAAAACGGGAACTACCTACCAAAACAAACAGCAAGCAGAAAACCTTAATCGGCTTTCCTACCTCTTTACGGGATACTCGACGGGTTCAAAGTGCGATGATGATAATCAGGAGCGCCATACCGGTTGGACGATTTGGCGACGAGTACCAGAGCTCGTCAAAAGATGTTGAGTTATTGCGGTCAGAACGCATTGTTTGAAATATGGGAGATTATTTGGCTTCAACGTGATCGACTCCGATCCGGCAATCTTAAAGTCACGCCTGCACCGCTGGGATGATATCTACGGAGAGTATACCTCCTTAACCTTCTCAAGGCGTGAGTAAGTTATAGGCCTCCGAGTAGATATTAAGTGCTTTGGAGTTCAGGGTGTGTAAGTATCCTAGATTAAAAAATGGGTACTAGTACAGTGGCTAGTATAATAGATAGTAATAGCGGAGGCTGCAGTGGTTACAAAGATAGATAAGAGCTGTAATAAGGGATGTACTAGTACTATAATAGCTGTAACGTTCCATATATGTAAATACGATATAGAAGCCCTTGTTTACTATGTACGTATAACTATCTCTGGCTGAAGAGGAAAAAGAAGATCGAGCGGCACAGCCAAATCTGGTGGCCAACTAGATAAGTGTGTCCGCCCCACAATTCAGAGCCCTAGTGGGTCTGAGACAACCAGTCGTATAAGAGGTCACGTGCTGTCACGTGATCTCAGGACCATCACCGATAGTAGCGACATAGCAACCATTACAATAGCTGGAATAATGAGGGCTTTAAAGGTTTGTATAATAATCGTTTCAAAAGATGAATCTTTAATATTATATTTAGTGTATTAAATCTAAATAAAATCGTATTAGGGTGGTTATTATAACTGATTATATGTTAAATTTTCCTTTATTATTATATATACTCAATACTTACGAAAGCAGGGCTTAAGGTTACAAAACCGTCAGCTAGATAACACAGGATTATAAAAGCAATACAGCCACCCTATACGGATTCGTAGTCCTTTGACCACTCCATTCTTTCTATTAAATGAAAGCAGTAGCTATCCTGAAAACGCGTACTGCATCTATCCAACACCAGAGACTGCGGTGCGCATTCCAAATATCATTATATAGACTTACTGTGGCCGGCAGAAGAAACGTTGAATCATCTCTTATTATCCTTTTGATAAGGAACCAGGAGGACATGAACTCATTTCAAATACGGCTACGTGACACCAAGCCCATGACCATTCAAGATATTTGTGATTACTAATACCCACTTAGACACAATGGCCATCTCGATCAAGCTGGATATTTAGCATCGTCATAGCTGGGGTGTACGATTACCGTCAAGATGTTAAGAGGGCATGGGCTATTTATGGTTGCCACAGAGGTAGCCCGGAAGAATTGGGCTGCGGAACAAGTACTATGGCACATGTCGATTTCCAGCACTAGTACACGGAGGCAATACACTGAAGGATACAGAAGATAGCAACTGTAGCTGTGATGGCCCCGGATGACTTCAAGCCGCGGAGAACCCAGCATTGCAACGTAGAAGCGGCACTGCTACAGTCAACCAAGATGAGTCTCCGTCTGTGCACCTCGAGGGTTGTTGTTGCTGTTGTTATTGTTGTTGTTGTAGCATTCAACGCCGGGAGGACTGCCGCATAGCGGCGTCAACCAGGGGCTCCAAGAGGCCGCTCAGGCGTACTAGGCTAGGTCTTCTATGTACATACACTGCCCATCTAGCAGGTCAAGTCCGTAAACAGCCACCACACTTAAGCGGCGGATCACACCGTGTCCCCCCTCCTCCGGGTGAGGGGAAGTATCAGCTGGGGTCCCAAATATTTAGTTTTTAGGGCGCAATACCAGGTTTAGTGCTCTTAAAGCTTACAATACGGCATATTGTAGGGGTTCTTACGTGCTCCATAAGACATTAAAAAAAGATAGAAAGATAAAACCTATAGAAGCCATAATGGAAAAAAAGAATGAGTATATCCTCATCGAGGAGGGCAGATACTGCCATAGAAGTCAGTAGCTATGAATAGGTTCATATACTCCTGTGAGGTAGTCATAAGTTCGTTTAGATACTCGAGCCTAGCTCTGAGCTCCGGCCAGAATACTGGGGCTCTTGGCCAGACCATGTACCATGCCAAAGTCTTTCGGCAGTGGATAAATTGTGTCAGAGTCTTGCTCCAGCCGCACAAGCAGTCGAGGACGGCGTCCTGATGTTTGAACTTGACATGATACCAAGAGAAGTCGCCGTGCCCTACGCGGACAGCGAGGAAGCGGTGTAATGATGGCCTATTAAGTACCTGCAGTCCCTCGTAACAGTGCAGTTTGTACTTCAGGTCCCAGTATTTGTAGCGGGCCGACAGCTTGATCTGGGCCTTGGTCCACCACATATTGCGCGAGACTTCGAGTTTAAGTCTTGCCTCTGCTTTAATGCCGTACACCGTTGGCGTACAGTCAGAGTCGACATTGGAGAGCTTAGAGCCGGCCTTAGCCAGCTTGTCTGCCAGTTCATTGCCCTTAATGGCGCAGTGCCTCGGGCACCACTTGACGTTGACATTATGGACTTCAGCCTTGACATAGAACTTCAGGTAGGCCTACTGGCAGGACACCGCGGCATTGCCGCGGAGCCCCCAGATCGCTCCTGTATTATCCACGCACATACAGATCCAGCGCTGACTAAGCTCCGGGGGTGACTTGACCACGTGCTGAAGTCCCTTCCAAGCTCCGAGCACTTCTGCATCAAACACGGTAGAACACGGGTCTAGACGACCCTTGCTAGTGGCAAGCAGGCGCCCGCCCTGGTAAATTGCATAGTCGTATCTGACGTGCATCCGTTCTTTCGAGCCGTCTAAGAAGACCACCACGCCATGTAGTGGCAGAGCCTCAAACCAGGTCTTGAAGTTCTTGGCAGCCTGCTCCTTGTCGATACCTCCGGTTAGATCAATCCTACAGCTAGGCATGAAGCGCGGCGGCACCAGTAATCCCGTATAATCGCCGGGGATTGGATTCGCTTGATAAAGGGATGCTTCTTATCTACAGTCCATAACCTGAAAGCAAACCGCCATAGCGCTGTATTAAGCGCCACTTCTGCCGTAGGGAGGCCAGCGTCCCTAAAAATGACATTGTTCAGTGTGGTCTGCCAGCACAGCAGTGCCGCCTGTGCCGCCACCGTGATAGATCTCTGCAGGGTGTTAATATGCTATCCTACACCAGCGCTGACTTCAGGCTTACCTGTCTGTGACTGGTTGTGTGGCGGCTTCTTTTGTCCGTCGTAATAGACTTCTGACCTGGATAGCGCCGTGGAGAGGACACAAGTGATCACAGCCTTCTGTAGTTCGGACGCCGGGGGTCCGTACTTGGTGTTGGCTAGGTTTCGTATATGCCGGGATAGTTGCATAGTTTGCCAGCACGTTCCTGAACATGTCGCTTAAGGGTGAATTTCCGATCAATTCAAACCCCCAGCCAGCGTAGTGCTGGCTCCTTTCCGCTACCCTCGGGTTCTTGGACAGGGTCGATAGTGAGACGGTCACCTATCATCATAGAGGGGTTGGAGGTATCTCGGCTTCTGGTGATATGAACCAGCTCGCACTTCTCAGGAGCAAAGAAGACCTTGTTCTTGTCTCCCCACTGTATGACCTGCTTAAGATCATCTGCTAACATCTCAACGTTCCACTGCAGTGACTTTGATACCCTGAAGAGGGAGAGATTATTGGCGTACCCGAAACAGAGCTCCGGGTCTTGTAGTAGGAGCTCTGTCAGGTACAGCATGTAGAGGACTGGGGACTACGGAGAGCCCTTAGGGGTGCCGCACTTGATGTCCTTGAAGTCCGTGGAGACATGTTTAAGCCGGACTTTGGCCCTCCGCTTTTCAAGAAAGGACTTAATCAATTCAAGGCAGGCTAGGGGCCAGCCTTGCTTCCGCATGCGTTCCAACAGCCGGCGCACTAAAAGCGCGTCAAATGCACCCTGTACGTCAACTGTGGCGAGAGAGACCTTGAGTCCCTTAGTAAGTGCCACTTCAACCTTGTGGGCGAAGGACAGAACGAGGTCCATGCATGACCGTTTAGGCAGCGCGTCCCCGTGTTGGCACTGAGAATACCTTGAGAGAGCGCCGTCCAGACCATTCGTTTTGCTAATAGCCATTCTAGCCCCTTGCCGAGGCAAGAGAGTAGTACAATTGGCCGCCAAGATCAGACTAAAGAGCAGTCCTTTTTCCTGACCTTAGGGATCATTAATACCTCTGTATCCCGCCAGGCTGTGGGAAAGTGCCGTAGTTGTAAGCAGAGCTCAAAAACGTCGCGCACAGCGTCTTTGATGTGTTCCCAGCAGGCCTTGAGCAGCCTCACCGTGATCCTGTCTACGCCGGGGGAGGTGCTGGTAACCCTGACGGTATAGTGCTCGACCTCTTTCAAAAACACCGTGGTGTCCCAGTAGAGCTTGGCTTTAGAGGGCTCCCACCCTTCCAGTGGATCATAGTCCAGGTCGTCGTGATCTAAGAAGCGTGCTAACACCTCTTCTGCTAGCACTTCAGCCTTCTCTTATGTGGACTTAACTACCCTGTCGCCCACCTTGATCGGTGGGGACTTGAGTCGGGCACCTAACTTATGCCAGCCGACAATCTTGTACAGGTCCTTGTCAGTATGCACAGAGTCGATTATCTTCTGTCAGTACTCTTGTTTGGCTTTGCGGACCATAGAAAGAAAGGTGCGATGCTCCTCTGTGAACTCCATCTGGTCGCTGGGCCTGGTAGCTTCTGAGGTTCTATAGATAAAGTAGGCCTCCTTACAGTCCTTGGTCTATCAGGGGGCTCCCTTACCGTTGCCTGTGGCGGGTATGCCGATAGCGATAAGGGCCAATTATAGCACTTCTGTGAGCTTATTTACGTAGTTGTCTAAGTGCTGCTTGAACTTGATGTCCGTCTGGTCAGGCATAGAAGCCATTCCTATCTATACAAGGGCAGAGAAGCATGGCAGGTTCTCTTCCTTGACCTTGTAATAGTACTGTTCTAGCAATTTGGTCCCCCAGCCGGGAATGATAGTTAACAAGGTGTTATAGTCTGATCCACTGGCTAGTTCCTGACATACCTCTGTCTCAACGAAAGGAATATTAGTAAGCGCTATGTCAACGACATGACCGGCGCGATGGGTGGCTTGTCCTGGTATGTCTGTGAAATACAGGGCGCTGTCAGTCATCCACTTTACCATGTCGGCCCCTCTGTTTCGGTCTTCCACTCCGGGCTCAAATGTGGGGTGGTGAACATTCAGGTCTCCTCTGACTAAGAAATTAGCCGGTGCTTCGATGTTAGTGAAGTAGTCGATCATCTCATCAGAGCGCGGTGACCAGTAGATATTGAGCATGGTATACCCATTGACATCCAGCCAAAGCGCGTCTTGGGTGCTAATATAGGTCTCTTTTATTGGGCCTTGACCCTCTGCCCCTTCCGTATATACGTCATGACCCGTGGGCGATCCTGAGTAGTATTCCATGAGTCTACCGGGGCATATGATTCAAACCCCAGGTGGTTCTGTGTCCTTGTCCCCGGGCCCGTCCAAGGCTCGTTGATATGGATGACATCAGCGCCCCGCGCCCAGCCGAGCTCAAAGATAGTGTTGTGCTGTGGCATCCCTTTGCTTGCATTGCACCAAATCATACATAAGTCAAGTGATTTATGTTATTGGCATTGTTTTTTATGGCAGCACTGCTCCTTACCAGGATATCGGCATCCTGATATTATTCTTTAGGGAGTTCGGGTTGTATGCGGGTCCAGCCTACAGGTATTGCGAGGGCGGCCTTGCGCTTTGGATCTTGCCATAGCCTTGGCCGGTCCGGTTGAGAGGCCTGAGAGGACGGCCCCGGGGCCTGTGACGGTCCCGGGGTGCTCATCTCAGTGTCTCCGTCCCCGTCAATTGAGTGTCTCTCCAGGGTGGTCCCGCCGAGGGAGCTGGAGATCGTGCTGGCCCCTGATGACGGTGTGTGGTTGGGCCGTGAGCCGGTGCTTAGTGCCCTTTTCTTCCCCTTGGCAGTGGCGCTGGGGTTGTTCTGGGTCGTAAATAGGTCGCTAAAAGATACGTGCCTGCTCTGGCCGAGTCTTTCAGGCGCCGATGACGTGACGTCGTGGACCTCTCTGTAATGCTTGGCTCCAGCCTGTCTGACACTCTGGAGCTGCTTCTTGTTACGGTGCACAAGCTCCTCATACTCGCGCTTGGGGGCTGCTGTACAGTTATCATGTCCTGCTGGGAAGAGGCTATGGCAGTTCGTACAGTGGGAAGGTCGGTCACAGGGCTTGCCTGCCTCGTGGTCGTCTATTTGGTCGCCACAGTTATTACAGCAATGAGCCTGGTTGCACTTCTTAGCGAAGCAATAGCCCTGATATCCCGGGTTATGGATGCTGATGGTGGGTTTCTTTTCAACCAGCTTTGAGCGACCGCTGTCATTAAAGAGGCTGAACGGCCTCACAGGTGTTAGGAAGAAATCATCCAGCTGCCTCTGCCTGTGGCGGGGTCTGGGTCTTGTCTAGACGGCTTGTATTTGACAGGGCGTGCTTTTGTCTGGGTATATACCTTGTCCTTAATCACGTCTTGTGTCTGGATGTGGTTGCCAAAGTTCACGTAGTTAGGGAAGTTCCAGGGGATGTCTGGCACCACGTATGTGAACCAGCGCTCTGGAACATCTATTGCTACAGCGTTTATAACTTTTCCTAGACACAGCTTTGCTTCTGCACCTAGTAGTTGTTCCCTAATCTGCCTGGTTACCACTCTGATAGACCAACCAGTGTTGGTCGGGCTGATGTCCGGCACGTCAGCCAGGCCTAGCCCAAGGTCTTCAAACTCCTTGCAGATTACAGAACAAAGAGTGAAGGGCTGCTCCCTCCGCATGCGCCGATCTTCATCTAGGCGTATCAAATTCGTGTCTCATCCCTGGCTAGGGCAGACGCCGAGGCTCCGGGGCGGGACGTGCGGGCGGAGGGTCCGGCACTGGCATGGGTGATAGCGTTGCCCCCTGAATTCGTCGCGTGGCCTGCTTTGGCCACTCCCGCCCAGGAGACCTGCTTGGACGACTTCTCCCCAGGGCCTTGCCCGCACGCGTTCGTGGTGTTGGTGGTGGTGGTGGTGATGGTGGTGTCAATAGGCCCAGAGCTTTTGACACGGATGGGTGCATAGAAGGTGCCGTCAGTGCTAGAAAAGATAGCAGTGTTCAGGTAACTGTAAATCATTTCAACCACTAAGCGGGCCTCCCTCTTGTACTCGGACTGTTGTGGTCCGCTATAGGTGCTTACATAGTTGTCCAGGCAGCCAGTGAGCTGTCCTAGGACCGTTTGCTTAATGCGGGCTTTGCGCTCAAGGTCCTCTAGGTGAGGTGTAAACGCGCTGGCAGTAATGTCATGATATCGGGTAGCGGGCTTTCTAATAAGGTCAATTGTCAGGGGAGCCTGGATATTGGCAGGCTTCCTCTTCTTATTCCGCTGGTTGAGGTTGGAAGGGGTGATAGGCTCAGGTTCTCGGGTGAACTGAGCAGCGTCCGTTGCGACTCTGATGGATCGCTGGGGGGTTGTGAGGGCTGCCATCGTCGAGTGCTGAGTTTGTCCCCTTTGCAGGGACCGAAGCGGATCTCGAGATTCTGTCCTTGGTGTTTAGATTCAAAACAATGGCGCAATGCCAAGTGTTAAGAATTTTGCTGTGATGTGCGCAGATATACTAACAAGTGCAAGCGCACGGATGATTTTTACCAGGAAAGGTGCTCGATTCGGTATCGAGCCGTTGACGAAAGTCACGAGCACCGCAAACACAACAACCTGGGCCTGTTTAGAGCGGTGGATTCGAGCCTCGCCTTTGATCAAGACGACGCCAAATCGATCATGAAGACTCACCCGAGGGGGATGAAGTTGGCTGGCTCGTCGGGGCCTCGGATGAAGATGACGAGAGCGGAGACGATAGCCACGCTGGCGAAAAAAATCGAAACCACGGACACTGGAGATGGCGCCCAGGCTTCTCCCGTGTTCCATAACGACATGGACATCCCGGGTTTTTGCGTACTCGGCTCTGAGCATCCCTCGGCAGGATAGAGAGACTTTCGCGCAAAGAATGAGGAAACGTTGGGATACAACGTCTCCAGTACTGCCCATTTTCTCCAGAATTACCTGGATTGTCTCGAACTATTCATGTTCTCCAACTGCCCATTCTCTTCAGAAGTTTGCGTTCATACCTCCCCCATTTTACGTGCCATTCTGCACGGGATAGAAACCTACACCGAGAGAGCGCATCAAGAGCCTAGACACGGCTTCTCGCCAGCAGACCCAAGCTTGACGCCACTCTTGACAACCGAGATGCGTACACAAGCACGGCACGAGGTAATGGTGATTCCATTCCAGCCTTGCAAGAAGAGCAGGTTGCCGGCCAGAGTGATCTGCAATATTCCACTGAATCTCACGGCAAGATGACCCGTCTCAGTGTTGAAAGTGATGACTACGGCGACGCAGAGCTGCGACCTCTATACCCGCCTATTTTACGTGCCACCTCGATTTATAAGCACTACACCGACACTTCGAGCCTGGCCATTGAGCAATCGAACTCGGGCCTACTCCCATACCAGTAGTAGAGTTCTTTCTCTTCACTACCGCGGGGCGCATTCCCACACTCGCTACGCAAGCATCCCAGTCCGCGTAAAGCGCTCTTCAGAGAATTGAAGATGAAGGACTCATTGCTCCTGATCCGCTCGGCACCACCCTTTACGCTGGAGATGGTGCTAGGCCATGAACGAGCCGGTTCCTCGGGGTTCGTGTGCTGCGGCACCCACTGTCCTGACTGGCGACGATTCGCAAGAACCTGAATCTGCGATGTTGGCTGGATCCGCTCACGGCGATGATCGCGATGATGGTGCCACCCGGACTTGCCTGGGCGCAATTGCAGCTTCTGATGTGGCCCTCATGGCTACGGGCGAGAAGTCTGATGTGGTGATCAAATTGCTACGCTAGTATGTTGTTGTTGCGTGGTCACGTGACCCACTTGGGTTGGCATATTGCCCACATCCACTGCAGCTGCGCACCACCTCCAGACCTTCAACAACAACAACACCAATACAGCAGATATGCAACCTTTTGGCCTTCTTGCTGTGCAACAGTTGTATTGACGGAGGCATTGCCCAAGGAGAAGGCAACTCCATTTTCCTCCAATTTTCCCAGCATCCCGAGTGGCATATACACCACCTCGCTACCAAGAAAGCCTCAATTGCTTTCGTCCCTTCTCATGAATGCGGAGACGAGAAAACGGTCCAGGTAGATGAAACCAAAGCCGGCCATCAGGAAACCGTGGACAACACTATCCGAGACAGAGTGCGGATTAAGCCCTGAGAAGCCGAGCTGTTGGCAAACTACGCGGTCAAGGACGGCCACACGCTCCGGCTCTCGACCGGAAGCCGGGGCCGCGCAACCTACAAATTCGACCGGGTCTTCGACCGCTCGGCGACGGACTACGAGGTCCTGCAAAACCTGCAACCGCTGCTCCGCGACGTCGCCCGGGCAGCGGCTGTCGTGATATTTACCTACGACCCCGTCATACGTAAGCAGAATGAACGCACCGGAACGGAATGTGCCCCCTTTCTGGATAATCAGAGGCCGCGACCCTCGGCGTCGAAAATTTACAAGTTGGCCAGGAAGCGGCTGCTCGCCTCGACTACGAAAAGAAGGCCCACGAGATGATGAAAACGGGAAACGATCGGTGCCTTTGCCCCCTCCTCGATGAGGCCATCGCGGTAGTGCCCTTCCAACCGATGTTGAGTTCTCCGAACAAATAGTCCGACTCCAGTCGCGCGGTCGTACGGTAGTCTTCACGAAGAACCCCGTCACCGATCTGTTACCCCCGCGCCCACGCGGTCTTGTCGGAAGGCTTATACACCCATTTTGATCTACGAGCCAGCAAAGACAGAGTGACTCTTCGAGATAGTCGAGAGCCTCGACAGAATTCTGGAGCTCGTCATCACAAGCCATCATACTCAGTACAAACCCAATCGCATCTCTGCTGCAAACTTCTCCGAGACGCATAATCAGAACGTGCTGATCCAAAGTGGACGATTCTCACTGTAAGATACGAAGGATTTTACCGATGTAGCCAAGAAGGGCGCAGTTCTCGAGTGCGCCGATTGCGAAAATCGCAGACGTTGTCATCGGTGACCAGGTCGGCCGTGCGCCTGCGCACGCTCACACCACGCACACTCACATCTCCGGGGGCGAGGGTGCTGACTACTCGAGCCGCGCGGGCGAGCGCGGAGAAAGCGTCAAAGACTCACGCAATCGAGCGCTCTTAGCAGTCAAACTGTGACACCAACCAACACCAGTCTCACATGGTAGCATCTCAACGGCGTGGTGACCTGTCGGTGCGCAAGTGGAACCAAGTCGGTGCCGTGCAGAAGAAAATCGGTACTCCTCCGCACCTTTCTGTCGCCTGTGTACTCCTTTGCTTCTCCGTCCCACGACCACGCTCCACACCTTTCTGTCATCCATCGACACCTTTGCTTCTCTATTCGCAACCCATCACACCTGGTGTCACGAACCCCCGGCTACTCGCGTCTCAGGTACCACCATTCTCGCACTCGTGGAACACGGCGTCAACAAGCCCCTGAAGAAGTCACGATTTAGGGCCCAAAGAAGAGCGCAGATGAAGCCCTCAATGAGATCTTCTCTCTCTCTCTCTGGCCATAAAACACCCGAAACGGAGTTTCTGCCAGGGAGATCACGGTTACCACCTACCCGTTCAAGAGATAGAGATACGGGTGGTGTCATGGACCAGGAGATTCGTCACCGCTGTATTTGAGTCTAGTTTCACTCCTGTCGACCACCTAATGGACGGCACGAACTGCGCTTCAACCAACTGGCCACCGGAAATTGACGGGTCTTCACCGAGCTTTACTCCCAACACACAAATGAAGAGTACCGAATTACCACCTATCCCATCACAAGGCAATTCGGCCGCGGACACAAAAGCCCTCTCCCGCGGCTTCTCTTAACGTCGCAAAGGACCTTTTGTACTTTTTAAGTCCCATCGCCGCTAACACAGAACCCAAGGCCCATTGCAAATTCCACCCCGCCACACCGACCGAAAGCGCCACGTCTGGCCAACAACCCAACGGCGAACGCTTCGTTCCTCCCAACGGAGATGTCCCAAATAAGACTTCGCCGGAGAAGTGTCTCGGCAAGGGAGGGTTCGAACCTTTGAGAGTCTCCCCATGGCGCTTTGCATCTCAAATTTGACCAACTCCATATACCCAACGCGCTGTAAGCGGAGAACAACGGGCTTTTAAGCAAACGACGGCTTCCGACCCACTCTGTTTAACATTGAGTATTGCTATCTGGATAGTTATCATGATCGGAATTTGTGTGTAGACGCCATAAAATTTCAGATCATTATGTCCCTAGCAGCTGGTCTGGCTGGCTGGCTGGCTAGACCTAGTTGGTGTGGCTGCCAGCTGACTAGCAGGTGTGGCTGGGAGACAAGGTGCAAATAAGGAATTTTAACAAGGTGCAAATAGCAATACTCTTAACATTAACCGAGTAAAAGAAATATCCAGGTTTCTCCTCTGGGATGACAGCCAAAATTCACCGTAGCCGAAGGAATGCAGTCCATGGTATCTCTTTTGTAGTTGCTGATGCTAGTCATGTGATTATACACACCAGGCTATCAACGATTTGTCTCAACCGATCTACTTCTACAACTTTGGTGGTTCCACCACGTACACTGAACCCTAGAAGTCTCTGTGCACATCGTAATCGAAGTCCGGGATACCTATCAATCATTTATATCCGCGGACTAGTCACACTGGAATAAGCATAGAGCGTGGCATGTGAGACTATAACTGCTTACTCAAGGGTGCTCATTCCACTGTCTATATGCTATCAAGGGGGCCGCCCTCGAGGTGCGACGGCATTAAAGCAGAGGCGAGACTTAAACTCGAAGTCTCGCGCAATATGTGGTGGACCAAGGCCCAGATCAAGCTGTCGGCCCGCTACAAATACTGGGACCTGAAGTACAAACTGCACTGTCACGAGGGACTGCAGGTACTTAATAGGCCATCATTATACCGCTTCCTTGCTGTCCGCGTAGGGCACGGCGACTTCTCTTGGTATCATGTCAAGTTCAAACATCAGGACGCCGTCCTCGACTGCTCGTGCGGCCGGAGCAAGACTCTGACGCAATTTATCCACTGCCGGAAGACTTTGGCATGGTACATGGTCTGGCCAAGAGCCCCAGTATTCTGGCCGGAGCTCAGAGCTAGGCTCGAGTATCTAAACGAACTTATGACTACCTCACAGGAATACATGAACCTATTCATAGCTACTGACCTTTATGGCAACATTTGCCCTCCTTGCTGAGGACATACTTATTCTTTTCTTTCATTATGGCTTCTATAGGTTTTATCTTTCTATCTTTTTTTTAACGTCTCATGGAGCACATAAGAACCACTACAATATGCCGTATTGTAAGCTTTAAGAGCACTAAACCTGGTATTGCGCCCTACAAACTAAATATTTGGGACCCCAGCTGATACTTCCCCTCACCCGGAGGAGGGGGGACACGGTGTGATCCGCCGCTTAAGTGTGGTGGCTGTTTACGGACTTGACCTGCTAGATGGGCAGTGTATGTACATAGAAGACCTAGCCTAGCACGCCTGAGCGGCCTCTTGGAGCCCCTGGTTGACGCCGCTACGCGGCAGTCCCCCCGGCGTTAAATGCTACAACAACAACAACAACAACAAGATACCGAATCGAGAGACCATCCGTACCCTTTTGGTATCTGGCAATCCTTTTGATTGCAATCTGCTGCTCGTCACTTAGATTTGCCATAAACCGCGCCCATGTGGATGTAGTGTGGCTTAGATCGGGTCTCGTAATACACCCGGGGAAATTACATTTCCCAACGGGCTACCTGTAAGGCGCACTCGAAGATCTCGTGGCGATATTTGGTGTGGAAATCGTCGATCAGAACGCTTGCTCTGCTCTTCTGACGGCGCTGGGCTTGCTCTTGGGTAAAAGCCCTTCTTCAGCAGTGCGATGATGTGAAATCGCGCGACAAAGAGTCTCGCCTTGCTATCGACGTAAATGATGATCTTCAAGCTCGTACCGGGTACATCCGAAGGAACGACGCCATCGACGAGAAATTTGAGGCGTCAATAATCTCTTGTGCATGAGCGGCTGTGTGTACCATGCCCCACCCACCACTCGGCCACCCCCACCACTCGGCCACCCCCACCACTCGGACGCCCAACATTAGTGGCACACGCGTAAACATCTACAGCTTCACTTACACCGATATCAGTCGATTCATGGTATTTTCAGCTGCTAAGCGCATCATTCTGATCGTTTTTGGACGCTCAGTTATCATATCTAGCTGAGCGGCGAGTCTGCCGACCGGAACGGGTCTCTGCAGGGGCTGTAATCTCCTCTTCTTCTAATGAATCCGGGCTATTCTCCTCTTCTTTCTCATTACTCAAATCTTTAATAACCACTGGCTGCTCTTTACTGACTGCCAGTATCTCCGGGATACTATTGAACCGTTTATTTGGGTTAGAGATCTTTCTGCGCTTTTTAGGGCGCATATGCTCCAGTTCTGCCTTCAGACTCTTGATCTTCTGGTCCTTTAACACTATCTCTGCTAATTATTTCTCAAAAGTAGTGATAACCTTGTGTAGCTTCAACCGAGTGGTTGGGGACTTGTTTCCCTTATATTCATGATCTGCCGGCTATTCTCGGACGTCCGGAGGTCTTTAGGTTCAGAATTTTTTATCTATTCAGGCTCCGGGGTAGCGGCCTTGTGCCTTTAGATTTCTAGGTATGCCAATGCCTTTCTGTGGCTAATAGGCCAGTTTCTAGTAATTCTGAAGCCAGCCTGACAATTTTTAACTGTCAGTTCATCATTCTGTGCCTTGGCATAGCATCTAATGAAGTTGATCTTGCCCATAAGGGCAGCATCAATTAGAGTAACTAACTGAGCGATATACTTGTGGTAAGCAGCCTTCACGGCGTTAAAGGGGCCGTTATCAAGTGGTTAAAGCCCGTAAGAGGTGTATGCTGGCAGAAAAGATAGCTGTATATTATTCAGGAAGCACATCGTCATGAATCCATCCTAGCGCCAGTGTTAGCTACACATCTATCAATTCCAAGCGGAACAAAATAAAGAAAATTAAGGGAATTAGTACTCACAGAGATATGGCTCCCGTGTCTATTAAAGAGCAGGGATACCGCTTCAGATTTGTTATCTTCTTGTGTCTGGTTGGCTTAAGGGATGAAAACACTCTCCAGTCGCCCCACGGCGACTGTGTTATCCGTCCACCCATTATCAGTGCATATATAATGCCAGGAGGCGACCTCTCTAAACTCTTTAAGGAATCACTGGACCTGGAGATCTTTTCCTCTTGATTTCTTAGTTACGGCAAAGAAATCTATCTATCCAGTTCTTCCTAACGGTCTTAGTGATATTGTTCAACTTTGAGGTAGCCTGAACAATAGCCTTGACGGCACTATACGATAAGGCGAGCCCCAATGATTTCTGACAAAGAATCCATTGGGCTAGGCGTGACTCTTGCTCTTTGGATAGTCTTCTTTTTGACTACTGAGTCTCTTCTTTTGAGGTTTTGCTGTTAATGCAGTCCAATAATATCTGTTTAGGGATATCCCAATTCTGAGCGGACTTTCGGACTGGCAGTTTGTTATCTGTAACATCTAGTATGGCATCTGCCATAATATCCTCTGTATAAAAAGGCATTTCGAGAGTCATAATACTATATTGCATACAAAAGAAGAAGACAACCGCTCTATAAAGGGCAAATTTGCGCTTATAAGGGGTAGAAATCACGGGCGGGGGACCCCCTTATCGCCGGGTCTGGCCAGATTGATCTAGATTGGGATAAAGCCCCCAAAAGGGGCTATTCAATGAACTAACTACGGTGTGAATACCTTCAGAAACGGCTGGATTTGGTATAAGTGAACATGTTGACTTAATAGGGGGCTACAGCAGTTTTGGTAGTCCGAGTGGTGGGGGTGGCCGAGTGGTGGGTGGACCATGGTACCCCTGAAGCATATGAGTCCGAGTCGGCGGTGGGATCGGGCTCGGCAAGGTGTAGAAACTGAGAAACTGCACCGCAGGAGTCATGAGCTCCTGGCCTATCGCGGACTGCATCCCCGACGGCAGTGTTGAGAACGGGAAAGGGCTCAGGCTTTTTCTCCAAAGTCAGCCAGTCAGGGTCCACTAGCTTCTGCTGTTTCGTAGGTGGTGGGCTTACCATCCGTGGCAGTTCACTTGGTGCATAACGGCGGGGGCATATAAATGGGACAGCTCCATATATGGGACAGTTTTCCCACCAAAATCTCATTATTACGATTCGTATAACTCGGTCAGTATTAACAGCACGATAATATGATTTGAACAAGAATATTTGCCTCTTTTTTCTCTTTCTTAAGATCTAGCCGCTCAATGTAATCTATGCTGGATATAAAGTTATGATAGCACGGAGTTTTGCCCTTACTAAATTTTACCTTCCGGGCTGTTGTAAGTCGGGTTTTCCTGACCCTTTGGTGGGAACAAGGCATAGTCAGGCTTCTAACAATCACAGCGGCTTAAACTGCTGGTACACCCCTAATAAACCCAAAATCAAAAGAAACACCAAGAAAAGGCGATTCGAATGCATTACTCACATTATCTAGAGCTTTTATTCCGATAGAGTTATTTGTAAGTGCAACTGTAGTCTTTTGGTGTAAAAACTGTCCCATATATGGGGCTGTCCCATTTATATGCCCCCGCCGTTACCGCTTGGAACCTGTTCCAGCGGCACCAAGGTTCAATTTCATCAGCAGACCTTCGGGATACGCATGATGAAGTCGAGAATAGCGGTGGAGTCGTGTCGTGGAAAAAGGATGACTTGAGAAGATCTCGTTCGTTCTTAAAGCGATGAAATGCTTGCGGAAGTCGAATTCCGTGACGTCTTTCATCGCAATATATGCCTGGTCGCTGGGCTTTCCGTAATCTTTGAGCGGACGAGCTGGGAAGTGGACAAGTACACTGGTGGAACGTGTGCAGTAGATAGTGCACTGCATATATGGAGACTGTACATCGGTCAGAGGACTGCGAGGGCAAGATCTTGAAGCGCAGGTCCGAACATACCTCGCGTGTACACCCGATAATACATCTACCAACACCACTGGAGTCAAAAATCTTCGTCGTCGCCAGGCACGGGGTTCTTCTCGGAAGGCTCATCGTCCTAAGGCTCATCGTCCGAAGGCTTATCGTTACTGGCAGTGTCCTGGCTTGCAGGCAGGCAGGAGCTCCTCTGATGTGTGTGGTGAACTTGGCCATCTACTTCTCACTATCTCACAAGACAATACTTGCCTGGAACAGTATGTCGAGCTGCTTTCTGGGCAGGGGTCGCAGCTCATCCGGAAAGCCAGGTAAGCATGCAGCATACCCATAGCCGGAGCGGCGAAATGTCTATCGAATGTCGGCTTGTCGCATTCGTAATACCATCCTTCAAGAGTCTAGAAAGACTCCCAGGCGGCGTCTAAAAAATGTCAGTCCAAATACAGTGACCAACATGATACATATAACTTACTTTTCACCGCGTTCTTCTGGGCAGGGGTGGTGGCGGCCGTCTCCCATTCGTAGCTGGGTCTTATGAAGAAGATCTCCGTGACGTCGGGAAATTCGTCGATGAAGCACTTTGAAGATCCTGACGAAGTCCGCGTGCTCATCGGCGTCAGGCTGATGACCCCCCAATGATGTTTTGCATGATCCTGCATGTCTGTAGTTGTTGCCGGCGCGCGCGTTGGTGTCGTGCCAGGGCATGGGATATGGCCGTGGACGTCGCACAAGCTCTCGATCCGGGGACGGTGTTCAACAACATAGGAAAAGGCTCAAGTAAATTTGTTGTTCAGTATATATACCTGTGGACACACAGAAGGTTCACCGTCCAAGTGTCGCGGTTGGATGGTCCGGTACAGCTGATCATGAACATGGTGGAAAGGGGCCGACGGTATTATTAGGTAAAGAAGGGAAGTACCGAGGACAGCGAAATCGGAGTGATCGACGCCATGCCGCGCCGCCGTATAGTCGAGAGATAAATGGTACCAGCCTTGGGACCACGTCTCAGCAAGTGCTGCAGAGAGCTGACTGCGAGATGGAAGAAAAGTGACATAGAGAGAAGAAACCAAGACCAACTCCCTTCCTTTCCGGACGCATATATGTATTATTTCTCTCAACAACACAGAGTCCCAAGCCTGATGGCAGGCGTAGGCCGGATACGCAGCCCCGTTTGCAAAACCACGGTGATAGACCGCCGGCCAACGGAAGAAAGCCGCGGAAACAGCTGAGTGCAACCTGCATCGAAGTCTCACCCTGAGCCAGACAAGGACCAAGCAGCAAGCAGCAAGCAGAACCCGCAGAAGTATTATGTACCTTGCCGTATATACCATAGTAGGTGGTCGTTTGCCGGGCGAATGCACACCGGAAGTGCAAACAACCACCAAGACCAAACCAAGCAACCAACGCGCCAGCCTGCAGGCCTACCTGACGTACCTGACCTGACACTAGAACGTGCAGCACACAACGCGCAGCAATCCGCAAGGAACACACGCAAGCTCCTTGCGCCCGCCCGCCCGGCCAGACGCTGCATTCAAAACACGTCATACCAGTGACAGCAGCACCAAGATTCCGGAGTTCCATCTCAGTGCCAACAGCAAGACAGCAAACAAGAACAGAGGCAGACAGCAGACAACAGACAGCAGAAGACACAACGCACAACGCACAACGCACAAACCAGCCAACTGCCACGCAGAAGCATGTCTGGCCACAGCCCAACCAAGCAGCCAAGGCAGATATGGGGCCGTCCCAAGCCGCCTGACGGAGTGACACAAATAGCAGAAGGCCCAACGCACACATCACATGCAGCAGTCTGTCAACGCAGAGCATGCCTGGTCCATCCAAGGCAGGCAGATATTGGGGCCCCAAACCGCATGACGCAGAAAACGACGTTCGTCGCGGAAGCTTGCACACCGCTGCAGTCATCAACACCAGAGGGGAGGGCAGACGAGTTTGGTGCCGGACGACGTACCAGCCGCCCGGTGGGACGCCTTGAATTTACTCATGTGAAGGTGCTGGGTCCGGAGATCAGGACCCCCTATCCCGTGGATGATGGATGGGCATTGGATCCGGAAGTTGTACGGGCCAAGCGCCCCTCCCGGTATGAGGGCAGCATTGGGATCATAGGCCCTGATCAATTGCTGTCCATGTCTAGGTTGGGTCAAGTTGGGATCACCAAGAGATCGTCACGAAGGCAAGAATGAGCACAAGTTTGTGCACAAAAGAGAATAATACGGTATGTATCATGCAAGGGCTTAACGCCACGTGAATGTGAATGAGCAAAGCCACGGTAGATGCTACGCCGTGGGATGTCAGCCTTGGGCTCATCCACCTCCTTTTGAGCCAGTACAACCGGATCCGAACATGTATTGCAGCCTTTTTCCTTCGTCGTAGCCCGAGGGTCATCTGCGAAGAAAGCCATGAATATCCACCATATTACACTTAGGAATACAGACCCTGGTAGAAGTCAACCCGTCCCATATCTTCCGCATGGAGAACTACTGGGGTCCACCACCTCTGGATCTCTTAGCGCCGTTTCCTGCCGCCTCCGAGTCTCCTCTAGGACGTTTGCTTCCAGGCTGGAAACTCTCGGCTGAAGCATTTAGGCTTGCACGACTCTGCTGAGCACCACCACGGCCTCCGCGATGCGGTCCTCCACCACGTGCACCAACCCGTGGTTGGTTCGGCCCGCTCGGTTTACGAGCTCCGGGCACAGGGAGGCCAGACACCTTTGTAGGGAGCTGGGATGCCGCTGGTTGTGTGGATGGCTGTGCAGCAGACGTGGTTGCTTGTTGCGGATTCGATTGCGTAGACTGTCCGAACGGGTTGGCGCCTGCTTGTTGAAATTGCCCTGACTGAGCACCCCCAGCAAATGGATTGCTTGGTAAATGAGCGTGGGTTGTCGCTGCACCAGGTTTTGGTATGGTACTGCTTGCTGTCGATTTCGCTTCTTGTGAAGCCGGGATTGTGGTCGTATTCGCAGGTTGCGTTGGAGGCACTGCTTCTTGCGTTAGTAATAATGGTGCCATGAGATTGGGAACACACATACCGGCTGATACGTCGGCTCCAGGCGTGGTCGCTGGTGCAGCTGCCGGTGCTGGCTGCTTAGGTGTTGGCGCCGGTCTCGCATCCTTCGCGACCGCCCATACTTCTCCGACAGGGCGCTGTGGTGTCTCCTTCGCTGCAGTCTCTACAACGCCCAGCTTAGCATTGGCAGTCCGAGCCCTGTTCTCAGTCATGTTAATCTTGAGGTTCATCTTCGATGTAGCAAGCTGAGTCGCCGAGTCTCGCGCCTGAGTCAACTTCAGCTCCCACTCGGACTTGGACGCAGCCTCTTGCTCCTCCTTCATCTTCTTGATCTCAGCACCGAGCTTATTTTTGACGTTGGTTTGCACGATATTCTTAATAGTCGTGTTCGTGAAGACCAAATCTCGAATCGCTTTGTCGTCGAGTTTGTCCAGATCAGCAGAGGTAATGGGCGTCTGTGTCGGAGTTTCAAGCTGAGGTGGCTGAGGTGTGCTGGGAGGTTTGGTTTCATTGCTTTCATTGGGAGCACTGGAATGCTCTACATCCCAAATCTTGCGTTCTTGCTCGATGCGCAGCTTGAAGTCAGCATCTAGCCTCTCCTTGTCTTGTCGCATTGTAGTTCGCTCCTCTTCCATTTGGCTTTTGTACTCATTGAGACGCTTGTTCAAGGTCTCTTTCATCTTGTCGCTTCGCGCTTTTAAGATGGCATCTTGCTTGTCTTCGAGCTCCTTCACCTTGGCCTCCAGTTCGGTAGCTCTGGCTTCTGCAACAGATATCTTCTCCTGGAGTGATTTGCGTTCATCGTCAGACAATGGCGCAAAAGTTTGGTTTTCTTCATGGGAAACCTCTCCATTCTCCATGGTTGCGTATCCGTTGGTCATCTGCATTTGAGCGTTGGAGACAGCTTGATCCCTTTCGGCCACAACCGTGTTGAGCTGACCACGGACGTCCTGTAGCTCTTCCTCGACCTTGGCCTTTTGCGATGAGACATTCTCTAATTCCGTGCGTACTTCAGATAATTGTGTCTGCAAGTCAGAAACGGTTTGCGCACCGGATGGATCTGTTGGGGCCGCCATTGGAGTTGCGTTTTGCCGCGCTTCCTCTCGGAGGGCTTCTACTTGAAGCTTGAAGATTGAGATTTGCTCCTCAACCGCAAGCTTCTCCTTTTTAGAAGTCTCCAGATCTTGCTTGGTCGTCGAGAGTTCTCCATTGACTTGGTCGAATCTGGCTTGCAGTTGCTCTTTCTCCGCAACCACCTCCTTATTGGCGGCTCCGAGCCGTCTCGACCGCTCTTTAGCCGAATCGATAAGCTTCTCGCGGTGGACTGCCCACGACGCTTCTTTCTCCTGAATGGACTTCTCAAGCTCTTCGATCTTCTGCTTCAGCGGTGCCTCTGCTTCCTGCAGAGCATTTCGTTCCGATTCCAGATTGGCCACTGTTTGCTTGAGCTCCTCCAATTCCGCTGGGTCCGTACGGCCATGCTTCGAGAGGATATCCTCGGTCCGCTGTCGCCAACGATCACGGTCCTCCTGGAGTTGCTTCATCTCGGCTTCCTTGAAAGCTTGCTGACTCTGAAGTTCTTCGATCTGAGCCTCGAGTGGCTGGATAGAGGATTCCAATTCTGTCACCTTGGCAGTCTTTTCAGTCAGCTGCGCCTGAGTTTGCCGCGCTTCAGCCCGTAGAACCGAAGAGCTCGCACGGTAAGCGTTAAGCTCATCCAACTTGCTCATGAGGTCCTTGTGTGCCATGGTACTTCGCTCGTTGTCATCGTGTGATTGACGTTCCTGCTCCAGCTTGAGCCGAGCCTCGTCGAGCTGAGACTGGGCATATTCGAGCTGCTGTTGCAACCTTCGGCTTTCTTGGGCTTTCAGGTCATACTGGACCTCCAGGATTTCATTTTCGCGCCGGAGATGATTGCTCACTTCTCGATATCTGTCCACATCTGAGCTACTGGGTTGAGCTGAAATCGTCTCGAGCGACTCATCGGTCCCAGCTCGAGTCTGCTGCAGCGCGGAAACCTGTGACGTCACACTCTCAAGTTGCTGGTAGAGCAGCTTATTCTGCGCGTTGGCATCGTCCCGTCGATCTCGAAGTTCTGTGAGCTCGCGCTCGAATCTTTGCCGTCGCTCGTCCCAGGAGCTTTCGCTCTGTAACAGGGTAGCCTTCGCGGATTCCGCCTCGGCCTTCAAGGATGCTGCAGAGGTCTTCAATAGGTTGTATTCGCCTCGAAGATTGGACAGAGTCTTTGCGGTCTCTCCATGTTTCATGACTTCGCTTTCATAAGATTGCTGAGCGTTGGTGGCGATTTCAGCCTGTGCTCGAAGGTCTTGCTGGTGGAACTGGGTAGAGGCTGTGTAGCGCTCTTCCTCATCCTTGAGGCGCTTGATTTCCTCTTCCAGAATGGCCTTCTCTTCCTCGAAGCGGCGAGTGACCTCAGCCTGGGAATCACGCAGCGTCGACAGTTCGCTGTTAGATCTAGTCAACTCGGAAGATAGATCCTCAACCCGCTGCTCAAGTTCCTTGATCGTGGCGTCCTTGGCGGACAGGGATGCGTCCATCTCTTGCGTATATTGCTCCTGGGTCGAATTCAACCTCTCCAGTTCCTCTTCTGAGGCCTGGCTCAACTCCTTATACCTCTCAACTTGGGTTTGGGCGTTCTCCAGATGCGACTTGGTCATCTCTAGGTCGCGCTTCAGATCGGTCGCTTCATGGATTAGATCCTGAATACGCTCATCGGTGTCACCCTGAGTCGCGCCCTGCTCAGACGCAGCCACCATGAAACCGGGTCTGGGGGTGGGTCGGGGCTGAAGGCGTTCGGCACGCTCCTCTGCGCTGCGGAGCTGAATCGTCAACTCGTCAACTCTAGTCTGCAGGTGATCCTTGCTTGTCTTGGTGGCAACAAGTTCTTCCCGGATTTGGCTGAGGTTGGAAGTGAGCTCATCAATTCGCTTCTGGGACTGCTGAGCATCGAACTCCTTTCGAAGCTGCGCCTTCTTGGACTCATCAACCTCATCGGCCAACTTGCGCTTGGTCGTATTCAACTCGGCCTCGAGGGTGTCGATTTGGCCTTGCAGGCGTCGTTTCGTCTCTGATTCGCTGAGGTCCCGTTCATTCTGAAGCGTCTGTTGCGTGGCTAGTAGTCCGTTCAGGCGTGACTTCTCTTGCATCAGATTTTCGTTGTCCTGGCTGAGTCGATCCTGGATGTCCTTCCAGAGCTTCTTCTCGGCTTTCAAATTTGCGTTCTCACTTCGCATGCTTTCCATCAACCCCTTTGCCTCGACAAGATCCTCGGCTACTTGTTGCGTCCGAATATCTTGTTTCGCAGCCGACTCTGACATGGTCTGGTGTCTCTTCTGCAGTTCCTTGTGCTCGTTCTGCAGAGCTGCAAAGTTGGACTGGAGCATTTCGTATCGTTCAGATGCGAGGGATAGCTGACTCCTAATTCTAGAGACCTCCGCCTGAAGGGAGTTTCTTTCTGAAGACAGCTTTTCGTTCTGTTCCCTCCACGTCTTCCGATCAATAGTATGTTCGTTTTGACTTTGGTCGAGATCCTGTCGCAAATTCCGCACTACAGTATCGTACTCAGAACCGCCGTCGTTCATTCCAGAGGTTTGCTCGATGCTGCTAAGAACGCCGTCCCGAATTGGGTGACCAAGAGCAGATGCAAGATCGTCGGCAGAAGCTCGTGATTCGACTATTCGGCGGAACATGTCTCTCTCGTTGGTGATGCTCTCCGTCTTTACTTGGAATCCTTTGAGTGTGTCCTTGAATTCTTCCAACTGTTGCTCTAGGCGGATGCGCTCCTTGTGGTCCTCGACAGCTTGGTTCTTGGCCGCAATGGCTTCCTCGTTCTCCATTTTCTGGCCAAGTTCGTGGCAAACTTGGAGCAGATGTTCGTTCTTCTCCTGAATTTCCTGCAAGTCCTTGAAGACGACTAAGCGCTGGAGTATCATGCTGTTGACGTCAGAAGGCTCATCCGACATCTCGCCTTCAATTTGGCCTCTCTCGAGCTTTTGGAAGTGCAAGGCCTCCTCGAGTGAGAGCTCATCCATGCCTTTCTCGCGGCAGTGCATATTGAACAGCAGCATTTGGATTTGAGCACTGAGGTCTCGCAATTGATTGCGCAGAATGGTGATTTCAGCTTGAGCCTGCGACGCTGCACTCTCGGCCTTGCGTGCGGCCTTTTTGGCAGTGTCGCGCTCACGGAAGCCTTCATCGGAAAGATGTGACATTTTCTTGATTTCTTCCTGAAGTCGTTCGTTCTCCGCGTAAAGCTCCTCGAGTTCCGGGCCTTTGGCTTCCAATTGCTCAATAACTTCGTCCAATTCCTTTGCGAGATTTTTGCTGCGCTGCTTCTCAGCGTTCAATTGGCCTTTGACCTTGTAGTAGTTGTCTAGTGCTTGTGTGGCCGTGAGCGAGTTGCGTGACGAGCCTGGCGTTGCAAAGGGGGAGCCGGAGCGATAGGTCGATCCATTCAGTCCGCGGGGAGTCTGGGGGGCAGATCCAGGCTGGCCAGGTGCAGGCCCAGCAAGCATAGCCTCCAGCCGACCAATCTCGGCTTGTAGCGTATCGTTGGCCTGGGAAAGCTCCTCCTTGTCCAAGTTGACTCTCGCAAGCTCTTCGTTGATCCGTCGGACTTGGTCTTCGCAATCCCGCTTGACTTGCTCTTCCCTAGCTTCAAGATCTTGAACTCGTTTCTTGTGGAAGTCTGCGTGTTGTTCCTGCATTTCACGGAGTCTCGTGACAGTGTCCATCTGTTGTCTGAAGTCTTCCTCTCTGCGCCCCGCCGCCTCTTCGAGCTGTTGGATCTTGGTCAAAGCATCGTCCGCTTTCTTCTGGGCCCCGTCGAGGCGTTGTCGAAGTTGTTGCTCCGTCCGCTTGAGGGACTCAAGGTTCGAAGAGACGTCGTCATTCAGGCGCTCCAGCTCCGTGATGCGAGCACCCTTCTCCTTTCGGTATTTGAGTGCTTCGGCCGATTTGGTCTTCAGCTCGTTCTCGTAGAAGTCAGCGCTGCGTTTGGCCATATCCAGCTGTTGCTGGAGCGCTTGCTCTCGAAACTTGGACGCATTGGCGGTGTTGTTCGCGTTCTGTACAGATTGTTGAAGGGCTTCGATTTCCTGCTTGAGCTTCAGATTCTTCTGATGTTGCGCCTGCAACTCCTGGGAAAGCTCGTCGTTCCCGGAGGTCTTCTTTTCGATGATAGCGAGAGACTCCCGATTTGAGGTTTCTAAGGATGCAATTCGAGCGCGGAGTGTATCTAGCTCAGACTGGGAAGTGGAACTGGAAGACTTGATCGTCTGTAACTCGTTCTCTAATGACTGTCGCGTTGTCTCTGTTCGCAAGTAAGTATTCGCCCGGCAAAGCTGCGAAAGGATTGAGGCAGATGGTTCAAGGCGTACCTTCTTCCTTCAGTTTCTGCCGGATCTCCTCTACATCCTTCAATGCCTTCCTCGCAGTTTCGTTGCTCACATCGCGTTGCGCCTCGGCGCCTCGGACAGAGGTCTCCAGTTCGACCTCCAACTGAAGCTTCTGGGAGAACATGGCATCGAACTCATGACCCTTCGCGGCTACGGCAGATAGTATGGCATTGACGAGGTCGGTGGTCGGATCGAAGGCGACGGTGGCGAGGTTCTTCTCGGGCATACCCAGATGGGTAGCCAAGTAGCCCAGGTCCACACCCGCAGCTGCCATCCTGTCAAGTGCGGCTTCACGAAGCGCGATGCATGGGTGTATTTCGTGGGCAGGAGGTGTCGTGAGGATCAAGGGAGAAGTGGAAGATTGAGAAGATGCTGTTGATCGATCTCGTCGCTGTGTTCGCAAGGCAGGCAGGCACAGGTAGGTCCCGCCTGAAGGAGTCGCGCAGAGGTTCGTGCAGACTGTTGATGCGCAACGAAAAACAGTTGAAGGAATGAAGAAGGTCAAAAAAGCCTGAACCGAACAATGAATTAGGCGACCCGAGCCAGCGTGCAGACCACAGTAGGAGGGCGTGCAAACAATGGAAAGTGAAGGTGGAGAGGGTTGCCGCCGATCGCTGGTCAAGATTTGCTTTCTTTCATCACCGATTGAACTGCTCTGCTCCCAGGGCTGTTTTCGGGGAGGCGCGACGAGGCTGGCAGGCTGGCAGGCTGGTGCAGGTGCAGCCCCAAGGTTACGGAGCTAGGAGCTTGGACCACCGAGTACCACACGAGGTGGCATGGAGGTACCTAGGTACATGACACCGCCCACTTTGATCTGGTTAGGATTAAAGGCTTATACTGCTTAACTAGTGGGTAGCTTCACATGAAAATATATGCACATAACAGGCTCATGTTGGAAAACAATATCAAGACGATACCCATTGGTCCATGTGTATCCGCTATGAATGTTCTAAGGGGGACTACTGAGCAGGAGGAAGTGCTTTGTCAAGTTCCAAGACCAACTACCCATGGTCAGGACGTTGTGAAATTCGGCACAGTGAAACAATCCATCCTCTGTCAACTTTACATCACGAATTTATATATGCCTGGCCAAGGCAACATTTACGTGTTGCGTCCATGTTCATGTTTGATGGGCAACTATAAAATCACAAGGGTCCCGGACCTCCTGCGATGAACAGCACACTTCCAACCAGGCAATACTCCTGAGTGAAATGCCTCCCCCTGGCAGTGCTCTCTGCGGTGAGGCAAGCTCTGCTCGTGTAGGGGCTTTCTAATACTTGACACCCTGCTTCCACACCGGCACCTTACCAATCTCTTGCACACTCCATTTTACCCTCCCCTTCTCATCAATCCACGCACCCTCGTCACTTGCCTTGAGGCCCCGTTCGCCATTTTCCTGGACCTCGCTCTTACTCGCCCCCATCCCGTCTCTGGCAAGCCAGATGAGCGGTGTCGGCGAAGTCAGCGCAGGGTTCAGGTACGCCTTCTTCAGCTGCTCTTCCTTGTATTCCGGAACCTCGTCTTCTTCGATGTCGTAGTGGTCGCCACTGTGGACCCATGTTTTCATAGATTCGTATGTCGCGAACACGTGGGGTTCGAAGAAACGCGCCGTGGGGTCGACCACGTGTTGACTGACGTGCGATGGCACGTGAGCACGCTGGCCTAGGCGTTGGATATGCGATGACATCTGCGATCGACCTTCCTCGGCACCCGATAGCAATGGCGTGCTCTCATCCCCTTCTTCGGATGCAGAAGCTAGGTCAGATGGCAGGAACTTTTCGAGAGGGGATAGATACTTGTTCATCAATACGTTGTAAAGGATAGTGACGATGAACAGTACAGCCAGCATGATGGATGGGCCGGTCGCCTTGCTTAGTCCGAAGATTCCGATCAGGGCTAATTCGGCAATGTACACGCCCGTGAGCAGATGTTGAAGGGCGAGGGTATAAGCTTGACCCTTCGTGTCGATCTTCGGTTGTATAACGTAAAGGAGGTTGTACCGATACGAAAAGTAGTAAAGACCTAGTCCAATTCCTGCAAAGCCAAGCACAAGGGGTGCGATACACGAGTAGGCAATTGCTTTTTTTCAATAAGCAGATGAGGCGAGTGTGGACAGCGTGTAGAAGACTTACCAATGATGGCGAAGTTGGCAAACTTTATGAAATCATCAGCACGTCTGCTGCGAATCTCTTCACGCTCGAAACTGTCAGGGGGCTTACCTTCGGAAATACTTTACCCCATGTGATGCCCTTCATGCTAGTGTATCGAGTAAATTTCTGGCGCGGAGTCTTGTCGAAGAAATAGTCAAAGAATAGGTATTGAAGCAAGTCCGAGTAGTTGAGAAGATTGTCTGTAGCAGAGGTGGTTCCCTGGATGATGAAGTACGTCAAGTAGTAATTCGACGACTTTGGCAGTTGTCTTGCCAGTAGAGCGGGTATCGACGCAGGGTCTTGTATCCCTTCGATGAGCTGTGAGGCTACCGTTGCGGCTCCAGAGAAGACGGCAGTGACGAGGAAAACTTGGGTCACTTGGTATACCTGGAACCATTTCTGTACTTTGATCTCGTTGGCTACCGTAGTCGGTGCGCCAAAAGACTTGAATATGTCTGGAATGGTCAGCCACGTCGTGACCTTGGAAGCGGTAATGTGCACTTACATCGATACAAATTTGGCACATATTTACTCAGTAGACTTGTCAACAAAGGGGGAAGAAGACCAGACAAGAGTCCGATGAGTGGCTCGGGAAGGTTTTTGAGGAAGCTGAGCCATTCAAAGTTCTCCGCAAGGTAGCTGATGTTGGAAACAAGACCAACGAAACCACTGGGGATTGACCAGAATACTATTGACGCAATGACAATGGCGTGGGCAATACCTTCCTGAGAGATGCGGCGCGCGGGCGGGATCGTCAAGTTGTCCCAGATGACGTCCTTGGGTAATACACCGGCGTACCTAGGAGTGAGAGCCAAAAGGTTGGACGACGCGACCTGTTGGCTTGCTCTCTGGGCGTCGGCATGGGTCCGAAACTCGACAAAGACGGCGGCAGCCCCATGAGGATTCTCGATCTTATACGAAGCCCTCATCTCCTCAATCTGACCTTCCTTGTCTTTAATCTGCTCACGGAGCCACTCGATACTGTCCACCTTCTCGCTAGCAGGAGAAAACTTGAGCCTGTGCATTGGCCTGATGGACTTCTTGACCGCATCAGGAAGACTGTCGTAAGTGGGTTCATCTCCGACCTGCGAGCGAACATTCTTAGAGGCTCCCTTCTTATTGGCTTTCCGAATCAGGGCCATTTCTGCACCCTCGAGTTTTCCCACCAGAGAACTCCGCTCCGAGACCAAAGTCTCCAAGGCTTCGGCTTGTGTGACAGGCCAAATTCGTACTGCGCCGTCTCCAAAGAGGCGATGCATGTTGCTCTCCTCGAGGGCATCTCTGGGGGCCGACAAGTACAAAACGGTCCGCGACGAAAGGCGCTTCGCATCTGACGTGGAGAGGGTCCAAGCTTGCCGTAAGCCAATGAGCCATATGCGTTCACGAGCAATGGTAAACATGACGAAGCCAAGGAAGACCCAAGCCATCACGGCATGGGCATACAAGTAGCTCTTCTTACTGACGTTGCCAATGCCAATCTTGTCAATCTGAGTTGATGTGCCACCACCAGCGGCGTTCACTGGCATTAGAACAGGCCATGTTAGACAGCAGCCGACGATGCAGATGAAGATGATAGTGCGGAGGAAGCGCATATAGAGGTAAGTATCCAGTGAGTGGTGGTACAGGAGGAATTTGTCAGAGAGCTTGCTCATGGTATGGACCCAGTCGAAGTAGGCTTGACTTGCCGATGCTGAAGGTGTGCGGTCCCTGCGGAGGGTCAGTGCCTTGGAGGAAGACGGTCGTATCACTGTACTGACCTCTGCGGTATGGTGCCCATGAAGGTACGGGGAGCGTAGATGTTGGGATACCTGTGTCGAATGAGAATGAATATGGCGACAAAAACAAGACCAGTTGCCTTGAGCCAACTTAGCAAAGATTCATACAGCGCAGCAGAGGAATGGGCCTACCCAGGTGGGAACGAAGGCTGATATGACAGCGGCGAGAGAGGCAGAACCCTTTGGCTACACAATGCATCAACTTAGCCTCCAATGGACCGTGGGAAGCGGTTATCTCGGTGGAGTTCAAGACACACCTTTGCCTCCATAGCCTCCCAGCCTGTATCTGCCATGCTTGCCATGATCGGCAGCTCCAACACTGAGAGCGCCTCCTATCTTTTTCCACAGCTGCTGTGCATGTCAGTATGCTGATGCGAGAGGACGGAGATATGAGGCACTACCTTATACGCCAACCGCTGCCAGCTATTTGGGACCAAAGTCTTTTTGAAACTGTCCAGATGTTACAATGAGATGTTACCGTAGTCGTTCAGGCGCGTTATGAGGCACAACACAGGCTTGATGTCGAAGGTTGAAGGTTGGAGGTTGAAACGCTGGAGCCTGGCAGCTCCTGGTGGTAGGCACCCTGGACAGCAGCTAGCCAAGCTTCCAATGACGTACTTGGCGCGCCTAAGAATAGATCAGGAAGGCCAGTGGGGGGCCAGTCCCCAAAACGCGCAATCACGTGATTCTGGCAGGGCGGGTCAGATCTTCGTGGGTGCATTCATTCCATGCCCCTCTCCACCCTAATTCACCCACCGACCATCTACCATACGAAACTGTGCCCCCGAAGCCTTCCGACAACTCCTCTTCGAACCACTCCGGGATACATTTCGTAACCAGCCAGCCACCTGGAAAATGACCCCATGGTACCGATGAAAGAGCACGAAGGAGAGCAGACGAAAGAGCACGAGGGAGAGCAGACAAAAGAGCACGCTTTGGTCATCATGGGGAGCCCCAAGCAAGGCAAGTGCGCGACTTGTAATCACAAGGCGTAGGAAGCCAAGCGACGAATGGGCAGTGAATCATCTCCATTTGGCTTCGTACACGTCAGGACGAGTACTCGTGGCTGCAAATCTTGCCGCAAGTTTTTCTGCAAAGAAAAGAGCTGTTTTGACGAATGGCACAGTAGGAAGGTCCGCGATCTGCGTGGTTCGAGCAAAAAACGACGCAGATAGGACTTCAACACCTCAGTACAGAGTCATTGTTTAAACAACGCCGTCAATCAGTAGGCGCGATGCTAGTTCATTTGGTGGTATTGGCCTCTGTCATACTATCCCAAAGACCGGCGCACCGCCCATTCGATCTTTGGGGCATTGCTTCGGCGACTGTTGAAGCAGGCAATACACCTGCCATGAGAAGTGAGCCGCTATCTTCCTTCTAGACGCTTTTTATATACGCGCCAGGCGTGATGGCGTTGCAAATAGGGTTTGAGCAGATACTGGCAGTGTTTCTGGAAGTTAACAAGAACCACAAGCGCCTTCTAAACTCTAATGATGGCCAAAAACTTATATATACCATGCCTTGCGATGTTTTCTCTTCCTTACATCCATCGATGATTTTTCTCAGCTCCTAAAGTCACGTCACGCCTACACAACTATTAAGTGCCTACCTCCTACGCAAACCAACAACTTGCCAGCTCGCCCATTTCACTTCTCCAAGCGGCAAAGCATCGGATACCGACCGTACCTACATTGCCACTGTATCAAAGATGTCCTCTCGATTCGCGGGCTTCCTCCGCGCGGCCTACCCAGCAGTGAGTGAGTCCCGTCCCGCACCACACCTCCAACTTACCCCTTTGCCCCCACAATATACCACTAGCTTCACACCACCTCTACAGCACTATACTGACGAGCGGCGCAGGTCCTCGTCGGGGGGTACAGCTGGATGATCACCAAGGATCAGCAAAAGTTCAAGTCGGAAACCTTGGACGCGTTGGAAAGGCATACCAATGCGCACTATTCAACAGACGAAATCCTCACCATGCAGGAGGAAATCGGCGTTCTTTCAAAGAACGTGAACACACTCCTACGTACCACCAAACCACTGGTCGAAGGTCAAAACTTGGCAGAGCGAAAGAAGGGCGAAATCGAAATCGATGTCCTTTCGGAGAACGTGAACACACTCTTCGGTATTACGAAACAGCTGGTCGAGGCCCAAAACTCGGCGGAGCGGAAGAAGGGCGACGGTAGCAAGGGTCAGAAGATGAAGATGGTGCAGCAGAAAACGGATCTCAAGCACGTGCAGCGACTCGAGCAGCTCAAGGTGCGACGAACTGGCTCTGGCTGGTTCTGGGCGTAAGACTTCGAGGCTATCTCTGTCCGCCTCGTGCCAGCACGCGTGCTTTGCTTCCAGCATGGGTAAACAAACGCACAGCTTTGGCCATACGTTTCTGGGGTACTAGACCGGATACCCAATAGCGTCCATGGATAAGAAAATACACCTATACAATATTTTACATGAAACTTGCCCATCACCTCCTGTCATTACCTGTAACCGGATACCACAGCATTGTTCCCCGACCGCGAGTCCGCACAGCCCACACTCTATCGGTGCCATTATCCCCAATCGTATACCACCCATCCAACTACTAACCATCTCTAGCCGTGCCCATCCGTCATCCCCTCTCTCCCGAATCACCGCGCCTGAGACTGCTGATGTCCCCCATACCCCCCATCCATCTCATGCAGATGAGAAACAGGCCCGGCCTGCCATCCCATACCCTGAAGCTCAGACCTGGGCTGGCCATGTGCCTCAGGTACCGGAGGTCGACCCTGTCCAGGTGCCTCGAACACCGGCCGTCCATGCGCCTCCTGCGGCGTTGTCTGACCATGGGGACTAGCCGTCGCATGCGCGCCCTGCCCCTGAAGTTCCGACGTCTGCGAGTGCATGTTCTGGCTATGCAGCTCCGACACCTGCGGTACGGGCGGCGGCGGGGGCGGGTACTGTCCATGAGCATTACCAAGTCCCTGCAGTTCCGACGTCTGCGGCGAGCTGTAGCCAGATATAGGCGATACGTTGTCGGCTCGCATGGGAGTGTTAGTCTTCAGGGTACTCGCGCTTGGACTGACAGCCGGTGGTGGTGGAGCGACGGCTGTGCTGTCAAGTTCCGGTTTGCCAGCGCCGCTGTCGTGACCAGTGGGCATGGCAGCGGGCTGACTGGCTTGAGCCTTCGCGGCTCTGGAACGGCGCCTGAAGAACCAGAAGACGACAGCCGCAAGGGCAAGAGCGACGAGCACGCCGACTACCGCTCCTACTATGGCGCCGACGTGCGATCCGCCGCCTGCCCTCGACGATGTGCCTCCGCTCCCAGAACCGCCGCTTGAGCCACCAGAGTTACTACCAGAGCTGCCAGATCCAGATCCGCCAGATCCTGTCGAGCCTCCTGAACCAGACCCTCCGGTCTCCGTGGGTCCATTGACGCCACTATTCCCAGTGGCAGCTGTGCCGCTATTGCCAGTAGCAGCCGTCTGCTCGACTGTTCGGTCTTAGCTAGCTGAGTTGAAGTGCATTGCAAAGGTCATAACTCACTAGACTCAGTGACTCCAGCAGGCGTAGCGACGCCCTTGGCGGCGCTGCAATAGAGACCAAACACGTCGAGCGCAGAGGTGATGTCCTCCGACGCGGTAGACTCGCAGGAATACTTCACGTCCGAGGTGATGACGCTGGATACGAAGTCGGACATGTCATCTCGGAGGCAGACGCACGAGGCCAGAGCCTTGGGACCGCCGGGGCAGAGGTCATATGTTTGCTGCAATATCATGCGTTAGCAGTGCAGGTGCTAAGTTACTTTGTGGGCGGGTGGTTCCCTTACACTTAGAACGCCGTATGACACTGCGGATTGCGCGCATGGGGCCAGTGAGGCGTACTCGGGCAGTGCCGTGATATAGTAGGTCACTAGAAGTTACTTTAGCATGCTCTGCCTTGAGGAACTTTCTATATCCTAGGGACTCACTGTCTCCCGGAGGATCCGTCGTCTCAGGGAACGAGGTAGTACCGCCCACCAAGCCACAGTAGCCGGCAAACACTGCCTGGGCCGACTCGACGTCTGCTGTGTGCGAGAGGCACGAGTACTTCACCGAAGTATTGATCACTTGACTAGCTCGCAGAGAGTTCTGGTCCTTATCGCAAGCACATGTAGCTAAAAGGCTGGGGTCTCCGGGACAGAGATCTAACGTCTTTGCTTGGGGGTCAGATCTCTGCGTGCCTGGGGGAGTCAGGTCGAAGTCGAACTTACTAAGCTCCTGTGAATGGTAAGTAATTGCTTCAGACTACATATAGCGAGATATGAGACTTCAGGGGTGTGTCAACGTACTGAACAGCTTCCGAGACACCACTCGCCGCACACGGCGCAAGCTCCTGCCAAGCCGACAGGTCGGTGATATACTGCGTGACCGCGATTGACGGCGTAGGGAACGGGGTGATAGCATCTTGATCGCAGTAGGCTTCGAAGACGCTGGCGGCGCTAGCCTGGTCGGAAGACGCTGTTGGTCCGCAGCTGTAGCTGACAGAACTCACGATACCGGCAGAGACCGACCTGGAGTTGCCGTCCTTGGTGCAGACGCATGATTGCAGGTCGGTCACGGCTTCGGGGCAGTTGTCGTATGTCTGCGTCTGGATGTTGTAGGAGAGGGCAGACGCTGCGCAGGGAGCCTGTGGCGAGGGCGGTCAGTACGACACGCACAAGGTACCGTGATGGCTTCTTCATGTTGTCCTAGGTGCGAAGATTCCCCTGCTGTACATGGTGCGGTCCCTCTGAGTGACTCGAGGACGAGAACTTGGTCATAGGTATGACAACCAGGCTGGAACAGTCAACTTACCAGAACGGTGAAGATGGAAAGATCAGTAACGTAAACGATTTCTTGAGCCACGACAACAGATGCGCTCCAGCCAGCAAGCACCATCGCAGACAGTAACTGCATCATTTTCAAGATTCAGACAAGTCAAGTTGCGGGGACTATAGAAATCGGAAGAGAGGGAGACACAGAAGCAACAAATTCCTTCTGCAAAGGCAGTGCTTTGTAGACCCTGAGCACAACACCTCGCTCAAGCGCAATTTCTCCTTTCGAGCGCCATGCATACTTCGTGATCGCTCGAGCGGCTGAGGAGTCCAGCATCACAACCACACGCGACTTGTTCGGTTCGTGGGCTGCAAACCCCCTGTCAGCTGAGCTGCGCTTCAGAACGCCTCTTTGCTTGGCTGGAAAATGCTGGAGGATACGGAGGACCAGCCCACCAGTCAAAGTCTAGACTCGAATCCATACCACAGCCACTTCGCTCTGCGATGGTGAATGAGCAGGTGAGGCTCGATCATCCGGCCAAATTTCCCAAGTTCGATTTGATGTTGACTTGAGCCGTAGGTGTTTCCAAATGTTCAATAATCCATAGCATAAAAGGCCAACACCACAGCGAGATCGGCGCTTCAACACGTGGCCCCTGACAGAGTGGTGTGTGGTTCGGCGCCCAAGCTGAACCCCTGAACGCTCGGCGGTGGGATGACCCGACGCTTGACGCCTATCTTGAAAGCCCTCAGGGGTATGGCGGTCGGAGGCGCTTCTGCATACATGCATGCATGTGGCATGGATCCTGAGTGCCATGGATGGTGTGAACCGTAGGGTAGATGGATCCAAGACAGAAGACAGGCAGTTGAGAATATGCAAGCCAATTGACTGACGGAGTCCCTCCTTCGTTGCCAATTCAGTATAACGATCCGTACTGGACTACAAGGGTCTGCAAGCAGAAGGTCATACCTCATGTATAGTTAGATAAAGTTAGGCGAGCTATCTTGTGAATGCGGCAATGAACTTCGTGGGCCTTGGTTGATGTTTTGGTGTTGTAGGCTGAGAGCAAATATGGGCACGTGTCCTGTTGTGTAACAACTTGCAGTTACTCGGCAGTGCCCAGTGGCTTGCATCCATCGCTGCATCACTAGATTAAGTTCAAAGATTGTAAGACTGTGTAATGAAGAACACGCAATGCAGCCGAAGTGAATGAATATCATGTCAATATTGAAGTAAAGCCATCACTTCCACCCCGGTCAACCATCGCCCATAAATGGTATGAACTTGTTCACGGTCAGATATACTCCTATAGGACCGCTGCGCAGGCCGACAAAAACCTCAATATACAGATAAAACCGAGAAAAGACATACACGATACAGGTCACGGTCACGGGGATAATGACGCGGAGAGCCACAGCCATCTCCGGGTCCTGATCGACCGAGATGTCCCTCCACGAGGCGATCCAAGGACGAATTCTGCAGAGATATCGCATGACGACTTGTCTCGGAGCCCTTGGTAGTCCCTCTCTCGCCGACAGCTGCGCTTCCGGGTCGAAGCCCTCCAGTTCCAGACCTATCCGGACCGAAAGGCTTCGCACCGCAGACGCGTCGTCATTCACGACGGCGGACTGTCCCCCACCACCCTGCCTCTTCCGGCGCTTAGTCCACTTGACAGCCTCGATGAGGTAGTAAACCCCACCAAATACAACAAAGACGGAGTGGTACAAGCCGAAAGCACGCCACATGAACTGCTCCGTCGGCGTGGGGAAGTAGAAGTTCCAGGCGATGAGGAAGGACGAGCTGAAGAAGAAGAGCACGGCGGCGCCGAACGGCACGAAGGCCATGTCGGGCGGCACGAGGCGCCCGCCGGGCCGCAGAAGGCGGTAGAAGCCGTCCAGAACGGCTTTCGGGTCGGTGGCGTGTACGAAGGTCTCCATGGTGTAGATGCCGTCCATAGACTGCGACGGCAGGTCTTCCAGGTGGTGGTAGTCCATCTTGCGCACCTTGACGGTGCCCTCGGGCAAGCCAGACCGCGTGATGTTCTGGCTGGCCTTGTAGACGTGGTGGTCCACGATGTCTATGGCCTCGACGCGCAGGCCGTGGGCCTTGGCCATGTGCAGCGCGACGTGGCCAACGCCACAGCCGGCATCGAGCACCTGCGAGCCGGCGGGCAGCGCCAGCGCCTCGGCCAGCTTGTCCTCCATGTTGCGCAACCCCTTTGTCAGGGGAAAGGGCCAGTAGGTGTCATGGTCCCAGTAGCTGAAGTGGCGCGTGCCTCCCAGCAGCAGTCTGTAGCCTATGCGGGACTCGAGAGAGTAGTAGTAGGACTGTAGTTGTGGATTGGAGTTTATCAGCGGTGCCGAGTCGCCTGACGCTCCTGGAGCGGGCGTCATGTTCTCAGTTTGGCAGGACGCCTGTCGCAGCGATGGTAGCGAGGTACGTGTTGTCTCAATCTTGCGATTTGTGAAGCTTTGCGATTGGAAAGTGATTCTTGAAGACAATCAAAGGTGGAAAACGACGGCTGAGGTGAAGGGTCGTCGACTTGAAATGGTGAAGTCCCGTCAGAGTATGCTGCCGTAAGTGGGGTGTCTAGCAATCAAGATGCGAGACAATGTAACAATGCGCAATCAAGGGGGGGACGAGGCTGGGTGACGGCCATCACCAATTGGTTGCTCGTTCGCCGGGCGGCACGTATCCCTGAGATACTCTGCAGTCACCCATGCTAAGCGCTGAACAGTCATCGCCCATTGGTTGAGATAGCTTCACTGTCTCACTGCCAAGCTGGCACAATGCTACCCAACATCTTGAGAAAATTGACTGCTCTCGCCGCGCTGGCTCGGCTCATATTTTCTGGTGACAAGGTCCATTCGTCGATGTTTCGATCGCGATATTAAGAAGTCGAACACTTGCATACTTGAAGGTTCAGAACTTTCGTTCTCCCAACTCTTCTCTCATGGTCTGTACCGGTATGCTCAAGCCACAATGGGCTACCGGTACCCGGAGGGTCAAACTGCAACATCACCAAACTTGCAATAAATTTGGTAATAAAAGGTAAATTAGATATTGCTGCCGCTCGTCAGACTGTGGACGTGCCAGGAGGTAAGTCGAAAATACGTCAAAACAACAGTGCAGTATCTGCAAACCTCGGTCCCTCGCCAGCACGTGACATATTTGGCCATGAGGGGTACTTACTTCCTCGGGACCACTTCCTTGGGACTTCAGCACATCTTCTTATTCCAAGACCAACAGTCCTAGAGCTGGCTCTGAGATCTGCGATGTATTACATGATATGTCGACCGCTCATCTCCTCAACGAGATGTGCCCTCATCCGCCCATCTCCAGGGTGGCTGCGGGTCCGCCCGTCTAATCTACGGCCCATCAGCACTCGGGTGGTGGCCGAGATGCAGGACGGTGACTTCAAGGCACTGAAGATCGACCAGGGGCGGATGATGGACTCTCTGCATTCCATATGTTCTTTCGGGACGGGTAAGCGCTGGGGAAGGTACAGGCACTCCGTCCAAAGCAACGCGCCAGTGCCTTGATACCTAACTACCTACCTTATTAATAGGTTCGCTGACAGGAGTGTGGAAAGTACAGTGCCCCGACTGAGACCGGCATGTCCCGTCTAGCCCTCAGCGATAGTGACAAGCAGGCCCGGGACTGGTTCGTGGACACCACCACGGCACTGGGATGCGCTATCAACCTGGACGCCATGGGCAACATCTTCGCCGTGCGCCCCGGTCGTCAGAGCGGCCTGGCCACCTTCGCTGGCTCGCACTTGGACACCCAGCCGAGTGGCGGCAGGTATGATGGGATATTGGGTATCCTGGCCGGTATCGAGATGTTGAGGGTACTCGAGGACCACCATATCGAGACCGAGTTCCCGGTGGGAGTTGTTAATTGGACCAAGTACACCCACCCCCTTTTCCTCAGCAATATGGTTTGTGGTATTGTGAAATAGAGCCCGGTTAACCTATCTCAACAGCGAGGAGGGCGCTCGGTTCCCGATCAGCATGGTATCATCCGGTGTCTGGGCAGAAGATATCCCCCTCGCCCGCGCCCACAACCTCAAAGAGGTAGGCGGAGGGAAAGCCACCGTGAAGTCCGAGCTAGAGCGCATCGGCTACCTCGGCACCATGCCAGCGAGCTACAAGAGCATGCCAATGGCAGCGCACTTCGAGCTACACATCGAGCAAGGTCCCATCCTCGAGACCGAGCGGCAGAAAGTGGGAGTCGTGCACGGGGTGCAGGCCTACCGCTGGTTCACGGTCGAAGTCCAGGGGCGCGACGCCCACACGGGCACCACGCCCCTCGCCAACCGCGCCGACGCAATGCTGCTCGCGGCCCGGCTCATCACGCACGCCCACCGCCTCGCAACAACACATTCTGCCATGGCGGCAACCGGGATCCTGACCCTTACCCCGGGCAGCACAAACACGATCCCGGGCACTGTCCGGTTCGCACTCGACGTCCGCGCCCCCGCCGACGCGACCGTCGACGCCATGGAAGCCGATCTCAAGGCGGACTTCGCGGCCCTCGCAGCAGGCGAGAACATCGGCGGTCTCCTAGACGGCTCCACGCCAGGAAAGCCCCTAAACATATCATGGCAGACCGACAGCGTGTCGCCCGCGACGCTGTTCCACGCAGACTGCATAGCAGCGGTCCGCGCCGCGGCCGAGGCCGTGACGGGCGACAAGGGCCTGGTGCGGGACATGACGAGCGGAGCGGGCCACGACAGCGTGTACGCGAGCCGTCGGTGCCCGACGAGCATGATCTTCGTGCCGTCCCGGAACGGCGTCAGCCACAACCCGGAGGAGTACACGAGCCCGGAGGACTGCGCTGTTGGGGCCGAGGTGTTGCTGCAGAGCGTGCTTAGGTATGATCGGTTGAGGAGCATGGGTGCGACTGGATCGGGCTAGAGTCGTGACTCGTGTGGATTTTGGAACAGACCGTGCTTGGGGATGAGACCCGGCTTGGGTGCTGTATAACTTATGGCAGACGGACTGGTCACCAGGGCCTGTATACGAATGACATCGGGGCCAGCGTAGGTATGGCTGGCTAAGTGTTTGTTTAGGAGCACTGATATGATGATACGAGGAGTACCATCGAAACAAGCGAGTCAAGTAGGAAAGTCTCCAATGAACAAGCCAGGTCAAAGGCAGAGCAGAGTGGGACATTCATGGCCGGCAACGGCCAGAATGTGATCATCTTGTCTACCTTCCCTGTACAGTGCGCACCTAGATCATCCCATCAGGCATTGTGAATGACAGACTCTGCCCCTGCCGATGTTACTACACATCTAAGCAAAATCGCCAAATTTCGCCACTGCGACTTGTCTACTGATTGGTTTCTGCAATGGTTTAGTATTGTATACGAAGCCATTGCCCTCAACTTCACTGGTGAGACTATCCTTGTTCACCCTGGTACCAGAAAGCGAGGGCACTTAGTCCCAGCTCTTGCTGAAGAAGACACATGAACATGCCAGTCACACGGTGGGTAGGTTGGATCTAAGCCGCCCTCCCTGTCACGAAGCTACCGGGAGACCTGCAGAGACCAAGGTTGTTATCTGGTGCACTTGAGCAAATGGCTAAGGAGCCAACAAGTCAGGATCCGTTGTAGTATTTCTCGCGCGATGTGACGAGACCAACGTGGCAGACGCCTAGTCTGTTTGACAACTTCCCACAGGCACGTGTCCCCGAGGATCGCGCGCTGATTCGGGTAGTTATACAGAAGAGGTTGGTCCTAGTCCTTCATCTGCCGCACGTTCAAGTTGATCCGCTTATTCCGCATCCAACCCTTCCACGCCTCGAACTTGCCGTCCTCAGCAGGCCAGTCCGCCAAGAAGTCCGGGCAGGTACCCTTGAGGACTTTAGGAACGCCATGCCAGGCATACCGCGAGTCCTCGCTCATGTATATAGCGTCGCCAGACCGCAGACGCAAAAGGAGGTACGGCTTCTTTTGCGGCGGTTCGTCGTCGTCGGTGCTATTCTTCTCTGTTTGCTCTTCTGCACCTTTGCTTGGTGCGATCATGAATAATGCGTCGCACCCGATACTGATACTGACCAGGCCCTTGTCGCTCTGTTCGCTGACGTCTCGATGCATCATCATGGTGTCGCCGGGGCTGTAGAAGTTGACGATGGCGGCCTGGGCTTGCGTCTCTGGGAACAGGGTCTGCAGGAAGTTGGCAATGTCGTGAGGGAAGCCAGGAGACAAGTGATCGGGGTACTGGCGATTGGTCCAGTCGTATTGTCCGCCTAGTGTCACCCACGAAAGCCGGCGATCAAGCACTCTTTTTATGGATAGGGGTTTGTGTACTGTGGGATCCTTCGGTACGAATTGTGTAGTGGGATCATCGGGGGAGTAGGAGAAGAAGGACCGGGCATCCACATCCTCGCCGTCTCTGTAAGGGAGACCATAGTGAAGGTGCAGATTCGTCTGATGTGTGGGATTGCTTAGGTCCCGATGTATCATTCGTGACAGCAACGCTTTTTGTACTCGCGGTGGTACCATGGACGGGACAATGAGTAGACCTGCCATGAAGATGAGAGACCCATCAATGCTGACGGGTAGAAGTCGGAGGTGGCATACCTGGAAGTAGGGGATGAAAATATATGGGTGCGTCGTTAACGGTTGTATGTGCATCCCATTCATCGCCTTCCAGTTGCTGGAATGAGCTTCTCAGTCTCTCGCTCGGTAGGTGTTCAGCCAGCCGAAATGCACTCTTTGCGTCTGAAGGGTCCAACTCGTCTATCTCGAGGTGACTGGCAAAGTCTGCATGTTCCGTTCTGGAATATCTCTTCCAGTTTACCCTCAACTCATCTGAAGGCTGCTCATGAGCATCCAGGGTTGTGAGGTCGATTGTCATTCTGATGTGTCCAGCTAGTTGTCGTTAGCGTTGGTGATATTCACGAGGTCCTTTCTGGGTGTAGGAAGAGCCAGAGTTTCATATATGATAGGCGATGTGAATGTGACCCCAACTGGCTACCTCCATGAGTTCAATGCTCGTTGCCATTGAATTCACATTCATCCAAACCTTTGGAGTAATGGAGTATGGCCTCTGGCCCCACCCGGCCCCTTGATAACTCGATAATCCCTCCCAGGCTTCGGCGATAAGATAGCGAGATAGCAGTCTTGGACCGTGCCCGCCGAGCCACAGACGCTAAGCCACTTCGCGGTTCCAGCTGTTAGTAAACATACACAACCTTAACTGGCTCCCTCGGAGACGGTTACCAAGTCATCTGGGAAATTCAATTCACACAACATCACAACATCACACAGGCAGACGTCAGATCAAGGCCAAAGACGACAATCGCCGTGCCTGGGACGACTGCGACGGCCTCGATGGAGTCGTAGCCCAGCAATTCTGCTCCCAAGTTTGACAATTCAATTTCTTCAATCCAAACCCGACGGTCCTTACAGCCAGCCTGCCTGCGTGCCGTTGCCCCTCGTTCTGCCCCTGCCGCGATACACGATACCCCACTAACAATCAACATTGGACAACGCTCCAGCCATCCCACGGCATCGCATAGTTACCCGATCTCGAGACGCTGCGAGACGCTGTCGACTCGTTGACCGAACCAAGCTGGTCCTCTGATCATTACACTCCTTCGATCTCTGATTTCGACGTTCAACGCCCACAGGCTGCAAGTATGGAGAACTACCAGAAGCTGGAGAAGATTGGTGAAGGTAAGCCTACATCCTACATCCTACATCCCCTAAGGCATCTAGCATCCAGCCTCGTTGCCTCATCCCCGCGCCACTCAGCTCGTCCCGACGCCTTTGTCATATGCTTTGCGCCCGTGCTGATCACATGTCTGTCTACGTGCAGGCACCTACGGTGTCGTCTACAAGGCTCGCGACCTTGCCAACGGCGGTCGCATTGTCGCACTGAAGAAGATTCGCCTCGAGGCCGAGGATGAGGGTGTCCCGAGTACAGCTATCCGTGAGATCTCCCTGCTCAAGGAAATGCGCGACCCCAATGTTGTCAAGCTGTTCAACATCGTCCACGCCGACGGCCACAAGCTGTACCTCGTCATGGAGTTCCTCGATCTTGACCTGAAGAAGTACATGGAGGCACTTCCCGTCGCCGATGGTGGACGAGGCAAGGCCTTGCCTGAGGGTTCCGGCCCCGAGCTCGGTCGCCTGGGTCTTGGTGATTCCATGGTCAAGAAGTTCATGAGCCAACTCTGCGATGGAGTCAAATACTGCCACTCCCACCGAGTCCTGCATCGCGACCTCAAGCCCCAGAACCTGCTCATCGACCGAGACGGTAACCTGAAGCTTGCGGACTTTGGCTTGGCGCGCGCGTTTGGTGTTCCCCTCCGGACCTACACGCACGAGGTTGTGACCTTGTGGTACCGTGCGCCCGAGATTCTGCTCGGTGGTCGCACATACTCAACCGGTGTGGATATGTGGTCGGTGGGATGCATCTTTGCCGAGATGTGCACGCGAAAGCCCTTGTTCCCCGGTGACTCGGAGATCGACCAGATCTTCAAGACATTCCGGTAAGCAACATGACTGTGCTGCGTCGATAGCATCCCGTGAGTTGCTAATGATCTTCTAGGCTGCTAGGAACACCGGATGACGAGGTCTGGGAGGGTGTCACATCCTTCCCCGATTACAAGAAGTCCTTCCCGAAGTGGGTGCGCGATCCGACGAAACCCTTGTGCTCCAACCTCGACGAGGAGGGCCTGGACCTCTTGGAGAAAACCCTGAACTATGATCCTGCTCACCGGATTTCTGCGAAGGAGGCCTGCACACACCCATACTTGAAACCACGAGAGTAGTATGCCTAGGCTACCTGTGTCCTATCTGATGAATAGGAGATGACGCTATTTATCTGAAGGCGAAGGATATGCTTAATAGCGTTGAGCATCATCTTTGGCTTTCAGGATACTGCCGGTCTGGCTGTTTGTCACCACAGTGGGGATACAAGCAGCACCATCTTCAAGTGCTTGCCACCCCAGGACCATTGGTGCTTGCCTCACTGGAAGCTGCCCCTTATTCGACGAGTACTGCATGGTTTGTGTCTTGTTTTGGCGTTGGGGAGACATCGGCATTTGCGAGCGGGTCAGGAAGCATACCTTGGACCAGTGCATGGAAGGACTCTTTTCGTATACCACGTATACTTGTATTGGTTTCGTGGTCTGAGCACTAGGGTCCCCAGAAGGCCTGCTTTCATTGTCTACACTGATCGCAACACCGAGCTAGTGCATCATGGATCATGGTGAGGTATATTAAACAGAGCCCGTTATGGTTTCCCACCGTTTCAGTCTTCAAGTACATATGCTCTTGCTTCTTACTCAAGGTGTCATCTCTCCATGCTACTGTACTTGTCCTTGTACCTCGCTTAGCACCGCGGAGTCTTGCAGTTTTCACCGATTGACTGATGATTGATGCGAGCTCAACGTGCATCACGTTCTTTTCATGCTAATGTCTGGCAAGGCCCGGTTTCACTGTAGGCTTTGAAGCGACCTTTAATTGATATTACTAGGTACCTCATGGCAATGTCCCCCCCTGACCAGACGGGTGTTGGTTTCTCCTTACCTGCTCCTAGGTCTTTATTCAGCCCATCAGCTCTTGCCACCCCCTACCTTGGAACTGGAAGGTACGACTGTTCTGTGGGAGCGATAGACATAGTACATACCTTAGGTACCGTACCTTATGAATCCGATCCGCCCCTCATCTTCATCAGAATCTACGCTACCTCCTGCCTCTCTTTTTTCCATCTGCCTGTCGGAGTCATTCCAGCATGCTGGGCCGTAGTTGCATACCTACCTACCCAGGTGTCTCGCCATCTACATTTACCGGTATCAATCATGGATGCTAGTTTCACATTCTCTATTCCCTCTACTGATGTCTGCCATTTCAAAAGCAGTTTGATAGCTCCAGCTAATGGTGCTCCTGGGGATGCTCTTGATTCAACCATCCCCTCCCCCCCCGAACTCCAAAAGACGACAGTACATCAGAGGCCATCATCAGCCACATATCACTTACGGCCTGGGGTGTCCAGTTCAGGTTCTTACCCCAATGACCTGCATGGTCAGCCTGCGACCGTGACGACAGAATCACGTGATGATCGATGGCTTTCTACACTTCTTCTGCTCCCCTCATCCAGCCTTGCCTGACCTGCCACCTACAAGAATCACAACCGGAGACAGAATGGCACACGTTTCACCGGATCCTGACCGTGTTGTTCAGGAGGACGGTGGCAATGGTGAAGCCGGCCCGTCCACACTCGCGACATTTTGCGACAAATGCAAGGCAATCCAGCTCGACGACTCTAAGTGGGGAGGTCATGCTGCACGGGACCATAATGGCCACGAAATCCTAATGCTGAGTCCTATCCACGACCCTGAGGGTGCGCGTAAAACCGACTACGAGGTCGACGATGACTATCCGTCTCTCCCCTACCTTTCTCAGTCAGCGGCAGAGGGCTGTGATTGCTGTCGCTGGTTGCGGGAGTCGGCTCTTGCACATAAATTTGACGTTACGAGACTGACGGTTACGTCTCCGGGTGAGAGCAACAAGAGACCTGAGAAGCGCACGTTGCGTATCTCTGTATCCTACCACTGGAAGACGAGCCATAGGGGTCCGAGCAACAACGGTGAAGGGCTTTGGGCAGTCTTCGTTCATTTCTGGCTTTCGCCATTCGATGGTTGTGCGTCTCATTCCTATCTACCGCTGATAATTTTCTGACCAATGATAGTTTTCTTTGCAGGTTATCACACAAAAGTTGCGTATCATGTAGAAACAGACCCGGACGGTAAGTAGAACAACCAGATTCGTGCATGCTCGCGGATCTCACAGTAGCCAGATCTTTGTGCCGAATGGCTAGGGCTGAGCACCAGGGGACTTAATATCATGTCCACTCCAGATACGGTCTCTTGGATCGACGAAATGCTGGGCTCATGCCAGTGTTTCCCCAGACACCGAACCACTCGCTTTATCCCGAATAGGCTGCTCCGGGTCGACTGTGACCCGCCGCGACTGGTCGAGACGTCAAAAACTCCGGACGAAGAAAGGCTACTCGAGTACACTGCGATAAGCTATTGTTGGGGCTCACCAGAGCAGGCAGGTTTGCAGATGACCACCGATACAGCATCTTTGCCAGCAAGACTAGCCGGTATCAAGGAATCTGAGATGACCCCAGTGCTGAGGGATCCAATCCAGGTAACTCGAATGCTGTCCATCCCATACCTTTGGATAGACGCCCTCTGCATCATCCAGGATGACAGATTTGACTGGGAGCGAGAATCCATATGGATGGGCCAGATATACTCAAGTGCCTACTTGACGATATGCGGGCTGTCATCCACGTCATGTTTAGAGGGCTTTCTCGATCGACAGCCAGCATTGCTTACAATGCCATTTCAGTCTAGGCTCAACCCCAGAATTCATGGGTCTTACCGTCTCCGGGCGGTACCATGTGATCTTTCTATGGCCTCAGGGTTCAAATACTCAGAAAACAGTGAGTTTAACATGGATCTGACCAGCAGTGTCTGGCACCAAAGGGGGTGGACATTGCAAGAATCTGCAATGTCAACCAGAATTCTTGCATTCGGCAATTTTGGTGGAGTCCACTTCCGCTGTCCAAAAGAACCGAAATCCTACGGAAGTATATCACTGGATGAACCCTACATTTTTCAACTGTCCTTGCTGGATGAGGAACCTGATGATGAGCAATGTTATGAGCGCTGGTACCTAGATGTGGTGATTCCATACTCCAAAATGCTGCTAACGTACAAGAAAGACCGTTTCCCAGCCATATCGGGGCTTGCTGCATACTTCAACAAAAGGCTGAACGACGACTATATTGCTGGGCTTTGGGGGCGAGATATACATAGAGGACTCGTCTGGGCTGAAAATAGCCTAATTATGACACACCGTACGCCTTCGCTAGAGCTCTTACTATGTCGGTTGCGGGATGCGGCCCAGTACGATGCCCCCTCCTGGAGCTGGGCCAGTCGACAAAGCCCCGTTGACTATGCTCCGCTGGGTTATTTCGAATCGGGAAAGGAGACTAGGATGCACCGACAAGAATTCCAACTCCTCGATTCCAGAGTCTTGTTGCAAGGGACGAACCCATATGGCCAGACGACTCGGGCGACACTACATATCAAAGGCAGGACCCATCCCCTGCCGGACGTATTATCTGTCAGTAGATATGGGATCAGCTGTATTGAGGTTGATGATCAATCACGCGCATTCTGCCGCCTTGATTGGGCTAACTGGAATTCATACACGGCGTTGGAAACCCATCCACGACAGGGACTCCGTATGCTTCTCCTTGGGAGCGCATATTTCGCCTGGCTGTCTGGACCGACGACACCATCATCTGTTCCGAGTTCTCCTTCAGACGGAGTAGCACGTTCAGAACCGATTGACATGCCTAAAAACGCAACATACCAACTGTCACCCCCGACAACCCGCGATCCCGACGATCCCGGCTTTGACGCACGGCTGAGCTGTGCAGACGCAGACGCACGCGCAGGCTCGGGCAGAAGCACAAGCGCAGACTTGCCTGCTGCTCCGGAACTCGATGAAGACAATGTGAGATTGTACGGTATAGTGCTTCACCCAGCTTCGAGGCCCGGCGAGTACTTCAGGGTAGGGATATTTTATTCGCAAACTTTTCACCAGTCAAGGGGGCTGATGCGACTATTTGACGGCTGTGACGAGAGTACCATCACGCTCGTTTGAGAAAAGGGGCAGGCGATGCATCGCGGATGTCCAAGCTGGCTGGGACTTCGCAACCCATCCCTCAGCACCGCGGTTATCTGAGATTTGGCAATGCCGGCTAGTCTTGCTGGCAACGATGCCGTATGGGTTGTTACCTGTATAATTGCCTTTGAGAAGCCACATTGAGGAGATCTTTACGTGTGCAACGCAATCTGTTGGCGTCGGGTCCGGATACAAGTAGATCACTGCGATGACTCGAAAGGGGATCTGGTCTCCACGGATATGGATCGACTTGTTTTGATATGCTAGGAGCAGAGGTTTTTCGGTTGTGGCGGGCCAGCCCGCCGAGGATTCAGCATGGTCGGAAACAGAAATAGTTGGACGTTCACACCCTTTAGCCACGTTCAAGGACAGGGGAGGATAGGGACGGCGGTGAGATGAGACCTTTCACGGTCTGATTTCGCTCTTTTTGGATGACTCTGTTGGCATCGACATGGCCACTCATGCCTAAAGATTCAAGAAATGGGGGTGTGGAGGACGCTAAGCCTCACCACCCCGGGCATCTGTATATCGTTTTCGCTTATATCTCGTTCTCGTTCATCAGACTCAGCCACTCTACTGAGTGCCTTCCGAATTGAACCTTCGTGACAAGCATCATAAGGTACGGCCTCAGCTGGCCCTGCATCGCTGCAATTGAAAAGCTTGCGTTCTCCCGGTTGGGTTGTTGGTAAGGAACTTGGTTTGTGTCTCTTACATTGTCACTGCGCTTCCATCATCTCATCTCCTACAGTTGCAAGAAACTGTGATAAGACTCCTCTGTTGCTGTTCTTTACAAATCAAGCCCAAGGTCGACTTCTTAATCAAGCTTCGTAGTCAATATCCCGCAGGACACACACGGTTTGTTAACCACCCCAAACGTCACCTACAATGTCATCCGGCAGACGTGGACCCGTCGGTGGCCTCATCGGCATGCTAGGCAAGGACGTAGGCGCAGCAGCCGAATACCGTGAGCACCGCAAGCAGCAGAAGCAGAACCAGGACCAGCTCTCCCGCGAGAAGTCGCAGCAAGGGGATCAGAATCAGAGCGTGGAAGCTGCCAGGTCTTCTGCTGCCTCGTCGGCCCTGCCGCCCCAGTATGGCGAAGCGGTGACGAGTGAGGAGGGCATGGAGCATTCCTCTGTCGCCTCCAGAGGCGGTCCGCCAGCGAGGGACGACGGGAAAGCTGCAATGTCTCACCACCATAAGGTCGAAGACGACGACGACGATAACGATGACGATGTGCTTTCAGTGGAAGATGACGAAGAAGTCTGGGAGCTCGACGAGGCCATGGAGCCTGCGGGTGAATCTGGTGGAGCTCATCAGGTCCCTCCTTCATACGGGCAGAGCGAGGCCGACTACCGCACGACCGACGAGCTGGTGGAAGACGTCATGCGCACCAGCAGAAGAGCAGCGGCTTCCTCTGGTGGAATGCCTAAGGTTAGGGTGCGCCAACCTCTGCCCTTACCCGTGATCATCCCCCAGCGCCGCCCTCGCACGAAGGCACGGGTTTGGGTCCACGCCTACGCACCAGCACTAGAAAATTGCGGTATCAGCCAGGAGACCTTCATGGCGTTCCTCGACAACTTCGACAAGGACTCGAAGGCCTCGCCTGTCTTTGCCGTCTTTGCCGTCATCGCGGTCTCGGCCGGTATCGCCGGCCTTGCGCCGTCGATGATTGTCATGGCGGTTACTACGGCGGTGCAGCTGGCCGCGCAGAAGGGGGCTGACTACCAGCGCCGCCAGCGAACGAACGGCTTTCTGGATTGGATGAACGCGGAGCTGTTCCGGCCGGCGGGGCTTTATGCTTTTATCATGAAGTACGAGGCTGATGCGGATGTGAGTGGGAGTAGTCGCGCTGGGGGGTGGGGGGGGGGGGGAGCCGCGTCGAGGGTGAGAATGACAACAACAACAACAGCAGCTCTCGCGGCCTAAGCGACCGTCTAAATGACTTCCGGCTCGCATCAGGGACAACGCAGGACTCAATACAACTCCCTGAAGCCGCGCCGCTCATCTTCCCGGCCATCGACCGAGCCATAGTCAGAAACGGGGCGGCAGAAGAGACGTTCAAGGACAAGGTCAAGGACGCCAAGATGTTCCTCGCCGACTACATGGACCGCAGGGCGCACATGGCGTACGCGAGCCAGGATCCGAATTCCAGCCTCGCGCTGCCGGAGGAGCAGAGGGCGTTCATGAGTACGCTGGCGGACCCTAACCACCCGATGTACCACGGTGGACTTGTGGGGTTCGTGTCTGGGGGTAATGTTAGTGTGCGGGCTGGTAGGCGGCGGCGGAGGGATGGGAGGCAAGAGCTTGGGGAGGGTTTGAGCAAGATGGAGCAGGCGAGGTATGAGCAATATGTTCCCGAGCAGGAGGAGATAACTCTGGGAGGCAGGAGGGGCCTTAGAGGTGGTTCTCGGAGTCCGCTGGGCGGGAGAAGCCCGTTGAGCGGGAGAGGGCACGGCTGTGGGCGGGGACGGGGACGTGGCGGCAGGGGACGGCGCGGCGGTGGTGGTGGCGGGCCTCTCGGTCTCGTGTCCGGCTTGATCGGCTCCGCTGTCAATGCGGCATCGGGAAGTGCCGGTGGGACGCAGTCTGCGCAGGAGAATGCTGCGTATGCCGATCCGTATGCCCAAGGTCATGGCCACGCAGAGTATGGTGATGATGCACGGAGCAGGGAGTTCGAGGGCACATACGAAGACGACCGTCTCGGTCTTGGGAGCGGCGGGGGGTCTGCATACCGTGACGATTTGCGACGGAGGTCCTACTATGCCCGAGACGCCTACGGAAGATCTACCCCCGCACAGGGAGATGAACGCCTTGGAAGTTCGTCATCGTCAGCTTATCACAGCGAATATGATTCGCGACAACAGAGGCCGTCGTCGTCGCACGACCCACGAATCGTGTCTGGAGGATCTGCTGTCGGGAGTCAACAGTATGGGAGCAACCGCCGCCGAAATGCGGGCAATAAGTCAGGCCGCGGAGACCCGATTGGTGCTGTGAAGAGGATGATGAGGGAGGATGTGCTGCATTTGATGATCGTAAACATGCCGAGTGAGGCTGAGTTGGCGGAGGCGAGGGCCGAGATGGCGAAGTAGGAGAGTCACTAAGCGTTTTGCTCGCGGAATTATTTTCACCCTCCTGATTCCCCTCCTGATTAATCAAGCTGCATTCTGAGCATTAGCTTTCCCTTGCAGCCAGAGAAGCAGCCTTGCACCCTCTCAGACTGTTTACACCAAAGACACAGGTGCTCTTCCTCTAGCCGCCTTCGACGCGATCGCAGCCGCAAGCGGATACCGCAGAGCCCCAGCCCTGCACCAGGGACTTCATGCTGCCAGCTGCGTTGACTAGCCCCCATGAAAAAAAAGAAACATTGCGATGTCGCAAACCTGGATGTTCAAACGAGTACCTTAGTTGACACACTGTCTGTCTTACGTGCGCGTTGCCATACACCACAGCCGCATTCCACTTACATACCGAAGCGCTGAAGAACCCATCTCTAAAGGATTGCGGATTTCCAGTACTGCATGATCATATTTAGAAACAAAACAAGCAGTTGCAGTGCCGGCGGGCGGGCGTCTATGGTCTACATGAACCTGTTCGATCTCACAACCGCAGCGTCGCATTGGCTCCCGAGCCGCAGGGCCGGGATCTCACTTCCCCATCGGAATTACACTGGGGCCCGGGCGGCAGATGGCGGGAAGGGGTGCTATTTGCAGGTACCTCAAACGCCGGGGGAAAGCTTTGATTGGATCAATAGCCACTATATGCTGTCTTTGGATGATTAAGCGCGGACTGCTGGGATCTCCAAGCCCTGAAAACCTGGGGTTTTGGGCGGCTGCTGAAGTTGCCGCTGCAGGCCCGAAGCTGGAGCTGGAGACGAGGCGGGCGCTTGCTGAGATGAGGCCTGCTCTTCTTTTATTAGACTGCCCTACAGACTGGACATTCCCGTATGCGCGCGTGTTGAAACTCGGCGGCTCTGATCAATACTGTCATGACTGTCGTTTGTCGCCGGCGTTGTCGGCTACCGGCGTATGCTGTAAGAGGTTACGCGCCTCAGCCTCGAAATGCCGCGCGCACCCATTTCACAGCTTGAGGCGGCCTCCCGTCGTGGAGATGTGAGAGCCCTGAGAGGTGTGTGACTAGCACGACACGACAGATGCAGTCTGTAATTTGATGATTGCATAGATATTGCAGAAACTGCACATGTGAGTACCGGTATCGGGTTTGTGACCATCCCATGCGGGCTGTACTGCTGTCCTATGCAACACACGCATGCGTGTATGCCCGGTCGGGCGATGGTGCTTGGTGACAACAGGCGGGCTGTCAGGCTGTCAGAGCTCGAAACAGCCCTGCGGAGTGCCATCTGCCCGCTCGTGCGTAGATGCGCACTGCGCAGGGCTTATATCGGCAAGTATCCGAAAGTATGCGTTCCATTTACACTTCGATGGTTAAAGCAAACAAGGCTTAATCGCACAACAACACAGTCGGGGAAAATCAGCCGTATGGTATGTGGTTTTCTTTGCTATCCTGGCTTGCCTGCTCCTGAGTCCCGATGGTTCGACGATGATGTGCATGGCCAGGATGTAGCACAGCTTAACTGTGCACCGTCTGTTTACCACACTAAGTCTTCACATATGGTGGTGGTGGTGTTGTGGTCGACCATTGCAAGTGCGACATGCATACTGGCGAAGCTCGTGTTGACCGAATGGGTGCGGGACGTGAGAGTGAGAGGCCTGCTGAAGAAGTCCATCCGCCACTGATATCGTGATTGCGGGGATGCGCGAGACATTTGTGCGTCCAAGCCACACTCTTATAGCTGGTGGAGTCAGATCTCAAGCTTCTCATTCGCTCACATGGAAATGGCAGATGGGAAAGTGTGGCTGCGACCATGCCATGCCCTTGCGTTGCTGACATCGGCAGATTCTGGCCACTGCCAAGTGATTTGTTCTGCAGAGCCGAGGCATCGTGATAGGTCAGGTGGTAGGACGCGGAGTGAGGCCTCAACAGGTCGCTTTTGCTGGTCTTGTTGACTGCTGGCATGTTTGAGGGAGATTTGGTGTTATCGCGTCGCTTGATTGTTGACGATGGACAACTCAATCTGGTCTTTGTGATACGTTGTCTACCCACACGCAAGCCTCACGAATCCCAGGCTCTCAGCATCGGTAGGCACACATGCACCGAACCTACGACACAAGACTCAGAGTGACCCAGAGTGATCTAAAGCTCTCCAGCCACGAGCCCTCAACTTTGGAAAACCTCGTGCATGCTACGCAAAACGCAGAAGGTCATTGGACCATAGCGTGTGGTCTGGACGTTTCGTTTCAGGATCCAGAACGGTGAACCTCGACCTCCGGCCAATGGCGGCACTCGCCTCCAGCCCAGCCCGGAGCTTCTCCGACGGCGTGGGCTGGGCGGTGGCGCCACTTCGGGTTTGGCGTCGCCTCGCGATCGCCTGCGCGTGAGACTCCGTGACTCCGTTGTTCTGGGGCGGAGAGGGCGGTGAGAGTTCCCTGGGGGAGCAGTCCGTTGATCTCTTTGGTGGGTTGGGATTCTTACGGACCTCACGGGCGGCGCAGTGGTGCTTTATTGCGCAAGTGCATGCATGCATCCAGAGTATGTCTAAGATGCCCCTTTTCAGGTGCGCAATGCCTCGATGGTGATGCTGTCTGTGTGAACGTCGCAATGGAGAATTCGCTTCCCGGACGCCGGATTTCCTCCGCACAAAGCTGCGATATTCAGGGGTTCAGGGATGAGGGACTGGAGGCCCATGCTCTTTTCCTTGTGCCCGCCGGCAACAGCTACCGGTAGTCGCACCGGTAGCTCAAGATCGATCGTCTGCTAGGGCTGGATAAGACAAGCCGATTCACAACCCCGCCATAGCCAGGAATGCACGGGTTCAGGGGAAGCAGCCGTTCGGATGGAGGCGGTCTGTCTACATACCAGACGTCGGCGGTGCTTGATTGATATTCATGAGAGCACAGGACACTCTGCTGCTAGCCAGTGAAAGTACAGATTGACACAGATAGGGAAGACGGGGTACGGATACCAGAGATTGATCGGGGATTTCTTGAAACGCCATCTTCAGGATTGTCCGTCCGCGTTGGGTAATACGCCAGATATTGCCATATTGGAGGACACTCTCGGCTATTGATACTTGTTTCCAAAGCTCGGATTAGGATAGCTGTCAGATGGACACTTTCACTGCTGGATATTGAACGAACCCCTAGGTGGATGGATGAACGCCTACATAAAGTATACAATTGATATTGAAATATCAGCCAACTACTGTAGGTGAGGTGGATAAAAGTACAGAAGCTACAGAACCGGGCATTTCTAAAGCACGTCATCAACAACCCGCCTCGAGTCAAGAGTGAATGGTCTTTTGTCTGCAAATCCCCTGACCCTTTACATCGTGCATCGTGCCATCGTGGGGTTTCCACCTCCAAAGGATGGCGCTCGAGCAAGGGGGCTTGATGGACGGCCGAACGGAGACAAAGTAGCGGTGCAGATGGCGGACTAATAGGATAAAGCCAAGACTAGAGTAAAACGGGCGCCGTCAAAGAGCGATCTCCCATTAACCTAGTGGCCGGCACGCGATTGGAATGTTGTGCGGAGTAGCGGCCTCCATCATCAAGGAGAGCAAATGAATGAGTCGCGATACCTATGAGGGGTCGTGGTTGTGTAGGGCCGTAGGCCACATCGTAGGATATCGCGATACCCCTGAGTCCAGTAACACCTGTGACCAGATATAGCACCCAATTGGGATTGGTGACGGGATCCTCATTGTTTCGCTACTCCTTCGGGCGCTGGACCCCTGGAGAAGTCGTCAGCACCTTCTGATAACTTCCTGTCTGCTTGTTTACCTCTTGTGCTTGCGATACTGGCGACACATGCTGAGCGTGGCAGCATGGAGGGAACTGGGGAAGTGCGTGTTTCGTTTCGTTTCAGTTAGGCATGTCGGATTCTCGAAGTTCGGACGACCACCCTTGAACGTTACGGGATACGAGCATGTTGCGGATTAGGTTAGCCTCTACGCAATGACGAGGGCTGCTTCGTATGATCGTGTCGCATATATAATGCGATGGTTTTCTGCCTATCTACAATCGATACGCGTGAGACTAGAGTTTCGATGGTTATTGTTGTTACTCTCGTCATCGGTAACATCTTCATATGTGACATCCACAGAAATCTTGTCGGTCTATCGATATCTTATGCAAGGCCGATAACACGGATCCCCATTGTAACGAACGATGCGAAGGTTGTTCGTGACCCCATACGTCGTGTCGCAGATCTGTTGATGAGATTGCCATGTCTGAGGGTACGTGCGTACACATGCACACGTCCACTTCCATCGACCGGTGTTTTTCCTTCTTCCAGATCAGACAGATCCATAGGACTTTCACTTTCGAGTCTCGAATTTGTCAACAAACAGACCCGAGCGATCAAAGCACACCACAAGAATAGCCTCTGTCGTCAAGGACGCGGCCATCCAGTAGATCTGACAGTTTCAATTCTCGCTGAGCGTAAACAGGTCGACGCTGTCAGCGGCTGATTGGCAGAACAAAGAAGCCAGCCTTGACTCATGTCTGGCTGTGGCGGTCAAGCGACGACAGGCGACTGGTTCATATCGGCTGGCGACTATGCATGCATACAGGTTTAGCTACAGATACCCAAGCAGGCCAACTTGACCTGAACCACCCACCCCCGACCCCCGACCCCCTCCTCGCTTGTTTCATGTCTCGAAGACTCTTGGCCAGCCAGACCAGCCAGACTAGCCAGACTCTCAGACCAATGAATCACTAGCACCTGTCATCGTCAACCGCGTTCAATCAAAGGGATCATGCGGCGCATCGCGGCCAGTAGGGCAGGGCATGGGTGAGATGGGCCACTGGCAGCCACTCATGCCGTCCCAGTGCCAGCCTCCTGGGGGCGTACGCTGGGTGTGTCGTGATCGACTGAGTCTGGTGAGGACGACCACAGAACAACCACAGCATCGAATGCGGCACCCGCTGGCCCAATAGCCTCGGCCAGGGGGTGTCTTCAAGGTGGTGGTGCGCATTCACGAAAGTGACCCAGCGCGAAAGTCCGTGCAAATGGATATATGAGATCTGGAGACACGCACCGACTCACACTCACTCCCGATCCCGACTACTCTTCCCTTCCATCACCAAGACTACTTACCTAGTCAACGACTTATTATCCAACGACGACCCGACGGTCTGGAATGAAGCCTGACTCTGTCTAGACAGTATTGAAGGGATTACCGATTACGACCCAGCCACACACGCACATCATTGACGACTAACACGACCTTCACGATACGAAACCCACTATTCTAGGCTCTGGACAGTCTACCACCATTCGATACTATTCAGCCATTAATCATCATATTACCAGCACACGCACACTCACTTTCTTCTTGACGAAGACTTGTTTGTTCCCTTCCCTCGGTCAGATCGACATATCTTATATATCAAGCCGCTGTGCACTCTAGCAGGATTCGGCACACACACAAACAACCCACGACACATTGGTCACAGACTCACTCTTACTTGGTCACACAAGTCACCATCTGCAGCACTCTGATTGAATCACCGACATTTGCAAGTGTGACGACCTCGGTCTCGCGATTCACATCATCTCGCCAAATCCCGTGATCTCGTGCATTCGCTCTCGTTTGAAACCCGTCAAAAAGCCGGACCGCAACTGCGCCTCGACACCCGGAGCCATCGGGATCAGCCATACTGCTTACAACAACATCAGCGACTAGATTCGTCAGTCTTTCGGGGCAGAGCCATTCAGCCTACGCAACCAACTTCGGATTCGGGCAGATCGTGAACGCCTTTCCTATCGTTTCTACCGTAGCGATCCAGCATCCTCTAGGCTTTCCGCAGGCTCGGGAACCATTCCGTTCTTTGGACCACCATCACCACCACCATCACCACCCACACAGACTGGCAACCTGACCTGTCCTATACTAGCAGCGAAACGCAGAGCAGCTGACCAGCTTACCTGACCTGAGCGTGTGTGCATAACCGCCACAGGCCTATAATTCCAATTCGCATAGCCTTTTTGGTTCCATTCGACCGCGTCAGCCGCTCACGCATTACTCTTCATAAAACCGCCGTTCGGCCTGTTTCCTGACCTACGACGAAGAAGAATCCGGCCGCGCATCGCAACGGCATCCACTCATCCGCGCTCGACAAGTTAAGCCACGATTTCCGTGCTGGACACCCACGACGCAAGCGAAGCAAAGCGTAGCTGAGGACAACTTGTTTTTTCGCAGCCGTATCCGTACTATTGGATCCGCATTGAGCCACAGTCGCCGTCATCAGTCGACGTACTATCTGTCAACAAACCGAATTTGGAAACTCGAGGAATCAGGAATTGAAGATACCTACGAAAGGGGACACCGCATAGGCTCCTCCGAGGCAAATCCCATTATCCCACCCATCCCGTTCCTTCGCCGACACCGACGACACCGACCACCGGCACAGGAAGACTGTCTTCCAACTGAGACCCCTGCCGGCCAAACCCGACAGCGCCCCCTGCCCCCTGCCTCCTGCAGTGCACCCTGCATCCAGCCTGCATACCATCCATAGCGCCTTGCTGCCGCTATCAGTGGTCGCCCCTCACCCTGTGCTTTTAGCAGGTTTAGCCACCTCCTTGGACAAACAGTTGCCCCCCAAAGGCCCAGTCCAGGCAACCCCTGCCACTGGCACCTTCGCGTCCACCGTCGAGCCGTCCGTGACGGATCAGCTAAGCCAAAAATTCAGCGACCGACAGCGCCCACCCGCCCACTATTACCGCTCCCTCCAGGCCCGGCTCCAGCGCCCTGGCTCAGCCTCGACGGCAACCACGTCACACCTTTACGCACCCGCCATCGCAGCCGTCTTCAATATTCCATATTAATGACCAGAGACTTCGCCCTGTGATACGAACTGAGGATCCTACATTCACACACACACACACGCATCAACCTACGCTACGCTACCTTAGCTCAGCTACTTACGTATATTACCACCTGCCCACCATTACCAAACCTTCCTTGGATTCTCTGTTTCGACATATCTTGTCGTCCATAGCACTCGGAGCTACATCGTTGGAGCAGGACATAGCTTCGGTACCTGGTACCTCGACTTACACACAACACCTCACAAACTCATTCACTCACACACAGACACTCACCATGTCTTCGACAACAAGGTTATCCATGGGCGAGCTCAACGCCGCTGCCCTTGAGCAGTTCGTCTACACCCCAGTCAACAATGCCATGATCTCATACCTGGCCCAGGCGGCATGCGATGTCATACAGTGTGACCCCAACATGATGCCGCCTCCTCAGAACCAGACACAATGTCCATCACCACCCCGGACACCCTCGCCAAAGGCTATACAAGTCAACGACAGTAGCCTGCCGTCACTGGAAGAGTTCATCACACAACTGGTCGTCTCTTCCAATGTCCAGGTCCCTACTCTCATGTCAACACTAGTCTACCTCACAAGGTTAAAGTCTCGGCTACAGCCCATGGCCAAGGGTCTCCGGTGTACAACGCACCGCATCTTTTTGGCAGCGCTCATCCTCGCTGCCAAGTATCTCAATGACAGCTCGCCCAAGAACAAGCACTGGGCTACATACAGCAACATCAACTCTGACAGCTACAGCTTTGGATTCACCCGGACCGAGGTCAACTTGATGGAGAAGCAGCTGCTGTTCCTACTAGAGTGGGAGCTGAGGATCACAGAAGAAGATTTGTACCGGGAACTGGATGGCTTCCTGGCCCCGATCCGCGACGACATCCAGACCAAGCGCGCCCGCCGCATGGCGCGCCGGAAGCAGAGGGAGGAGGAGGAGGCGAGGGCCTGGGCTGTTGCAGCTCAGTACCCGACACCGCCCTCGTCGCGGGGCAGCTCGCGGTCGCGAGCACAACAAAGAATGCCGTCGCCACCAACAGAAACGATCCGCATGGTGCACGAAGTACCCGCTATCTCGACGCCCCCAGAACTGATCTACAGCTACAGCTCTTCGGCCAGCTCGAGCGGCGGCTCATACGCCTCGTCACAATTTTCGCAACAGCACTCGCGCTCATCGACACCGTTTTCGGAGCCCGAGGTCCTGTGCATAGACCGATCAGGGGCACTCTACGAGTCACCTGTGCAAATCCTGCCGGCTAATGGCTCGGCTTATTCACGGACCGGTGGCTACCGGAAGGAGGGCAAGCAGCTTCTGCCTTACGAGATCAGCGCCGATGAGTTCCGCGAGCTGCAGGACAGCAGCACGAGAGCAAAGCGCCAGCGCACGGGTCGAGGCATGTGGGGTCGCATGTTCGGTGGTGCCATCCACGCATGATCTTCCCCTTGCGTTTTACGACCTATTTCCGTTTGTCCTACGTCATTTGAGATACACCGCACCGGCCAGTTCTGATCATGAAACGGCGTGCATGCATATTACCAGCATTCTCAGCATTTTCAGCATTTCAGCATCATCAGCATCGTCAACGGAGTTTACCGGCCTGGAGGCGAACGGACACGCCGCGGCACGGGGGGGTGTCGTCATGAGAGACTATAAAAATTTCCCGTTTGGGTTACGAGGAGGATTCAAGCGCTGCTTTACATAGAAAGGGGAGGATGGGGGGATCTGGCAAGGCCGGGTGGATCCTGCGCTCGTCCCCCCATCCTCTCCTCTTCATCGATCATACCTAACCTAGAAGAGGAAGAACGGCGTTTTTTCATACTTAATGGGCCTAATTGTTGAGCGGTGTTTGGGTATAGCATAGCAGATTGGTGTTTTGGGAGACTGGATTAGGGTTTATTGGGTAGATTGGTTTATTCTTCATGAATATCAGGACTGGGATCGATTGATGATCGATTCGAATAAATTGAACATCTATCTCGAGATATCTCTACCGCTCCATTGAACTCTTCTTGCATTGTCGTGACTGGTCTGGTTTCGTGATAACGGAGTTTACGATGTCATGCCTTATCATAGATTTCGAGACTACCTTGGTAAGTTCAACTACGCGAGACTCCATGCAGCTGCAAATTAGCATCCATCACCGCCAATCCTCCCATTCCTCGCCAGTCTCGTCTCCATGCAAGCAGCTCCTGATGAACGCCGTACGTCTTGTCTATTGCTCAATGTGGACCTGGGCATCCCTTGCTGCTACTCAATTGCGTGACACGAATGCAACTATTCCCAGTGAAAATCCCAGACCGACAGATGAAAAGTTGCATGTGGGTAAGGACCAAGGTAGGGTAGATAGATACGCGAACGATCGGTCTGCCCGATGTAGAATGACAGATCAGATGCACTACCTGTCGTCATAGCGTCCGGCACAAGGCGACAGCACTAGATGACTGATTAACGACCGCCCAACCCACTGGGAAAGATCTACTACAGGGTAGATACGTAGATCATCAGGTCCTCGGTGTACACTATAACGTTTTCGGTGCGCGAACATGGCAGGTGAAGAAGGTTGATTATACCAAGTCAACCACTCGCGATATCCTTCAGAAATCCAGAAATAGCCCCGGATGGGTTAGGTGGGTTTGGGGTCCATGCCATCCATGCTGGCTCCGCGGCGGCCGTGCTGATGAAATTGACAGGCGATCCTGGCTGCACATCCTTTTTTTCTGGTGCTGTACCCCGGAATGACGATCAATGTGGACAGTAGGATGGGCTTCTTGGGAATCCCATGATGGGGTTCAACGACGGTGATTCCGAATACGTACTACGCGCACGGCCCCAATAGACTGGGAGCTGCTGGACGTCGGACGATAATGCACTTGCCACCATCGTCGGATCTAGCCCTAACGATATCATTCGGGGCTACCGAGCCGCGGGACTGCAGGCCTCGTCCTTATTAGGTCGCTGCTGCTAGTCGTAGCGGCCTTGAGGATTGGACTATGTCTGCCGCCGTCCGTGCCACACTGGCGGCGCTTGATGATGGATGCAAGGACTAGGTAGGCAGGCAGATTCGACGACCAGGAGTAGGTAGTACCTGGGTCCTGCCTGCACGTTCCTATCGCACGAAAGCTTCGCCTTTGCGGGCTGCGATGAGAGATCAGTCCCGGCGCATCGCCCGAGGTTTTATTATAGGATGTGCGCTGGCACCAGGGAGCGAGCTGTGGCTGAGAAAGGCGTGGTTTGGTAGTTTTGCCTCTGTTCCGAGTCTATTGCTGCTGCCTGCTGGATAGAGTAGATGCGGTGAAAATCAAAGGATGCGTTATGCGCTTAAAAAGTCCCAGTGATGGACGTCCATCCTCGTTGACACCGGACAGCGAAGGATGTGGGAATTAGATAATAAGCCTATCACTGGTAGGTAAGAACTTAGAAGTGTGTTGTCAATACAAGCTGAGCAAATCCTTTGTTTCGGACAGGGCTGCTGCTGGCACCAATGCAATCCGGAATATGCAGCTTGGAGGCGCATGCGTCACTGTACAGGTCAGCCCGACTTCGGGCGGTCTTCAGGGGATCTCTGGTTGGATGATTGGATGGGCTGGGGTGAGGCGCAGGCTTGGGCAAAGCAACATAACAATGCGCACAAGGAATCTTGCCCCGGGGAGATGGATTGCCCAGGACGGAGCACTCGAGATGTTGTCGACCATACCAAGTACATGTACACAGGACAGCCCGTCCTAAATCGGGGGCGCTTGGTAGACGCCGGATCGGACCCACTTCGGCCGGTCGGTTGTCTCGTGAAGCGCCGTATCATCGTTTGACGCCGTGTAGTATTAGTAATATCCCTGGAGGTATTTTGATTGACGCTTTTGACGACGGTCAGCTTCCTGGGTGGAAAGGCGCAGACCGAGACCGAGAGTGGGAGGCGACATGGAAACCCAGTCAGATCCATTGGGGCGCAAGGCAGTATTTGTGAGTTGGTGTTAGACAGACCTGAAGATGACTACGTTGGGCGCTGATGATGCCTTTGCTTATCCTCTCGCTTACCTGCCGCTACAAGTGTTCCGATAGCGAGCATGGCTCTGTTGAGGTCACGTCTTTTTGCAAAGACCGGTATCCTATGTGTCGAGCTCAATCCGTTCGCCTGCTAAGTCTTTTAATATCTCGGATTAATTTTATATCACTACTCTCGTGGCCAACCCACAGTTTTGTTATGTACATCGGCCGTTGGCATAGTCACGCTGACTCACACCGTAACACAATAACGTCAACCTCGTCGAATGGTACGAGGCCAAGTCTGCTTCCCCGAGCTCGACCTCATTTAAATCCAACTTAGCGCCTAGTTGAACCACGTAGGCTGAACAACCATAGCTGTCCCGAAAGTTCTCATGGCATCTTTCTCCCTTCTTTCTTACTACACTGGTAATACGCCTGAGGTTTCCGGGTTCGGTACAAAGTAAAAGAGTGCGCAGATACGGGTGCAGCAGTGGCAATTCAGGCACAAGTCCTAGTCCTCTTAGTAAAATGCTACCACCTTACCGACCGCGCCGAGGTAACCCAGAGCGTTTATAGTGGTGAGATGTAGGACGTGGTATTTCCCTAACGGATGCTACACAACTAATGTTTTGTATCTAAGACTGATTTTTGACTGTAAGTTAAGAGGAAACTCCAAATGTTACGGTTACGGATTGCAGACCACCCCCGCCTCCAACGGTGCCATACACGAAGCCTACAGAAAGAAAGCCATACGTCATCCCCATCTACAAGAGCCTGAGGTAGCCATGATCTTTATACACACAGGTTGATTGATACCTGGCACCCCGAATGTCCGAATGTATGCGTGCAAAGCAGCGCCTAAGAAGCCCCTATTCAAAATATCTCGCCAGCACATCTCCACAAACATGTAAGCTATGATAAATATAGAAGCTACACACCGCGAAATAATGCCGAATACGACGTTTTCTGCCAAGCTCCTGTCAGCCAGGTTGCTTGCTCGAGTGCTTCCGAGGGAACAATGAGGATCAAGCAACGTACCCGCACCGGCTTGACCGGGCGGCACAGCAGTTCAGAGGAATCTTCACCTGGACGTCCTTTAGGAGGGCATGCCCCCCAGTACCCCTATCATCCCCATGGGATTTACGGAAATATGGAAGGTGTAGGTTTTGGTTTGCGGCACAGCTGTAACCTGTGGTGCTAAACTAGGAACACCTCACGGACGGACCAATGGCCCAGTTCAGACATCAATTACATCTTAGCGAAGATCTTACTCCTTGTTAGGTCGAAGGAAATGTCAGCAAGGTCTGTAACTCCACCGTTAGGCAGAAAATTCACTTTGATCGCCTCATGAGTAAGTGAGTTAGGTGGCTTCCTTGACAATGGTAGGATATCATAGATATAAGAAGGAGGCATTTTTTCAACAGTTCGAACACAGACATATCCATGCAAGCAAGTATTCCAAATCAAACGACCCCAGGAATACCAATTTCATGCCACATCTCTCTCACCACGGTCGATACTCTCTCACCACGGTCGATACCTTTCATCACGTCTTCAGCCCTCCAAGTCTCGGAGGGCACCATGCAGATTCTCAGAAGCACCGCCCTCTTGATGGCGTTGGCGATCCCGGGCGTTCTATCTTCAACGATAGGATTGCGTTCTCACGAGGTAATTAAGCAATGCAAATCAACTTCCCAACATAACGTCGCGTTTTTTTGGCGTCGGTAGACTGACGACACCGGAGGAAAGTCGGTTATGGACTCGAACGTATTCGACGGCTTGAGCGACAGCGACTTCAAGTCAGCCAACAAGCATGCGCTTGGTGGGGGAAAGTCAAAGGCCTACATCGATGTCGTCGAGGGCAGGAAATTCACCCTAAGCAGCGGTGGGGAAGTCGCCGCCTGGTTGAAACTAACGCATGAAGAAAAGAAACACTACCAGTCGGCCGGGAAGAAGGCTCTGAGCACCGAAAACACCAACCCCAGCAAACTGTTTCGCCGCGCTAAGACAGACAATGAATGCAATGCAGAAGCGTGCGGGAACGGGACAGCCGGAGGCGATGATGCGCAATGCCGCCGTATAGACTGCCAAGGATGTACGCCTCTGAGAGTAAAGATAGGTGAGGCGGTCTATACGAGCTATATTTGCTCAGCTTGAGCTATCAGTCACACGACGTGTAAGGGAGACGTGGCAATAAGGGAGGAAGAGAGTGGCATATGTAGCTAGTTACCTAAGTTGTTGAGTTATTACGGTTTAGAAGATTAAGAAAAAGGGGTTATAAATTTTCAAGATGGATAGGCCTGTGTTGCGTGATGATATGTAGCTTGAGTGCACAGCTCCTACAAAGTATACCATAGGATCAATATACCGGTAGTGAGATGAGGCCGTGGGCCCTGAGATGATATGATCCAGCTCCCCTTGGAATTAATCTAGGGCCACCATTCTTATCGAGGCTTGGAGATTTGGGACTTGGTGAGATCTTCCATGATCCGGGAGAGGCAAAGAGGCAACCTTCGAACGGGGCAGATTTGATAAGCCCAAGAGCCGGGGCTGAAAAGCGGGTCTCTGTGTCCATCGCTGTCAGCTGGCAGGCTGGGCAACACTTGACTCGTGGCTTATGTGGCTCATGCCGGGTCTGTGCTGCAACAGCTCGCTGTCTACTGTGGCTTGCTGACGACTCTCTCTTGCTCATCACTTTCACACTTTTGTCGCTTCGCCCTAAGAAATCAGCATTGCCATAAGGCCATGAGATATACTTCCTCTTGTCCGATAAGAAATGTACATCAGCCTTGGTCTGGCCGCTCTTCGAACCCAAGTCTGCCTGCAGCTTCCTCCATTCCCATAACAGGGTTGCGGTGCTTCTCAATGGCTTCAGCAGCCCAGCGGCAAGTGCATTCGCCCATAGAACGCTTCACGAGGCAGCCTGCTTACAACCATGCTCACAATGTACTTCTGTGGAGCTGCATAGGTACACAGCTCTCATTGGAAAGGAAACGCGGCATGGACTGGAGTCGGGCTACAAGACAGCTTTAGGTACGCCCGGTGAAGCCGTAGCCCGACAAATCGATCCTTCGGTTCAGGATCACAAACCATGACCTTCTACGCCTTCTAGAACTTTTCCAAATCGGGACGACCTTCTGAGTCTGTTGCACCATGGAAGAAACCATAGGGATCATGACCTTCGGCAAGGCTCTTCCCCGGGCCACCTGTCAGCAACAAACCTACCTTTCCGCCACCGAGCTCGGGACTGCCGCGATCTACAGGTGCCGCTGCAGGCTGACATGCCTTACGAATCCTCTTCGTGGGGACGACGAGATGTTCTTGAAATTCATGATCTTGACGTCACGTTTGATCGGTAGCCATTCGAGATCACTCCACTGCCAGGCCACATTTGCTTCAAGGGGCCTGAAACTTTCAGCAGCTGTATGTAGTTCATGGCGGTGTCACTCCTTTGACAGGGGACATATGGACACATGGATCTGGCATGTGCGGCGCGAACCTCTAGTGAGTCACTTTCCTTTTTAGATACACAGGCATGAGTTCAGGATTCGCTAAAAATGCACTCGCATCAGCACCGACTACAAGTGACAGATTTCGGCCTGGGCGAAAGACTGTAGGTTTAGAGTAGTCATATCATCACTCGAATGGTCGAGTTACAGTCCACGGCAGTTCCGAACTCCGGACACTGGCGCAAACATGTTGTACCAGGCCTCTCGAGTCTCGTCGTTCGACAATTTGTCAGAATCAGAGGACTTACTCTTGCAATCAGCTACAGCGGACAGCTTCCCATACCGAAATTGACGACACGACTATGACGGCTCCCGAGGGGCTTTCAAATCGGGGATCAATAGACTGGCAAAAGTGTACGGACATCCGCTGTACCCCGCCGGGAGCACAACGAGACAATGGCATCGTGCTTCCTTCAGGTCCTCAGACTTGACGGGTAAGTGAAGGTGCTGAACCAGGCTCGCAATGCCCACCTCCAATTCGAGCCGTGCCTGCCATAGCGATCATCTGGCCTGAGTTTGCATAGCCCGGAGACCGATTGCACTATCTGGGAGGTATCAATGTGACTAGGTTGGTTTGTACCACGATCACATGGTCGCATGGTCACAAGTTCACGGGGCTCACTATGAGAGAACCAATCCCGACCATTATGACTGTCCTGGAATGGTGTGTTCCTCTGGTTGCTCTGGCCGTATCCCCTTCTATCGCAGGCACCCGAGCCTCGACCAACAGCCGTCCAACAGCCGGCTCCTCGAGGCTTAGGATATAAAACATATCATTCATCTGCATGAACCTAACATCACCCTTCTCGGGCCTGACAGCCCAATACATCACATTGAACACCGCCTCACCATGCGCGCGTATCCACACACCCGCCTCCCACAGGTTGTCGATTCCCGCCATACGACACTCCCGTCAGCGCGGGGCCCAATATCCAGCAGGAAGTTGCCGTTCTTACTCACCATATCGACAAAGTCGCGCAAAATAGTATTCGCGTTTATATAGTTGCCGTCGTCGGCCGTTGCGCGGTTATAGGCACGCGTAGCTGTAAATGTCCATGCCCTGGTTGCTACCCCCTCGCGCCACTGGTGTGCTGAAGGTCGCGTACTCGGGCGTCGAACTCGGCGGCCCAGGGGCTGCCGCAGCGGTCGTTGATCGTGACTTGCCGACCCAGTGTGCGTGCCCAATTACATCAGCGCGCGACTTGTCGGTACCGTTGGAGGCGCGGGCATCCGTATAACATGACGTCGGAGGCGTACTCTTAGACGAGGGTTCCGTGCGACAATGCCCGGATGCCCGATGCGACGTCGAGGTCACACGGCCGAACCGTGAACCCGTCATGTATGCGCATAAAATACTGAGAGTGCGGGATTGGATCGCGATTTTGCCAGCGCTCGAATAGCCCGTCATCGTTCCACATTGTCATCGTCGACAGCTATCTCTAAGTCTAACCAGCCAAATTGGCCCACACTCAAGGCTTCAACGCCACGGCGAGATGACAAGAGAAGGCGGTCCAGGTTTCCAAGATGGGCGACATCTTTCAGCGTGCAGCTCATGTCGTTGCCTATATCGGCCCCGAGGCAGACGAGAGCGTCAAGCTGATGGAATACCTGGAGCATGTTGGGAAAACTGCACATATGATTGGGCCACCGGCATAATGGACGTGGCTGCCTTGCACCATGAGTGGAATGAAATGCGCTTGGTTGATGAGCATGACAACCTGCTTGTCGATGCCCATCTTCAGGAGAAGTTATACAAACTTTTCTGCCGACCCTGGTTTGAGAGATTATGGATCAGGCAAGAGATTATTTTGAGCACAACAAAGGCCATGATCACTTGTGGCCGTTGTCAGGTACATTGGCGTTTCTTCCTACGCGCATGGACCTGCTTATACTCCCACTTTGCACGAACCGACAGTCTGGAACCTCAATATCTTAGAAAACTGTGGCAAGTTTCGTCCTTATTGGAGCAACAGCGACATTCGTCCCTCAATACCCTGAGAGATTTCTGTCGGGGGATGAAATGCACAGATCCGTGCGATCGCTTATTTGCAGTGTTGGAAATGCTGCCCAAGGGCGAGAAGAAGCTGATTGACGTCAACTACAAGAAGCCACCGGCGGATGTGTACAAGGACGCTACACTTGGAATAGTCGAGACTCACCATGACCTGTCCATTTTGCAGGAATGCGAGTTTCAAGAGGGATTGGTTGGTCCAACTTGGGTACCAAACTGGGGAGCAGATACGCAAGTTGATATGGGAGCGTACTTGGGATTCAAGACGTCGCGGCTGGCAGCAATTCTAGACGCAAGTCAGGCGGCCGAAAGGGGAGTCATGCGAATTGTTGGACCTGGAATAACCGCGATTGAAGATCTACGTCCTTCGGGAATAGACCTCGAGTCGGCGGACCTCTCGGCTAAGCTCCGTAATCTGTTCAGCGGCATCCAGACGGAGGGAGATTATGTCGCAGAAGGTTGGTTGCTACTGAGGCAATCTCGCTGCCTATAGAGATACCTCAGCACGCGTGATTCTGAACCGAGTATTTAGGTAGCTTCAGGTACCCAGAAAGTTTCAGAATCAAGCGAGCACTTCCACCATTCTTCTCAGGAGGGACTTTGCGGGAAGCCTACGCTGCGGCCCTCTTGCGCGGAAAGGTCGCAACAGCCACCGAACCAGAGAACTACGGCTGTTCTTCACTTGACTATGTGGCCAGTGCCGTGCAACTGGTCTGCTCGCCATCGGCTACCAAGAATCTGCCGCTCAAAAAGGAGTCACTCGTCGACTTGCGGATGTTCTGTGCACGCAGACAGCTACTCAGGGGAAGTAATGGCTACATAGGAATGGCGCCTCCAGCGGCACGCACAGGACATCTGATCTATAACGTTTCGGGCTGCGATTACTCTCTACTGCTGTGGGATGCAGGTGAGAGGCAGTTTCAAGTGGTCGGTTGCTGTTTTGTGTCTGGCGCCATGGAATTCCAAGCGCTTCTGGGTCCTTTGCCAGCACGCGTTGAAGCGGTCTTCTTCAGAGCAAATTGCAATTGTCTGGGCTTTAGAAACCGCGTGACGAGAGATCTCACAGATTGATCCTCGATTGTCAATGCTACCATTGACGGACGAGGAGAGGGCGCGTCTCCGTACTTGGTCAGGTGCAGGCGCACTTGAAGTCTTTTTGAAAACGCTGCATAAATTCAATTCGGGAGTGGAATGGGTGGAACTTGTCTAATATAAGGCTACACATATACGTAGGTATGAATACAATCAGCCACCAGAATCCCGACTATTATCCCAGTCAGATCGTGGACCCGATACCCGTGAAGCCCAATGATCGTGGTTTTGCCACCGGGGCCATCGGACTTGATGGCTATGACAAGGTCGGAGAAGCCAATTCCCCTCTCTCGCATCCGCTTGATTCCCACTTCTCGTCTCGGACGCGCGGCAAGCTCAAACTTGAACCTGGAGTCTTGGAATAGGCGCTGGAATATTGGATCAGCAGGTTCTTGGGTACGAGGACCTCGCAGGCCGAGATACCAGTGGCTCCGCAAGGGTGCGTCGTCTTGCGACTGTGCTCCTTGGTAGTGACGGGATAGAAGTCTTGGTGCACGTAAACAGCTCGTGAGAGGTCTTGGTGCATCGAGACGGGTCGAGACATTGTTGCGCAGATTGCCCTGGGGCTGACTCTCCTGTGTGTATCAGCGCCTAAAAACTGAGCTCAGCAGGTTGTAAGGCAGCCGAACAATCGCAGAAAAGCGGGAAGATGGAAGAAGATGGGGGAAGGCGGATGAACCAGTCCGTGGAGTTGGAAAGTAGGCACAAGCGCTGGAAGCAGCAGAAGTCATGTTGCCGCTGCTTCCGAACGAACACTGAGGCAAATGGAATGAATAGATAACAGCCTTGCCATCAGTCGTCGGCTCTACCTAGATAATTCCAGTCGTATCAGCGTATATGCCCTACTGAAGAGTATCTTGTGTGATATGAATCAGGAGGGGCGGATGATCTACCGATACACGTCCCGAACTGAGCCAGTCGCGCGATAGGAGGCAATTAGGCGGCGAAGGGTAAAATCTTGATACTTCTTCTCTTTAAAATGGTAGCTTGTCTTGAAGCAAGATGCGCGGTAGAGGAGCACGCGGGCTGCGTTGCAAGGTTCTGGTGGCCGCATATGTGATTTTGGTTGCAGGAGGTGGTGTATTTGATGCCAGCATGCCGGCGTGGTCGTGTATCCTCGGAGAGTTGCAGACTTTCATCAAGACACGGATACGTTCGCAAAAGAGCTGTCTGTATCTGTGATAAAAGTTAGCTGAGTGCAGTACAGAAACATGAAAGGACAGGGCGCATCGTAGACTGGACGCATGCGGGCCGATCCCTTGAAGATACGTGTCCCTCGAGTAAAATAATCTTAGCCAAAAGCTTCATGATAGTTAGAGAGGTTGAAAGTTTGTGTGGCCCCAGGCTGCACAGTGCAATCGCTAGAAATTGAGTGTCGGAGTGCGGTCAAGAGCTTGATGTATATGCCAGAAGGTGCGATGGGATGCCTGAGGGTGACCTATGGGAAAGTAGGAACTCTGCAATAGAAGCAAGTCGCGACCTGGTGGTCATTCATGCTGCATGTAAGGTAGTCATGATGGGATACTTCTCTTTTTGCAGGTGTCGAACATCAAGTGGTTGGGTGACATAGCAGTGCTGCGCTCATTAGGTAATGCTTAGGGTGTCCAAAGTTCAAGCCATCGGTGAAAAGGGGCATAGACTGGGGGGCAGGGTGGAGACGAGAACCAATTATGGGCAGACGGCAGAGCAGATATATACCTAGACAAGGTGAATACTATTACATGGGTTCGGGAGCACCGACGTTCGTAAAGCAAGGGGACCTCACCAGTCTACGGAGGATGGCTGGTGTATTGGTCTCTTGACCAATACACATAGTTAGCGGCGACCATCGGATACCAAGCCCCGCATTCTGGCCAATTCCAGTTCATGGGTATCTTTTCTCAGTACGTCTTCGATTCGAGCTTGTCTCGGGTCAATTTTTTGAGCCAACTTTTAAACCAGCCCTCTTTATCTTCGGAGATTCACACCCTATCCTCTCAAGGAGCACTGCAGCCATCCCTAGAAAGGGAAAGTCATAGAACTTCTACTCTTGTCCTTTGCACATGCTACAATCCTTACATTGGTGTCTCTTTCGGCTGCCGCATCAAAGTGCGTCCCATTCATCTAGGAACAGGCAGTTAACTTATGGCGAGGGATTGGATCACGGCCTGTACCAACTGTTCTACCCCCCTCTTATCCAGCATAATATTGCTGGATTTAATTACGCGTCGCCCGCACGAAATGTTCATGTGCGCGTGTACGCACGATCAATAGGGGGGAGCGCGCCGACGTGCAGTCGGGCCTGCTGACAAAGCAGGTGGCCCAAGCTCTACCTTGAAAGTTGGGGGCATCTCCAGCGAGAGGCGCTGACGGTCCGCTGTTTCCTATGCAACCAACAACATGCTGAATCGGGCTCTTGTTCCAACGACACCGAACTTGACTCGCACACCCCGAGACATCTGGGTTGAATATGTCTCAGTTTGCTAACTGGCTAACGGCGGTGAGATGGCGCTCGCTCGCTAGGCAGCCTAGCGCAACGTCCAAGACTCAAGTCCATTCAGCCTCGAAATCAATGACGTCGTAGTCAGCCATGTGCCCATCATCAATGCCAGTCCATCCAGCCTCTTGGAGGCATGGGCGCCCATCTATAAGAGGCCCCCAAACCTGTGCGATGATGGCGCCAGCAAGTGAATGCTTCTAGCAATTTCAGCATTGGTATCTCAGCTGCTGTTCAAGATTACCGCACCTTGACACAACCGTCAACGGATGGCCACTGAAACCTTTAGTCGCGATATTGAAAGAGACAGCGCATTATTCATGTCTCAGAACGGGAACAAGGCCCATAATGGCCGCAAGCGCGTCCTCGTTGTCGGTGCTGGCGCTGCTGGGTAAGCTGAGCCCGAAACTACACGGCCACTTGAGTATAGCCCAAGTCAGTCTGACTAACGGACAAAACAGCATGTCGACAGCGCACCACCTGTCCCAACACCCAGACAAGTTCGACGTGACGCTCATCGACGCCGTCGACTACTGCGGCGGGCAGGCCTTTTCCATCCCGCTGGACAAGGACCGCTACGGCGCCTCGTGGTTCAACCAGGGCGTGCAGGGTGGCTCCTTCATTTTCCACCACACCGTGACCATGTTCCAGCGCCAGGGCTTCCACGCCGACCCGGTGAACCTGCATGTCTCGTTCGGCAAGGACGACACTTTCTGGACAAACGTGTTCCCAACGCAGCTGCTGGTGCGCCACCATAGCGAGGTGCGCCGCCTGGCCGCCGTGTTGAAGCTCATGCGCTGGTTCGAAGTCTTCTTCGCGCTCCTGCCGCTCAGGATCGTCTTCCGCCTGTTCATGTTCTCCGAGGAGTTCACCAACACCGTCGCGCTGCCCATGACGGCGCTGTTTTTAGGGACCGGCAACGCGACGCCTGACGTGCCCGCCATCATGTTCGAGCGCCTGTGTACCTCGCCGACTTACGGCATGTGGTACGCGCCCGACAAGAACACCGTCGTCAGCAACCAGCCGTCCATGATCGTGTTCCCGAACTTCTCCGAGTTCTACGAGACCTGGCGCAAGGACCTCGTCTCGCGCGGCGTCACTGTGCGCCTGTCCACCGAGCTGACCGAGATCGTGCAGCGCAACAACCGCGGCGTCGTCGTCAAGCTCCGGCCGCGCACCCCGGCACCCGACGGCCACAACCCCGACGGTGCCGACGAGGACGTGCCGGCAGGCGAAGAGAGCTACGACGAGATCGTGCTGTGCTGCCTCGCGGACACGGCCAAGAAAGTGCTCGGCCGCACCGCGACGTGGAAAGAGAAGAAAGTCCTCGGGTCCGCCAAGTTCAGCGACGATATCACCATCACGCACAACGACGCCGACTACATGAAGAAGCACTACGAGAACTTCTACCGCGAGGACCTAGCCGTGTCACGCGTCAACGGCGCGGACCAGACCTCGAGGCTCAATTACGCCTCTTCAAACTTCCGGCCCATGTACTACATCAAGATGTACGAGCGCGACCGCTCCAAGCTCGAGATGTCATTCGATACGACCAACTACCAGTCCCAGTTTCCCGAGCGCGTGCCCTTCGAGCAGCACGTCTTCCAGACCATCTACCTCAACAAGGCCCGCGACGGCGCGCTGTGGACCGACGGCGAGATCCGCGAGGACAAGATCATCCGCAAGGACTGGTGGCACCAGCTGTGCCACAGCTACACGCACTACCTGTTCGTCATCCCCTGGATGATGTTCCTGCAGGCCAAGAACCACACGCGCTTCGCCGCGTCCTGGACCCTGGTCAACGCCCACGAGGTCGCCGTCATGTCCGGCATCGCCGCCGCCGTCGACCTCGGCGCCGAGTACCCGGAGGACCTCGAGAACGACAAGTTCGCATTACTTTGCTTCCGGCTTTATTATTTGCTTGCGTACGGCAAGTGGTACAGGCGCAGGCACACCAAGAAGCAGCGCGAGCCGACGTCCCAGGCGGCGAAGGAGGGCAGCAGTTGGGCTACTGGGCTGTATGGGAGTGTCTATAAGGGCCCTGGCGTTTCTACTACCGAGAGGCAGACGTGGAGGGAGGAGGTGAAGAAGGGGACTAGCACTGGTAATCTGGCTGAAGGGAATGCGCCTGGGAGAAGTCAGCCGTGAGTAACAACAGGCATGCTTGCTAAGATAGCAGATTCCTAAGGCGGCTGTATCGTATGGAGACATCAATTGGACAACTCGTATCTGTGCTTGCAATTCATCAATGCTCTTTGAAAGAAGGGGAAGGTAAGCTGGAGTAGTCTATGACATACTTAACTCGCAAACCGTCAGAAATCGTCAGCTTTAACTAATTTCTGAAGATCTTAAGTTATCTAGCATCCTGGAACTCGGTCCATTTGACCAGGAATTTCTCATAAGCCTCTGAAATCGTATTCGGTAGATCTTGGATGGCCTACTTGAAAAGGATGTTTTTTCCCCCTCTCGAGATGATCGAAGATCATAACTACCTATAGACCCAGAGGTAGCTACGTTCCGTACTTAAATCCGTCTAACCATCCCCTTTTTGAGGTGATCCTGAACCACTAGCCTGTGTCTCAACCCCTTATGGTCGGGGAACCGAACGAGACGCTCGTCTCGTCTATCACGGTGTTGATCTCAGACCGGACCGTTGACCAGTCATCCTATCCTCCCCAAGCACACAGATAGTCAGCAACTCAACGGCAAGCTTGACGAAGCCACATGTCACCCACATGTCACCTGCACTGCACATAGGCACGTCCCATAAGCAACACCATCAAGCTTCCTACCTCCCGCATCACCAGAATTCAAGAAACCACCTGCACCGATCAAGACCATCATTATCAACAGCCCCTAATCCTCCCCAGCACACCCATCGCCCCGAGGACCCGCTCGTAAATCCTGGAGGCCGTCTCGATGATGGTCCAAAGAGAAGTAAGTGACTGTTTCGACCAACCTTAGCTCTGGACCATACTTCAATGTTTGCGTATCGCTTCGTAGCTACCTAGCATGCGGCATCAGATCTGGTCTGGTCTTTCTGCTACCTAGGTAGGAGTTGGTGTAAGACCGGCTCTGGGGGTGGCAAGGCTATACCTAGACAGGCGATCAATTCAATACGGACAGAGCTGCCTGAGGGGTATCTCGTGGACAACCGGCTAATCATGGTTATTGACCCAGTGGAAGGACTGGTGGTTGTGGGTGGCTGAGCACAAGCACCACAACCAAGTACCACTGCAGCCATTCGCCGTCCGACGCCGAATGACCTCAACGAGAGTTGAATGCAGCGGCCTGCTACTTAGTAGTGATTGAGGATGTGCGGTCACGACGGGTAGTGCGAAGCATATACACGGCAAGATAGGACTTTCCCAAGATTACCTTAAAAGAGCGCAGGACGACTGACTTCCTTGTGGTCTTCATTATGACTAATGCCAAACATGCTCTTTGGTAACCTAACCCCCTGCTACATAACACCCACCGTGATGTGTAGGGCCATATCCAATGCAGCCAACATCAACCCCCGGAATGCAAAGACCTTGGTATGATATGATATGGTATAAATACAAAAGATGGCAAACCAGATCACAGAGATTCATTACCAATTCCGGGACCTCATCGAAAATAGGCTTTTCAGAGATCCGCTCCCAACCCAAGGGCCTATCCCAACCTTCTATAGTTGCCAGCTTGCTCGCCCGCTCGCTCGAGGGTATCCAATCCATCCATTCCAAACTCCCAAAATGCAATAAATTCGACATCCTAGAACGCGCCAGTCTGACTCGCCCGCCTGTTCTGGGGTTGAACCTCCACCGCTGGGGCTGCTTGCTCAGCCTCGTCGAACTGGCCTTCGGGGATGGGGCTCCGGCTCACATCATCGCCGTCCCTCATATTCATGATCTCGTCCTTGCGCGCGACAGAGGGCCAGTTGATGTTCCCTTTGATGGCCGCTTCCTCGGCTTCGGCCAGCCAGCGGCGCCATTGAGGCGTGCTGGGCGCGGCGCCGCTTCTCCCTACCCACGCAGTGCGTTTGGTTTCGCGGATGACATACCAAAGTGTCCGTGTAAAACTCTTCATGCCCTCTCGTGGGTCGGGGGTATCAGTCTGCTTGTCGGCGTTTTTTGCGTGGGGCGGTGTGATGTCTCTGTAGGTGTATCGGCTCAGATCCCAGAAGTAGCGCTTCGGCAACAGTCCCATTGTCCAGTACATGCCATTCAAGGTGATGTAACTAACACCGATGAAGATCTGCGTTTTCCACTTGCAATTGCCCAGCAGAATGACAGACACCATAAGAAGCAGGGTGCCGATCCCCATGAGGACACGGTAGGCCTGTCCGCTGACGTGATACTCGCACTCTTCGGTCCCAGAGTACAACTCCCGCGCAACCTCTTCAGTACACTTGACGAGCAGGAAGGCGCCCTCTCGAGTACGAATAACCACATCGCCTGCGGGTACCTTGTTCTTTTGGATGCGGTTCATGAGGATGGGCTTCCACCAGGAAGCCCAGCCGACGATGGAACTAGCCAAGGCGATGAGCGAAACAGCGAGAATGGCGGTGCCGTCCTGGTACTTTACGGCAAACCCAATGATGGAGAACGTGAGCAGCGCCGAGAAGATCTCCAGAATGTGAATAGGGGAGTATAATTTGGCGGGAATTGCCGGCCGCTTGATGTCATTCGCACCCGTCGGATTGGTCACGAAGTCCTGCACCTTCTCTTTCATTGTCGCCCGCTTTCTTATTCCCGGTGCCGGTGTGGCAGCTTCGACGTCAGCACTCGAGCTGAAGGTCGTACCTCCTGGGGGCGTCTTTGAACTACCCTCGTCATGGGCATCTGGCGGTGGTCCCGTGAGCCTCACCGAGCGCGTCTTTGACATGTTGGTATTCGATCTCAGCCCCGTCCGTAACCTAGAAAGCAGATTCGAACCATTTGTATCCGGTTCTCGGTTGGCATGTTTGATTTCGAGGACCTTGAACGAGAAGGGTTGTAGCTCGTCGAGAGGATGGATGATGTTGGCAAAGAAGCCGACGGTATCGAGGACGACACCACTATAGACGCCAGTCATCTTCGCGGTGGTTTCGGGAAGACGAACCGGGCGCGAGGGCTTCACAAGTGCCTGCGGAGCCGGTATGATACGCGGTAGGAGACAGAAGACGCTCGCGGTGATAGTTTGGGCGTGCTCGGCTATAGAGCCCTCGCCGATGACGGCGAGCAGGGTGACGACATCGAGACGCCAGCCGGATGGGCCCGAGGCTCCATCAACATCGGACGAGAACCACCACAGAGCGGAACCCGGAGAGGCGGTATCGCCGCCGCTGGACATTACAGACTAGCTCCCGAGGGAACGGTAGGTTCGACTAGAGGGACGGTAGGTAGCAATTGGGTTCGAAGCTAAGCTGGTCTCCCACAGCCTCGTCGGTATGTGGAGGAAGATGGTTGGTAGGCGGATAGTGATGATAGCAAAGAGAGCAACGCTGTGTCATTAAATAAGGAAGTCCATTATGGAGCAAGCAGAGGTATATATACGAGCGATTGAGCTGGTGGTCAGCAAGAGAAGAAGTCGTGACGATGATTCGCAAGGTAGAAGCAGGTAGGTATTCAAAGAGAAAAGAGACGTCGAGGGCCAAGAATAGGGAGGACCGTTTGTGATTTGAGATCTTTGGGGGCAGCGGGCAGCGGGCACCAGCGTCCACTTTGGACCCGGCATGGGTGGGTTTGGTTTCAATCAGCCGCTGCGGGCCGCCAATGTGCCCACACTCTGGCAGGCGCTATGCCTATCCAGCTGTATCCGTGGGGCTTAGCGGATACGAGATAGCGCTGATAGACAGAGATAGTGCTGCTAGGCCCACTAAAGCCCACTAAAAAGGGCCGCCGGGCGGGGACGAAGAAGCTTCCAAGAGACTTGAGGGGCTCTGCCCGTCTGCCAAGAGTGGCGCAGACGGCCAACTGCATGTCTCCGCGTCGAGAATCCGCCTTTGTCACTTTGTGCGAGTCGACGACTCGTCATTGTTCCATTCTTCAACACAGCCTCTGTCTTGTTCCACAGCCCAGCCTATCTGTATTTCCTGTTTGCGTTGGGGCGAGGACACACAGGCCAGACAGACCTTCAACTACACATCAACACCGAACCTCGGATCAGTTGACTGAGGGAGGTTGATGGTGTCACGCGTGTGTCGTTCGTTCCCTCAGCTCACGGCGCGTGAATCACAAACACACATGTTCAATGCAGATACTCGGGTTATCTCAAAGGTCCATAATGAAAGCTTCATTTGCGCCCGTAAGAAATAGAAACTGAAGGAGATCTGTGAACATATCGACCTAAATGCCTCCGGCCTCATACTGTTTCTGGTATCACGAATTCACCCAAACGAACGTTGTTGGCCATCAAACCGAACCCAAAGAGACACCAAAGAGAAACCCTAAACCAAGAACGCTACGAAACAGGCCGCAGCGCCATACTCCTTCGTGTCAACCAGCCAATATCAATCAACAAGTTTACTCTCAAGCTGCAATGCTCAAGCTGCAATGCTCAAGCTGCAATGCTCAAGCTGCAATGCTCAAGCTGCTCATCTCGGGAATATCGCTCTTCTTGGGAGGATAATCGCTCTCCACTCCTGCATAGTTCTTCCCGTTGGCCGCCCTCTCTCTCCCTTTGTCTTGAGCTTGCTCCAGCTTGAGCAGCCTGTCCGGCTTCTTCTCCTGGCCTGAATTCACATACTTAATGAATTCCTCCCACCGTTTCACCCACTCGGCCTCGGCTCGCTTCTTATCTTCGTCGCTCATGCAGGAATGGGTCAAGCTCCACTTGGCGAGCTGTTTCCAGCCGTATAGGTTCATGTTTTTGTGGCCAGCCATGACTTCGTAGAAATCGTGTGAGAGTGTGGACCTAGTATGGGGTCAGCTTCGGTACTTGTCTTGATCTGCGAAGGCGATTGGACTCACCGGAAAAGGGTACCGTTATCACTGCTCACCGCGCAATGCATATTTGCATCGAGCAGCCTGTATACAGCGTGTTGATCCATCCGCTCCGTCAGGCCGAGAACCATGTTGGAGATTGGGCACGTCTCCACGCAGACTCCCTTCGCCTTCATCTGCTGCAGGATCTCTGGTTTTTCAGGCAGGGCATATCCGTGGCCAATCCGCCTCGAACCGAAATTGAGGGCGCATTCGAGGTTACCTTCCTTGTCATCGGGGGTCTCGCCGCAGTGGAATAGAAATGGAACATCGAGGCCTTCCGTATTGTCGCAAATTGTCTGGTGTCTCTGGAACTCATCCTTAAAGAACCACAAGGGACATATCCTACCAAAGGCCTCTTCGCCTATCAGGTCGAAGCCAGCGATATAATCGCGATATTTCTTCTGTATTGCCAAATCTCGACAAGCGCTTAGAGCTTTCCCAACTGCATCCTTGTTGAAAGACCTAGGGGTGCAGTAAATGATCTTCAACCCACTGAAGGTCGGCCTGTGGCCGGGATTCGTGACAATCGTATTATCGTCATTCATGTCCCCTATATCCTTCATGAACTGTTGATAAACATCGATGATCAAGTCCACGGTGCCTTGATTGTTGATTTTCTGGGAACCGTCATCCCGCAAGATCTGGTTGGTCGCCATGAAATTCGGCCGAATCTCAGCATACTGGACGTTGTCTCGGACAAATTCCTCCAGACACTGCCTGGTGTACGCCCGGTATGCGGTCTCGTAGTTGAAGAGACCCTTCATCATCCTAGTGCGGCCGTCAAATCTTTCCCATGCTCTGAAAACCTGTTAGCTTGGTTGCAACCCTAGACCGAACAAAGCAACGTACATGCGTGCTCTCATGCGTTCCTGCTTGTATTTGTAGTTGTTTTTTTCGATAGCCGATTTGACCTCCTTGCTGTCCTCGCTCTGCTTGCTCCATTGGAATGTTCCTGATCCGTTTGACTCGTCCAAGTTCTTCTCATACTTGCCCGCGTACAAAGCGTTGATCTCCTTCTCATCGGAGACAAGCTTGCTCTTGAGCCACTCGTCGCATGAGCCTAGCTCCTTAGGAGCCTTCTCCTCCCACTGCTTGCGAAAGTACGCATACCGCATTTGTTGGACATCATTCGGGTGGTCTTTCTTGTTATTGTACGCCTGGGTGAAAACGTTCGGGCCAACCTCGTCATACTCGTCCAGCTTTCCAGCAGTGGCTTCCCTGGCTTTCCTCTTCTCATCATCCGTCTTACCATCCATACTCCCGACCTTGTCCTTGTACCTTTCCAACAGATCGCCGAGCATGAACTCAATTCCACATTCCTCGTAGTCCTTAGGCGTCAGGAGCTTGTGACTACTCCACATGAACATGTTGGGCATATTCTTGGCGTAGCCAAGAAGGACTTCGGGGAGAAGCGTTGAGTTGAAGTGGATGTGCAGGTGTGCAGCTTTGGGCATCCAGTGGGCGTACTTGAGCAGGCTGGTCTTATCGATGAAATCTGCATTCCGCGTGAAGTGATCGCCAGCAGCAGATCTTTCGTCCTCCTTCAAGTGACGCTCCTGCTTGAGAAACGACTCATTCTCCTTCTTAGCCAGTTGCAGCTTCTCATTGGCCAGCTTTTCGGCATCGGTAGCCTTCCGCTTCAAGTCGCCTTGAAAATCAAGCTGCAGGTTGTCCATTCTGTCCGTCATAGATTGCTGGGGCTTTCCGGTTATCTTGTCGCGAAGGTGCTGCAGTGGGGGGATGGCGACAGGTCTGGGTGAAGCTTCTTCGGAATCCTTCTCATGTTGATCGGGGTCTGGGCCTTTATCAACACTGCAGAATGACCCCATGAGCGCATTTGAGCACGGCTGCTTGACGCAGACGAACGAAGAGAATGAAGCGCTGTTGGGTTGGCCTGTGATGCGATCCAACGGGGATGCCTGTTGGACACGTGCAGTCAATGAACAACCCCTGGTAGACCCGTCGTTTCGATGCCAAACGATCGTTTGCGGTAGTCGCTGATGGTGCTGTTGGTGCTGCTGGCGGGGCCGGGGTGTGAGTCCAGTTGGAGATGAGATGAAGTGGGATAACGTGTCAGAAGTGGAAGCCCAGGATGATCACGGCCAGGACTATGGGGGCAGCTGGGGTGGCTGTGTACCTCTCCCGCATAACCGCACTGAATCCGGAGGTAAGGTAAGGCCCGGACGGACAGGCTACAGCGAGGTGACATTGTGACAAGGTAGGCGGTACATTAGACCCACCTTTTGTTTGAATGGCGCAATCGCGAAGGTGGCTGGCAGATACCCGCGACAGGGATATACCTAAAAGTGATCAATTCTTGTAACCGCTATAAGATGCATCAAGAGGGCATAAAGGTGGAAACCCGATAATCCAGCGACTAACCAACACCATCTTCCATCATTCACGTTGACGGGACTGTTGGCCAGGCACATGGTGCCGCCTGGACAGTTCGGTTGACTCCGATGACCCTGTTACTCACCATTACCCTTGGACATTCTCGTAAGCACCATGATGATGTTGGTCCAGTCAGTATATCTGACCAGAAACGTGGACAACCAGAAGACTCGATACAGAACGTTGGCCGCACCAAACCGAGCGCATTCCTGTCACAGGCTTGCCGAATGCATCTCGTGGAGATTCCGTCCCGTCACCTGCCGGGGCCAGGGATCATGAGTTTGGTACAGTAGCAGCACATAAGGCTCTCACGCTTTGTCGCGACCTTCTCGGCTATACAACCGACAGCATCATCAGCACCAACCAACTATGCCTGTCAGTTTCACAAGCCCTACACACTTCAAAGGAATGGATTCTCTCTCATCCCTGCAGAATGTTTCCACTACCCACGTGTGAAGATGTTCCAGAATGTGGGCTGAGCCTCGCACCATTTCCGCTTGCGGAGCGATAGAGCGAATGGAAGCACGGGAGGCCTCCAACGCCCCTGATTGATATATAGTCACACCGGTACTAGCCACATGCACATCGTCAAGTGGAAGATCCATCGTGGAAAACCATGTTGCCTACTACCTTTTCTCGGGCTTTGGCAATCGGCTTGCGACTAGCGACTATCGACGTTTCCGGAATCAGCCTTTCGAGATGCCTTGCAGTAACACCCTCTACTACTTCCGTCGCGAGCCGGCAATATCGCTGGTATGTTGGTATGGTGTTGGGCCGACATCATTCTGTTTCCGGTCACTGCACCAGGATAGCAACCACTCGCTTCCAGTACTGTCACCGATCTGGGTGAGTGTTGGTGCGCACACAGAATGCCCTGCAAGATCCGTCGGGGAATGTCATTGCATCTCTCGTCCCATGGGTCAACCTAGCTTCTCTTGTCTGGATGGTGATATCTCCCAAGGCCCGACTCAGCTTCTACGAAGCCCTCACGCTCATGCATACTCGCAACAGGCCTTGCATAGCAGGTACGAGTCTTGGTACTGGGAGCTACTCGAGTATATTGTATGGCAAGAGGTTGTTCATGGTTCTGCACTATGAGTATGTCCGGTCGCTCGCACTAACGTCACGCCGTGACACCGCCCCTAAATCAATAGGACCATCCGCGGAACGACCATCAGCAGCGACAACGATGTCGCTGCTCCGCTCACATTTTCATTCAATCAAACTCCACTGGGTTGTCGGTGGAGGCACACTCAGGTCCGCGACTCGAACGAAGATCAGCGTCGCCTTGAAGATGCTCGAAACGATCGCGATGGCATGGTTGTTCATACTACCTTAATGGATGACGGCCTCTACTAGAACAAGTTCAACCCTGCCCCACCACTTGATCTTGACTTTCTACTGAAATGACATGCTCAATGCGATCCCGGATGCGAACCAAGACCACAGCCGTACGATCCATGCTACTGACATATTATCATTCGCCATCCAGTCAGGACTATTTACCGCTGACTAGCTCGCATCGATGCTGCGACGTCACATAGCCATGACAGGCACCCACAACTCGAACCAAACGACCCAGGCTGCGATGTCACGCAGTTGAACGAGGGTACTCCGATCCCTTTCTTGCCCAGCCAGTCGGCAGAACAGCCGGGAAAGGGGAGCTAAGCAGGACCCTTTCTCGGGGGCCCTCTAGCAGACAGACGAAGGACAAACTGCATGTCTGCAAGTGTAATAGCTCCCGCAGCCAAGGTTCTCTGGGTCAGTTCATATCCAGTGGAGACAGCCGTATCGTATGCCGTCAGCGATTAAACGCCTAGAAACGTCGATGTCGTCAGGTTCACCCCCGTCACCTTTCTTTTGCTGAAGTGCCGAAGGATAACTAAATCAGTATCGAGCTGCTACGATACTCGCAATTAGGTTCAGACGCAAGCTCTCAACGCTCAAGGATAGGTAGATCATGGCCGTGTCTAGATGTACCTAGTTCAGCACCATTATGGTCATCTGTCCAAGATGTCCAGTCCACAAGCTATCTAAATTATTTCATACACAATCACCCGTGCACCTCACAGAGGTCCACCACTGCCGGTCCAGAGCACACCCGACGGCAATTCACATGTAGGTAGCTAGTCCGACCAATGGATACCACACATTTCTCCAATATCGAGTTCTCCAATATCGAGCGATCAAGCTTTCACTCTAAGTCAACTAGCTGCCCACATACATACCTAGGCGCTCCAGGTCCAAAGGTTCGCTGACAAGGAATCACCATCGTGATAGGGGGCGGTGCCACCTAGCACGCTCCACTCCAGGCATAACATCGAACCAGACAACTCCAGCACACACGAACGCCTCAGCCCGTGAAACTACCAGGCATCAACAAGCTAAGTTAACGACTGACAGAGGCTGTTCATGTACCCATCCATCCCCACATCTCCAGCGCCGAGCTCGTGCGGGAGAAGGCTGAGTCTAGCTTATGAGTTCATTCACGGCGGTTTCGCTTGGCCGGGAGGAAAAGTCTCAGACTGTTCCGAAGTCTTTATTCGCATCTATCTGGGTATCTACCCCGAAGTTGGTTCTTTCTCCGCCCCCAAGAAATTGGGAATACAGCATATGTACAACTCTCTCTCTTGAGCGCTAATCAGAAATGGATATCAGGATCCATCAGCCACGCCATGCTGCCATGCCAATGCAACGCGCAAAAAGTGCAGATCTAACCACTCCATGACGGCGCTCAAAAATTAAGACTCCAGGCATAAAGCGCAAAACCGGCTTATCACGCCAAGGTGACATCGATGGAGTGAGCGGTAAAGCTGAGAAACAGCACAGAACCCACGATCCTCCAACGCATCTAAGTCCACGCTAACGACTATATCTTGACATGCTCGTGCAAAAGGGGTACCATGTTGCAGTCAAACGTCGCGTCATAAGCTTAGTCGGAAGCCATCAGAGCCCGGGCTAATCAGTCGAATCTCAAGCGCTTGACCGCTTTCTTGAGATTACGGTCAGCTTTGTCCACGGCGGCCCTGTTGACGAGGATGGACTTCTGCGACGAAGGAGTGACAGACTTCCGTGGTCTGGCGGTTGGGCCCTTCGTGGGGGTGACAGGGGAATTGTTGGCCAATCGAGTTTTTCCCGGTGACTTCTAGTCCTCGAACTTGATGCTTCGACTCATGTTGACATCCAGAGGGCCGCCCTTGTAGCTTCCGCGCTTCTTCTTGTTCTTCTCCTTCGTGAAGCCCTTACCCTTAGTGATGATCAGATCCTGATGGGCTTTCTCGCCATACCCGTGAGTAACATAGGCATTCGATGATAGGCGCGGATCGACGACTACATCGTTGCGGATGCGTGAAAATGGCTGGTTCTGCACCTTCTTGGGCTTGTCTCCGTTCTGACCTCGATTGTTGGTCTTGAGGGTGCTCGGGTTAGGTGGGAAAGGGGCAAAGGTAGACAGCGGAGTGATCTTGGGAGAGGTTTTATCCAACGTCGCCGAGGTATCAGATCCTGTGCCGTTGGTGGCATTGTCTTTGGAGGCTTTGGTAGGCTTCTCATCTTCAGACTCGGACTCGCTTGAGGAGGAGTCAGATTCGGGCAATGGCACTTTGGCAGCTACAGCTACCTCGTCCTCAGAGGAGTCAGACTCTGATTCAGACTCAGAGTCTGAGGACGAGGCAGAACTCTCGTCAGAGCTAACGGCCTTCTTGACCTTCTTCGCCTTTGGTTTTTCGTCCTCGGAGCTCGAACTGGTCATGTCTTCGTCTGACTCAGAACCCGATGATGAGCTCTCGCTGACCGACTTGGCCTTACGCTTCCGCGAATTGGCAGTCGTCTTGGTCTTTATGACGGTTACAGCAGGTGCTGCTGCTGTAGTTGCCTCCTCTTCATCGCTGTCACTACCACTGCCACTCTCACCCTCGCTGGAGCTGGAGCTACTGCTAGAAGACTCCGAGCTGCTAGCATCGGCGTCGGCAGGTGCGTCGGCCATGGCAACGTCCTCGGAAGAGTCATCATCACTACTGTCACTCTCAGAGCTGTCGCTATCATCGCTGCTGCTGACCTTGGTGATGTGCTCTATAGCCTGTTGAGTTGTTGCGGCGGGCGTGGTGTCTTTGCTAGGAAAGGTCTCCCACGTCTGAAAAACGCCGACCAGGGAGTGGTGCTCTTTGCCCTTGCTCTTCTTAGGGTCCTGGCACTTCCAGCCCCTCTTCGCCCGGTGTTTCTTAAACTCGCGGTGGGCATTGTCGAAGCCTTGGTCGGACAGGAAGGACTCGACGAGGTCCATGAGCTGAGCGGGAGGGGCTTCGCCGGTGGAGGTCGCGGTGACTGGGGCGGCGTCCTTAGGAGCAATCTCCTTATTCACTCTCACCACCGTCTTGTCCTTCTTGACCTTCTTTGCCATTGTGACTGGCTGGGTAGGGTCTGTGTCGTGGGAGGGCGGCAGAGAGGAGGAAGCTGTCGTGTTGTTGCTGAACAACCAGGCAGGAGGTAGCTGAGCAGTTGTGGTGTTGGTATATGATGGTTGAGCTTGCGGATGCTTAGGCATTAGGTAGCCCGAATATCGAGTGAACCAAGCTGTGTTTGCCTGGAAAGTCCGACAAACTGTTCGACAGAAGGAGGGAAGAAAAGTCAGCGACAGCAGGCGGGCTAGCAAATGGCTGGATGGCCGGATGGCTGTCACCAGAGCGGCAGAGCCATCAGAAAAATTTGTGGGTTGCGATAGCGATAACAGAAACAGCAGCAACCCCCCACATTCTGCCGGGCGATCCTTCCTCACACGTCTCACCGCCCCAACCACGCTCTTACCAGGCAAGCCAGGCTGCCCAGGCGCTGAAGCTCAGCTCTTTTCGTTGGCACGCTTGGTCAGCTCCCTTATGCCGCTTCAATGTTTGCTGGTGGAGCTCGTGAGTGGCTTAGAGCTGACTTCTCTACATACTTCGAATGTCACTGCAGATTCAACCCTCCGTCCAGATCTGCGGTCTCCTTCCACGTTCAACAAGAATCACAGATTACTGAGGCGTGAGTCTCTATAAGACATACACCGGATCGATCTTGATCTTCTAACTCTTGTCGTCCTTTTGCCATCTGTGTGCTCATCGGCAACACTGATACCTATGTCACTCCCGAAGATCTTCACTTTCCAAGTAGACGACGACTTGGGCATCCCCGATCTGTGGCAGCTAGCCAGAGAGCAGGGCTTCAACACGGAGGTGCGGCAGCGGATCTTGTGGCGATCCACGCGGCCACCGACTACGAAGTAACTAGCTGTGCTGCACCTGGACCCCATCGTAGACAATGAGGATTCGTCAGCTTGCCGATCGATTCATCAAGGACCCTGGCTGACGAAGCAAGGCGGAATCTTCAATCATACGGTACACATTGAATGAAGGCAGGTCAAGTGGCGACCTTCAGTGGGGAATTTGGCCCCTTCATCATGTTCGTCTTGGTTGATGCCATGATGTGCCGTCCAAGTCAACGCAGCAAAGCACAACAACCTGGGTTCTCCCATGATAATGATATGAGATCCATGGCCGAACCGTCACTTATCACGGCCCGGGGTTAAGATACTACGCTTGCCTGGAACTGCTGCCAGAGTGCCGGAGTGCCTCGCCTGACCTGCATCGTCACCGATTGGGAGGGAGGTGGCTCAGACGCCTAGCTGGCCGTAGGATTCGCGGGCCCCGGTCTTCCAAAATGGCCAGCCTATCACCCAACGTGCTTTCATGGGAGCTTGTGGCTGTAACATGCATCGCCGGCGGCATGACTGGGCTGACTTCAGATTGGGCCCTGAGCAGTTCTATGTGTGGCTGCACCGTTGTGCCAGGCAGCCGAATCCTGGCCAAGCACTGTGATCGTCTTGATAATCTTTCCCATTCTGACGGTTTCAGATGGCTGGCTGTGCTGTCTGGTCTTATCATAGCCACGCTGCTCTGCCCTACGCGGCACAGCTGTTCTGCCCGGGATTGGGTTATAAGACCTTCCTGCTCCATGACCCCTCCTCCTCGACTCACCATACCAACCACAATCGCTACCTGATCTCCCTCGTTACAGTCCACCAAGCAGACATTGATTCCCGAGGCGTCCATCATGAAGAACGATATGGACCACACTGACCCCGTCAACGCGACCACACCCCTCAATCCGGGCATGGTCGCCGCTCCACCCAGCGAGTCTTATTACAGCGACGCCCATGACGACTCCTCCACTGACAAGGAGTACAGCGTTCACGTTGCTTCTTTGCTGCGAGCTGTGATCATCATTCTCACGCTCACCAACGCCATCCTGCAGATCAAAGACGAGCCGGAATGGCCCGTGACCATCATCCTCATGGTCCTGACCTGGCTGTCGCTCACGTGGAACATCTCCTCAGTTGTTCCTGGGTTGGTGCTCGTCGGCGGGAAGAAGGTAGGCATGGTACTTCCGCAAACCAGCTTGGTCGTCGGCGGCCGCACCTACGTTCTCTTCGGTCCCAGTGAGGACGACACCGACAAGGACGGCAGGAGGGCCGTCCTCAGAACCGCTGTAGCCGATCTCCTCCTCGGAGGTCACTTTCTTCTCTTCAGCTTGATAGGCGAGCTTGGTCAAACCGTGAATTGGTGGAGGCACGAGACGGCCATCATGGTCTTGTGTTTCATCGTCACGTAAGTTACCTCCATCCCATTGAGACTAAAGGTCTCGCTAACAACGATGTGAACAGGGCCCTTCAGCTTGTCGTCGGTGCTTTCATGCTCTTCCCGGCCCTTACTCAGACCCGCTTCGTCATCCGATCGGTGTATCGCCGCGATGCCGGTCAATATCACATCAGATTGCCCCAGGACATCGAGGCTGCCCCTGTCCCCAGCAGACAGCCCATCTCCATCACCGCGTAACTCGAGGTGGGCGGCTCCAGCAACGTCTGGGGAAGTGTACACTCTCTGGATGGATCTCGACCACGAATGTCCAGACTCTTCGTGATACAAGATTGAAGATATGATGTCCGTATCGAACCGCATTGTGGCTCGTGGTTGGTTCTCTCATGGCTAGCTTATGGCATATTCACCTTCTCTCGTCTCTCACACTTAAACTTGGACTGGACTTATGATGGAATCTGATGCACGGATGGCGAATGGCAATGGTCTCATGATTTTGGCTATCGATTCAAAGCGAATACCTACACTCTTTCATAGAAAAACACGGAAACAAAATAAAAACACGGAAAATAAAAAAATACCCCGAACCTTGTCCGGGACGACACTAGCTAGATCCCTCAAGTAACTAAGAGCCACTGGTACATCCTCATCCCCGATGGGCACCCTATGGAAACCACCTTCTACGCGGGACTGAGCTCTCCTGCTGAAGCGTCTCAGCTTGCTGGCCGAGTGGCCTGTTTGTTCTTAAGGCGCTGACGTCGGTCAGTCTAGTCTTGGATACATTATTTACTTACCCCTTTTCACTTCCTTCTATCACACCTTGCACCTCACTCACACCACTCACCACACCCCATTCACGCCCAACACATCATCCCAGTACCCTCTCCCCATCGCCCAAAGATACCTCACGCCCCGCCTGGGTCCCAAGCGCCAATGTCCCTCCCCGTAGCACACGTCCCTCGCACACATCCATTCTCCTCCCCTTTCCCCTTTGCCGTCCCCCTTTGCTCCTGCCTCCTCGACCCTGCCCCCTCGACCCTCCTTCCGCTCCCCTGTTCTATCCTCCCTTAAAGCCCGTAACCGTAACCAGAACCGTGGGCTGCGAGACGGACCGCCTCTACGGTAGGTCGGTCAGCCGGTCGGTCGGCGATGGCCGGGTGTAGCGTAGGTGGCAATGGCGACCACGGGACGGGAGGGTCAGCCGCGGCGGGGTGGGGGCGGTTGCTTGTAGTGCGGCAGGCATGTGAATTTAGTTACCTAGGGTGGGCGAATATGGCAGTAGCCGAAGAGAGAGAGATGTTGCAGGAGTAGGTAGGTATGAGATTCAGCGCACGCACTTGGGTGGAAAGTATGTGTGGTGGTCCTGTTCATGTGCTTGGGTATGAGATGTAGACTCAGTGCTTGCACATGGGTGGGAGGAAGTGTACATGATTTGTCCACAAGGGTTGAGGCGCTCGTGCGTAACCACAAGTTCGCCACGGGATGCAAGTAAGGATATGTATCTACAGATCAAGAAAGGTACGCTGTCGCTTGACAGCCGGCCATGGTCAGTCATACGCAATGATACATGTGTTGTGAAGACAACAGTACAAGGCAAGAAAGGGCTGGGTATACAGAAAATCTGGTATGTGTTCTGGTTAGCTACTCAGTATGAATAGCTGTCTATGAAGCAGATCTATAAGAAATCGCAAAACAAGTAACATCATCATCAATCGTCAGTCCTAAATATGTACACCTCGCCCACAAGCACCGTACAACCCACGACCATGGCTATAGCGATTATGGGGAGATTCACACGCGCAAACTCCAGACCTCGGACGCGGATGTGTTTCCGGGCGAGGATGTCTCGCCACAGGAGGCCGGCCAACGACGCACTGAACGCTACGCTGAACGCGCCGTAGTTGACGCCGAGGGCCATGCTGTAGATCGTGGCCCATTTTGTACGGTCGCCGATGTGGGTGCCGTTGATACGATGGATCTCTATCCATGCTTGTATGACGCGGGAGAGCAGGATGGTAGTCCCTATGTTTGTGCCTGCGAACTAGTAATGCGCGAGCAAGGTCAGCTTGCCAAGTGTGAAATCAGGTGTTAGCCGTAGACTTACGTTGCACAGTATGACGGACAGAAAGCCCATGCCACCGATGGCGCCGATTGTTCCCGTCTTCACCACCCAGTGGTCCCATCCGTAGGCGAATACTGGTACCCAACCTTTGTTGACCAAACCCTGCACCAGAATGAACATGCAAAAGGCAAATGGTAGGAGGGCGAACGGCAGGTGTGATACGACCGCCGTGACTGTCGGGAAAGTCTCCTGAGACCACCTGTACCCATCGCGAACAAGCGAGATGAGTGTTGGGCGCTCATGCCTTTGTCGTAAATCTTGCCTGAAGGGTGCGAGCTTTTCCTCATCGAGTGCCCCACTCGATGCCGTGTCTACTTTTCTCTGCGGTGCAGCCTTCGGGTCATGACCGTGAAGAGCTTGCTTCTCATCAGAGTCCCTTACAGTATCAACAAGCGGCTGGCCATCCTTTGGTGCGAACATGGTGGGAGAAGACCCAGGTGGGGAGGTGGACACTGGAGTCATACCATCGCCGTTCTCAGATACGAGAAGCGCGGGGCTCGTCGATGATTGGAAACCCGGCTTCGTTGGTCTCGTACTGATTCTATCGGCTCCTATCAGACTCTCTCTGTCAATGTCAGCAACGGAATGGCCAGGTTCGCTTGTCCCATCGCCATTAGTTTCCCTCGGAGTCTGCTCTACTGCTTCTGGTGAACGAGTCAACCTCAGGGCATGTTCGTCAACTGCTGTGATGATCCGCTCCTCCAGTTCCATGCCCTCCTCCCGGTTCTCCCTTGCGGTTTGTATTTCGCGTCGCCCGTCGCGCGCAATTCTGCGCGTCTCTTCCCGGTGCAACCATCCAGACGAGATGTCCCAGCACAGCATAACCACCGCGGCAGGTAACGTCACGTAGAACACGGGATACTCGCCATTCTTTTGTGCTGCTGCATTGAGTGACAGGACAGTGACCAGCGTTGCAACCATGATGAAGCCTCCGAATGCTGCACCTCCTTTATCGAGGAAAGGGTTCAAAACCTCTTCAAGAGAGATGAGCTGGCCGGTTTTGCTGTCCGCATTCTGGTTCTCTACTTCCTCAGCCTTTCCTCGTGCATTGGGGATGTTGGGGTTCACAGGCTTCCGGTCTTTCGCTTCTTGGGGAAGGTCGTGCATCTCGATGGAGATAGGGATGAGCGACTCGTCGGCGAAGACAATGTACAGCAAGAACGGGAATAAGACGATAGCGGTAGCAAATACCGGCACAACCATGTTTTTCGTATAGTCAACGAATCGGAGCCCGAAAGCACCGGCAAGCACCAGATTGGTCGGGTTTGACGAAACGAGGAGCGCAGAGGCGATGTTGGCGACGGCGAACTGGGTGTGGATCCAGGCTCTCGGGTGGACGATGTTGCTCGAAACCCGAGTCATGTAGGCGAGGAAGGCGGTGCCGGACAGAATGATGGGGTCGTTACCAATCACGCTGCCGATCAGGAAGAAGAAGGTATAGAGGTAGAAGAACAGCCTGTGCCCGACTTTACCCGCCTTCTGTAGCACCTTGAAGGCTAGCCACCTGATGAGGCCAGAAGCGTCGATTGAGATGGCGATGTAGGCTAGGGAGAGGAAGAAGATCATGATGTCGTAAGGGTTTATGTTGTCTGTTCCAGCAATGCCCTGGACTATCTCCCGTCGGCCAATGGCTCCGGTGATGAGTAAAAAGATGTCGGCTATGAAGGGCCCTGTTGCGAAGTCGACGCGGAATCTGGGCAGGACGAACCATGGCCGGGCGCGGCCAGGCTGTTGATCATGGTCGCCATGGTCATTGCTGGAGCCACGTTGAATTCGAGGCTGTCTGGGCGGTATGATGCGCAGAACACGCAGGCTCTTGAAGAAAGCATCTGAGAGAAGGCGAGGAACGGGAATAATAACGTTAAATGGGAAAAGTACGACGAGGTCTAGCAGTAGCGAAGAGGAGTTAATCGCACAGGAACGTACGGGGGTGCACGCCCAAACATGGGTTGGACTTACTGGCTGCGACGAAGACGATGAGGGTGAGGATGGATCTCCACGTCTTGATCTGTTCGGTGTCAAGGTCGATATTGAAATTCAGCTCATCTGAATCTGACATGGTGGGGTCCGCTGGCAGAAGCGAGTGAGCGCTTCACTCAGAAGATCAGCGCTCTTCTGTGAACACAGTCCATCTGTAAGAAATATGCAGCGATCTCGGACCTGTCCAGCGACGAAACCGTATAGCCTCTAGCAGTGGAATCTAGGTGGTGAGAGATGAGGTAGAGCTGAGATGCTCGATGAGGCCTCGAGGGCAGTTGGCGATGCGAACGGCGACGTCTTTGTCTGCGCAGATGACGGATGGCTTAGGCGAATCAGGTCGCCAACAGAAATCTACACGATGGACATGTGCTCGGGTGTAGGATGCTTTCGAGACTCGGCGCAGAAACAGTGGAAGACCAAGACAACCAAGATAGCATCCAAGGCTTGGTGGTGGCTGTGGACGTAAGTACTAGTCTAAATAGAGAAATAGAAGGGTTGTGGAAGGGTCGTACCGCGGTAGTGATTGGTCAATGGGCGGAAGAATGCGGGGCTGTGGTTTTGGGGAATCCTTGATCAGCGTCAGTGCGGCTGTGCAAGCCCGTGCAGGTGAGTCTACATGTATACTCCAGTACTGGTATACTCTTGATGCTAGATCCGGAAGTCTTGACCGCCTTATGAGTTACATGTATCTACCACTTGATAGGTACGGTGATACACCCTAAGTAGAATAAACCTCGGGGCTCGCCGTGTAATGCATTTCTGAGTGGGAGATGAGCACTCCGCAGTCGTCTGTCAATGCTATTGTTTCTTCCATCAATTGTCTAGGTGGAAACCACATCTTGAGCCAACATGCTGGCAGCTAGCTTGGTGAATAGGTGAGCGCCTGGTGAGTGATGAATACTTATGGGTAAGTCGGCATTGTAAACTGCCCGGTTGATGTAGGACTTCTGTCAGATGACAGATGACGCTGCGACACACAGCTGCCAAGGCTGCTGACCAGCTGCCCAAAACGGGTGCTCGGTGAATGGGGCTGCACTGTCCAGGACTGGGGCATCGGGTCCGTCCTGGAAATATGACGGTCAGCCTCCATTATGTACAACTGAATCCCATGTCTTCCGAGTCCTGCCTCGTCACCCTTGCTCACGCGGCAGTCAGTCAGTCAGTCAGTCAGTCCATGCAGCCTTGCCTTGTATTGTCTTGCCTTGCCCCTTCGGCGAATATCAATGATGAGGCGGGCAGAGACATCTCAACGTGGCCTACTTCAACCTTCCCCTTCTCCTCACTGCCTCTCTATAGCCTCCCGATGGGATGCATACTTTCACGACTAATCGAAGACACGCATGCATAACAAGCAACCCATCCCCTTTTTTGAACCGCTACAGCCCCTGTGAAACTTACCATCAGTCTGCCGTATTGTCTGTCTTGCTACCATAGCCTACTCTAAGCCCTCTTTCTCCGCTCTCTCTTCATGCCAGTGATTTCTCCCACCACGCCCATCAACACCTTTGTCGACCGGGATACGATTACCAATTCCACGAATGCCACCGTTGCGGATGCTCTACAGGTCGTATGTGCGTGGCCCGTATCGGGGCAGTACGGAGCCGGCTCGCGGGTGCTGTAAGTGAGAAGACTCGGCTCTCCCCACAAAGTCCACTTCCTCCACTTCCTCCACTTCCCGAGATCGTGAACTCGAGTCCCACATCGTTAGCATAGTCTAATCCGACTACAAGCTAATCCGCTACCTCTTCCTTGCTCTATAGCTACTATATCCTCGTGGCTGTGTGCGTATTTGCTCGAAAGGCAGAATGGCTCCGGAGCGCCGGCTTAGCAGCTGCCTTGCTTGTTCCCGCCGTCGCGGCCCTCCACGCCATTGTCCTTGCTGCCGTCCACGTCGATGGTGAGCCAGTATCCCTTCTCTGCACCCACATGTAATGAGATACTGACAACATTACCTGACACCCAGGCGCGGTTGATATGGACGTCTATGGTGCCTTCCAACTGTGTTCCATCGGCATTCTGGCTGCTCCCGTCACCGTCAGACTGTCGCAGACCTACTTCAATGACCCCGGTCGAAATATGATCTTCCTGTGGACTGGCCTTGTTCTGGCTGGTGAGTAAATCTTGTGTTCCCGCCGCTCTGTCAGTCCGCTTACCCACCTGAAGGGCTGCTAAGCTTGACCGTCGAGTTCTACCGCATCGAAACCTTCGCTTGTTCCATGGATGATTTTGGGCAACCCATGTCGTCCGATCCAAGCCAGTTCAATTACATGAATGCCGGTTGCGGCTTGGCTCTACCTTGCAACACCGGTCCCGCTGGGCCTTTTTCTCCTCTGCGACGCGGCGCTACCAATGAGATCTTCGTCATACCTGCACCGGACAGGCTGACTTTCAACGCCGCAACGCTTGTCGCAGCAGCTTGCTGTGTCCCTGCCATTCTCTCTCTGGTATGTTACCGGAGGCTCACTGCCCCCCTATCGAACTCGCTTCCACAGCCAAGTTATCTACCAGTGGTAGTTGAAATTGGAAGAATGTCTTTGGGGGCACCGCAGGCTAACCCGCTACTATGCAGATATATACCTGGATCAAGATCCTCGAAGTCAACTGGAAAAACAGCTACGGCCACCATGACGAGCCCATCTCTGGCACCAACGGCGCCACCATCGGGAAGATGAAGGGAGTCAACGCCGTCATCCGAACCTTTCTCAGCACCGTCGAAGTCCCACTGTTTGGTGGAGCAGTGATTGTGATACTTGTCTTTGGCGAGCTAAACTTCTTCAGTCGTCAAGTCAACTTTCAAACTGAACCTATGACTAGCATTGGTAAGTTGCCCTACCCTTCGAACTGTTGAGAGCTCTTACCGACGTGCCGCCTGTCGTAGGCCAGTGGGCTCCTATTGTAGGAACTGTACTTGCTGCAATAGGGTCATTATATGTCTTGTTGGCAAGCCAGCGAGCCGCAATGGATCAAGCCCATTCCACAATAGCAGTGCATCACTGCACCTACTCCCACCATCACTGTACGCCGAGTAGCAGAGACAACGAAAGTATTGGAAGTGTTGCCATCGAGAGTCCACCACAGATTTCGAGGGACCTCCCAGCTGTGCGTCCAAACCTCACCAACGGGCAGGGAGGGAACTCAATCGAAATGACGCCAACAAGAAGCCGCTCAGTACCTGGGTCAAGACAGCATAAACGATCGTGGACGGGTATCGATGATGGTAATAGACGCAAAGTAGCGGACGTGCTGACTGCGGTTGGCGATTGGTTTGGAACGGCTTCCCCCGATCGTTTCGATGACTCCCAGTTCCGACGCGGAAGGGCGGTCGATTTCCCTGTCATCCCAGGGGAGGCGAATCGAAATTCTGAGCTCCCCCGGATCCAGAGAGTGTGGAATCCGCACCGGGACGCAGATGGCAACGCGACACCCCGGCTTTCTGGGCGAGGTAGTTTCAATGGCAGCGTGGTATCTGGGCTTGCTCTGGAGGACGACGCGACGACACCAGGTCCAACGTCACCTCACTCGCCGCATTCACCACACTCCCCGTCATTCCCATCGCCAACTGCAGCTCGATCTAGCACGCTCCCTTCGGGACGTTTATCACATGACAGTCCGGGAGTGTTGCGGTCACGGCGGGACACACTAGAAGTGCCAACAGCCGCCCACCACGGTCATACCCGCACCAACTCGACGTCTTCACCGTCACCACCTCTCCCAACCATGACCAGAGACCAGCGTCGGCCTACAATCGTAGTGTCCACCGAGCCCGACACCTTGTCAACCTCAAGCATGCCAAATGCTAGCTCACCTGATCCTCCTTGAGCATCACCTGCGCGATGACCCGAATAACCATTCGGAGCTTGCCAGGAGTCGAAATTCGCGATGCGGTATTTGCTACTAGCCCATAACCCGAAGATTCTCGAACAAAGCACGATATCTCTGTCCGGAGATTGCAATACGTTGCTATCAACAAACCTCAACATTAATCACCATTTGTTTTCTCCATCAATCGACGCCCGCATTGGTTCATACACCCGTGGGTTTGGAAGCACTTTAGCTGCTCGCATTATAGAAACGATCTACACGAAACTCGACACATTCATTGGTCAACGGCACCTCTTACTTCATGACGAATAGCGACTATCTTGCATATAGATGGATTAGACAAGGCTACATAAATCGGGAACTTGCTATGCGGTACGTGGGGGGCCTTACGTTTACGAATTACTGACTCGCCCGAATATCACCGAGGCCGATATATGGCTAACATCCCGAAGGACTATTTTTCCATCATTTGGAACAAGGCAGATATGATCCCGTTTCTGGTACTTGGTCAACCAGCCTCCGAATAACAGGGTGCAAATAAGAGATTTTGACAAGGTGCAAATAGCAGGACTCCTGCGCATTCCCCACTCCAAGTGCCCAGCCATAAACGTGCTGCTGCCGAACGAATAACTACCCAGGCCAAAGACAATCTTTAGAGTCCCCATCGCAAACCGAGCACGTTCCAACCGGGCATGGGTTATTGGCGCAATATCTGGAGGTATCACAAGCCGAGGCACCCCCTGCAGACCGAGGCATCAACCCCCTAGCATCATCCGCAGGGCTGGTCCGCGCCCGATGCTCCTTCGTGTTGGCTTTGGCTGCCTGGAATTCCTTTTTCAACCCGTCGGAAATTTTCACGCGGCCGATCTCGTCCATAGAGTCGGCTTCTTTCACAACGGCCTTGTCCTCGGGTTCGTTGTATAAGACTCCGGCCCAGCTCTCGGCTTTTTCCATCAGTTTTGCGAGGTCTTCGTTGGCGGACTGGTCGGGGGCTTGTTAGCTTTTGGTCGGGAGACTGCATTGTGTTCTGGGTATGGAGGGGAGGGGAGGGATAGAGGGTGGTGGCAGACTGACCTCGTCGTCGCTGGAGTCGGACATGCCCATGAAGGCCGTAGCGAGTGACGCAAAGAGGACAAGAGCTGTGCTTGGCTTCATTGTGATACTCGAGTTGGTTCGGTGGCTGGCTATGTTTGAAGTTGTTGGGCGTGTGCTTGGTTGAGAGAGTCCCCGTGGCGAGACGTATTTGAATGTGCGGGAGAAAGATCGATGTGTCTGTGTAGAGGTGTGCCTGTATTTTAGGATGGGCAAGACTCTACCTTTTCTAGTCTGAGGCCCTGGGCCTATTCCTTTGCGCTTGAGCGTCCGATTATCGCTCCATGCAGCTGTGACACAAGTACGTCAGTGTGCGAGGAAGCTTCAATGGGCTACAATGGCTCCGTCATCCGCAAGCAAGGCTGGCATGGTTCCCTCGCTAGGTACTGGGGACGTGTGTTGCTACAAAAGATCGCACCGACAAGGCCTGATTCGATGAAGGCCGCATGTCTTCATTGACTTTGGCTATGCAGTATGGAAGATGTCTGGAACTTTGAAGGCTATAATTAACCATGGGCTCGAGTGAATCACCGCACACTCCGCTGGGCGTCATAGCCCGACTACTTCAACGCAACATAGGTGCGAAGGCTGGGATCGCATACTCGAGCTACACGCCCAGTGTTCTCGAGACTATACCAGGGTCCAAAAGTACCAGCCGCCCCCGCCCCAATCCATCTGCACTCCTGTTCCGCCTACAGGGGAGAAAGTTCCTCGAGAACCGCGTCGGATCATGGTTTCTCGGTATCGTTTGGACGGTGCCATAGAAGCCGACTCCTCCGCTTCCTGCGCGTCGGCCGAGATACTTCCGAAACAGGATTATAGCCTCACTTGCAGACCAATCAAATGCGACCGGGCGCCGGCGGCGTGAATGATGCCATGACAAGCGCTGGCGACGTGGGTGATGCCATGATGCTGGTTTGCTCTGATTCACATACAAAATCATAGGTGTGTGATGGTTCCACCATCCATCAGGTGTAGCAATGGTCCCCATGGTCCCTGGGTCACGTGACTGAGCACATGACTGATCGGATGACAGGTTGATCCATGCCCTGGTGGGTCTGGTGGGGGACGACTGCCCACATCTAGCTGCCCACCAATTTGGGTGCATCTCCAGATCTTTCTTTTCCTTTAACCAGAGTTCGTTATACGTTAATAGTCAATAAGGGTCCCTGTATCCTTCCAATACATTTACGGAATCGTGACAAGGTGGGTAAAGCATACACACAGGTCACGTGCTACCTAGATACAGCATAATTCCAGGATAGAGTATACAAATCTGGGTTACAAAATTATATATTCGATCAGGGGTAACAAATATACCCCTTAACGGCGGGGGCCCCTTAATAAAACACCCCCTTTGATAAGATAGTTTTTATATCAAATATCACTATGTTTATTTCTATATATATTTATAATTAATAAGGCTAGAAATACTGGTTTTATTACTTCAAATTTTTTCCCTTAGTGTTTTTGTAATATATAAGTTATTGAATACCGCGTTCTTATCAATTAAGTAGCTGTTGGAACAGGCTTGAACGATCAATCATAATACTCGAGTATGGGGTCAAGGTCATGATGTTGCTGATGGTTGGATTGAGAGGAATCTAGCTGGACTCAAAGGTCTGGCCAAGTGCCCTCTCAATCCACTATCTTATCTTATCTAATCATACATGTGGGTCCTGGTATAGATGGTTTGCAGTCTGGAATCGCATGGATCCAACAGTAGCGATATTTTAAACTTATATTATAACTCGTTATTATTACAAGGTCGGGAAAACTAGCCTTGTTATAAGCGTGTCGTTAAATTTTAATAAATGTAAAACTTTATATTATATTTATTTATATTATAAACATAGGTCATTATAAGTAGCTATTCTTTATAAGTTAAAAAAAGAGAAATATTTTCGTTTAAACAGACATATTATACGACTCTTTTTGGCTAAGTTATAAAGGTTATAATATTACGATTTTAATAAAGGAACTATTTTATTAAAAATGCTGTTTTATTCGGAGGCCTTTACCGTTATTTACTTATTTATACTTTATTTATATTCTTTTTTAAAATACCTACTTTATAAGTCATTATCTTTTTTATAACTATTTAGTTTATTACCTACTATTAATATATATATTGTCGGACGTGGTGCCTCAGGGTGTGTGGCGTAGGCTGTGGCGCAGGTGGTCCGTGTGTGGCTGGGGACAGTCGTTGAGAGACCGTTGCCCCACCGCTCAGCTGTTACGCTAGCGGGACACGTACGTACTGTATTTTAACTGTATTTGTGTCCGCACTGGGTAGACACGGAACCTTAGAGAAATCAACGAGTGAATGGATACGTATTCTGCACACTGCCTTTCCACATATATAGGAAAAATAAAAGAAATCCGGCTTAAAATAATTAGTAATAACTTTTTTAATGTAGTTATATTAATTATAATATATTTATAAACTTAGCAACGTTTTTATTAAGTTATTTTTATAGCTGCGGGTAGAGGTTAAACTTATATCCAACGTAATAAAAAGTTCGCGCGTATATCAGTAACAATTGTCACGACGAGCGTACTGAGGAGCTGGGACATGGCCGGCAGCAAATTGACGAGAATATCAAGACTAGAGAGGAAAGGAAGAAAGAGAGAGAGATAGATACAGTGGGAGGTTGCCCTTTTAAGGGGATCCTCTGGTCAGATCCTTTCCCTATTGGGAAGTATCCGCTCGTCATGTGAGAAGGTCTGTGCAGGCCGTCACAGAGGGTGTGAGCGGTCGCTGCAAATGTTGTTTGTCATTCTCAAGTATGCTTGGCAGGGCTAATCTACAGCTAAATACTATACTGCACCATGCCAGGGTGCATCCACTGTTCCCTTGACAGCCCCTTAGTGGGTACTGCACCTAAGAGCACCATATCTGGGATCCAACATCTGACAGTTATAATTAAAAGATTACGTGGTTAAAAAACCTTAAAAAGCTATTTCGTTATATAGCTATTTTTTTCTTTAAAAATCTCCTATTAATAATAATGAAACCGCGGAATCGGCGTCACCTACCACTAACTAAATCTAGCTAAACTAAAAAGTTATAAATAAATAAAAATATTTTAAGTTAAGTATATATTAAGTATAATAAGTAGTAAGTATTATTATCGGTAAACCTCTTCCCTTCTAAAAATCCTTTATTAATAGCAGTAAAGCCGCAAAAGCGGCGTTACTTACCGCTAGTTAAGCACAGCTAGACCGAAAAGTTATAAATAGATAAAAATACTTTAAGTTGGGTGTGTATTAGGTATAATAGTAAGTACCATCGTCGGCAAACCCCCTCCCTTTTGAAAATCCCCCATCAATAGCAGCAAAGCCGCAGAAGCGGCGTCCCCTGCCGCCAGCTAGGTACAGCTAGACCAACCAGTTACACGTAAACCTACACGCAAAATGCGCGAAACGCGTTGAGAAGCTACGAAATAGCTGGTCTACCATGGGATACCTGACAGTTCCCAACAATGGTGGTCGGGTACCTGAGCCGTCACACAATGTCGGGATTCCACTGGGCGGACACGAGAGGAGCTGACGGTGCGCCCCTGCAAATGACCTTGAGGGGTCGACTGGCTGGTCACTTGCCAGCACTGTTGCCCGAACTGCGCCGCGACTTGTCTTTGTCGTTTGATCGACGCTTCGAGTCGCTCACAGAGGTCAAAGGTAATGTCACTCCACCCTAACAAATGTATCCATATACTCATTGATCGGGCTGACACATGTTCTATTTCTGCATAGGCCTCAGACAAGGCGCACTCTTCCCTACTATTCTCGATGCTGTTGCCAGGTACAACGCGCTTGCGCTCTTTGGAGAGGAGTTCTGTAGGAAACACCTGCCCGGCCTCGTTTTTCTCTATGAGGAGGTTGAAAGTTAAGCTGCTGACAGGCCGTCTTTATGATGTACCGGAAGATCCCGGGCTGGTGCGGTATGGAGTGCACATGATCGAGCACACATTGCTGATTGCTGAAGTCCTCCGCATGCTTCCTGCCTTTAGCCGCGAGTAAGTGAACCCCACGTGTGCTGTCAAGCCGTCAGGCATATCTGAGCCCAATGTTTCCATACTGACAGCAGAAGCCTAATTGGGAAATTCATGTCCGCACGCCTCAATTCTGGTACTGTCATGACTGAGGCCCTGCTCCAAATTGTGACTAAGCGGTTCGAGGAGCGCGAGCTTCATAGAGCCGGCCAGGATACCCCGGAACACCATGATTGCATTCAGTGGATCATGGATCATTCGCCCCGTCACAAGCCTTGGACCGCTATGCGTGTCGTGCACGAGCTCATTGCCGTGTGGTTTGGCTCAGTGCACATCGCGTCAACGACTGCCTGCGCAGCCCTTTTCGATCTTTGCGACCACCCCGAGTACGTGCCCGTTCTGCGGCAGGAGATAGAAACGACCGGATGGAAGGCGTTCGATAAGGCAGGGGGACAGATCTTCCCGCTGATGGACAGTTTCCTTGAAGGAGTCGGCAAGGCTGAATCCTATAGAATCAGTCAGCACGCAAGGTCTTGAAGCCGTTTCAGTTTTCGGACGGGACCGAGGCGCGAGCAGGGCAATGGATTTGCTCTGCGCCCAAAGCCATGAACCGCAACCCGGACACCTGGGCCAAAGCAAACGAGTTCTACGGCTTTCGGTTCGCCAAACCAGAGATTCTGGAACAAGCTTTGAGCAGCCATGAGACATTGGTTTCGCCATCATCTCATGAGGAGAAGTTTTAGATTCCCGAAGAAGGCAAGTCGACCGCGTATACAGACCTCACCGACTGGCAGCAGTGGGGTACTGGAAAGGCATCATGGTGAGTCTATCCTCAACAAGCCCATCCCTGACATGCTACAGCACAAGTAAGGCTCCATGTGTTGCTAACTTGCGTGGCATGATCAGCACTGGAAGATGGTATACGTCGACGGCCATCAAAGTGATGATGGGCCTCCTCATCACCAAGTACGATATTCATCTCGTGGACCCCAAAGCGCAGCGGTTCTTTTCTTGGCGTACCTTCATTTACCCGTATGTGACCACGAAGGTCACCATGACACCACGGTTGGGCGCAGAGTGCTACGGGATAGTGTTGGGCCCCGGACAGATAGCGCGTCTAGGTCAATCCGCCTTGAGAACATAGACTTGGGATCTGAAAGCTGGAAACTCAGTTTATCACCCTCGTGACAGATCTGCCGAGGAGCAAGTGCGCCGGGATACGGAATAGAGTGGGTTAGCCTTAGGGAGATAGAATCTGTGTTCGAGCACAATACCAAGTTAGCTCTCGAGAGACGAATGGAGCATCGGGGCCGAAGCGTCAAAATTTTTGTATGAGCAACGACAAGCTCGCGAACTTAAGTGCTTCCACGGCTGTGTTTGGATTGGGTGCGACTCCGACGAGGTGCCCAGAACTGATAACTTGACCGTAGTCTCCTTTGAGCCCATGCCTCAGATAAGCACACTTATTTACCACCAGCAACCTCCCGGCCACATCTGTCCCAAACCTCCTTACCAGTCAATATGGTCGTAACGAACATAGCCAAGCCCACCGTGCCGGCGTCCGCCTTGACCCAACCGACCACACTGCCCGGCAAGGTGATATCCAGAGCATTCGCCACAACGCCAAGCCCAAGCCCGCGGATCTTCGACCGGATCTCCCGCCTCCACGCGACGCGTCCTTGCTTCCGGTCCCTGACGATACCGCGCAGACGCTCCTGTTCCCTCCTTAGCTCCCACCTCTCATTCTCATTCCCGTCGTCATCCTTGAACACCGGCTTCTCGGTTGCGGTCGCGGTGCCCGTAGTACCAGTGGCTTCCTGCTGCTTGTCGCTAGAATAGCCCTGCCCGGTGGGCGGCACAGGCGTGTACGCCAGCACCTTCAGCATCTTCAAGAGGCCCGAGAACACGCCGCACACGAGGGCGAACAGCCAGAAGCGCTGGGCCTCGATGGTGAGGTAGCGGTGCCACTCCGGCGTCCACACGGCGAAACCCTCAACGCCCAGGGCCTCGATCATTGTTGACGCTTCTAGCAGCAGGTACATGGCATTAAAAGTGCGCCCGAAGACGTCGAGCCAGGCCTCGGTCTGCACCCATCGCGGCTGAGGTGGTACTGCCTTGGTGCCCGGCGGCGGTGGTGGCGATAGGCTGACGTAGAGCTTGTGGGCTGCGTGAAAGGACTCTAGGCAGCGGAAGAGGCGGAAGAATCTGCGGGCTAGGGCTAGACGTTGGCGCAGGGCGAGTAGGATGGTGTGGGTTGCCGCTAGCGAGGGTGGTCCTTGCGTTGTGAAGCTCAACAGATAGATCAGTACCTCGAAGGGGAGGGCGAAGGAGGAGAGAATCTGGGTGATGGCTTGGAAGAGTCGGAAGGTCCGCTCGAGCCCGACTGGGGAAGGTGTTAGTATTCTAGCTCTGTGCATACATGAGGTTACGCGTGTGGGGAAGAGGAAACGCAATGCATGTGCTGTACTGTGAGTTCGACCGCTTGGCTACTGCTCTGACATAGCCTGCCATGTGGAAAAATGCCGTGGCCTTGACACTGGCACGACTCTGGGGGCAGTGTCTCTTCCGCGCATTCAAAGGCTTAGGAATGAGCCAAATAACTCTGGATTTTTTGGTGCTCTTCATGACTGCCGAATGAATACTCAACTCTTCGGCGGTCTAGCGTTTGATCCGCACTCAAGCACAATGTATTCAATCGTTCTTTCCAAGCGAGTAGACAAAATCTCGGACTGGTTTGGATGCAATTACCATAAGGAGAAAACATCACCGTCCCAATTGGAAGCCATATATGATTGCTTTGCGCCCCATAACATGAAGCGGATGCCCATAGGTTAAAAGTGCGGACGCAAAATAGAAAAGGCTTACCTGAATCAGTCATGAACCTGATGAACTGCTCAAGCGTGTGAGACATGTTGCCGTGATGTGCGCGTGGTTGTGCGTTATGTAAGCACCCGCCTATCGCTGCGGTTCAATTGGAGAAAATCTCAGAAGGCCGTGACGCACGAGCCAACGATGAAGAAACCTTAATGTGCGGTGACAGTACCTTAAGAAAAAACAAATGAGGGCGGCCACATTTGACAGCGCAATCCACGTTCTCCGGGACAGCTGTTGTGCTCGGTGATTGAATGGTCATGGGTCGTGGTGAAAGCTGACTGGTAGAGATTGAGCCTCTGGGCCTGAAGTCAAGATCGGCATGCGCCGCCTTCGGTGCCCGAGTTGGGTCCCAATGGAACTCCTCAAGGTAACATTTCTGTGGGTCGCCCTGGAAAAAGGGGCACCCGCAAAACAACCAACACTCTGTTTCGAACCACCTGTTGGATGGTGGGTTGAAGAAAGGTCCGAGTATTCCTGGAAGTTTGGTTGGCTGGGTTGAACTCATGTTGGTTGAACCTGGTCTGGCCTATCTCTGTGGCGCAGCATGCATGTTATGTTGGTGACGACATTGGCGTTTCTCGCGCCCACGATGACCACTTCCGTGTTGTCTTTCCAATGGCATTGTTCCTGTCTTTTAAATGGAATCTTAAGCTAACAACCCAGCTGCACAATGGAAGACATCTGCGGACCGAAGCTCGGTAAAGACGCGCAGGCCGGACAGGCGCCCGAGGTCGTGAGGCAAGACCCAGCCGAACTGGCTTCCGAAGCTGTGAGAATGGACTCGGATATCCGAGCCCAACAAGCTCCCGAAGTGGTGAGGATGGACTCGGAAAGACGGGCACGGCAGGCGCCCGGGGTTGTTGCCATGGACCCGGATGTCCGAGCAGAGATGGCACCAGAGGTTATAGGGACAGCCTACGGAAAGCAAGCACAACAGCCGCCACTGAACCCAACAACAAACTCACCATTCACCCTCCCAATATCCGCTTGGGGCCTGCAATCCAATCTCCCCGTCCACTCCATCAAACACCCCGCGGCAATCCCCCAGATCAGACCCGAGGCAACAGCGCCCTTCCTCGCAGCCACAGCCCCGTCGCTCCAAGCCCACGGCATCCAATCCGACGTCTGGCTCTCCTTCCTCTCGACCATGTCCGCCTGCGTCACAACAGCCAAGGTCTCAAACCACAAGGCTAACATGGCCAAAGACCTCGGCAAGGGCGCCTTCAAGTTCGCCCGCGCGGCGAGCGGCAGGATTAGGGACGCCGGGAAGAGGGGCGACCTGGCGCGCGCCGGCTGGGCCGTCGTCGGCGCCGCGGTGAGCATCCCGGTCGTCACCTCCCTCAATCTCGTCGGCGCGGGCGTGGCGTTGCCATTCGTGGCGCTCGGGGCCATAGGTCGGAAGCCGCAGACGCCGCTGGAGCGGGCGGCAGCGTGTCATTGCTTTTAAAATCTTTCATTACCCCCTTATGGCTATGTCTTGAGAGCGCGAATCTCCTCTTCTAGCCCGTCTCAGGAGCCCTCGCTCCCTAGATACGCTGCTCGGCTCCTTGCTTCTCGTTACAACATCTGGAAGGAGTAAATTAGTAATCTGCTAACTCTCGTTTGCTACTAGATGCCGCGGCGGCGAACGAGGAGTGGCTGCACCCCCTGGGGCTGCACGCGCAGCTACAGCACTCGGCGCAGCTGTGCGGGGCGCTGGGGCTGCTGGCGGCGGCGCTGGATGATCTGACGACGGAGGCGCAGGGACCGGAGGAGAGGGGGCGCATTGTGAGGGCCCAGCTGGAGGTGCTGGGGGAGTATACGAGTCGGATAGTTGTGGTTGATGAGACTACTCCCCTGCTTGAGTTGGGGACGGATACGCTTTGGTTGGTTGTTGCGAGGATGGATGGCACTGATATTGCTTAGTCTGCCCCTGTGGTTTTTACTATTTGGGTTTACGCATCTGAATCGATACATCTGAGTGAGCAACTATCATGTCTAGCAAGATGGGTGGGTGGGAAACGGACTTGATAGAAACGGGATTTCACAGCATCACGGGCAAGGGCCGTGAGGCACACCCTGGCAGGCAGGCCCACGATTGCGTATATCCGAGGGAGCGGTCTAGGTTCTCATTCACCACGGCATCACAATCACAAAGCCACCAGAGCCCAATACCAAGAAGCATGAATGAGCCAGCCTATTATCATTCAATTCACCACAGAGAAACTACCGACCCGCCGACCCATAGGACAGACAGCCCCCAGTCCCAGTCCACGATCCCAAGGCATCCAAATCCATGCTATCGAAAGTCCTCCATACAGTCAGTCTTTCCTCTCCCTTCATACTCCAAAGGAGGCAACTTAAAACCCATCAAGAACCCACAAAAGCAGCCACCCTCCTCTATCACATCTTCGTCGCGCCGCGCAACGCCCCATTGCTGCCATCACCGTTGATGCTGCCAGGTGGAGGAACATGTGACGAAGGCGCAGGAGAGCCCCAGACGTTCGAGGGCGCGCCGTCCAGAGTGTCCCTTCGGGGCCCGCTGCTGGAGACTGGGGGCAGCTGGGGTGTCTGGCCCATCTGGCTCTGGCGGTAGGCTTCTCCTGAGTTGGGCATGTTTTCGGCAGTAGACTTCGTGATGGTCTCCTTTGTGGAGGTGTTGGTCGTGGTCCCGGCCGTTGTTGCGGTCGAGGCTGTGACAAGTATGTAACTTTGGGATGGCGATGTGATATGTTTTCTCGGTGTCGAGTAGATCAGTTGGTGCTCTGTATAGGTCGAAGGTCAAGACTTTGAGCGTCAGGCCTAGACAAGGATTTATAGACACTCTATCAGACTGGCATTGGTGTACTGAATACATGGATATTGTGTGACAGGTTTCTAGGTCAGCTGCTGAACGTTTAAAAGCATTGATTGATGAAAATGTACATAGTGACGGTTGGTGTTGGCAAAGTGTTCAAGGTGTTTCCCATTTTTGGCCACATGATCGTGCCAGCCAGCCTTCCCATTGGTGACTCCTCACGTCTATTGTCCAGGTGCAATCAGCTTACCCTCTGCTCGCGCAGTAGGATGCCATCCACCGGCAAAAGCTTGGGCACCATTCTCACTGGCGTACTTCTGCAACCTTGCTTCTAGCTCAGGTCTGAAATGACGGATGAGACCCTGTATGGGCCAGGCGAACGCCTCTCCAAGAGCTGTCATTGTGTTAGTCACGTAATTGCAAATGGCTTTCTGGACAATGACTTACCGCAAATCGTGTGGCCCTCGACTTGTTTCGTGAGCTCTTGCAGCATGTCGATCTCCCTCTCGCGACCCATACCCTTCTCGAACCGGCCCATGATCTGCTCAGTCCACTTGCTACCCTCTCGGCAGGGTGTACATTGTCCGCACGATTCATGGCGATAGAAATGGGATAATCTCGAGATGGCCCGAACAACGTCAGCGCTCTTGTCCATCACAATAACAGCCGCAGTACCAAGACCAGATGCGCTGTCCTTCAGCGCATCAAAGTCCATCAGTTGATCGTCGCAGATGCTCTTGGGCAGGATAGGTGTAGACGATCCACCGGGAATGACGGCAAGCAGGTTATCCCATCCACCCTTGACGCCACCACAGTGCTTGTCAATAAGCTCCCGCAGAGGAATGCTCATTTCCTCCTCGACTGTGGCTGGGTTGTTGACGTTGCCAGAGATACAGAACAGCTTCGTGCCCTGGTTCCGCTCTCGGCCGAAACCGGCGAACCAGCTGCCACCTCTTCTGCAAATTGTAGGTGCCACAGCAATAGTCTCGACATTGGCGACAGTTGATGGGCAGCCGAATACGCCGACTGCGGCGGGGAACGGAGGCTTCAGTCTGGGCTTGCCAGGCTTGCCCTCTAGTGACTCGATCAAAGACGTCTCCTCGCCACAAACGTAAGCACCAGCGCCACGGTGTAGGTAGATATCGAAGTCATAGCCGGAACCGCAAGCGTTCTTTCCGATCAGACCATCAGCGTAGGCCTCATTTATGGCGTTTTGTAAGACGGCGGCTTCGTGAATAAACTCGCCGCGGATGTAGATATAGGCCGCAGTAGCGTTCATGGCTCGGCCGGCAACCAGACATCCTTCCAGCAGCTTATGGGGGTCCTTTCGCATGATTTCTCGGTCCTTGCATGTTCCGGGCTCGCCTTCATCCGCATTGACGACAAGGTATCTCGGCTTCGTGTCCTTATCCCAGTCTTTGGTGTTCATGAACGACTAATATCAAGCACGCATCAGTAGAGCGCCCCCATTAGAGAATATCACTAGCAAATTGCCATACCCATTTCAGGCCAGAAGGGAAACCAGCTCCTCCTCTGCCTCGCAGACCCGAGGCCTTGACCTCGCTGATGATCCAGTCGTGGCCCTTCAATATGATCTCCTTCGTCTTGTGCCAGTCTCCCATCTTCTTGGCAGACTTCAGGTCTGGCGGGAATCGGCCGTAGAGGTTCTGGAATATGCGATCCTGGTCCCTGAGACCGCCATAGGTGCGCTTGGGTGCTCCCTCCTGGACTGTCGCGAAGTTTCGGGATCGCTGCTGGGACGAGGTCGAGGAGGTCTGCGGTAACCTGGCGGCGGCGGGTAGAGCGACGCGCGACAGGGCCTTCGCAGAGGCTGCAGACGGCGTCGTGGTCCTGGACAGCATCTTGAAGGTGGCGATTGCGCTCAATCGAGCTGAGGGAGTGGAGAGTCCAGAGGGCAACGGCGGTTGGGAAGGATTTGTACTCTAGGTATATGTAGGCTTTTGGCCGTGTTGTTGAATGATGAGGCACTTGAATCAAATGGTCCGAAATGACCGGGTCATCATTGGTCAGAGGAAGTTTCAAGTGGGCACCCGTGGCAAGAGAAGCTTGGACCATGTTGGCTATGGTAATGACCTCGTGCATGCGCATCATTTCAGCTTGGATCAGTGCATATCCTCTTTAGATGCATCTCGACTGCGATCTTCTGGAACCCAGCAAGGGAGAGCTGCCATAATCCAAAACTCAACTCGCATTCTCACGACAACCACGAACATTGCAAATAAGGAATAGGTCGCAGCTATGGGCTCCGTCGCCTGCCAAGGTCTCCAAACCCGCACACCCTGATCCGATCGGGATAACGACGAACCCATTCATTACCCGACAATGTCGTCCTCCAACAAACGCCAGTCCGTCCTCCCACGGATGCCCGCCGGCCCCAAGGCGCCCGTCAACTTCTCCTCATCGATCACGATTGCCGACTCGGCGCTGCTGGCTGGTAAGCACACCATCAACATCGGCTCGGAATCTGTCGTACACCCGCGCGCGCGACTCGACTCGGCGCTCGGCCGCATCACCATTGGCCGACGGTGCGTCGTGCACGAGCGGACGAGTCTCGGCGCTGCGCCCGCTTCCGCGCCCGCTTCAGATCCCACGATACTGAATACCCAAGGTGGCGTGACGATTGGCGACTACGCGACTCTGGAGGTAGGGGCTGTTGTCGAGGCGGGCGGGACTGTCGTTGGAGAGGGCTGTGTGGTGGGCATTGGGTGCCGGATCGGGAGCGGCGCAAAGCTGGGGAAGGTAAGTTCCTAATCTATTCGTACCATACTTATCCACACCTGGAGACGAACGAGGAAAGAGGCTGGCTGCAGGAGCTTACAATCGGCCACATTGACAGCACTGCACACTGACGCCCCTGAGCGAAATACAACCCGGAGAGGAGGTGCCGGACTTCACTGTCGTCTATTCTAACGGTACGAGGCGACTCGACCGGCGCGGAATCACAGAGTTGAAACATAAGGCGCAGGCGCGCCAGATAGAAGTCTTGAAGAGGTTGATACCCAGTAATCCGACCAAGTTTCAATGATACCCCATGTGTTTACCAGTCCAAAGTGTTCGACAAGGCTTTCTCGGGTTGATGAACCTTGAACATGTTTATATGCTTACGAAAGTCTATGGTGCGCATTGAGATGGTGAAGGGGGCTCGTCATCGTCTGAAAAGACCGTTGCTGCCCCCGGCGCCTCGCCGTTGTCTGTCTGCGCTAGCGGCAGCCAGGCGTCGTCCGTAGAGTTCATAAGTATCCAGAAAGCCAGAAGTGAGCGCGCCAGGGCACCGCCTATAATCCCGACGCATAGTACAAGGAGAACGATGGGAAAAGTGAGCCATACCCAGCCTCCGCCACTGATCTCCGTATACTTGGTCCGCGCGATGCCCTCGCGGATCGCCGTCCCGTTCAGTGGCACGTGATCACTCCAACCAGCTGCTTCAGCGTGCTGGCGGTTGAGGCTCCAATAAGCCTGCGCCGTTTCTGTCAATGTGGCCGACAGGATGTCGACGTATATAAATTGCAACAATAAGTCTCCGTTACTGTTTAAGGCGAATGGTATAGAAGATGTGAAGACGCCGGCATCGGAGCCCCAGATAGAGCTGATGTTCTGGATCATGGGTTTGGGATCCGCGGCCGTGAGGTCTTCGTAAGGCTCCATGTCTGCGGAGATCTCGAGGGGTCGGACGAGCGAGTCCATCTTCACATTCACCAGGCTGTCGTAGCCCTCGTATCTGCATTGGACAACCGTGGGTCGCTGATACCACCAATCCTGCTGCTTGTCATACCTCAAATCCTGGATGGCGAAAAAGTGCGTTGGTATCTCCTCGAGGTCGTCGTGATTCTGGACGAGCTGGTGGACGATCCGGAGCGGCTGACTGCGGCCCTGGATGGCGACTAGGGGCTGCATTCCTGGTATGCGGCAATCCACCTCGTACTCGTACAGCGCCGGCTTCGCAGTCGAAGGCCCGTTCAACGACGTAAACTCGCCCTGCGCATGCGGCGTGTTGCACTTGTTCGTTATCGTCTCGCAGCGGACTTGCACCTCGGTCCCGTGCACCCGCGCCTCGAGGCTCTCAAACCTGTGGTACGGGGGCAGTGCGTACGACCGGTCGTACATCGGCTTCGCCGCCAGCCTGTACCCGTGCCAAGAAGCCGCGTTGATGCCGATGCCGTGGGTCTTGGGCTCCGGATACAGAGTATCGCCCAGCTGATTTTGCAGTAAGCCCACGTCCTCCCACCAAGAGACGGGCCGGGGGGTCCTCCAGTTCGTCATCATGGCGTGCAGGTGGGCGCTTCGGGTGAGCCACTGCTGCAACTGGACCACGTCGTAGTCGACGAACGGGTCGTAATCCTGCACTTGGGCTGCGTAGCCGCGCGTCAAGACTGAGTATATGGGCTAGGTCATCTCCAGTGTCGTCTCTTGAGGCCCGAAGAGAGCCAGAGCGGTGACACTGCACAGCATGCCGGTGAGAGACACGGCCGCAAAAGACCAGCCGGTGATTGTGGGTTTGGCTGCTTTCTCATCAGGTTGCCGTCTCTTGCCCACGATTGATCGTGTACACCTGGACAGAATCGGGTAGGTTTTCGACTCGGTCCTGCTTCCGAGGTAGTGCTCAAGCGCATATAGTCCGCCATACACGAACATTCCGAGAAGAACACTGCCGGTCACGATTAGACCGGTCCGCACATTCTGACCTATTGTCATGTCGGAATTGCGGTGTCTGAATGATGTCCGGAAGTTCGTGTAGACGCAGTTCTCTTCCTTTGGAAACTGATCCGAGTCGAGGGTTGGTATATCGTTGTATGTGACACCATGGCTGAGCGCGATACTGAGAAAGATGATAGAAAGTGCGTTGGCGAACAAGGCAAAGGCCAAGTGCGGTCCCGAAGCCATGGTGATGAATGCAGATGGTTGAAACAGTTGCCAGGAGATGATGTTGGTGAACCGGCGGGTAAGTCACCTAGGCATAGCTCTGCTCAATCTGCTATACAAGTCGACTTTGCCCACTCAGTTGGTTTCAATATACAGAGGAAGCCGGGAACGGCAGGGACTAGACGGGGTTCCAGGTGCATGAACGAGTATAAGGCTCCTTTCAGAAGCAGGGTCATGAAATACGATACGATACGAACCCATTCTATCGTATATGATTCGTATACGATTGTATTAAACAAGGGGTAAAAGTGGGACTTTTTAATACAACTTATATATTTTCTCAAAGAAGAAGGAAAACAATTAAAGATGTATTCAAGGGTTTTTCGACTAATTGTTCAACCAGGCCATCTACATATGATAGATGCCAGAACCTGGAGAGGGCCTCGCCGTGTTCTAAGCTTTGGAACGTCATGGGTACATTGACTAATAAGAGCCTGCCGTGAATTCAATGGGAAAATAATGCTCGGTCCTGTTCGTGCCACCCTGCCAGCGAGTCCATAGTATGAACCGGGCACGCATACGGATTTTTAACACTCACATAGATTCGTTACAAAGATCTGTTCTGTTATCACCGGGCGGACCACGGTCAGGAATTTATGTGCAAAGGGACATATTAATGATCTTGTCTACGTACCTTGCCAGTACATAGGTTTCAAGGAATAGAGCCTCATATTCGAAAATCAAGAAAATGGCTTGTTGCGAAGTATATAACCGCTTCAATGGGAACTACTCGTGAAAACTGTTTGAGCTCAAGTATATACGCCATTGCCAGTCTCAGGGATATCTACACATCAATAGTTCCGTTTCTCCGGGCACCTCGAAGCCCCTGTCGAACGCCCTGTTGTATGAATCCAGAATGGAATGTACGGCATCCACCGCTCGCATGCTTTTTCTCTGTGGCTACGGCGAAGCTGCTCAGTTACTCGATGTCTGTTGTTCTAACACTTTTAGATCGAACGTTACAAGTATTCAGCGCAATCTAGAGCACGTCGCGCCTGTAGGGAGCTTGCGAGAAGGTCAAGTAGAAGCGGAAGGCTCTTAGTTCCGGCACCGAGTATTGATGGCGTCAGGAGCGAAGCCTCAGCTGAGGTGGTTGTCTTTGAGATACAGCTTGACTATGTGGTGTGGAGCGTGGGTGCCGCCGGAAAAGGGGCACATGAATAGGGGCACGGAGTAGGGCGTGTATCCCCCTGCAGATCACAAGGTAAGCAAGTCTGCTTTCAAAAAGAAATTTCCGAAGTTCACATCGCGTCACGCGCGACTCGTAAATATCGAGACACCCCATGGTAGCCACGAATTCGTCACCAAGCTCAGGACAGTGCAGATCGGCCTTTCTGTGGTGGCCATGGTCCGCTGAAGACATGTATAAAACCCGTTATAAACTCAAAGCATCTTGGCTAAGTCATACATCCGACCGTTTTCTTCAGAGAAGACGCTGCCTTTTGCACCACACCCCTTGCCATCCCGAGTCCGGCTTCTTATCTCAGAGACGTCTGATTTGCCATTCGGTAGGTGCATGTCTCCCAGTTCGGTATCTGCGTCTGACCCCATGCGACGTTAGGGTCAAATTTGCATGTTTGATAATCAAGATCGAAATCCAGGTTCCAACCCTCTATACAGATAAACTGTCAGTGGCCAGGCATTCACGACACAACAGGTGAGGGATTGAAGAGGCGCGTTGTACAAGCGTCGGCTTGCAGACAAGCTGAGCGAGAAACATCATACGCAGAGGAAGCATGAGGTAACTAAGCTGGAATTAAGGACATACCAGAGCTGACACCTCCGTTCCTCGTTTCAACATATATATCAATCGCAAGCTCGACGCTGTAGACATACCGACCACGGAGGCACGCCGTGTACTGCAAGACAAGTTAGAACATCAGAAGGCCGTAACACCAGACAGCTCGTTCGGCTTGGGATTCACAGAGACGGGCCAGAAGTGTGAATTATGATGCCCTGAGTAGAGCCTCTGGACAAGCAGAGAACTTCCGGGAACACCTACTACCGGATTAGGATTTTCCGCCGTGAATGTGAATCCACCCGTGTGAGGTTCATCCACGCCTATGGCTGGGTTTGCCTGAAAGTCGGCCTAAATTGTGTCCCAAGTCCAGTCAGCTGTGGAATCCCATATAAGAAGCCACCACGAAGGGCACCAGACGGTGCAGACTCCAATAATTGATAGACGTACAAGGGTGGACGAATTGCGATCCTTAACTACCGTGATCTGACTTAGCGGTTCATGCTTATCTATTGAGCTAACGTCGACTTTGGTGTTCAGGATGTAGAAGTCGTCCCCCGCCTCCAAGGTTAGGTTGCTATTAGACCAAGTCACGCCATTGATGGCGAAACGCGTCGAATCAGAGCCGATGTAGAAGAGTTCCTCGGCGTACTCTAGTGTCACAGTACAGGTCATGATAGATAGGCTAGGAGGAAGCCCGTGCGATGGTGTCTGTACTTGAAGACTGAGGTCGGGGAAACTGGCATGCAGAGTGCTCCTGTCTTCGGAGAAATTGACGATAACGCCACCACTGGGACCGCAAGCCCCAGGGGTATCAGATCAGATCGCACTAGGGTACACAGATGCGTATTGTGCGCTCGCCGTGCCAGCTAGCGCGGTGACCAGGGAGAGGTGCGCATTTTGGAGTCGTTTTTTCTTTTCTTTGATTCGGTTCTCGTAAGAATGCGAGTGTTGTGTGACTAGAACTCCTGCGGGAGCAGCGCGGGTGGATGGTCTTATATAGTCACGGGTCCTTGAGCCAATTGGCGACATTAGCCCGAAAAGAGGGGTACACAGTATCTACGAGGGCACATATAGGAAGAAGCAGGAAAATATTGCAATGGTAATTAGCATCAGGACAAAATCTGAGGATGTTAGCTGGTTGAGAGGGTAAGACACGTCACAGTCCGTTCAACGACAAATCCAACTATAAGGTCATCATCACTCGAGTTGGCGATATCCACCAAGTAGAGCACCCGCAAAAGACGACAAATACCATTCGCGTAGCCTGGTAAGGTGGCGGTTCTCACAGCATGCAATCATCTCCGGACATGACCAGTAAGGACAAATACCATACTGCTAACAACCGCGCCCAGCGCCTTCGGGTCCTTCTCAAAGGGTAGGCCAACACGCTCGGTGCGGTGCTGGAAGCGGTGGTGAGATCGCCAATCCGGGCGTGACGGCGGCGGCGCACGCTGTTGAAGCAGTGATACTCATTATCGTCAACCCAGCGCACACACATGCTCATCATGGTCACCCCGAGCGTTGTCGCGCCCGCGCTCCGCCGTCTAGGACAGCGGCATAGTCTCTCGCTTTAGGAACGTCGAACGTCGGCGAAGCGAGTCGGGTTTCAGCGGCCGGCGAGAAGCGGTAGGAAGTCTGGGTTCGGTCTAGCATGTCGCGCGTTGGCGTGAACTTCTGCTCGCCCACGTCGAGCACAAACTGGCCGACGTCGTGGGACATTGCTTTGGCCCTGGGGTTCGCTCGCTGCCTGTCCAGCGACAGTTCATATGAACTCGAAGTTCGCGACCGAATAGGTATCGGCTTCACTCCGGAGAGTCTGGGCCGATATATCTGCTCCAGTACCGGTACTGCCTGCTCCGGTCTTGCCATTGCGGAGGGAGATGACGCGACTTGACTACCCGCCCATATCCATGTTCTTATCAGCAGAACTGCTCACACGAGTCCAGACGGGGCCTCTATTCAGAACTGCAGATGCGATAACAGGGGCGGGGTAGCATCCACCGCGGAGGTGTCCGGCATGATACATATGTAGGTAGAAGACTCGGATCATTGCCTTCAGTGTACTGTCAGTCACTCCTCGGGTCTGGATGGGTGGACGAAATCCTCTGTTGATCGTTTATTTGATCGAGTCATTGCACGAGAGGCAGCGAAGGTGCGGTTTTACGTGAAGAGTCTCCCATGGGACACTCTTCCTCCGATCTGCCCGCCCAGACTTCTCCGGAGCTCTCCCGGTCACTCTACTGGAGCTTGATCTACGGGAACCCAGTTGCTCGGCGTCTCGGGCAGGAACTCAAGTTGTTTCTGCGTGTTGGCGGTCTCGAACCATCGCAGCAATGACAAAAACGGCATCGTCACATGTCGTCGATGAGAGGAAGACGCCCTCCACTCCGGACAACGTCACCACCGACGCAGACGGAGTTGCACTGGCCAGCAACGGTAACGTGATAGACGATGGTTTGCAACGGGGGTTGAAGAACCGACATCTGGTAAGTCCCGGCACCAAGCAGGAGAGCACGAAAGTCATGGCTGACTTTTCACTCGCTCAGCAAATGATAGCATTCGGAGGAGTAGTCGGGGCTTCGATCTGGTACGGCACAGGGTCCGCGATAGCATACAGCGGACCTATTGGAGCTCTCATCTGCTTCTTCATCATCGGCGTCGACGTCTTCTTCGTGATGCAGAGTCTCGGCGAGATGGCCACGCTGTTTCCTATCCAGGGGGCCTTCATCGAGCTGGCTGGACGGTTCATTGATCCTGCTTTGTCTTTCAGTCTTGGCTGGAACTATTGGGTAAGCCAAAGTCTCATCTTCTGCTGAAATGCTTGGTGGCTGTCTTATCATGACCAGCTAGCATATACTCTCCGCGCGCAGTTTCGTAACGACTAACAATTGGGCAGTGTAAGTAAATCGATGACTCTTCAAGTAGTGCAACAGCCATGCGTCGGGTAAAGTACTAACCAAAAGCGCCTTGCTGCCACCAGACCTATGGGTGACCAACATCGCGAACGACTACAACAATATCTCGCTCATCATGGGCCTCTGGACGACCGCCGTGCCGTCGTACGGCTGGATCCTCATCTTCTGGGCCGGCTTCCAGTGCACCTCGCTGCTGGGCGTCGTCGTCTACGGCGAGATGGAGTTCTACCTCGCGTGCTGGAAGCTGCTCTGCGTAGTCGGCGGCTTCCTCGTGGCCATCCTCGTCAACACGGGCGCCATAGGCGGCGAGTACATCGGCTTCCGCTACTGGCGCGACCCGGGCGCCATCGCGCACGGGATATCCGGCTTTGGCAAGACCTTTTTGTTGGCTGCCGTGTACTATGCCGGCACCGAGATGCTGGCGTTGACCGCGGCGGAGAGCAAGAATCCCAAGAGAGATTTGCCCAAGGCGATCCGACAGACCTTCTGGCGCATCCTGGTTATCTTCCTCGGCCTGGTCTTCTTCGCGGGCATCATCGTGCCGTACGACAGCGAGGGCTTACTGGCCGGCTCCAGCAAATCCGCGCTGTCGCCCTGGACCATCGCGCTCGTGCAGGCGGGGTGGTCCGGCGCCGGCAACCTCCTCAACGTGGTTATGATCACGGCGCAGTTCTCGTCCGTTAATAGCGCCATCTACGTCGCGTCGCGCAGCCTCGTCGCGCTCGCCGTCAACGGCCGCGCTCCGCGCCTCTTCGCGCGCACCACCGCCAACGGCGTCCCCGTCGCCGCCATCGTCTTCTCCAACACGCTCGGCCTGGTCGCGCTGCTCAATATCGCGGCCAGCCCGGGGAAGGTATTTTCATATTTAATCAACATCTCGGGCGCGGCGACGTTCGTCGCCTGGGCTTTCATCGACATCACGCACCTACGATTACGAAAAGCCTGGGCCGCACAAAACCATACCCCGGAGGAGCTGCCGTACCGCGCCTTCCTGTTCCCTTACGGAACGTGGTTCGTCGTGTTCATCAACCTGTTTCTGGTGTTTATTTCTGGGTATGAGGTCTTTGTCGGCGGGTTCGCGGCGGTGGATTTCGTGTTTTCGTATATCGTTCTTGTCATCTTTACGCTGCTGTTTCTGTTTTGGAAGGTCTTCAAGGGGACTAAGTTTGTTGACCTGATGGATGCGGATCTGGTGACGGGCAGACGCGAGGATTTGGTTCAGGGTGGGGTGCATGAGTTGGAGGGCGCGGATGGGCATGGGCGTGAGAAGGGCGGGAGACCGCCGTGGTGGATCTTGGTCAAGAGATTCATCTTTAGCTGAAGATGCCTCGTTGGAAACGCGCGTTGATTTCATGATACTTGTCTATGTGTTCTTCGGTCGTCGCAGAGCCGAGACAAGTGTGCGTCAAAGGCTCTAGATAGCGGTGCCACATGGCATATTACAATGCGATGCTTGGGCATGGCTTCATGGAAGCATTCCGGCTATTATTCATTACGAAGTCACAATCCTCAGTTCGTGTCCGGGCATAGAAAGGCGTCTCCTCCTTCTGGCGCCTGTTGCTTACCTCTGAGTGAGTGCCCTTGGAGCTCGAACAATTACGATCCAGGGATCTACAGTCGCTTCAGACTATTTCCAGTGATACCTGCTACTATGCGTTATACATCCTAGATCATATCAACCGCCTGATCGGCCCATTTTCTTAGCAACGAAGAATTGGCGTTCTCCTTACTCATTTATATGCTCAGTGTAATCGAGAGACAGGTTGTTTGTACCACATGGCTTGCCGGTAGGTAAGGTTTGACTCGCACGCCGCAAAGCTTATAACTCCCTCCATCTGCATATGAGCGTCCTCGTAAGAACAGACGCTCAAGATATATGAGCTTGTTAATAAGATGAATTATAAGCCGGGTTGGTACGGCCTAGCGAAATACTCTTACAAGTATTCTTACAAGGTATTCTTAGGCACAGCGGTTCGATTCCTCTAGCGGCTGACATTCTTTTCCTTTCAGCCCTCCCCACCCGAGGACTGGAGGCCTTGGTACCCTCGCCCCTTATGGAGGCATGAGTTGACTTCGGGAGCCATCATCATACATGTACGTAGCTAGCATACGTAGATAGATGTTGGACCGCTTGTCACGTCACATCGCTCCTGTGGCCCAGCGGACTGTCTCGCAGCTTCGCAGTAGGCAGTAGACGTTAAAGACTGCAACCAACCAACCAACCTCTCCACTCTCCTCTTTTCGTATAGAGATCTGCCACCTTGCGCACTTTTTGCCCATGTCCACCCTTTCCTTTTTGCAATGCCCATAGCCGTGTAGGGTATATAACTAAATTTAGCATGTAAATTTGGTAGCCAGGTTGGTACGGCCTAGCGAAGAGCGAAGTATTCTCACAAAGCATTCTTAGGCACAGCGGTTCGACTCCCCTAGCGGTTGAAAATTTCTCTTTTTCTTTTTGTCCTTCCCACAAGGACTGTCTCTCTCCTTTCTCTTTTCATATTGAGCTGAGCCACCTGGTACGGTAGCCCGTTGCCCTTTGACACATGTTCATCCGTTCCTCCCTGCACATGGTATAGCTCTGTTTAGCATGTTAATCTGGTAGCCGGGTTGGTACGGTCTAGCAGCTTATATTTACACAGCGTTGATCATTCTAGGCATAGAAAGTTTAATTCCTCGTTGACTACACAACTACTCTTGTTTGTTCCATTGTCTTTTTTTTCTTTTTTTGGCCACCATATGCCTGTCTGTCTGTGTTTGGGACCTTTGGGAAAATGAGTCTTGACCAACACAACACCCCTTCTATGAAAACTTCTATCGAGCTGCATGTAGTATGGGCCTACAGCTATGTGTTGGACTGCCACGTATTGAACTGACTACTGTGCAGTGGTATAAGCGTTGAAGTGACGGTGGTCTCGCCAACCTCGCCGGCACAGTTGCTAGAGGCAGAACGCTGTGTAACTGCATGACCGTCAAGGCAGACCCGGCAGGCTACCTCCAGGTGGCAGAAGGAACAGGGAATGCAACATTTGTACTTCGCTGTATGGCGGCATGGACATCTCGTTGGCGGCGATCTTGAATTTGCGCGCGCGAGATTGATAGCAAGTGAAATGTGAAGTGACTTCTTGGACAGAAGTAGGCTTGGGTATCTGGTGAGATGATATCGGGACACAAACTCATCCAAGTTTGCTGAGCCGAGTTGCTATGGAACCACCTCCTATGATAGTACAAGCTTGATCTCTACACCATCGTACACTTGAGATAAGGTAGTCATTCCCCTGGGTATTCCTTTCAAGACTCAGCGACTCTCCTCACAGCAAAGAAGTAGTTGCCGAACTTCTCACTCCCGCTGACCTCCTTCCACCCGAAACCGGGGATGTAAATCACGCCCATGCACCGAGGCTCCGCCCACCCGGTCCGCTTCTGCAGGAAATGGCGTCGCATCTCCTCCTCGTTGATGTATTTGCGCCAGTCGTGCGTGCCCCTGGGTACTATGCGCAGCACATCCTCCGCCATGATATTTGTAGTCAACCAGCTCGTCCACGTCCGCGCAATGGTACTGAGCACCAGCCAGCCGCCCGGCTTGACGAACGGCGTGCACCTATCCAGGAACTCGGCCGGATACGAGACGTGCTCGATGACCTCGAAGACGGACACTACGTCGAACGTCTCCTGCGGCGTCTGCGGAAGCGGCAGTTGCTCAATCGACGTGTTCGCATAGCTCAGCTTCTCCGCGAGCGCGGGGTCCCGCCGCGCGTGGGCCTTGGCCACGGACAGCACCTCGGGACTCGGATCTATGGCCGTCACGGACGCGGTTGACGGCAGGCGCGCGGCCGACTCGGCGAATATCCCTCCTCCGCACCCGACATCGAGGTACTTCAGGCCTGTCGAGGGAGGCGGTGGGTCATCGAGGACCGAGGCGCGACAGGAGCGGATGAAGTCGTGGCGGAGCGGGTTCATGAGGTGGAGGATGCGGGACGGGCCTTGGGGGTCCCACCACGAGGATGCGAGGGCGTTGAAGTGGGATACCTCATCGGGTGAGACGGTGGTGAAGGCGGCGTCTGTTGGTTGCGAAGTTGGGGGAGGAGAGGCTCGTGTGGTCGATGTAGAGAAGCTCTTGTTTAGACTGGTAGCTGCGATTCGGGTGTTTTGGGCTGGAGACGGTCTTCTGAGCAGTCGAGCCGATGATGCCAGGCTTCTTGAGCCATTCCGTGGTGGCATGTTGTGTGTGAGTCTTTAATCCTGCCGCCACCCAATTGGCCTGTGTGAAGCGATGATGCTGTTGATGTTGTCGCCGTGTTCGGTTAACACCACCTGCAAGCATGGAACGTAGAAAAGTTCCAGAAGGCCGGCCATTGGAACTTGTCAGCCGCGGTCACCGGTGGACCTGCATGAGACCGACAGTCAGGGGTGTCCATGCAGCTGGCAGGCCGCTAAAGTCGGGTCCTTCGGGGGTTTGTCAGCCTCTGTCATCCCCGCCGCGCCGAGTGACAGCAGCAGCGTCGCGGGGCTGAAGGGTGGCATGTGGGCACCTAGGGACCACTGATGACTCAAATGATTCCAGTCGCATGTCTCATCGCAATTGCCTTCTGAGGTGCTTTCACGTCTTGGAAGACTCACACGTTTTGTGTCCTTGAAATAGTTGGAAGGTCGAAAGATTGCAACCCTATACCGCATCTACCCCTCGGCTCACGATCTGCATGTGCAGTGACGCAACCCTATAACCTTTGACCTCAGAATCTACGAAACCTCCATTTTATACCTCCCCGACTGGGTGAAGGACCTTTATCCTTTCAATTGCCTCGACAAAGATGCCCGCCTCGGCAATTGATCCCAACAAGTTCGACTCGATACCAGACACTATCGCAGCCTTCCGTATGTGCCAAAATGGCCGATTTAATGTTCATCCTGTAGCCGAGGCTTCCGTCGGCTCCCATCGCAGCACTGACTAACACCGTCCGCGTCCAGGAAATGGCGAATTCATAGTCGTAATGGACGACCCGGGCCGGGAGAACGAGGGCGACCTAATCATCGCCGCCGACAGCATCACACCCGAGCAGATGGCCTTCATGGTGCGGTACTCGTCGGGCCTGATCTGCGCCCCCATAACACCCGCCCTCACCGAGTCCCTCAAGCTGCCGCAGATGGTCCCCGACAACGAAGACCCGCGCGGCACCGCCTACACCGTATCCGTCGACTCGGCCGACCCCTCCGTCACCACCGGCATTGGCCCCCACGACCGCGCCCTGACCGTGCGGACACTTGCTGACCCGAGCGCGACGGCAGCCAGCTTCCGCCGCCCGGGGCACGTGTTCCCGCTGCGCGCGAGACCGGGCGGCGTCAGGGCGAGGAGGGGCCATACCGAGGCGGCCGTGGACTTCTGCCGTCTAGCGGGCAAGGTCGAGGCCGCTGCCATCTGCGAGATCGTCGATGACGGCGCCGAGGTCAATGGGCGGGCCATCCGGGAGGGGCCCGGGATGATGAGGGGCGAGGGCTGCATCGCCTTTGCGCGGAAATGGGGGCTGAAGGCCTGCACCATCGAGGACCTGGTCACCTACCTGGAGAAGACCGAGGGCGAAGTCGGCGCGAATGGAAGTTCGTAAATTTAGTACCGCGGGAAAGTGCGGGTGTGAATGCTGATGCTGATGCCGATGCTGACGCTGAGCGGCTTGCCGTCGCTGTCGCTACCCGGGTCTTCGGCAATGCGTATTCTGTCGGCCTGGTGACAATCTTTCTGAGGTGCATCTCACCTCACTTTGGTTGCATACGGACTAGGTGTAGAGAAAACGGGTCACATAGAAGAGTCGCCACGGCGGCTTGGGTAATCGATCGTGTCATGCCATATACCACTCAACATACTATTACATATCACATGGCTTACCCTTATCATTGCTCTACCGACACTCTTCAGTCTGTGGGAACACTGACAGTACCGCTATATTCTTAGGCAACGGATCCCGCTCTCCACTACTGAACGAAGCGGACAGAATCGTCTCCCGTACGGAGAGGCTTGGCCTCAAGGCGGGTGATAATCCAGTCTTGTTATACTCCGCTGCTGGCTGCCGCCAGACGAGAGATGAGGAAGATCGAATATACGGCATCATGCAGGTCTTTGGGCTCCGGCTTGGAAAGGCCAGAGAGCCCGGAACCCACTTCACCCTCCGGTAGCTCGAGACGTAGTTTGTCATATCCCTCAGTGCGAGGTCCACCGTCAAGCAAGCGTAGTATCGCATCGCATCGTTCACTTGTGCAAGGAATTATTAATGGCAGAACGGTGGTTAGAGGCTAACATGAACATTGAAACAGCCATAAACAATTCGCTAACTTACCATGGACCAAACTTAATTTTCAAACAGCTACTCTTCGACAGTAGAGCAAGACATGCGCAATGAAACAAGAACAAATGTCATCGTCGAATCATCAAGAGCAGCTGCGAGTGTTAGTTTCTCACGGATTTGGGCTTCTCCCCGGTCGTATCTTTTTCTTTTTCTTTTTCCTCTTCAGGTTTGATCTTGCATCACTCAACTTACCTGTCTTCCTCAAGAGAACCCCTGCAGATTGCCTGTGATGGTCGTCTTGATGATCGTGTTGATGATCACACCCTGGGGCACATCGCTATCGCTAGACGACGAGGAGCCAGACGACTCAGCGTAAGTACGCTGGACCTTCTTGCCCAGACGTCTCGAACGGCGAACAGTGTCCTGGGTGCGGCGATCCTCCTCCACATCGCGACGCGTGGCTTTTGTCGGGCGGTAGTCCGCATCGGAAGAGGAAGAGGTCCGGCGACGCTTCGGCGGAGGAGGAGAGGGAATCGAGGATGAAGATGAAGATGGCGTGACGGGTCTCTCGGAGGGAGGCTGTTACGGTATTACATAATACCTCCACATATTTATGTACATATATACCTCTAGCTTCCCCCTTCTCTTCCGACCTTGCCTCTTCTTCCTTAGATATCGTTGAATCTAGATATTTCATCCCATCAGCCCTGACCAGCGCAGCTGCAGGCCTGATTGTCACAGAGGCCCACGAACGACACCACCATAGTCCCCCCTGAAAGGCTAACGATGGACATCGCTAGAGATGGGCATGGGAAGCTCATCGTCGGAAAACTCATCATCGGAAGACTCATCGACGTCGGGCTCGTTGCGCCTCCGCTTAGTAGCGGTGCTAACGGGAGCTGGGTGGGGCGCAGCTTGGCCCCGACGTGGGTTCAGACGTGCGTTCCGACGTGCGTCCCGCTCATCCATCTCCTGCTGTGTGGCAGGGCGAGGACGAGCTCCGGGCGGCGTGGGGTTTCCACGTACGCGGCGGGTGGCGGGAACAGCGATAGCGCGTACCTGGGGACCGGGGATGGGAACCATGGGGGCCGGTGCAGCGGCTCGAGGCACGGCCGGCACCAGAACGGGGTTCGGTGCTGGGGTGACATGGCGCCTAACAATGGGGATATCGACAGGGCGGATATCGACAGCGCGCCCAACCATGGGGATATCGACAGGGTGCCCAGCCATAGGCACGTCGACGGGGTTCGGTGCGTCTTCGACGGGGCGCAAAACCATAGGCACGTCGTTACACGACGAAGAGTTTCGAAATGTATTGGTAATAATATCGGCAACGGTAAGACGACGGCGGAAAGTTTCGGCAACGCTATAAAACGACGGAGAAAAGTATTAGTATCGGTATCGGTATTAAATAATAGAAAGCACTTACCGGAACACTTATTAACTAAAAAGGTTTTAATTTATCAAATAAAAACAAGCCTAGTAGCGTAACAGGTGTTTCATTTCAAAAGAGACAGTTATATACAGTTTAAACCTGGAGAAGTTCTCTTAAGAGCGAAGAAGACACCCCTTATATATACCGTTACCCCGCACTTCGGTTATAACCCCTTATTGCCGTATAACCCCTGAAAGTAGCTCTATGACACCGCTCAATGCTCGTAAAGGGGCTGCGAGACCGGCTGCCAGATGACCAAGATGACGAGTGCCATTCTTGTTGGCAGCTCTCATTGGGGGATCAAAAAAGTCATACAAGTCCAACATAGAAGAGGCACAATAAACACTGCCACTCATTGATTCAAGCCACTTTTGCCTCAGGGAAATCGCTGCGCTGCTGCGGGATGTATTCATTGCCCCTCTCTCTATTTATAGTGAGATATCTGAAGGCTATGCCACAGTGCTTGAGGCGATCACAGATTTACACCATGGCATGCGCAGCTTGCGATGGAGAGCGGTCAGTCGAGGGTGAGTTGCGTGCGACAGCCCGGGCCTTCAGAATACATACCGGTAAGCGCCGATGTGATCGTTGCCACTGGACACAGTGCAAGCTGGAGGCGTCAAGTGGCGAGAGCTACAAATCTTGAATACATATATCTACACAACGGAGGGCTGGGGCGGTATTGTTTCCCCCTTTCTGGTGGCATGCCAGTGATGGTCAGATGTGTACCGAGCCGGGCGATCAGATGTAAGAGCCGACGGACCACCCAAAGTCAGATCTTCAGTAAGCACGTATTTAACATTAAAGAAATGTACTGTGATATTGAAGACTCAGGTCTTTTACATGTGTGAACACTTGGGCTTTGGACAAACTTGCTAAATGACATAGGGTGGGTATTTCCACCGTCAGGGGCGGAGCCGCACACACCACGATGGTCGGGAATAGTTAGGGAAACCAATATATAGAATATCTTCTTCGTCGTTCAACAACTGTCACACTGGTTTAAATACAAGGAAATTCGTGACTAGCTACCACTTTCCACAGCTTGTTGGATTCTGGGCTACGTTAGCCCATCCATAGTCATCCTTCAGGATCACCATCCCCATCTGTGACTCTGTCACGTACGTGGCCACATAAGGCCACGTATCCTTTCCTTTAGTATCTTGGATATATAGGGCCACTCTGGCCGCTCCAGAGTAGCTGGAATTCCTCTCCTTAATAGAACATTTTGAAATCTCACACAGCTAAGCAGTAGCATATTTATTCTCGCTTGCCCCATTGCAACTTCAAGACTTTGCCCCATGCGCCTACGCCCCAATCAGCCATCTAATGAACCAGCCCTGTACGACAGTTTTGCACCAAAAACTGTCCATGTCCGATGAACTCTCTAAGGTCACTGCTGGACCTTGTCGCCACGCGTCTACAGTCTCGTGTCCTGGGATTCCGTGGAGGCCAAATGAGAAGTCAAAGTTGCCGGCGCATGTGTTCTACGTCCTCGATATTGCTTCATCTGGTTAAGATCAGGTGTTGGAGTGGTGGCTGAGGTGTCCACGGCGGTGCTATGAGCAACTAGAACTAGGAAGGCGGTTTTGATCATAGGAAACTATACAAAGGTCCTGGTTAGGGAGAACGCGGTGGCGCTTGTTGTTGGGTAGTTTGTGCTTTTACCGGTGAGGATATTTGTGGGATCCTCATGGGTTTTGATCAGCGTACAAACAAGTTATTGTTTCCTGCATGTTGGCTCATGTGTGAGTCTTAGACAGGAGACTTGCCTGACTGTGACGAGCCGTCTAACCTATAAGGCTAAAGGGTTCTATAGGGTTTATGTTCTGAGGTAAGTCAACACAAAGGACGATAGAGGCTTCTGTCAACTAGAAGACACTCAGATGCTGGGGCTTGGTCTGATCCAGGGGATCACTGAATAGTCGAGTCATTAGGAGATTTCTCTCACCTTAGGGTTGGCTAAGATGCTTAGATTGATCACTAAGGTAGAGACTATCTATCTGTCTAGCTAAGAAATAATTATCCTTATATATCCAATCTCTCCCTCACTAATGAGGCGTGCTCACTGTTGCTCGCGTGATCAGACGTGAGCAACCTTCCCTTGCTCACCATTGCTCGCGTGAGCAGACGTGAGCAACTCTAGTCACGTGATCCTGGCTCCCTGGATTACTGGATCACGTGCCTGGGTGCCCTGCGCTGTTTCGTGTTGTGCTCCGTTCTGATTGGGTTCCCTCGTAGGTCATCCTTTTCCTTTCAGGCCTGCCAACGGGCCTGTGGTATTTGTTGGTTCGTAACACTGATTATAATAGAGAGCAGCTTAGTTCACTGGCCAGGTCACCCGCTTCCATGACAGCAGGGAATTCTGCCCACAACCGAGACACAATACAGAGAAACTATATAATCTTGGGGTATACATTGAATGTAAATTGGCTTGCCCGAGCATAGCCTGCCCAGTTAGATCATCTTGAGCATCTCTTCGACTCGGACGAAGATGAAGCCGAGAGAAACACTATCAGTTACCACAAGGCTTCGAACCTTGTATAGCTCGCAGGGGAGCGACCATGGACCTTGTGGCAGTTCACCATTGAAAGCTTTCAGTCGTCCGCGAAGCCCGTCAGAGCAATCTGAGTCAATCCGGGCTAACTTTATGCGATGTGTGAAGTGCTGACGCTTGCTCCCCTATGACGGCCGGAGGTGAACAGGATGCTCACGCAAGCACAATGGCCGGGCACATCTCGGTAGGCTTGGGTGATGAATGTCAGAGTAGAGTCTTGTATGATTCACACATTGTTGAAGCCCACTGTTCAAGCCAATGTACCGCACAGGACGGATTGCACGGACTTTCTGGTATCGAAGAAGTTATTTTTTAGATACCTACCTTCCACCTTTCACCTTCTGCGACCTGCACCGAGTCACATTGTGATCCGAGCTTGAGGTCGCCTTTCTCACCTTTAACAAGTGCTCCATCTCAGATTGTCACCTTCTTTCTTACATCTCTGCCATCGCCAACCTTCATCTTTGCTCCCGTCATCTTGCATTACCACCTTCTTGCATCTCTGCCTGCACCATCTTTCATCTTTACTGTCGCCATCTTACATATCTGCCTTCACCGTTCTTCATCTTCGCTATCGCCGCTACCATCTTGCATCGTCGTCTTGCATTGCTGCCGTCTTGCATTGCCGCCGTTCTGTTAGCAACATAATCGTGATACTTGACCACATTTCTTCCCAAAGAGCTCGTTCCCAACACCAACTCGAGCGGCAACATGGATGCTCACAGCAAGCACGATGCAAGGTCAGTCCTGCCGTTTCCCATACGGCCTCTCCCTCCTTGCTCATTGACTGGACATTCAATGGAACAGGCTGCTCGAGTCTGAGTTCCTGGCAGTCGTCGTCGTAAAGTGCGAGGATCGCAAATGGAACCTACACAAAGTCATTCTCGTGTCCCGACCCGAATGGTTCAAGAAGGCGCTGTGTGGCGATTTCACGGTAAGCATCAAGCAACACAATCAGAGGTACCCTACTCGATCTATCTTCTGACAGGAGAGATACAGGAAGCAAAGACCAACGACATCGTACTCGTGGACCAGGATATCAACGCGGTAGACTGGATGATCCGCTGGATCAACACTTCAGGTGAGCTTGCTTGTGATGCATGGTTATCAACTACTAACATGCAGATAGCCCTAGACCCCTCAATCTTCGAAGCTGAAGACACCGCCTACGAGTCCTACGTCCTTCTAGCTCGTTGCGCGGACTTCTTTCTCCTGGACGACTTGCGACAACTCTGGCTGGACCGCCTTCGCAGCCGAATCCGCGAGAAGGCTACCTGGGCCCAAAAGGCTTTCAACACCTGCCCTGACCACCGGGACCAGGTACGGAAGAAAGACATCGTTGGACTACTGAAGGGCGCGGCCAAAGCCTATGAACTCAATTGCGATATCACCAAAGAAGCCTTCCTGGAGTTTCTCAAGCTTGATCACTACTGCATCATGGTAGACCACCAGTTTGTGGAATCAGCAAAGGCAATCCCGGCCTTCTGGCACGACGCCCTTGAAAGGGGACACGCAGTATTCATGGAATCGCCATTGAATTTCCTCCTGGCACCGTGGTTTTGCGTTAACTGTCAGGCGGAGCCGTTCGCGGAGGATGGCTTCTACTGGGCGACTGTGTGGTGCGAGGGAGCAGAGATACTGGCTACGTGTGGCAAATGCTTTGAGGCTGAAGCTTAAGAATCCCTGAACGTTTGGCGAATGGCAAGTAAGGAGGATACAACTTCTGCTGAGCCATGGCACTGCCGGTTGGACTTTTCAGCATGGAAAAGAATGATCCTCGAGATGAGTTGACCACGGTAATTGTCGCAGCATATCGTTGGCTCAAGTGCCCTTGGAAACGGGCGGAGTATGGGCGCAATATGGGTGATACCGCGGCAAAAGATGCCAAGCATAGATTTTAGGAAGTTCACATCATAGGGCAAGAAATACCTAACGACGTCACCAGCCAGCGCGAATCTGCCCCGTGTTATGTCGCACGAGGTGATGGAAAAGGGGAGTGGACGACAATGTTGTGTGCTCCACTACCCCGGCCCAGGGGGCGCGTTGGGTTCCGATGGGCGGCCAATCACATAACACGGCTGCATTCATGCCCAATACGCCCCAACGCCCAACGTTGGGATGTCTCTCACCACATACTACCGCACGATGACATTTTCTTTCTTTGGGCTCCGTGGTTTCACAGTTTTGCGACCCATCGGGCAGCGCCCCCCGCTATGATTGGATGCCCTCATGGTGACTCAGGTCCAGCAATCCCCCACAGCCGTGACACCCATGCCCCTGTCAGTCAAGCGATGCGCCAACGAGCTGGCGCAGCGTAGGTGATCTGCTACGTCTTTGGATGTGATATATTTCATTTTCTGTTTATCCCATCCCAACTCATTCGTCACGCCCGTCAGCCTCTTTCGTACTTCTGCATCTGACCTGCTCAAACGCCGCCTTGCTGTTGCACCTGAACCCGAACCGTTCGCCTTACACACTGTCTTACGTCAGAACAAACAAAACCAACGCCATGCTCAACTGCTACCACGTACTCCATCCTTCACACAAACAACTACCATCTTGCACAGAATCGCCATCACCTCAGATTGACAGAAGACCACCAGATTTCGACAGACACCACTGAACCAGAAACCATGGAAGGTGCTTCACAACGGCCACGGGGCCGGGCGCCGACGATGCCAGGCGGATACCCTCAATCTCGACCCAGCTCACGGCCAGCGGCATCAAGGGACTCTGAAGAGACCGACACCTCCTACAACCGGTCGTCATCACAGTCCAACCCCCCAAGAGGGATCCTCAAGAACTCATCTCCACGAGACAACCAGGATCACCTGGCGGCAAGGTTCTACCGGGTCCCGAGACCCGAGCACATGAAACAGACGTCTCCTCTGCAATCACCAACGTACTTCTCCGACAGTTCGTACCCCGGCTTCGAGCCCGAGACGGACTCTCAGTCGGGTTGCTCGGAACTTTCCATGAACACTCAAGCGACAAGTGTCGTATCAGACACTACGGACGAGAAGCCGACAAGGCCCTCAACCCAGGTCAAACATGTGCGACATGTACCCTTGCCTGCCGTCGGTCGCGTCAAGGCGCGACCACGGAACCGGCCCCCTTCGGAGGTGACTAGGAGTCCCTCTCAAGGTGGGAAACGGACGGTCCACATACAGATCCTCCCACAGGCCGGGTCGAGCACCCAGGACTTGCAACTTGCAAGGCAGCCGGAACGAAATCTCCAGCACAAGATCGAACGCTTGGAGAACGACAACGACGACCTCCGATATGCTCAAAGCCAATTGAGCAGGGAGCTCGACGACACCTCCGAGCAGCTTTCCGCCAAGGTGCTTGAGAATAAGGAGCTTGGCAGGGCGCTGAGCCAGGAGCGCAATGCCAAGCAGCTCGTCCTTCGCGACCTCGAGGAGCAGCGGAAGCTCTTCGATGAGTTCAGGAGCAACTACCAGCTGCAGAAGGGCATGCTGCAGGAAGCGGAGAAGGACAGGGACAGCTTCCAACATGTGCGCGAACAGCTTGAGGAGCAACTCGTCAGCCTCGAGAAGGAAATGGCGCAACGCGATATTCAGAAGAAGGAGCAAGAAGAGCTGCTCAGACGCAACATCGCCAAGCTGGAGGTCGCGGCAGCTTCACTCGAGGAACGCGTTGGCTCGCGAGACCAGCAGGTGAAGGAGCTCACCACAGAGCGAGAGACCCTGCGGAAGGAGTCCGAGAAATATCAAGCGCAGATCAGGACCCTGAAAGAGGGACAGAAGCCTTTCAAGGAGGAACGCAAGGCGTTGGAGGACGAAAAACAGAAGCTCCAAGCTCGCGTTAACGGCCTTGAGAAGGACAGCAAAGCGCTTCAAACCAAGATCGGCGTCCTCGAGAAAGAGACCGAGACACTGACGGCGGAGATCGCCGAACTGGAGACGAGCGACGCGCTGGTGGAGGAGCTGGAAGCCGAGAAGGCAATCGAGGATCTGGTGCAGCGACTCAAAGCCAAGGTGTCGGACAACAAGGAGCTCCAACAGCGGATTGAAGAGCTCCGACAGCGGATCGAAGCTGACAAGACGGCCAAGGAGGATCTTGAGAGGGAGTTCGAGGGAATCAGGGCAGATCTCCGGAAAGAGTTCGTCACGATCAAGGACAACCTCGAGAAGGAACTTGACGCTACGAAGGCCGTACTTGAACAGCAAACAGAGTCCTTCGAGGCGGAGAGGAAGGAGACACAATCGAAGATCGACGGTCTGAACATAGAGCTCGCCGGGTCCGGAGATGCCAACATCTCTCTCGCGTCGCAGTGTCTGGAGCTGACCACCGAGCTGACGACCGTCCGAGCCAACCTCCTCACCGTCCAGACAGAGCTCAGCGAGCTCCATTCGCACAGCAAGGCCCTCGAGTCCGACAACGAGAAGCTGAAGGTCCAGACTGCTGACCTCACGCAGAAGAGCAAATACCTCGACAAGCTCCGCGACGACCACAGCGCCCTCGAGGAGAGGGCCAACGGCCTACAGTCCAACGTCGACAAGGCGCAAGACACACAGAAGACCCTCCAGGACAAGCTCACCATACTCTCGGCCCACGCGAGAGACCTCGAGAAAGGAACCGCCTTCAACAAACTCAACGACGAAAAGACCGCGCTCGAAACCAAGCTGCAAGCCCTACAGACCGAAACCTCCGCCCTAACACAATCCAAAACCGACCTCGAAGCCCTCACCGCAACCCTCCAAGCCGAAGCCTCCAAGATCCCCGCGCTCACACAGTCCAAAACCGACCTCGAGACGCAACTCCAAGGCCTCCAGACCGAAGCCGACAAAATACCAACCCTAACAGCCCAGCTCGCCACCACAACCCAGCAACTCGAACAAGCCCGCACAGCCGCCCAGACCGCCGCCGGTCAAGTGCGCGACCTACAGGCCATAGTAGGACGTCTACAAGCCGGAGGTGGGAGGTCGGCGTCGCGCAGCACATCGCGCGCGCCGACGAAGAGCGGGGGCCGGAGCAGGCAGGGCCGCTCGCCGTCGTCGGGGTTGGTGTTCGTGCGGAGTACGACGGATAAGGGGGGTGTTTATGTTACCACGCGGGACGCGCTGGCGAAAGGGGAGTAAGGGAGCGCTAGTCGGGTGGGGGCGTTATGAGTGGGGACTTGGGTGGGGGTCGGGGGTTGGTCGATAGGGGGCGCCACGAGGTGTGGCTGAGGAATGTGGGTGACATGACGGATGATGATGATGATGATGATGATGACGATGACGACGTGACGGGTATGACGACGTGGATGACGATGGTGTTGTGCGTTACGATGTACGAGGACGAGGGCGAACTCGTACGCTGGATGGCATGGTACTGGCCTGGGGTTGTACGCCAGCCGGTTGATGAGTGACGTTACTTCCCTTTCTTCGTTGGCTCGAAGGCCCATTCACAGATGGCGTCGCATGTTTTCCATATGTTATTTCAAGCTTTTCTTGTCTTAGAACTTCATCGAATACTCCTGTTCAATTTCCTTGTGTCGCTAGTGTAGGAAAAGACTAGTCGCATCTTGTGGGTGGGTTGTTATGTAGGAGGCTTAGACTGTGAGCACAAGCTCGGACTGGCATGGGTATGGATATTGGGTTTTACTATCGGAAATCGAAATGGATAATAAAATATTACCTGGAAGGTCTCCCAACAATATCCTAGCGAACTGATGAGCCGGACTCCAGTCAGGTTTTCCGTTATAGATACATTGATGCTCCAAGTGACGTTCAACGGATCGTTTGGCGCCGCCACATAGCACACGCCCGCAGGCAGATATTCCAAACATACTAGATGAGAGTTATAGCCCTGATGCACCTCGCACCGTCATTGCTATTCGCTGCGGGTCTCGTGGAGAACAGTACGGGGGTCGTGCCGTTTGCCGGAAGGGGGAACCGCCAGATCTGGCCGCTGATGTTCTCGGGATCCGTACAGAAAGCCGTCGTCGCTGGCGTAGACGGCTCCCCACGCATTTTCCCCGGCGATATTGCCAAAGTTGGTCAACTGCGTCCACACATGGGTCGTGCGGTCGAACCGCACGAGAATCGTGGCCGTATATTGCGGGGCGTAGGCGAGGGCGTAAAGCGCATCACCTCCGTTGGGTACGTACGCCCAGTCGATGAGATGATGGTGCCGGAGTTAGGTACCGTGACCGTACCGTTAGCCAGCGTCATGCCGTAGGTCGACGATCCGGGCATCAGGTCAACTTGTACTGCCGGGTCTGCGTTAGTGTTTGCTCTCGATGACATCAGCAGGGATGGGGCAAGAGTAAGCTAGGTATGTGACAACACACACAGACCACAATAGACGTTACTGGCTTTTAAGGTGCTCAAAAGAGATTGAAGAAACTTAGAAGAATGCTTACACCATTGACTGCCGCCTGCCGTGGCCCAGTACTGAGAGTTGCCGTCCACGTCGCCCGAGTTGACGGCGTAGGTTACATTCAGAGACCCGAGGATGTTGGAAGTGCCGTCAGCAGAGATGCGGATCAAATTTAAATTTGTTGTCGGTGCAGTGCCGATAGCCGCGTACAGGAAATTGTCGGCGATGTTGTAGCCCATGGCGTTTATGGTGCGAGTGCCGTCGCCAAGGCCGATCTTCACTAGGGTGGTGTTTTCGTTGGTGATATTGACCCTGTATAGGGACTTGGACTGAATCAGATATCCCGAGGGATCGCAATTCAAGGTTGCGAGCGGTGTCTGGACAATCACTGTCCCTGGCCTCGTCCCGCTGGGTGAAACCGTCGTTGTCGTCTTAACAGTGCCCGTATAGCCAGCTGTCGTCGTCACATAGCTTGCTGGGACTTGGACGATAACCGTGCGCGGTGCTGTGCCGCTAGGCGGTACAGTGGTTGTAGATGTTACATTACCGCTATATCTGTGGCCCTTGGAGTCAGCTTTGAAATATCAAGATCAAGCGAGACGACAATTCTATTTAGAGCAAGTATACGACATGGGACCGAGCGTGGGCCAAAATCGGGTTCCTCACTCTCAGGATGTCTGAAAGTGGTGTATTATGACTTACTGGCTTGTGATTGTGGTGTAGCTGGGTGCCGACGACGAACTGGTGAAGCTCGTGCTAGAAGGTCGACTCGATGTCGACGCTGGCGATGTGGACGCTGGCGATGTGGACGTTGGCGTCGTGCTAGCCGATGGTGCGGGACTCGCACTGGTGCTCGTGCTGAGGGGCCGACTGGACAACGACAAGCTGGGCGCTGACGTTCCCGTTGAGGATGCTGTACTAGTAGTCGTGCTCAAGCTTGGGCTGGCGGTTAGTGACGAAATGGAAGTGGTGGAACTTGAAGACGCACTCGATGTTGGGCTGGATGATGTAGCGATAGCTGGCGATACTGCACTCGTGCTACCACTTGTGCTTGGTGGTAGTGACGATGTCGTAGGGGTACTTGAAGACGGACTCGGTGCTGGCGACACTGTAGTCATACTACTGCTTGAGCTTGGAAGTAATGATGAAGTGGATGTACCTAAAGACACACTTGGGGTTGACGTGGTGCTACTTGATAGCGCAATACCTGTGCTGCCCACTAAGCTAGTACTAGATGATGTCGAGCTGGAAGGCGAGCTAGGTAACGAACTAATAGGCGAGCTGAACGACGTGCTCGGAGCAGAGCTGGGAGGTGAGCTTGACGACGTGCTCGGAGCAGAGCTGAGAGGTGAGCTTGACGACGTGCTCGGAGAAGAGCTAGGAGATAAGCTTGACGAGCTGGGGGGTGAGCTTGACGACGGGCCAAGTAACGAGCTTGGGGGCGAGCTTAACAACGGGCTAGGTGACGAGCTAGGTGACGAGCTTGACGACAAGCTTGGAGAAGAGCTGGGTGACGAGCTGGGCAATGAGCTGGGTGACGACGAGCTGGGTAATGACGAGCCGGGGGACGGGCTTGGTGACGAGCTGGGGGAGGAGCTTGAAGTCGGAATGGAAATTGGCATTGAAGTCGGAGATGAAACCGACGATGACGTTAAGCTAATGGTGCTGGAGTCCGCGGACGAGATTGAGGATGATGTCGCGCCGACGGACGAACTTGCGGGCAACACCAAGCTAGACGTACTCGACCCCGTGTATGATATCTGGCTAGCTGCAGTAGATGAAAATGGGTTTGATGTGTTCGAGACTGTTGACGGTCCCTGGCTGATTCCTGTAGATAAAGTCAAGCTAGTAATGGTATCTGACTAGGTAGTAAGAATCGTATTTGTACTGGACGAGCTAGTCGATGAGTTGGATGTGTTCGAGGCTGTTGACGGGCCCTGACTGGTTCCCGTAGATTAAACCAAACTACTTGTGATATCTGACGATGTAATAGGAGTCGTACTTGTACTGGACGTGCTAGGGGATGAGCTGGAAGATATATCAGGTATAACACTAGATGTGCTTGACACCATGAACGATCCGAAGCTACTCTCAGTAGATTGGGTTGAGCTAGAGGTGATTGGAACCGTCGACGATGCCTGACTGGTTACAATAACTGACGTTGTACTAGACGGAGTCGACAATGTTGAAGATTCTCGGCCGACCTCCGTGGACGAAGTCAAGCTAGATGTGTCTGGCACTATTGACGATCCAAGGCTGTTTTCCGTAGATGAGGTAGAGCTAGATACGCTTGGGACTATCGACGTTTCCTGGCTGCTTACAGCAATGGATGCCGAGCTAGGCGTGCCCGAGACCGTCGATGATGACTGGTTGTTATCAGTAGACGAGCTTGGCGCTGCTGACGATACCTGACTGGCTTCCCCAGATGAGCTTGAGATAGAGAGCGTCGAGACTGTCGACGATGCTAGTCCTGGGTCTGTGGAACAAGCTGCCGGGTTACTGGACGCTGCCGATGCTCCTTGACCAGCCTCCACGGAGGAAGTCGTTCGGTCACTGGATGCCACAAATGTTGCTTGGCTAGTGTCCGTGGAAGCCGTTGGGCCACTGGACGCTGCCGAAGATGCTGGACCTGGGTCTATGGAAGAAGTCGTTGGATTACTGGACGCTGACGATGTTGCTTGGCTAGGATCCGTAGAAGAACTCGCTGGGGCACTGGAAGCTGCTGATGTCGCCTGGCCTATATCTATGGATGAACTTGCGCTAGATGAGAATGACGCCGTCGATGACACCGCGTTTGTATCCGTAGGCGAGCTGCTGCTTGTTACCAGACCGGATGCGCCCAGAGGTTCCGATGTAATTGCGGTGGACGAGAGCGCCGTGCTGTCTGTGGGGGATGAGGTTCCAGTGCTAGTCTGGGCTCCTGAAGTTTCAGTGCCCGAGTCCGTAGATGAACTGAAACCAGAACTCATCGTCCCTATTGACGAAGAGGCAGCCAAAGAGGAAGTGGGACCACTTGTGATGGCTTCTGACGAGCTGCTGCTGGTTAGATCAGATAGGTTAGAGCTACTGTGCGCGGCCTCTGTCGACTCCATTGGAGGAGTAAGGCTAAGGCTTGCACCAGGTTGAATGCTATTCACATCAATCTCCGTAGAGATTGCACTGGCATCCGATGACGTGAAGGGCACAGCAGCTTCTGTCGTTGCAGAGGCTGAAGTGTCAGCAATATCGCTTGGAGCTGTTGAGCTTACAGCTTCCACGGAAGAGCTACTGGTTCCAATGGTAGTGGGTTCCGAGGTCGTCGAAGAAAGTCCATCAGTTCCAGTGGTAGCCGAACTACTAATGGAGTCAGTCGCAATCGAAGATATAGCTGGATCGGAGGTTGTGCTTGGCTCTCCAACGGTGGAGTCAGTGCTCGAGGGCTGGTCTGTCATCGAGCTAGTAGAGTCCGCGGCACTTGTTGTAGCTGCATTCGTAGCCTCCGTGCCCGTGACACCCGAAACTGTCGAGCTTGTTACCGTACCAGTGGTAGCGGTGTTTGTGGTAGTCGTATCCTCACCTGATATGCTTCCACTAGCGGTATCTCCACTACTTGAAGACTCTGTTGGGCTACCAGCGGATTCCGTACTAGAGTCAGTACTTATAGATGTGTCCGTGGAGTAGCTAGCGGTGATGGCGCTACTTAGTTCAGCCAGGCTATTTAAAGTTCCTAGGGAGCTGGCCGTCACTCCATTGGGCGTGCCTGTGCTTGGTCCAGTGCTGGCCTCGGTGGTCTCAACTGCCTGCTGAGCGCTGCTCGAACTTGCACTTGTGTTGGGACCCGGGACGGAAGTAGTAGTTCCCGGTGGAGACGAGGGGCCAAATATGGAAGTGCCTGTTATCTCGGAAGGTGGTACAGTGTCAGACGTAGTGGCGGAGCTCGCGTTAGTGGTGGCTGTGAAACTGGAATCTGAAGATACTGCACTGTCAGTTGTAAGAACAGAGCTCGTGTCAGTAGTAGTCGTAAAACTAGAAGATGATGAAGTCGAAGTGACCTCAGAGGTCGTCTGGTCTGATGTGCCTAAATGTTCCAGTCTACCAGTGGATGAGGTTGCAGTGCCATCTTGTGTTGCAGAAGTCTGAGTGCCCGAATCTGTAGCTGAACTGTTGCTTGGTTCCAGACTGGATGTGCCTGTAGATACTAGGTTACTGGTGGACGAGATCGCCGTGCTGTCCTGGGTCTCTGGAGCCTGAGTGCCCGAATCCGTAGCTGAGTTGTTGCTTGGTTCCAGACTGAATGTGCCTGTAGATATTAAGTCACTGGTGGATAAGGCCGCAGTGCTGCCCTGGGTTTCTGAAGCCTGAGTGCCCGAACCCTTAGCTGAACTGCTGTTTTGTTCCAGACTGGATGTATTTATCGTCGTTTGTTGTTTGTTTGTTTGTTTTGTAATTAACGTGGGGGGTAGCTCCTCAGTAGTGCAGACCACGCCTCCCAGAGCCGCTGCATCGCAGGGTTGTGGAGGTCTCAAGAAAATAAGTACAGTCAGTCCCGCTCACGGGCCCATCCCCGTTGTTGCGGCGGTATGACCTTGGGGTCATCCATCTGGTCCTTCAAGAACAGCTATCTATCGGAGACAGATTGTTGAAAAGAACTTACTCTTCTCCACGAATTTTGCCCATTCTGTGCTCCTCTCCCCTAAGTATTGTAAACAGGCTGTCCTAGGCGAGTACCTAGGCATTAATGGTACAGGATGAATTTAACATCCAATTGATGGACTCGCGGGGAATCGAACCCCGGACCACTCCCATGCTAAGGGAGTATTATACCACTAAACCACAAGCCCGTATATCTATCCAATGATTTTTATATTTATCGTCGAGGAGACCGATGCAAGGGATTCACTAGTGCTGCCGATATCTGCCGATTCAGCGGCGCTCGTGCCTGGGGAAGAGAAATCAGCTGAGGTTGTAGTGGTAGTATCCGGAGATAGCTCTGCGCTGCTGCTTTCGGTAGAGGTTTGAGACTGAGCTGGAGTCGAGTTGGGAATCGAGCCAGAAGTCTCGCTGGTGGACTGGCCAGACTCCACTGAACCACTGGAGACATAGACGGACTATTGGGTGACCCGCTCTCCGAGCCAGTGGTGCTGACAGTAGCAATATTGCTGATGCCGCTTGTCGAGGAGCCCTCGCTAGTATTACTGGGTGTCTCGGATTGTCCGGAGGTGGTGCCAACCAAGCCACTCCCCGTGGCAGTCGACGCTGTTGAGTCGCCGCTGGGGCCAGAGGTAACGCAAGAAGAACCACCCAGGCTCGAACTTGGTAGTGAATCATCTGTGCTGATCGTCGAGCTGGAACTAGACGTTGAGTCTAAGACACTGCTGATCGAGGTAGAGCTATCTGAGTTCTTAGTTGATGCTGGTGAACTACTCGCTGTGCCACCAGAGTCTGGAGGATCAGTCAATTGATCAAGTACAGTCGATGAAAAAGCGGTAGAACTGCCAGTCGAGGCGCTATCAGTGTAACAGCTTCATCTGACGTTGTGGTGCTAGTGTCCGAGGTGCTGCAAGATTGCTCCGTCGAACTTTGCGTGAATGTGGTGCTGGTTGTGACAGCAGCGTCAATGTTAACCCCATTTTTACATCGATTTACTTCGTTAACAAGCATTAGCGGCAGTCAGGAAGAACAAAGGATAAAAAGAAGGGAAATCATCGTTTCGACCAACTTACCGGTGTGAATGACCAAATCAATAGAAGTGCAATTAAAGGGACCGCCAGATTCAGTGAAGGTAGCATAAACCGCGCCGCTACCAACTTGGCAGAAACCAGCAGTGCCATTATAAAACGTTGCATTGCTCCAGATCAGTATGCCATCCGCAACCTCGAAGGTAGTGCTGATAGAGCCGGTCGTGAAGTTTGCGATGTCGATGTACGGCATTCCCGGGTCGACAGATAGGGGTCTCCCCACATTATGGAGTTGCCCGTTGCCTTTGACCTGTACCAATTTGAGTCAGCAACTGTCCTTCCAGTGATATCTTGGGGGGTACCACCGGTTTCGTAAGCCAACGCTCAGGAGTATAAAACCCCGCTGACGACAACAATAGGGAAAGACACAAGTCAAGGGGGTACTAACGTATATATTGGCATTGGTACAGTTGTCTGGGTTCGGGTAGGTCGATTTTCCCACGAAGCCAGAACTGGAGTTCGAGGCAGGCGGCGGAGGGTCATCTAGAGCCCATAGCTCTAAATCGCGGCGACCGATCGTCGCGTTCCTGTCTACTCCGACTTCTATGCTGAGTACAACAGATGACAGTGCTGGGGCAGTGGAGCTAGCAGACGATTCCGAGTTGGAAGGCGTGGCGGTTTCGGCAGCTGGTGACGGACTGCTAGGTGTGGGATCAAAACTTGTGCTGCTCGGCTCTGAACTGCTTACAGGCGATCCCGATTGTCTCGCTGTTGGAGACTGCGGACTAGACGTAATGCCCCCACAGGAGCCCGGTTCCGTCTGGGGTGGACTTGTAGAGCCGGTGATAAGCCCGGAATTGTTCACCGAGGGTGGTCCGGTATTCCCTTGAATTTGACTGCCAATTGATTGTGGTGTCCCCGTGGTTCCCACACTTGGACCCGAAGCTGCGCCTGGGCCCGTACTTTCTAGAGCCGAAGTCCCTGTACCGGAAGCTGCTGTACCGGAAGCTGCTGGACCGGAACCTGCTGGGCCGGAACCTGCTGGGCCGGAACCTGCTGGATCGGAACCTGCTGGACCGGAACCTGCCCCTGATCCTGATGCTGCCGCTATACCCGATGGCATGGTCGAAGTTTCGCCTTGGGAAACTAGTCTGATTTCACCGGATTGTACTGGAGTTCTGGTACCTGTCGTAACTCCCGTAGAAGGGAGACTGCCCGCCGGTTGTGGCTGCCCCGTTGTTACTGCTCCTGGAGTAGTGGACAAGCTCCCACCTTGAGAAGTCTGACTGTCTCCACCTGACTGTATACCACCAGGCTGCGAACCACCTTGTTGCGAACCACCTTGTTGTGTAGCGCCTGATCGAGTAATACTGGCTTGACTACCATCAGGCTGAGAACCAGAAGGTAGGATTCCACCTTTCTGCGGAATTCCAGACTGAGCAGTTCCCGACGGCGCACCGATCGACTGCGTACCATCTGGCTGACCCTTCCCGGACTGGGCTACCCCAGACTGAGTTTCCCCAGACTGCGTACCTCCTGGTTGAGTGCCTGCGGGTTGAGTACCTGCGGGTTGAGTGCATGCGGGTTGAGTGCCTACAGCTGAAGTACCCGGCAGCACATTTGCGGGCAGCGAGCTGTCAAGCTGGGTGTCACTGCTTTGCGGGACGCCGCCTTGTACGGGACTGGTCTGGGTGGGTCCGCCCGGCGTTCCGCCAGTTACCGGTCCCGGAGACCCGCCGGTCGAACTTGCGATCCCGCCGGGCGGATTCCAGGAACCATTCCCGGGTATGACATTACCCGGGCCCATGGTCAGCGGCTCCTGTCCACCGTCATCGGGACCAGGGGTCCCATGGTCACCTGAAAGAAGTTTTAGCAGAGAAATCAAAGCATGCTTGGGTGCAACCCGACCTTGATCGCTGATGCCACTGGGATTAGACTGTCCAAGTGTGCCCTCTCCGGCACCGCCATCGTCTATTGCTGCTATTGCGGTAACGGTGGTCATGTATGTGTAGCATATTGTCTGACCTTGCAGGTCGGCCTCGTAACGCCGGGAGATATGTTCCACCTCAGACGTGGGGGGACCTGTGTCCGCATCTTGCCTATAGTATGCATGAGCGAGGATAGCCAACACGGCGATGTACGGTAGCATGACAGTGAGTCGTGCATTGAGTTGACCAGATCAGTATGAGCAGAGGAAGGCTGCAGGTGTGTCTTGGTGGCGTCACGAAGTTTAAGACCGCGGTGAAGGTGGCGAGTTTTGCATCGGCCCGCCGTCTTCTCCCCCAGTGAGGACCGACCTTCTTGACAAGCTGTCAACATCGCTTGAAACATATCCCACGGATGTCATATCGCCGATGTGTCTCAAATGACCGGGGAAGATACAAGAATAGCTTGTGAGTCCAAACGCGGCCCCGGCTGAGACAACAGGACGTGCCGAGATCCGCGACATCTTCAAATTCCAGTGATATTTCGAGTACTGATGTTTCCGTCGAAACTTCAAGCCGGAACGTCATCAGGGCTGGAAACAGCGACGAGGTGTAAAATGCCGGCACTGGTGGACAGCGTAATAATATGCGATGTAGGTCGAGGCGATGAGCCAAAGGCCTCTTATCTTTTCCTCGTCTCAAAGATGTGATCTGCAACATCAGCACCTGTACATACTCCTAGACACAGGCTAAGGGAAGATGCGACCGCGAGACACATTCCGCCTGCTTGTACTAGTCCTGGGCTGCACTCACGTCCTGGGACAGCAAATAAGCTACAGCACATACGCCGTGACGGAGTGTTTTAGCAGAACCAAGCAGAGTTCACCTACATCGCAACCTGCAGGGAGTGCTTCTGATGGACAAGACGGCGGCGCCGGCGCCGGCGACGGAACGAACACGCAAGAGACGAACCCGCCGCAGGGGACCGTGACTTACAGTATACCGCCTTGCGTCGGGTGCAACTGTCCGACGTGCACGCTGACGAGCGTCTACACGACCTCTTATTCTTGCTTTGCGCCGACAGAGCTTGGTACGTGCTCGTGAGCCCAGAAAATAGCACACATCACTCAGACCTATACCCAGTCAGCCTTGGGAAGATGGACTCCTCGTGAATGGATATCTTACACCCAAAAACAGTGCGCGAACCGTGAAGAAAGGATGTACTAACACTTGAACGGTATAGTTGACCAGCCGTACACGATCACGGAGACCTACGTGGGCATGTCCACGCTGCCGACATTCGTGTACCCGACGCCCTACCCCTTCGGATTCACGACGAGCCTCGAGACGTGTACGGCTTGCGTATCCGCGCCCATCATCGCGACGATGATGTTCCCGAGTTCGGGGAGCCCGTATATAGGTCAGGGACCAGGTTCGAGCCAGGATCAAGAGCCGAATCAGGGGCAAGGTCCAGGTCAGAGTCAAGATCAAGGACAGAATCAAGGGCAGGGGCAAAACGAAGGAGAAGGAGAAGGCCAAGATCAGGATCAAACCCAAGGGCAAGATCAAAATGGACAAGAAGCAGCAGGCCAAAATCAAGATCAAGATGGACAAGGAACAACAGGACAAGGAGCAGCAGGCCAAGATCAAAGTCAAGGGGAAGGAGCAACACCCCCAGCCCCACCCCAAGAAACCGCAACACCACCTCCCAGCACCTTCCCAACAACACAACCGGAACCCTCCAACGCCTTCCCGGTCCCGAACGCCAGCCCCGCCGCCCCCAACGCGCCCATCACCACCACAACGACGACCACAACAACAGAGACCGAGGTCGAAGCCGGCGCGACGCGCACGCTGACCGCCCCAGTAGGGGGCTACTTCAACGACACGTATTCGACGTTTTCGACCGGCAGCGGTGGCGGGAGGAGGAACGGGACGGGGACGGGGGCTTTGTGCTGGTCGGCGCCGACGCGGACGGCGATGACGACCATGTACACGGCCGGGGCGCGGGCGCTGGTGCGCGGGCCGAGGGGGTTGTTGGCTGTGCTGGGGTTGTTGGTTATGGGTTAACACTTGTGGTTGGTTGGGTTGATTGCTGCCGCAAAACGTGAAAGTGACTAGTGTTAATAACGTCGATGAAGGGGTGGATGCGGAAGTGTCGTGTTGCTTGCTGGTCAGCAGTTGCAGGGGTAATATACATGCGAGGGTGATATACAAGCAAGGTTAATATATAAATCCTTGTTCATCTTGGAAATATCGAAGTCCCGGATATGCAGTGGATGCAGTCAGTCACATGGAGCAACACACAAACAAACAACAAAGCAAGCGGGCCGAACCTCTCATGATTGCCTATCTGAACTATCTATGCGAAGCCTACTGCCGTACAGGTCTGGCTAGCAGGCGACGGGAGAACCTGTATAGCAACCGGTCTTCAGCGTCGATTACAGGGGCGGCCTTTTGGAACGGACGTCGACTTGCTGACATGACCAGGATGTAAGGTTCGTCGTCTGTTTGGTGGAGTAGGATGAGGCAACATCACAAGATTGAGTACTTGGGCCCATTCTGGTCGGTAGACTGCCGTCCGAATGCTCGGAGAGTCGTTCCATGATGCCGAATTCCAAAGATGGCCCGGTTTGAGATTCTCGGAGATCAACGGCGTGACGGACTGCAACTGCCCAACATCTTACTCAAGATGCCCGTCTCCCTAGGTGCGACCGGGAAAGCCTCTGCGACTAGTGGTATCCAACCAGTCACGAAAGACTAGCTGGTTGCGCATGCACGCTGCAGTGGGCCTTTCATCCATCATTCGTGTAACTAGCTCGCTGACAACAGTCAGTGAGCTGGGAGCCCAAAGCTTTGCGAGCAGTGCTCTCCTTGCCAGTGGCTGACGGGAAGAGCAGTAAGATGAGCAGAAGAGAAGCAATTGGGGTATATTCGTTTGTAAGCTTAGGATCAAGTAGCTATTAACACCTGGTTTCCATCAAGAAATGCGATGATAGTTTCCTGACTAGTAACATGATACCGCAAAGGATTCCACCAAAGCACAACCGCAACTCATATACTCTACTTCCGCCATAGAGAGTAATGCGTCGATGCATGAGAGTGGATTGCTAGTGTGAAAGTGCAAGGCTGAGATGCCACTACTCCCAGCGGGGATGATGATCACAACAGATGTAAAACCGACAAAATCATAACATATGACTGTTTGGCGCCACGTGTACTCAAACAGGAATGACATTTCGATGGAAAGGGCATGCAGAAGCTTTTAAGCCTTGGGTTGGGGCGCTTGCGCCGGTGGATCTGGTATGCTGGCTGTAGCGGCCGCGAGCGTGGTTTGAACCACCCCAGATGGTGATGCTGCAATAGTCTGCGGTGGCTGACCATTTTTACGGGCCTCGTTGCCATCCTCAGTCAACAGCTTGCTAAGAAGCTGAAGGTCTTCGCGGGCTCTGGGCTCTCGCTCAAGGCAACGACGAACAGCGTTCCACTCGCCTTCCTTCATACGGGCGGCGTGCGGGAGCAGGAAAATGACCGAGGAGCAGCCAAAGAGTGGGCCGAGAACTTGTCGGGCCTTCATTTCGCCCTCTGCCTGCGCTTCTCGCATGGCTCTCAGGCTGGGATCTTGGTTGCCGGGCACAGGAGGCATAGGACGACCCGCCGGAGTTGGAGTTGCCGATAGAGCCAGACGTGGCGGCATTGGTGGTGTTGGCTGGCCTGGAATCTTTGGAGGTGGTATGGGAGTTTGACTGTAATGCGGCTGCGGAAAGCCCGAGCTGGCGAAACCACTCTGCGGCGTGGCAGGCGACCAAGCCGGGCCCGACATCGATGGATGTCTCGGGGGTGGCACCGGGGTAGCTTGTGCTTGCGTAGCAAGAGGAGTCTGTTGGATCTCGGACTTCAGCTGTTCTAGCGGTATCGGACTTCTTTTTTCATCTCGAACGACGAAAACAACAAGTAACATAGGCTCAGTTCTCTTCAGAGGAATCAAATGATCGCCAATGTTTTGCATCGGCTCTGGAATCGGGCCATCGCCTGCCGAAACGGGTACCAGATAGGTATCTCGCACATTACCAAGCCTTCTTTCGCCCACGACACCGTACCGCTTCTTGGATAAGAAGTAGTCTATCACGTCTGTGAATTGCTTCCGGTCATCTCCGTTGTCAGGGTGAGCCGGGGAAAGGCTGGTGATGACCAAGTCGATCTGGTTGTTATACCTCAGACCGCAAAGGTATGGCACTGCCTTCTCTTCCGGGATCCGACCCGCCACAGTGAGTAGAGGTGGAATGAGGTCTTTCCATGGGATGCCCCTCACCTTGCTAAGGTCGGCACCACCTACGTACTTTGCAACGGTGGGAATATCAGCTACATTAGTCATAGTCAAGGGGCCACGCCAAATGACATCTGGGTCGACATCGTCGGTCGGTGAGTAAGGGGGGGAGTCGTTGCCCTCGTCTTGGAGTAAACGATCGACATCAGCATCTTCCCCAGGGCCGACGGATCGGATTTGAGTCGAAGCACGTCGTTGATGTGACGCGGATGGTGACCGCACGCTGGAGAAGACCTTGCCAATATCGAAATCGGATGGTTTTGGGGACTGCTGAGGTTGAGTGTCGACCCGTAGAGGTCCCGTGGAGGTCCGCCGAGCATTCTCAGTCGCCGATTTATCGCCATCGCGTGACGATGGACTGGCTTCTTTGGCAAGACCTGGACGAGCATCGGCCGTCCTAACACTCTGTTGTTCACTGTGTGAGGGTACGTTGTCCCTAGCAACATCATAGTCCTCACCCCCAACAACCTCCTCTCCTTTGTGCGTCTTCCTTACTCTAGGACCATCCTCGTTAACCAAGATGGACTGTTTCTCGGCACGAGCCTTCATCTCGGCATTTTCGCGCTGCAATTCCTTAGTCGCCAGCGCGTCACCGGTCATGACTACGAAGTCTGGAGGCGCGAGAGATCGGTCCAGGACGCGACAAGCAAGCTCCGTATTGTTCTTGAGACTGAATATTAGCGTACGAAGTTGGGCAGCGCTCTGTGAAGGTATTGGATGACTGTCGTAGAAGGCACGCTCAAGCTCCAGAGCAACACGCTCACAAAAGCCAACCACGTCGCTGGTCGGGGATACAGGGGGTGTCATGCCCTTCTTGTTAGCTTGCTCGGTAGCAGTCACAAGTGATTTCTTGAGGGCAAACACTGCCTGCTTTCGTGGCCCCTCCTCCATGTCCTTTGCATATGCTGGGATATCGTCGGGCGCAGTGTATGTCGACACTTTCTGCTTTGCTTTCTTTGGCGTGGGCGTTGCCACAACTGCTTGTTTCTCGGTGACCTTGCGAAGCTTGCTAGGCGGACCCTGTGACTGGTCTTGAGATTTGCGCTTCCCTTTGGCTGGTGTTTCGATCCCGGCTTCTTCTTTCTTCAGGTCCGGGGTAGGCGATGGTTTCGCCTTGGTACTTGATGCGGCTGGCGATGCGCGCTCCTTCTGGTCGCTGGGGCGTTTTCCTTTTCCCTTCTTGCCCCCCTTCTTACGCTTTTTGTCTTCCTCGTACTTGTGTCGTCGATCCTCCCATGGCCTCTCGCCCCTTTTCATGGCCTCCAAGGTCTGTTTGTGGTCTTCGGGGGCGCATTGTTCACAGAAGTAATCCTTAGTTAAATCCTCTGTGAAAACGCTCATGCCGACACAGACGTTGTGCTGCCAAGCGCCACATTTGTCGCAAGCAATCCACGGCTCGTTGGCATCGTCGTCATCTTGGGTTGTTGCGCCGCAGATACAGCGGATGATCTCCTCGTCATCCTCTTGCTTATCCTCTGGCTTCTCCTCTTTCTCGGTCGCTTTCTTTCCTCCCTTCTTGCTTTGGCGTCGTTTCGAGGGTTCGGGGCCATTCTCAAGCTGATCAAAGGCTTTCGTGTGCTGGCCCTTGGTGGCGCGCACAGATCGGCGGGGTTCAGGTTCACCTATAGGGGCGGAAGATGGGTCAGAGTTTGTTCAAAAGCTTTTGGTGGTGATCCGTAGGGGAGATTGGGGGTGCTTCGCGAATAAGAAAAGAGCCAGGCAGTATCAAAGATGCTATCCTCGATTCCGTCGCGGATGGGCCTGTCGCAGACTTTCTGCAGAGGGTTGCTTACCAGACATGATGATGGGCACTGCTGCTTGGACACGCGCGCAACGAGAACCAGTGTACGTGTTCGGTGGGCGCGTAAGTGCTGTATGATACGCGGAGCCGGAGTCTACAAGGCGAAGTTTTGGGTTGGGGCAGTAATGCTTCAGACACTCATGGCTTCTACGGAGCTCGATTGAACTATGACCTGGAGGGCGATTGAAGCAAAGGAGGAGGCACCATCAATCAAATAGCAACTCAAGCAGCTCCACAAACACCTCAAGGCACACTCTGCCTGCTTTGCGACGCGTGGTTTTGGTGAAGCGCAGATATCCAGGCTGTTATCTCCTCCCACGGGTTCGCGAACTTTGGAAGGCGCGACTCCGGTGATAGCTGGGCAGATGCGTGCGGCGTGTGCTGTTGTCGGGCGCAATGTAACCAATTCGAGTGCTTCTGTGTACTCGCTTGACGGGGGCGACACGAGTTTCCGGCGGTCGGGACGTGTATGTAGTTTGTGGCGGCTTGGTGCGCGATGGCAATCGTGAGAAAACGCCGTGGTTTTGGGAGTGTTTTGCTGTTAGAACCGGGTCGGTGGAAGAGAGAAAGTGGAGGTGTCGGTATCGGGTCGGGGTTGAAGGGAAAATACCAAGTTCGTGAGGGGGATTGGCGAATGCACGGACCAGGGGAAACAGCAACTGTTACGAACCTACGTGTACCTGCCTGCCTGCACCTGCCTGCCTGCACGTGCCTGGGGCCTTCTATCACATTTATCGTCTTTATACCTGAAATAGACGCTCTCGAAATGCCAGGTCGACAAATCTCCCCAATAACCTAAGCCTTTGGCAGTAATCAAGGTAGCTGAGGAGGTTGGTAGTGCAGGTAAAGTCGGGTGGTGAAGATCGGGCGTCGGCTATTATTGACTAGGATGAAGTAAGCAGAGATGTGGCTTATCAATATACCACTAGACATCAGCCACAAAACCTTGAAGCTCGGGCCTCACCAAGCTGCATGTTGCATGTACGCGTCTGAAGCTCTTGCCTAGCTGCATCTGCTTGCTGCTGGCCTCGTTCCTGTTGACAGCCTTCCCTGAACCACTTCGCAACACTGCAACATCCAGCCAGCGCACATCAGCGAACCACACGGCGAACCACACAGCGATTCGAGAAACCCTGATTCCCAACTCGCCTGCTCATCGACCTCGTTCTACGGCAAAGTCGCCATCATGTCTCGCCGTTACGACTCCCGGGTAAGCTTGAAGAGCTAGGCCACAGCTGTTTGTGGATTGAAGCTCACATACCTACCAGACTACCATCTTCTCGCCCGAAGGCCGCCTGTACCAGGTTGAGTATGCATTGGAGGCTATATCCCACGCTGGTACTGCCATCGGAATCCTGGCAAAAGATGGCATCGTCCTAGCCGCAGAGCGCAAGGTGACGTCGAAGCTGTTGGAGCAGGATACCTCGGCCGAGAAGCTCTACATCCTCAACGAGTGTGTACCAAGCCAGAAATATTACTACTTGTAGCGGCTGCCGACTAACCGACTCTAGCAATATGATCTGCGCCGTTGCCGGAATGACGTCCGACGCCAACATCCTCATCAACTACGCCCGACAAGCCGCCCAACGATACCTCCTCACCTACAATGAAGACATCCCCTGCGAGCAGCTGGTGCGAAGACTGTGTGATCTGAAGCAAGGGTACACCCAACACGGTGGTCTACGGCCGTTCGGTGTGTCCTTTATCTACGCAGGATGGGACCCCCAGAGACAGTTCCAGCTGTACCTGAGCAACCCATCGGGCAACTATGGCGGTTGGAAGGCGACGAGTGCAGGCGCAAACAATGCTAGTGCGTCCAGTCTGTTGAAGCAGGACTACAAGGAGGACTGCACGTTGAAGGAAGCTTGCGCAATGGCCGTGAAGGTACTAAGCAAGACAATGGACTCGACCAAGCTGAGCAGTGAGAAGAGTAAGTTGACTGGCTAAGCCGCACGCCTATTCTTCAGCCCTTGCTGTGTGATACTAATATTTTCTCTAGTTGAGTTTGCGACTGTGGGGCAGACCAAGGATGGCAAGATCTACCACCGGCTTTGGAGCGCGGATGAGATCACGACTTTGTTGAAGGAGCAGGACCTGGCAAAGGATGAGAGTGCTGAGGATAAATGAGCTGGGTTCTTTCTGCATCGCACATCAAGGTGGTTCATGACATTAGAGACAGATGAACCCATTGTACCAATACAAGTCTTCTAAGGACAGAATTTAAGATCATGTCCGCAGGCTTAGTCCCTTTGCTGGATACCTTGTTGGCCATACCGAGGCAGGACATGGTGTACCCCTAGTTCTTGCTGGCTCATCGTGTCGCATGCAGGAGACCCTCCTCGTGAAGGCATATCGTAAAGGGCATATTGTAATAGCCCATTGTTCACTGGGTCCATTCACTATGACGGTCTTGCTGGGAGATAATTCCTGCGCTCTGAAGCTGCAGGTTATTGTGCATAAGCTGTGCTATACCCGGTGGAACCAATCAGAGGCCGTGCCTACTTGGTGCTATGCACATGTCTGATGCAGGTTATGATCTATCGCTGCCCCGCGGCCCACTCACAGCCTTGCATAATGATCCCTGATGGAATCGCTGGTCCAGGGGACTTTACTGGACGCCGTCACGCTGGCACCCACCGACTGTCAACCTTCTGCCCCTCCACCATTCATGTTGACAGTTCAAGGGATACGAGTAATTATTTGTTGACCAGATATCCTTTGCAATTGCACCTCAACTGCCCGCCATACCAGCACACCCACCGATCGTACCTACAGACCATTCACCATGCTTCAGGTACCCGTCCGCGAGAAGTCCAATGGCGCTGGCAAGGCCACTAAAGCTGTCATCCTGGTGCGTATCCAATCCCACTTCTCTTTAGCATCGAGCTCGAGAGGACCCCACAGGCCACCGGAACTGACCCCATTTCGCATTCTGCAGGTTGGCGGCCCTTCGCGAGGAACCAGATTTCGGCCTCTGTCCCTCGATGCCCCCAAGGTAAGCTGCAAGCTGCAACGTGTTCGCCCTTCGCTGAAGTCTCCAAAACTCACTTCATGTCCCACAGCCGCTGTTCGATGTCGCCGGTCACCCCATCGTCTGGCACTGCCTGACCGCCATTGCGAAGGTGCCCTCCATTCAGGAGGTATGCATGATCGGCTACTACGACGAAACTGTGTTCAAAGACTTCATCAAGGAAGCCGCCTCCGAGTTCCCGAACCTCCCCATCAAGTACCTACGAGAATACCAAGCCCTCGGCACCGCAGGTGGCCTGTACCACTTCCGAGATGCCATCCTCAAGGGCCGGCCCGAGCGCATCTTCGTCCTCAATTCCGACGTATGCTGCTCCTTCCCACTGAACGACATGGCGAAGCTGTTCGACGACAGAGATGCCGAGGCTGTCATTCTGGGTACACGGGTGTCCGAGGATGCAGCCACCAACTTCGGCTGCATTGTGTCGGATCAGCACTCCCGCCGTGTGCTACACTACGTCGAGAAGCCCGAGAGCCACATCTCGAACCTGATCAACTGTGGAGTTTACCTCTTCAGCGTCGACGCAATCTTCCCTAGTATCAAGAGCGCCATCAAGCGAAGAGCGGATCGCCCTCGCCTGGTGTCCTACCCCTCATCCGACAACCTCGAGTCCAGCTTCATCGCCGACAATGACGACGACGAGCGCAAGAACGAGATCATTCGTCTCGAGCAGGATATCCTGAGTGACCTGGCAGACAGCAAGCAATTCTTCGTCCACGAGACGAAGGACTTCTGGCGCCAGATCAAGACTGCTGGTTCTGCCGTCCCCGCCAACGCCCTGTACCTGCAGAAGGCATTACAGACTGGATCCAAGGAGCTTGCTCAGCCATCAGCAAACATCCTTCCGCCGGTTTTCATTCACCCGTCCGCGCATGTCGACCCTACTGCCAAGCTAGGACCCAACGTCTCAATCGGTCCCCGAGCAACTATCGGAGCTGGCGCCCGTGTGAAGGAGTCTATCGTACTGGAGGATGCAGAGATCAAGCACGATGCGTGTGTACTCTACTCCATTGTTGGGTGGAACAGCCGTGTCGGTGCTTGGGCTCGTGTTGAGGGTACACCCACCCCCGTCACGAGCCATACCACCAGCATTGTCAAGAACGGCGTCAAGGTGCAAAGCATCACCATCCTGGGCAAGGAGGTCGGAGTTGGAGATGAGGTTCGCGTACAGAACTGTGTTTGTCTGCCTTATAAGGAGTTGAAGAGAGTGAGTCTTACCACATTTGGCACCCCATATATCCCTGAGTAACTTGACTGACATGACTCCCAGGATGTCGCCAACGAGGTCATCATGTGAAGCGCCATCGGGTTGCACGTGGGACAATAACTGCGTTTCTCTACTTCATCTTTCGCTCTCGAGCTTTATATGTTGAAGGTAAAATCGGATTCATCTTTGGTAATAATGGCACCTAAAATGGCGAGAACTTCCGGCTGCGTTCTAGACAGATACCTGAATCACAAGCGTTAAATTTGCTAATGCCCGACTGTCCCACTTTGAAGTATTTCTCATGAGTGGATGCATAGAATTGGTATGACCACTCGAGCCAACGTAGGCATCATCCAGGTTGTGTGTTGAAACGTCAACTGCCTGGTGATATGTGGAAGTGCTATACATGAAACTTCCTCCCCAGCTGCAGCATTGTGCAAGGAGCGCCAGAACAAAGGCTATAGTCTTCAACACTGAGTTTTTGGACACGGCAGCCGATCGCGAAGTGCAAATCCACGTGGGACGTATATCACAGCAGCACGTAAACATTGACGGTTCCCATTTTCGCCGTGCTGCGCTCAATCAAAGCATTCAGGGTGTCTCTCGCCGCCATGCCTTCCCGATGGTCGTCATTCATTCCTGTTCTGCAGCTTGCCGTGCGCAGAATCGCGCCCCTGGTTAGAGTACTCACCCTAAGGTACCCAGCAATTCCCGTGTCGTACAGTCGACACTTGTGTGAAACAGTCATCGAGGCCTAATCCTTCCCTCCATTTCGATATTAGCGGAATTTGACTATTTCGGCTCAAAACAACTTAACGGTAACGGGTCATGACATAGACTGAGCAGTTCTCGGATTAAGATGAGGCACCTTGGTGCTGTATAAGAAGTCGGAGGCCCATATACTACGGTTGGGAGGAGCAGGCAACTGCGAGTGTGGCAGTAGATGACTCCCAGGAGCAGCTTCGGCCGGGCACCAGAGGGGTCTCTCGCGGGTCGTGTCAAGTTCTTTCCTGATAAAGCTCTCGATCGCCCAGCGCCAGTGTGCAGGTACGTGGGTTTGTTAACGTCTCACTCTGCGGTCCAGCTGGGATGGAACGAGGTTCCAGTCCCATAAATTGTCCGCCATATCAGGCCATTCCTCCAAGATGGCCCTGAACCCCTCCAGACCTGCGGTATAGGTCTGGTTTCGCTGGAAGAATAGCACTATCTTCCAGAGAACTGGCTCGCGGACCGTGGCGTTCACGGCAAGTAAAGCCAATGCTACGTCCGAAACCACTGCCGCTTGACGTTGGAACAGCTTGATGTTGGATGCCTGGCCTTTTCGTTTCTTGAGTAGTCCTCCTAGGGGCTTGAAGTAGTTCTCGAGGAATCGGAGAATGTCGTCGACGAGATCGTGCATCAACAGATAATCAGCAACCTGGTAGGCCTTGGTAAGGTCCTCCATCAACACCAGATTCAAGGGCTTTTGGAAGCCCCGGCTTGCGCTGACGGCCCCGGCCCCTGGGCACGTTAGACATTTGTTCAGGCCCAAGGGAGTATTCATAAAGTTGTACTCACAGCCACCATGTGCGTAGGCGATACAATAGCGCACAGCTGAGTCATCGAAGTCCTCGAGGTACACAACACCACTTCGTGATTCCTGAAGCGGCAGAGGGGAGTCAGTACTCTGGACAGGTCGCGGGACGAGGCCGGAATAAATGTTGCATCTAATGACTCACCACGAAGCCACCACGAAAGTCGCCTCGAAAATAGAGCGAAGCTCGGCGCAGGTCCTCTTTATGGCAGTGGTAGATCGTGACATCAGTCACAATGGTAGCGTTGCTAGTATGTTCAGTTAATGGCTGCGAGCTGATTCACCAATATTTGCTTACCAGTTCTCACTGTGACTCTCGTCAGGGCTTGCATAGTGTGCACTCAGGGTCGTGTCGTTCGCCTTGTCCATCTCATGATTAGCAAGGTTGCCCATCACGGTATGGGTAGCTTCATCCGCCATCCTGTTCTTGGGTTGACGTCTGCGAAGTCTTCGTTGATGACAACGTGTTTGGTCTCGTCGTTGCTAGTGCCGTCGTCATTAGCTGTGGAAAGGAAATCGCTGGAGAATGGGACAGCCGTATTGCAGAGGCAGCGAGCAACTTACTGGGTGAGAAGAAGATACTGGGTCTCGGAAATGAAGATTGCAATGCCCACACAGACTTGCGGGTAGGTGAACAGGCCGTAAACAACAGGCGATGCAGCAAGGCTTGGATCGGTGAGTTTGTAAAGAAAATTGAGAGTGAACACTGAAGTTTGAAGATTGGTCCGGTCGGGCCAGTGGTCAGGTGTTTCGTAGGTGGTAAGGTGCTGAGTGCGGATGGGGAGCACATCTGCAGATGTGTTTGCTAGTATGGGTGGGTGCAGGCACATATGGTCTGGGTGCCTAGGTGACCAGCTTCAGGCACTAAAGGCAATAAATTCAGATTCACCGTAATGCTTGCGACGTGACACTGTCAAAGCCTGTCTCCTCCCAGGCGATGGAAAAGCGGACCTTCGACGTGGCCTGTCCTGTTAGAGACACCGCCGCCGCCGCTCTATCCCATTTTCATGATAGTATTACGTCTTAGTCGAGGTCATGATATGGCCCAGTAAGGTCCAAATCAGAGTAGTAACAAGGTTTTATTTGAAAAACTTTTCCATATATTACTCCATAGGAAACGGACGACATATAAACTCTATAAATGAACTTTTCGGACTATGTACACCAGGATAAGAGATTGCAGTATGGTAAGGGTACCGGTAAAAGAAAAAGAAACGTGAGTAGTGAAGTATAAGCACTAACAATACTTTACCGTTTCGTCAGGCACCAATGGCTACGCGAGATTTACGGCAAACTGCTGTTCATGGGCAAGATACCTCTCACCACATCTTCGCCGATAAAAAGTGCGATAGGAAACCAGAACACAGAAAGAGACTTCAGCATGAGGTCTCGGTACAAAAGCAGCAAGCTCTTTATTAGTGAACAGATCTACCAAGAATAAAATTTTAAGCGGCGAATGGTTTTGAGCATGCGTGCCAGTATTCCCATGAATATCCAGTACAATTGGAAAGTTGTGTTGAAATCACGTAGTCGTACTCTACGACATCGTCCTACTGAGAGGTTTGATTCGACGCAAAGAGATAACCTATCGGACGGGGTGAAATGATACCTAGCAGGTGCTTCAAACAGCACGGGTGAGACTGAAGAATGGATCGTAATGTCCAGTTGTACTCTTCATTCATAAGATGGGCCCCAAGCAGAATAGGCTTGTGGGTGCTCCTTCTGACCAACATGGCAAAATATCAAACATATACGAAGGAGGTCAAGTCAGGAAGCTATGGACACCGGAGGAGGAAACATGGCTTTGAATGTACACCCCCGTCAACGTAATAGCTGACATGTGGCTTGATGCCTTGAAAGAACTCCGTACAATTAACTGGAGCCTCTTGATGCCGATGTTTGGGTCACCCTCGTAGCTTCGAATCTCTTGACTGAAGTCTTATGAGGAGCGTATGAAGCGTATATTCTTCATTGTTCATGCAGTCCTCGGCTCTCGGGAGAAGAAGAAGAGACGGGGGAAGGCGTCCCCAAACGGAAATGGGAAGGCCCTCCACAGCCTGTTGCATGGCCTCCAGTGTTAGGTGGGCCAGCCACCACCTTCACTCATCTAGGCTAGGGAAGGGGGATCGCGAGACTGACTTTATCCCCAGAGCACGTCAAAGTCGAGATATGGTCCATCACAAAATCCGAGGACATCATACAAGGCTGCCCGCGTCAGCGGAGACGAGTACAGCGTGCGGCACAGGGTGTGGTGTAGTGGTGACCAGGAGCTGTATGACTTGGTCAAGGAGCCCTAAAAGGTGGGTAACCTCCACGATGAAAGTCCTAACGAGCTCTTCAGCATGCTCCGCCGCACTTGACTTCCTAGAACACTGCTATGGGTGATAGTGGAGAGATCTTGATGACCTTCCCCAACCTGTCACCCCGCCTGGAGTCTTTGTTCCTTGTACCCCGAATTCGATGATCACTATAGCTCGACGCCCGAAGATGCTTACGATAAATGCGAGGCTGGGTGTATCAGAGAATGAGGGCGTCATGTGGATGGCACCCGGGATTCGGTAAGCATGTGGTGTGAACTGGAGGTTAGTGAATGGCTCCCGTGGGGCGACTCTGCTTTGAAGGGTACAGGCATGAGACGAGAATGCGTCATGGTGATTGTGCTAGTGTTCTTCTCCCATAATGAGAAGCTGGCATCCAGTTACTTACAGACCATATACCAGGATTTTATGACTATTCCACCGTCAAAGACCAACTCATCAGCTTCCAAGCTGCAGAAACACCATGAGTACAGCAGCATATCTGCAATGATTCAGCCTTCATTCGTGCTCAGATACGTTTGCCAAACTTACGCTGCCGTAGCCCCCAAAGCCTCGAAAGGCTTAGCAACCATGGCGAACGAGAGTACCATGAGAAACAGCAGCACAAAAGTAGTGATCACCGCCAGTTTCATGACCGGGTTCGCGAGGGCTTGAAGCACCCAGATCGGCGTGACGAGCATCGTAGCACCAATGAAGAAGATGGTGCCCGAAGCGAATGCGTCCATGCGCTTGTCGGAGTAGTATGCAACGTACGGAGCGTCGTACCCTGGCACATCCCTTGCCCTATGTTGCCATAGAGGAAGCGTTCTCATTCGAGGCGAACTATCAATCAAGCGTCCTAGCGGAGTCTTGTTCTTGTTGACCAAGCATACGAGGTCTTCCTCTTGATCTAGGTATCGGAGCTCGTTGGCGTTGATGGCACGATCGTCATGGTTTCGGTGCCAGGCTTGAATATTGCTGATGTCTCTGTGTGGTGCGCGGGGGAATCTCATTACGGCTTCCTGTTGGATTAGAAATTTATCTATTGCCAGATCAGCTTATCCCAGTGGCCGTACACAGGCGGTCTTCAGGTCTGAGGAATTGGATATTCAAAGCCTGCTGCTGATATAGGACGATGACGGCCTTTCACTCACTATATCGATACAAGCTGTTGTTTATTTCAGCCAACAAACTGGTGCGGTCCTCCATATCGTCTCGCAGAGTCCCATTGTTGACGGGCGCGTGCCCTTTAGCACTATACAGCTCATCCAGAGCGGCGAGCTTCTCTTCTAATGCGGACACTTTGTCCTGGAGTGCCAAGGCCACCCGAGCATTGAGTGACTTGAAGCGCTTAAGAACGAGCAGATCGTCGTCGGATGATACGAATTGCGCATATCCCTTATACCCGACGTACTTCCAAGGCATCAACTGAACATCGAGATCTGATGGCCCAATACTGGGTCCATTCCGGTAAAAGTTGCTGGACGGTTGTGTCGGGGTACCAGTCGACGTACCAGTGGCCGCGGTTGGCCTTGAGAAGAACATTAACTGGTCTAAAATTGTCTATAGCATTTGCTGGAGCCTGAACAGCCGTGCTGTACTCACAGTGGATGTAGCTCTACGCCCTGGTGCCCATTCATGGCAACGCCTTGGATCGTATGTATGGCATGGGACAGTAAGTTCAAAGATGACATGGCAAGGCTCGCGTTATCAACCTCGCCAGAAAACCGGCATCGCGCCGTATTGTCGATCTGCAGGTCCCTTTGGTAGGTAGATACTTCAGCCTGCAGGACAGTGAAGCAGTCCCAGCCACTACTCCGCCCCGGCACTGCCACTGATTCGGAGGCCTGATTTGACAGACATTGCCGCCTCTTTAGAGATCGATTCAGTGGTTGCCTGTCGTGTGAGTCGTCTAACTGTGTCCAATATCCCAACCTCCCAATATATGTTTTTTTCACGTCCTCTATATATGGTAAAGACACAGTATAGCAACATTATACCAACGTGTAGTATACCTTTTACTATTTCTGCCTCTAGGTTGACCATATGGACCCGAACAATCCCGACTCACCCCCGCCGGGCAGTAGTTCCAACTCGGTCAACGTCACAGAGAGAACAGACCGACAAGTGGGCGCGCTGGCACCTCCCAAGAACACATCTGGAGGGGCTTCGTCGTCGCAGAACAGTTCATCTAACGCTCCCATGAACCCTGGAGGTGACTCCAATGACGACGGCTCTAGTGGCGGTGGCTCCGACGGTCGCGGGCCTCCGAGTTACAAGTCCGCGGCCGGGCCGGAACACTGGCGATGGAGTTGTGTAAGCAGCACCTACAAGCCTTTAACATCTCCCACCCCCCTGCGGACCACCCCCCCGCGGACCAGCGCGTTCTGACCCACAAACGCGTAATTCACCAACCACCAGGATTATGGTGATCCACCAGGATTATGGTGATCCACCATCTACACCATCACTTTTGCATCTTTTTTTTCACGAAGCACACTATTTGAATCCTTATCCACTGCTGAATCTCATGATGTCATTTTATGACCGTCAAATAAAAGCTGAAGCCGCCATTTTGGCCATCCAACGCGGAGCTCCAGTCCGCTCGTCAGCCCTCGAATGGCAAATCAGTCGCTCGTACGTCAACCGACGAATCTCTGGCACCCCAACGCGGAATGAGACCAGCGCTCTCCAACAGGCTCTCTCACTGTATCTCGAACATAAGCTGGCAAGCTGGGCCCTGGGGCAAGCACGGCTAGGGTATTCTCCGGCAGTCTCTAAGTTCCGTCTCATGGCCCAGCGGATGCTCCATGCCACCGGGGATGCTCAAGAATTAGAGAAAAATTGGGCATCCAAGTTCCTGTCTCGAAACCCGGAAGTCAAGATAATGAAGTCTCGTGTTATCGACTACAACCGAGTGAATGGTGCTACAGCGGCAAATATCAACATTTTTTTCGATCGGTGTGACGCCCCTGACGTGGTTAACCTCATGCCAGCACGCTGGTACAACGTCGACGAAATGGGAATCGCCCAGGGGGTTGGGGACTCCCATTGGGTGGTCTCCGAGGCCTCCGGCCACGTGGCTATGAAGAAAGGGGTCAAGAAGGGTGAATGGATAACTGCCCTAGAGTGTGTGAGCGGATCTGGTGAGACCTTGCCGCCGCTGGTGATTCTCAAGGGGGTTAACGTACAAGCCCAGTGGTTTAGCAACCAAAACGAGGGCAAATTCACCGACTAGAGGTTTATTACGTTGCCCAATGGATGGACCTTGAATCCCATTGCGTTAGAATGGCTTCAACGTATCTTTATTCCTCACATTCGGGAGGTCCACGGCAATACATGGGTGGTTTTGGTGTGTGATGGCCACGACTCCCACACGAATGACGAGTTCCTAGCCACCTGCTTGAGAAACAAAGTATGGTTGATCTTTTATGAACCTTACTGCTCCCATGTAGTCCAGGTGTTAGATGTGGGAGTCTTCAATTTGGTGAAGAAGAGGTTGAAGACCTTACTCCAGGAGACGCCCAGCGGCCGTCTAGGACTCAGGCCATCTAAGGAGGAGGTTTTGGAGTGCTATGAGCAGGCCCGGAAGGACACAATGACGCTCCTCAATATCAGAATTGCCTGGAAAAAGACTGGGATTGTTCCTCGCAACAGAACGGAGGCATTAAAGTCGAAATATGTGATTCTGGAGGACAAGGGGGTGGCCAGGGCACGCCAGAGGGACCCTAAGGCTTCCGAGCGAGCCACAACACCAGATTTTCTCGAGATGGTAGCTAAAACCATTGTCACAACACCCTCTAGAAGCCGGGCTTTGTGGGAGAGTGCTCGAAAGCTCGAAAGAAAGGACCCTTCCTTTGGGGGGCCCTCTGAGCGCTTGTTGGTGCGGAAGGCTGGCAAGGCCATGGATGTTCAGGCTGCTACCATTGCAAATCTACAGGCCAAATGTGAGCTGCTTGAGGCTCAAGTGGCTAAAAAGGCTAATACCACTCGAAAAGCAGTCAAACCAACACCAGGGGAACGATTCGTCACAATGGCTAACATAAGGGAGGCCAAAATGGAGCTGAGGAACAGGAGGGTCTATAGGGACTCCGCTGCAGGCGAAGAGGTCCCACAAGAGGTCCCTAGTGAAGATTTAGGGTCGGAATCGGATTCTGGGAGCTGTATTATGGTTAGAACACCACGACCTTAGTGTATTTAGCAACTGTGGTGGTTGTAGATGGCTTCATCTGAATGAGAGTGGTGTGGTGTGGAGTGGTCCGTGGGGGGGTGGTCCGCAGGGGGGGTGAGATGTTATCTCTGTGCCCATCGCTGATATCCATAGTGTGGTTGTCGGAATGGCGATCTTTCATGAATTTACAATACAGCATGCACAGAATGTTTGCACAACCGTTGCCACGAGTGCATCGCGCATGCGGCCGATGTAATAGTCTGAAAGAGAAGTCGCGGGCCTGACCTCTCGTATCTTCTTCCGCAAAGACAGCTTCGCTTAAACCGGGAAAGGGGGGAGGGGGGGTGTTTCATCAGATCATCAACGCCTGGGTCGGACCTGGAGCGTAGCCTTGGTTATTGCAGAATCTTATCAAGCTCTGGGAAGACACCTATATCAATTCAGGCTCTGCCGCAACCTTGAGGAACCAATTAACGGTTTTTGTTGGGTGGCTTATGGCTGAACTCTGTTCGTCTCCATCAACCTCAAGGTCCTCAACGCCATATGGCTTTAAGACGAATCCTCGCACGGGAATCTCACGGAGACTTTCTCTACGAACCACACGCAATCACACAACTCAAATGGCTCCTACCATACGCAGCGACGTGACCCGGCAGCTGCCGGGCCACGAAAACGTCACAGAAAGAACAGACCGGCAAGTGGCCGTGCTGGCCCCTCCCAAGGACACGTCTGGAGGGGCTTCGTCGCCGCCGTCGCAGAACAGTTCATCTGACTCTGGCTTGAATAATGGCGGTGACTCCAAGGACGACGGTTCCAGAATGACGGCCCCAAGGACGACGGCCCCAAGGACGACGGCCCCAAGGACGACGGCTCCAATGGTGGTGGCTCCAATGGCGGTGGCTCTAGCCGTCGCGGCCAGATGCGTCTGACTGCCATCCGCGTGCGATGGCATTGTGTAAGCATCACCCGCGAACATTCATCCATGTGCGCTCATCGCTGATTTCCCAAGTGTGAATGTGGATTTCGCAATCTTTCATACGTTTACAATCCAACGTGTCTGAATTGTTTGCGCTACCGTTGTCGCGAGTGCCGTCTTCAGGCTATAAAGGATGGTACTGAGCTGGCAAGACAGCATGTTTGTAATACCTGAGTCGGGTTAACGCTTATTTCCACTGGAATAATGCCTTTGAGAAGGGTGTCATCCATGTTGTGGATCAGTCAGTCATCCCATATTGCCCTGCCCCTATGGGTGGTCAATCTCTAATTTGCTCCAGGGTGCTCAACCCCGAGAACGACGCGGCCACTTCCGATGCCACCGCAACAACGACCAGACCTTCTGTCACCGGCGGGCCTGACCTCTCATTCCCCTTCCCCAGAGACAGCTTCACCCAAGCCCCGAAGAGTCTCACCATATCACCAACCTCTGGGTCGCCGCCATTCAGGTGTGTCGATCCGGTTGCAGCTGTGACATCGACCCGGGGGTGCCGCGCGCTGTGAATGTCATGTAAGCTTCTGGCGACCAATCAGGGTTCATCGAATGTCACGTACCCCTCGCACCCGGACCTGAGCCTTGATCATCACTAAATCCTATCAAGCTCTGATATTTCAATTACATCGACATAGAAGCTGGATTGGCCTGCTCGTGGCGTAGGCTCGTGGTTGATGCCGGAGCATCAACTCTCTGAGACAAAGATTCCACAAATGATGGGTTGAAGCAATGCTGGAAAACGTGGTTCGGGCCCCTTTGATACGACGACTCTTCTCAGCACAGCAGGTGGTAAGACAACCAAATAAATCACTGAATGTCGTATATGAAGCCTGTCGTCATGGAAGGTCCCCTCAAAATACCTGCATGTCCAGTAACATCAGCGGTATTGAGCTTCTTCCTTCGCCCTTGCCCTCTCTTCATCAAGCCTGTACCAGTTCTTTGAATGTCGTCTATGTATCCTCCAGCGCTCGGCCTCTGACTCGATGTTCTTGATGAGGTCTTCTCTCCACCCACCGGACATATCTGTTCGCCAAGGCGACTCTCCCCCCAAAGCCCACGAAATGAGTCCTTCCGCCCTAGCACCTCCAGGAACATCCAGCAGACCGACGGCAATATCAACAATCTCGGGCCGGCGACCCGCCGCATAGAACACGCACGCAGAGCAACGACTGCAGAAATATCGCTGCACGTCCGGGGAGCTCTCGTAGTATGTGAGGGTGCCCCACCTTGGATCACGACCTTCTTTCGCCGACACAGCAGCTTTGAGTTGAGGTGTCGATCGCGGAAACTCCGAGTGTCCTCCCTCGGTCGCCCCCGCGAACCCAAGATGGAGGAGCAGCGCAAAAGTCCAGTGGAAGACATCGGCGCCCGACGACAAACGACAAGAGTCGCACGCGTCGAAGTTGCCCAGAAGCTTGTGCGTCACCGGATCCACGAACCAAGGCAGCTCCGACCGTGGCTTCCCCGCGAACGCCGTGTGAGGACTGTGGAGGACAAGGTCAACCCCCTTGCATCGGCAGCGGATCGGGATCTTGTCCAGGTCCAGTTCTGCTGCGGCATCGGGGAGCGAGTCCACGGGCGGCCACTCTTGGCTCAGCTCCTCGCTGTTCCGAGTCTGTCCCGCCCACAATCGCGGTCTGGCGCCGTCCTTGCCTGCGCTGCGCAGCCACGGAGAGGCGCCGCCGTCGATCGTGTCTCCCAGGAATTTGTGTTCGGTGAACAGCACGAGATCGGGCACGTCGATGTTGGCCAACGCACCGGTGAAGACGCTATGGGTGGGTGGCTTGCTCTCGGTGCTCTTCTCCCAGAACATCATGCTGCTGCAAGTGCCGCAGGAGAGTGTCGTGAGGGTTTCACCGAACACGTATTTGCTCAGTGACGATTCTTGGACTGCATCGCTGTCACCGGGCCACAGCGTCGCGGTGCCGTACATGGCGCCGGTGACATGGCGGCAGGAGTTGCAGTGACAAGCGGAGGCCTTGAGGGGCAGCGAAGATTGTGGGACTTTGGCGGTGAATGTGTGCTTCTTGCACAGGCATTGCGCCGTGAGCTCGACAGTGGCATTCTCGCTTTCCGGCATCATAGCATCCTTTGTACCTTTAACGAGTTGTCAATGTTGCTGTCAGGCTCGACGCTAGAGGCGCCAACGAATTCCATATTCACCCCCGGGACATTCCGTTCATAACCACCCCACTTCTACTCTCAATGTTACATAGGGGCGGCTCGACGACGGTTACCTAGATATACGGCCCCCAGATTGCAGATATGAAAGCGTTCGCCGGAGACGCGACGAGTACTCTGGAACTCCGTAGAAGGCTCAACAGCCATGAATTGAATGTGTTCATGATGGTTCATAAAGTTCACATGCAGGGCTGGTGAGTGCGCCCAAAGTAAAAGCTTGGATGGGTACCAGACTGCCAGTCAATCGATATAGAATACGGGCGGACAAATATGAAATGCGAGGCCCCGAGGCTGGCCTTCAAAATACCGGTTTCAAGTGCCCGACACCCCGAATGACGGCGGGTCTGTAAAGTAAGGGCACCCAGGGTTCATCAGCTTTGATATACGGCCACTTCCCGTAGTCTACGGGAAGTGGCGGCTCAGTGGACGCCCCCAGGCACTGACTCCATCTTCAGAACGCAGGAAATCCGAAGCAGTATTTCACGAAATTCTCACTGCTTCCGGAAGGCCTCCCTCCTAGACTGATATACAACGACCAACCCTCAGCCAAGACCTCACGATGACTACTGATACCTCGAAAAACCCATACAAATGGATCCAGAAAGAGCTTGAGACGTTAGACCCTTACGTCGACTACGAGAACATCTACCGCCTAGTGACCTGCTACGGCACCAACGACTTTATCAACAACCTAATCTACACGCTCATCTTCCCGAACTTCGTCGTGTGGGAATGGGGCGCTCGGGTTGTCTGGCGCGAAGACGGCGGCAAAGTATTCGGCTCAGCAACAGCACGCGTAGAGGAGACGCAAACGAAAAATGACACCTGGTGGTGGCACGGCCCCAGCGACCCGCGCACGCAGAAGTCGGTCGAGATCATCAACCAGCGGCACGCGTACTGGAACAAGAGATACCCCGGCGACTTCGCCCACAACGAGGACTACGTCTACACGCTTGCCTTCAGCGCCGTCTTCATGCACCGGCTCCGGCTGCGGCCCGGCCTCTCCGGCGTCCCCGAGAAGGTCAAGATTGCCAACTACCTGTTCATGACGGACATGGGCAAGCTCTTCTACAGCCTCACGCCCGACGGTAGCCACGTTCCCCTCAAAGACTGGCCCGTTGACTTCGACGGCCTCATCGCTTACTGCGAGATAGTTGAGAATGCGGACAAGCCCGGCTCCGACCAGGGCCACATGATCGCCTCTGCCATCTACGAGCATTTCGCGTTCCGCTGGTTCTCGCCGCCTTTCCGTTGGCTTGGGCGCGCGATTTCGAAATCGCTATCTCTTCCTAGCACGTTGGCGACGCATCGTATTCAGCCGCCGAACCCGATCTTGAAGTGGCTTATCCTGACCGTGTCTGGCTGGCTCTTGTGGTTGATGGAGATGTTCGGCCCGGATCCGACTGTGGCTTTTTTGCCAGAGTGGGAACAGATGCCGAAGGATAAGATGGCGGAGCGCAAGAAGGAGCAGAATGGGATTGATCGTCGGTTCTCTGAGTATTTTGCGGCAATGCCGCAGAATCAGGGCATGGGTTGCCCGTTTCAGATGACCATGAAGATGAAGAACTGAATCCAGGTCAGGCTTTATCACGTGATGCAAAGCCGGCTTATGCACGTGGTCTGTGCGTCATGTTGGTTTTGCCAATATTCGTGAATACAAAAAACCTTCTGTATGAGGCTCCGATCAATGCTCGTATATCGTTTTTCACCGCAAGCATGATGAATTCTCTTCTGTGAATGCAGAGGCAAGTGCCATGCTCTTATCAAACCCAAAGATGATCTGCATCCATGATTCCGCCTTCACTTTGCAGGTCGGAATCTCAACCGAGCCGCCGAGGCGCCCCATGGGGAGTACGGAAAGCTGCTACCCGCACCAGTACGATCTCGGCATCGAGCCGTTCTAAATCCAACGTGCAGACGGCGGGTCTAACCAATCATGACAACGTAAAGGGCACACTATCACGTCGGGACTGTCGGCGGCGTCGATCCAAGGCGGGGTTGAACCTCGGTATGATGCTATCCATGTCTGCTGGTGGCGTTAGGGAATGATGATGAGCGATGGCATGCAAGGAGTGTGTCCAGTGCTTCATCTATGAGATGCATTGAATGCATGCCTGTGCTACGTGCGTCATGGAATGATTATTGGTGCTCCCAAGCTCTCAAGAGTCAAAAACATTGTGCCACTCCCCCGGGACCCGCGGGACCCCCGTTCGCCTTACTACCCTCCATTCGCCACAACTTTGAATCTGTAGAAAGAAGCCCGGAGCCTCCGTGAAAAAACAGTCGAACAACATTCGCGATGGCAAAGGCAATGAAAGACGAATGTGACGTGCTCGAGACCTTTGACGTCGTCATTATTGGTGCTGGCATATCTGGAATCAACTGTGCCTATCGAATCCAGAGCCAACTGCCCGGGGCCACCTTCACAGTTCTTGAGAATCGAGATGACCTTGGTGGGACTGTGAGTAGCATCATTTTATTCTGAACCCTACTCCCGAGCTACACGCGCCACCAAAGAACCCGCCTGGAAGAAGTCATCACTGACCATCTGTGATACAGTGGGATCTCTTCAAATACCCCGGAGTCCGTTCCGACTCGAATCTTCGCCACTATTCCTTCGCCTGGCACCCTTGGCCATATCAAAACCCCCCTATTGCAGACGGCCCACTCATCAAGCAGTACTTGAAAGACAGCGTCTCGCAGCATGGGATTGACCGCTATCTTCGTTTCGGTCACAAAGTAGTGTCCACAGCGTGGTCGTCGAAATCTCAGCAGTGGAAGGTCAAGGCGATTCACGATGGCGTCGCGAAGGAATTCAGAGCACAATTTCTCGTTCTCGGGACAGGGTACTACGACTACCAGACGCCACGCCAGACTGTGATACCCGGGTTAGAGGACTTCAAGGGAGAGGTCGTCCATCCGCAATTCTGGCCCGAAGACTTCGACTACACAGGCAAAAAATTGGCTGTGATCGGTTCTGGGGCCACTACAGTCACTCTATTACCCAACTTGGCAAAGAAGGCTGCCCAGGCCGTTATGGTGCAGCGGTCGCCCACCTACATCGCCGCGATGAACAACCGCGTCCCAAAAGCCCCATGGATGCAGAATTACCTGCCTGCATCTACTGTCAAGACGTGGACTCGCCTTTCCTACATGGTCAAAGACTACCTAACGACTGTATACTGCCACTACTTCCCCAAGCAAGCAAGAGCACTGTTCCGCAAGATGACCATCGCAAAGCTCCCCCAGCGGATCGACTACGATCGTCACTTTACCCCGCGATACAATCCGTGGGAGCAACGAGTGTGTCTGTCGCCCGATGGGGACTTCTTCCAGGCATTCCACAACCCGAACACCGATATCGTCACGGGTAAAATTGAGACAGTCACCAAAGATGGGATCCAGATGGAAGACGGTACGATCATCCCGGCCGATTGCATCGTGACGGCTACGGGGCTGACCATGGTACTTGGTGGCGGCATCGACATATCAGTCGACGGGCAGAAGCTGGACTGGGGTGACCGGTTCATGTGGAACGGTGCGATGGTTGAGGAGGTGCCTAATATGGTCTACATGATGGGATATGTCAACCACTCATGGACCCTGGGCGCCGATGACACCGCGCATATTCTCATACGCGTTATGAAGAACATGCAGCGCAACGGGGTGAGAGCCGCTGTGCCGCGAGTCCCGGAAGGCGCGGTCACTGATACTCGGCGCACCTGGAAGTTGTCTAGCACTGTGAGTCAATCTTTTTGTTCTTTCCTGCCTCATGTGAGAAGTGCGGCTCATGGGCCGAATCAGAAGAGCCATTGCTGATTATACATGGCATAGTATTCACAAGAAGCGGAAAGCCGTCTGCCGAGGTCCGGGTCTCACGGACCATGGAGACCCAAGGGCCATGTACCGCTGGACTATTTGCATGCTCGGTGGGGAGATGTGACGACCGGGCTGCACTATTCAGCTTGATATTATCGGGCGTTCGATCAAAGACCGCAAAGAGCATAGAGATGGGAATAATGCACGGATTCAGCCCGCTGTCATATCGGAGCGTGTACACTAGTCAGGGGGAGCATCCCGCCATTGTGTACGCGAAGAGAATGAAAGTTAAATTGTTCTTGTGTCCCAGATGAATAATGTCTTTAGGGACGAGTCACTACTTGATGATCACACAATCGGTGCAGAGGATTTATTCAGGGGTATGACGTCTTGCCACCATGGTCCACCGATGGCAAAGCTGTGTACTATACCTACAGCCGTTTCGCCGCGTCCACGCACCTATTGAAACATCTACCCAATGATCCGGGCCACCGCAAAGAACGTCAAGTAAGCTGTCCAAAGGGCGCTTCTCACAGATAGCTCCACACAGCACCGCCTACAGTCGCTCCAATGCCAACGACCAGCGCAAAGATGACCAACGAATGCCTAACTGCCTTTCCAGCCACAACATGAAAGCCCGAATGCCAGCGTCTTCGCATCATTGCGGTTCGGAAACGGCACGTCCGGGACAGGCTTGCCCAAGAACTTGCACAAAAGCTCCCAACCACTGCCGAGATCATACTCCAGCAACCGCTCCTCCGGCACCGTAGCTCGTATCTCTGCATAGCTTCCGGTACGCAGCCCGCGCGTTCGCCCTGGCTTGCTGGAGATCGGTGCTGCCCGTGAAGCCTTCGATCCACAACATGCCGACGTTGACGATGCGGCCCAGCCAAAACGGGTCCGTGAAGCGCAAGACGCAGACCAAGAACGGGTCGAGCACGCCCTCGAGCACGCCTTCGAAAGACTTGTACCATCTGTCCTCGTCCCGCTCGACAAGCACGACTTTGGCCTCCGGGTACGCCTCCGTCAGCTCCCGCCGAAAACAGACCGCCGGGGCGTCGGTGACGGCTCCGCAGTGACCGAGCAGCTGGTCGAACTCCCTGCGACCGAAGGGCTTCCCGAGGCCCCGCTACTTGGCCTTGAGCGCTTCCTGCTACATGTCCGGGTCCTTGATGTTGGCGAAGATGCTGGAGTAGTGGTAGGGGTCCGGGTAGCCGAGGAAGCTGAAGGCTTCTTGCATGCTGAGTGTAGCTGTGCGGGAGAAGCCGAGGGATAGCACTTCCATTGGTATTGTGCGCGTGCATTTGTGCCGGTCGATGCCGGCGTCTGGGTTTAGCATCACGGCCCAGCCGCCTAGGCGGTCGTAGTCGGCTTGTGTTGTCATATTCTCCTGATGGTTCCGCTGGGTATAGAATATGTGTGCGAGAGCATGAGGCGAAACTTGAAGACTGCAAGAGACTGAGGAACGGGATTGAGGAACGGGACTGATGAGGCACTGATCTGCAACGGAAACGATGCCTTTATTATACGACACCCCCTTATGACGACTTGATACATTCGGGGCGTCACGCTTAGAGATGGCCAGCATCGGATATGGCAGTGTGAATGACAGGCTAAGGGGTCTTGAGAGGTAGTTCCCCTATTGGTTTGTATGCAACGATACCTGTAGAGATATAAAACATAACATTTTTACGAAGCGAACCCATGATCGGCGGTATATTCCCACTGGATCTGGTAGAGAGTATATATTACCTCCACGTAGCTGACCTGTAGCCTGTAAGAACTTTTATAATCTTAAAAAATAGTGTGGGGAAGTGGATATCCAGCTGATGCCTTCTGTCGAGGATTGCCATGCTTTAATCGACACCTCGCATCAACGCTGCCGATGAAGTTCCTGGAAAGTGGGTGTCCGTTGTGGAAGCCGAAGTTTGTCGGGGCGAGCGCTCTTAGATCCGGGTGATGTTCGCGCGCCGTAATTCCGGCCGGGGACTATGCTTGTGCTCGGTATCAACCCTGCAGCCCTGGAGATAAGTCATTCGTGAACGCGACATGTTCAGCAGGCAGCTGTCAAACAGTGCGTAGATGTTCCATGTGGTGTATATTCGTGTATTCTGTGCTGATTGTGTTGTTCTGCAGGTCTGTTGCTGTGCCCGATTTGGTGCAAATGCCCTAATGGCTCCTGTACAGTGAGGGCACTGCCACCTCCCTGGCGCCACGGTGGCTTGCGTGCCATTCGACAGGAGACATAGCCAGACGCGTCGATACCAAGGCGACCTCGATAGGTTCAGAGACTAATGCTGCTATACATAGAGTCCCTGAACCTTTCACAGTCTGGTATCTTCGACGCGCAAAGTCATCTTGCTTGCCGAGACGGCCCGCCGCCCGCGTTCTGCCTCGTTTCTTTATCTTGAAACCTCAACATCGCATCAGATTCCCATGAGGCTCACCACTGGCAGTAGGTAGAGTGTTACCGTCCAAAAGCACCACCACTTCCATGTATCAGAGTCCTCAGCTGGCGTGCGCTTCAGCAGTACCCTTGCCGCCACCACAGCGCCCGACGCGACCGGCAACACGTATGCCCATATATCCAGGCACCAGAAATAAGGGCATACCAAAGACCAAAAACAAACGAAGACAGCAATGGAGACCCGAGACACTTGCTCTCCCAGGAAAAGGGCTACAGTCTTGCGTCCTCGGCTGGAGTCCCCTGCTTGGTCTTTCAGATCTTGTACTTGCATCGTTGTCAAAATCACTCCACTAATGACAGAAACCCAAACGATACCGCTCTGGCTGATGGACTCCTGGCAGCCAGTAGCAAGTTCCAGAGAGCCGCTGTTGAACATGCCGTAGGCGACAGCGATGATCAGGTCGCGAATCACTTCGTCGCCTCCCCTAAGATCGTTGTACAGCCAGGTCAGGAGCTGAATGATTATTCCCTGTCTCCAAACACCGAGGATGTAATTCAGCGTTAATGTCATTGGAACTGCGACAAGCATCGCCCGGCGGGTCTGGTCCGCGGTGATTTTTCCAGCGGGTATCGGTCGCCATGGTTTATTGAGGATGTCTTCTTGCACGGATTCGGGGTATCTCTGGTTGGCGAGGTCGAAAATCAAGACGTTACACCAGTTGAACAAGATGACAGTCGGAAGACGCTGAAGGATATCCTGGGGTGAAGGCTGCCGAGGAAGGCCCTCGATGAGTATTTCTGCTGCGAATCCGCCCAGGATGCCAAATGCAGTGTTGGGAACAACGAAGGTACCGAAGTTGCTCTCCGTGAAGTCCCATATCAGGCCAATGGCCCGGCACGCTCGTTTGGCAATGCTCGGAATTGATTTGGGTGCCATTTCTGCACGAGGCTTGTTTGGAACCATCGGGATTCAAGATTCGTAGGTTTGGTAAGCGGTCGTGCGATTCGTGTATGGTGTTGGATGTACGAGCTTGAGGCAGGGGTGGCTATCATAGGTTGAGAATGGCAGGACTCAATAAGATCACCGTGAGTATCAGGTACCCATTACGCGCATTTGTGTACGCTAGAAACATGTCTCGCAATGGTGCTCTAATGCTATTTATTACGGAACCCTGCTCTCGTTGGTGCTCTTGTACCAAGGGGTTGCGCCATATGCCTGCCAAATACCTTTTGAGCCTCATGGAAATACCTCTTGGTGTCTGTGTCTAAAGGCGATACAAGGATGACAAAAAACCTACAGTGTGATAGGGTGGCATGTAAAGCAGAGTCAGCACCTGTTACGGTACCAATTTCCATACTAGGCTTCCGCGTGGGGTGCCATTGCATTACTGCCCAAGAACGGCACAAGATCTTAAAATAAATGTAACACTCCAGATAAGGAACACAGCGGCCTGAGGCGCGGATTGGGTATTGTTTGTTGTTTGTTTGTTTGTTTTGTATTTAACGTGGGGGGTAGCTCCTCAGTAGTGCAGACCACGCCTCCCAGAGCCTCTGCATCGCAGGGTTGTGGAGGTCTCAAGAAAATAAGTACAGTCAGTCCCGCTCACGGGCCCATCCCTGTTGTTGCGGCGGTATGACCTTGGGGTCATCCATCTGGTCCTTCAAGAATAGCTATCTATCGGAGACAGATTGTTGAAAAGAACTTGCTCTTCTCTACGAATTTTGCCCATTCTGTGCTCTTCTCCCCTAAGTATTGGAAACAGGCTGTCCTAGGCGAGTACCTAGGCAACAACCGATTTTTTCCTAGTCTCTTACAAAAGAAAATATGTTGTGGTGTTTTCTTTTCACCACAGCTGCAGTGGTTGTTCGAGTCTGTATGCCCAAAGCGTTCGTGGTATCTGGCAAAGTCGCCATGTCCAGATCTGGCCGCTAGAAGTCTGTGTAGAGTGCTCCTCTTAAAGGATATAAGGCCTCTTTTAGTTACTGCATGTGAGTATACTTCTTGATACCTAGGTTCTGATTGGTCTTTTTACCATTGGTTGAACTCTTTCTTGCCCTTTCTCTTGAGATCTCTCTTAACCCAAGAGATTATAGGAAGGTTTGTCGTGTCTGTTTCTAGCATAGTACCTTCTTTTATTAATATATCGGCAGCTTCGTTACCATCAATATCTCTGTGTCCAGGAATCCACTTGACGGTCACTCCAGGAGTGTGTGCTGTGGCGAGTTCTTGGAATCGCAGAAAAATTTTCTGTGATGTCTCAGGTGGAGTCCCATTGAGCCCATCCACCACTGATGTGTTGTCCAGACAGACATATAGCTGTTTTCCGTGTCCAATTGCCCTGGCTGCTGCAAGACCTTGGAGAGCACCATGGACTTCAGCATCTACTACTTCTGCTTGTAGAAGTCTGCCCCTTCCCCGGTATACTTCTTGTGTAGTGCCGCCTTTCTTGATGGTATAGCCCCATCCAGTGCGGGTTGTGCCTTGGTCGTCCAATTGTGATCCATCTGAATAGATGACAAGGTCAGTGTTCGCATTTCTTTCCTGTAGCCATTGCTTGAAGAGCTCTATTTCTTTGTCTTTGTCTTTACAGACTGGGGGCTTTTTCTATAATGGCTTGGTGAGTATTGGTCTCTGGAAGTCAGGGACTAGTTGGAAGCTCCTTTGTAACCTTGTTGGTTCTTTGCGAGCTTGTATTTGGAGCCTGCCAACAAGAGGGTGTCTCTGATCTACTCGTCCGAGTCGGAGGCCGTGATGTCTTCTTATTGACTCTGCAAGAATTCTTGCTGGAGGAATCTGTGATTCAAAGTGTAGGATATGTCCAGGGTGTGTTTTCCAGACTGGCAAGATAGCTCTGATTGCCGTTCATAGTACAGCATCTATCGTTCTAAGAAGCCCTTTAATGCGACATGCTGATGTCCCACCTAAGCTCCTAATTTTTTTTATTCCTGGGTACCAGGCCTCCAGGCCATGTGTAAGAATAGGAATAACACAAGTTTTTACAGCCCTCTTGGTTGACTTTACTGGAAGTCCTTTGACTATGTTGCATAGTCCTTAAAGGTGGTTTGCTACCCTACTAACTTTCTTGGCCCAATAAGAAACGTGATCTTTGAAGTTCAGTTTTCTATCCAGGAAGACACCCAGCCATCGCATGGAGTTCTTTGCTGTTCTGTTTATTGTCCCGTGGCGGACCGGAGGATTGTCTGAATTCTTTTTCCGTGAGAAGTGCATGATCTCGGTTTTGTTGGGGTCAAACTCAATAACATTATTGTGTCCCTATTAGTTAAATAAATAAAGGTTTTCAGAAGCCTCTGTAGCTGTTTCCTTAAGGTTCTTTCCAATACAGAGAGTCGCTAAGTCGTCTGCATATCTAAAGCGTCTCCTTTTCATACCGAGTCGGGCACAGATTGGCTCTGTATACAGCATGTAAAGGATTGGAGAAGCTGGTGAGCCTTGTGGTAGCCCACAAGTGAGAGCTTTTATGTCGGTCACAATACCTTTAAACCGAACTCTTGCGGACCGTTCAGACATGAATGACTGGACCCATCTTATGAGAGAGTCTGGCCAGCCCTGTTCTCTCATGCGAACCACCAGCCGTCCCATTAGGGCAGCGTCGAAGGCCCCTGTCACATCTGCTGTGACTACCGTTGCAACAAGGCCTTGGTCAAGGGCCTGCTCAATATCGTGTATGAGTGCAGCTACCAAGTCGGCGGCAAAGCGCTTTGGCAGAGCTCCAAAATGTTGTGGAGCTAGAATTCTGAGTTTGATGACAAACCAGGCAATTCTTTTTGTGATGAGTCGTTCTAGGCCTTTGCCAAGACATGATAATAGCGATATTGGTCTGTAGGCCCTGGGGTTAGAGTAGTCTTTCTTGCCTGGCTTTGGGATCATCACTACCTCAGCTACTTTGAATGGTTTAGGGTGGTGTCCAATCTGTAGACAGGTCTGGAAAAGGGCTCTGATATGCTCCCCAATGACTGGCCAGCAAGCTTTCAGAATCCGTACTGTGAGGGTGTCTACTCCTGGGGAGTTGCTCTTGGTCCCTATAGTGCACCCTTCAGCCTCTTCTAGTCCGACATGGTATTCAAGGGGGATGTGTGGCTTGGCTTGTGTGATCTGAGCAGACCAGGGGTCGATGATATCGTTGTCTGGGGTACTTCGTTTAAGCATGGCTAAGCGTAGTGCATTTGCCTTGCTCTTTTGTGACTCAAAGATTTGGTCCCCTATGATGATTGGGGGGGAACGCAATCCTGTTGACAGCTTGTGCCAGGAAACAATTCTGTACAGGTCTTTTGGTTCAGTCGCTGAATCAATTAGAGTCTGTCAGTACTCTCTCTTAGCTTTTCGGACCACACAGCAAAATTCCCGTCGGGCTGAATTTCGCCCTTCTTGGCTTGTGGTCTGTTTAGAAAGGGCCCTGTATGTCTGAACAGCTGCTTTGCAGTCATCATTCCACCAAGCAGTGGGCCTAGATTGACGGGGCTTCTTGCCCACTGTCCTGATACAGCCTTGGATCATGTTGATCAAGCTTTGTGTAAAGGCATCCACCTGGCCAGGGGATACACCCAGCCGGGGGAGTTCATGAATCCTGGTTTGGACATTGTCTGCCAGCTCTTGTAGTTTATCGTCCGGTACTATCCAATGATTGGCCTTAGGAACTCGGTCCCGATCTCCCTGAATTGGAATGACTATTCGTAATGTCTCATAATCTGAGGTGCACTGAAGTGCATCATTGACTGAGGCTTCAGCCATGGGGACATCTGAGAACACCAGATCCAGTACATTTCCATCGTCATGTGTTGGGACATCTGGTTCAGAAATCAGATCCAGTCCGTGGTCTGCCATAGTCTGTGCCAGTATGACGCCACCGTGATATCCTGGATTGCTCGAGTCCCAGGATATGTCGCCAGCATTAAAATCTCCAGCTATAACACAGCCAAAAGGTGGAGTCCATACTTCCAGAATATCATCCACTTCCTGTGGGTTGTCACATGGCCGGTAGACACTGGCAAATGTGATGCCATGTACCTTGACCCAGGTGATGTCTCGTGTAGCATAGGGCCGAAGTTGATCCGTTTGAAGGTGTTTTCTCACATAGATGAGAGATCTGGGCCGTGTACTGTCGCTGTCCCAGGAATCCACTGGGGAGTATATATTGTAATTGGGGTGTGTCTTTACTCCCATTCTCCTGCCTGGTGGTATGCCAACCCAGGGCTCTTGTATCAGAATGATGTCTGCTTGTTCTCCTTTGTAGTCAGCCAGGTTGATGGCTAACTCTGTAGGGCCTGCACTCTTTTGTCCTCCTGCTGTATTCATAGAATGGATGACTAGATGCCTGTGTCGATGTGTTTCGTTTGATGTACCTAACATTGACTGACAACAATGGTATCGGCATCTCTGGGATGAGTTGTATCTGTTGTGTCGATTTGCATTGTGGTGTCTTTGTTATTGTTGTTGGGTGTTGACCCAGCTTGGTTTCTGCCTGTTTCATTAAAGGCCTTGGATCTGGCTCTTTCCCCGGCTAGCCTTATTTCCTGGATTTGCTCCCATGTGTGCTTATGGATGGTACCTTTCACAACCTTGGGGCGGGCAGGGCATTTATTGAAATTGGCAGCATGAGGTCCTTTGCAGTTGACACACTTTGGGATTGGTTTTTCGCACTCTCCCTAGTGTACTGTGTTGGCGCAGTGTGCACATACTTGCTTTTCGCATTAGTAATTCCTACCATGGTATCTGAAGCAGCTTGCACACTGGTGAACCTTGGGGGTGTGTTGAATATGCCTTGAGGTCATTGAGTGAGCAAAAAGCGTGAATGGTTTCCTTGCTGCACTGGGCAGAGAGATTATCCACGTGGTTTCTGGATCAGAATCAGTCGTGTTCTTTGAGAGTATGCACCTCAGAGGTCTGTCGTCTGTTTGGGCTTCAACTTCATCGGCAAC